AAGCCAAGCTCAATCTCCACATCATTGCTGGTGTTGACCGAAGAGTCGATCTGGTAGTCGTGGCCAGGTGAGAACCTGGTGATCATGGGCCCTGGAGTCACAAACCGGGGCGCTTCAACAAGGACCTTCCACTCGTACGGCTTCATAGTAATGGTGCTGAGACAGCCGGATTTGGAGTTTGTGCCCGTCCAGGCGTTTTCGACGGCAGAGGACTCCAATGAGAGTGTCTCGCTGCTGGAGTCCATCAGGTTTCGGACCTTGGTGTTAGCATCGAAAGGAGAGACGAAAGCGGTGGCGGCATCATTGCAATCAAACTCGTAGGTGGTCTCGTTGGGCTGGTTGTGATAGACCAGCCATACGGGCTTGCTGTTAGTGGCGTTGACGTCTCCTTGCGTGTCTGCGTTGAAAGCACGGACAACGCTCCAGATGCCAAATTCGGTCTTAGAATCAGTGCCGTTGGGATACTTGAAGGTTGTCTGGTTGGCAAGTTGAACGAGGGACCATCCTTCATCAAGAACTGGGAATGCCTTGCGCAGGGCGAACATGTGCTTCATGGTGTTCCGCAGTGGGGCAGAGGGGTCGCGGTGATCCAGCGCCTGAGATGGGTCATGACATCCCTGAGTGGCCTTGGTTACAGGCCAGTTGTTGTAGATTGAGCTTCCCAGGCTGTAGCAACCGTGTCTCATCCAGGCCTGAGATGGCGAGAAGGCTTGACGACCAAAAACGTAGTTGTTCGCGGTGCTGTCGACCAGGTACAGGTTCTGCTCCTCTCCGTAGTAAACGAGCGGAATGCCTGGCAACAAAAAGGTGGTGATCATGTAGCCAAGCATCTGGCGCTGTGTCCCCTTGTCGATTCCTGGCCAGCGGAAAACGTCCTGGTTCGTCACACCGTAGAGATGTCGGGGGTCGAATTTACCGGTGTTGGCATTGTAAAAGTCGTTGGATAGCAGCATCTCGTTCCACATCTCGACCCAGTTTGTTGGCAGATCGTATCCGGCCTCGAGGTTTCCCTCCATGCCCAGAAAGCGGGTCAGGAATCGATAGACCGAGTAGTGGAATGCGCCTGCATCGAGAGCAGAGTTTCCTGCCGGGCGAAGGTACATGGAGTCGGCCTGGCTGGTGTTCCAGATGGGCTCGAGGCTCTCAGCAGTCTTGATATCATCCAACCACAGTTCTTTTGAGCGGCCACGTCCCAACCAGATGGACCCGAGTGTGTTACCAGAGGTAATCTCACCAACCACCATGAAGTTGTCCTTGCCAAGCTTTTTGGCACACTCGCGCACCTTGGTGGTGAAGGAAGCCTGCGCGTCCACCGTGACCTGCATGGCCTTGTCCACACGGAACCCGTCGATATCGAGTGCGGCGACGGTCATACACGAGAAATGCTCCAAGCGAGCAAGCACCGACGGGTTCCACTCGCGCAACCGATCTTGCACGGAGGCAAACTTCGAGAGTTGACGTTTCCAATCGGGGAAAACACCGAAAGCTTCAATGTCACCATACTGGTCGAAATCACTGTCATAGCAGCCCTTGAGCTTCGCAAGGTCTTTTGAAGGCACCAGGTTGCCATCCTCATACCAAAAGGTCGGGTATTCGCAAGTGGTGTTGTACGTGTTGCCGATGTCGAAGTCAAGGTATCGCCGAGATGACTTCCACGCCACCTTGTGCTCTTCCTCCAAAAATGGCGTACTTTCGTTCTGGTAACCGTCGAAACTGATAAGATCTCCCAGGCTGCGTTTCCAGAATGTGAGTGGTTGATCGCTGCCGCTAAAGCCCGGTCTCTTTCTTTTCACTTACGTTGCCATGGTGTTGTCCAAAAGGACATACATGCCTCTGTTGTGGATCTCCTCCACGACTTTCTGCCACATTGTGATATTGCCGAAATGCTTGTCGAGGAGGGTGAGGTCAAGCGGCTAGACGGTGCTGTCAGCGCGTGCGGCCATGGGTGTGAATGTACGGTTGAGGATTCCATCGTTGGTGGTGACCTACTGAATATGCGTCTGCGCCCCATGGCTGGTTGATAAAGGGTGAGCCGGCGATATAGAGACCCTGTTCGCGTGGTCAGTACACAGATCCAGCGAGGCGAAGGGGGGGGAACTATGCGGCGAGAGCAGCGAGAGTGGGAGTGAGGACGGTGGGTTGGGGGCTTCCTGGTGGTGTGTTTGTTACCTTGATACCCATGCCGGCGATATAGTCCAAAGAGTCTACCAGTCCCTGGAGGTCACCGCCGTTGCGGATTTGGGTACTCCTCATATCGGTCTCGAAAAGCGTTTCGTTTGCATTGTCGTTGGTTGGGTCGCCATTGACGAAACGATCTAAGAAGACGGTATAGAAGGGAAACCTCCAGTTTGGTGGTGATTCTGTGTAGTTTGCGAGTTCGTCTACGCTGTAGTCGAGGGGGTTCGTCGCTGTCTTGTTCACATTAAGATTAAAATCTACTTCAGAAAGGGTGTACTTGAGGCCGTGAACGAAGGTATTGGAAGACGAGAAAAGAGCAATGGCAGAAAGCCACGCGAGAGAAAACATCATCACCACACAACAACAACGACGCACAGCTCACGGTGGTGTGAGCCGTCCGTGGTGAGCGTCTCTGGTGGTGATGAAAAACAAGGGCGAAAAAAGAATGGCAGGGTGCTGTGAGTAGCACAACCAGAGTCTATCCTCCAACAAGAGCGAGTGACGGCGACTATCAGCGAGTGACAAAGGTGAAGATGCCGAAAAGAAAAAGGGAAGACAATGGAAGCTTTCGGCGAGCCACAATATCCCACCCTCGCACAACCCTACCGTCGGGCCCTCCCACTCTGGCACTCAAGGGGAACCCTTGATAGGCCCCATGTTGACAGTGCGGCCCCTGACCGGCCCAGCAGCCAGGCGCAGGAGGAACAGTGAGGAGGAGGATTCGAGACTTTGCCTCTGGCTCTGCCTCCGCCTCCGGCTGGGCCGAGCTAAACCCGGCCAAGCACTCGCTTGTGAGAAGGCGGTATCCACACGAGGCTGCAGCAGCAGGAACCCATGGTACCCAGGTCCGCAGAAGTTCCCGACGGAGCGTGCGGTGACTTGTCAGGCGAGTTAGAGCATCCATTTTCAGCCACACTGGAATACAAACACGGACGCGAGAAAGGGGGGGCGGGGGTAATAGAGGACCAGGGGGGTCCCGCGCCTGAGGCAGATTTCACACATTGCCCTCTCGCAGAGTGGGGAGAGGGGCGTGGCGATTGATTAACAACCACTGCCCAGAGACATATTTTTGGGCGGTGGAGGTGGACACAGACCAGAGGCGCGTTGCAGCCCGGACGTGTCGTCGGAACCCCTAGTGGTTCCTGAGGACTAAATGCTGATGCGCGGCGCCCGTTGATGGGTGCGGTTGAACGGGTGAACGGTCGAGGTGGAATGACTGGACGAGCACGGAGAAGTACCGGGAACATCTCTGCTGTCAAGCGTGGGACCGAACAGGCTACTCCGTAGACCGTAGCTTTGGATCGAACCCTACCGTGCGGCAGGCCGAGGAAGGTCGAGGACGCGCACTGTGGGCAAAGGTGTGGGTGTGTCTCATTCTCCTTTGTCTGTTCTCACTTCCTTCTCCAGGACCACCAACCAGGACCAGGTGCCGGGCTTGGACGGGCGGACCGTCCAGCGTTATTCGCTGTGGTTTCGACGCCTTTTCGGTTGGGGCAATTTGTGGAGGGTTCCACAGAAGCCAATCCGAGGATGCTGTGGGACGACCGGGCTGCATGCTTGTAGTGTAATCTGTAGTGTAGGTGTATTATGGTACACAGTAGGTTCAGCTGGAATCCAATTCAACGGGTCTCTGGGAGCCCCCATCGCCAGCAGTCCGAGGTTTCCTTGTGGGTGCTACTCGGTGGGCATGTCGGCAATCCCAAGTGGCCCCCCAGGGGATCGGCAAGCTCAGATGCAGCACAGCAGCGCAGCGGTGCAGCGGTGGTAATCAATCGTGGACGTCGTGATTTTTACCCGCGCACTCTACCGTGAGGCTGAAGTTTTTGGGTGCTGAGTGTGAGTCTTGACCTGCTGACTGCCAGACTCCCTGCATTGGGGGCCAGGGGAGGCACATCTGGGCTGTATGGATAGAATTTGGGTTCTGATCTGATCAGCCAAGACCAAGACAGAGTGATGATGCTGACGGCGCCCGGGACGGATCCTGCTGCAGGATCCTCCAACCGTAGACGTGGATCGCGGTCGGCCAGAAACCTTGGGCCGTCCAGAAGCAAAGCCGCCCGACAGGCCCGACAGACCGAGCGAATTGGTGATGCTGATCAGGATGAGTGACGATCGCGGTCGACAGCCGCGAGAGCACGGTACCAGCACGTAGCGAATTGATCAGTCCGCCGATCAGCCCGCTCGCGTGGTGGACGGGCCTGTCTGACTGACTGTCTGACAGCTGCATCGTGTTGTGCTGTTCTGGCAGTCTGGTTGTCTGGTGGTGTGCCCCCGTACAGTCAGGACAGCCTTGAGGACAGTACGTCTGTACTGTGTGTGTGTGTGTGTGTGTGTGTGTGTGTGTGTGTGTGGAAGTACGTAGGTACATACGAGACGCATAGATACGTACCTTCCTGAGAGTGGCCTTATCCGCCCAGTCAGGACTCAAGAGGCCACAGCCGCGGGTCGGAAGATAGCAGATGGCAGGTGGCAGGCGACAGCTCGCAGAAGCAGGCCACGGTGTAAATGAACCAACGCCAGGGGTACCAGGACTCCCCGGCCTCCCAGCTGCGAGGGAGATGATGATCATGCCTTGAAAAAGCAGGCGACAGGGCAGGGCGACATGGGTGCCGGGGCCGGCGCACAAGGCCGTGTGGCACACCAGCAGGGCCCAGCAATCGTTTTTGGCAAGGTGTCAGGGCAGCAAGATGGGCGTGCTGCATGCCGCGCTGCGCATCTCAGGGACCCCCCTGCTGGCGAGCGGACGATACGAGGAGAAGGCGGTACCTCGTCAGGGGTTGCAGCCACTCAGACGGACCCTTCCCGAATCAGAGAGGACGGCCCTATCAGCGCATTAAGGTTTTAAATCTTATCCCTGTCTTCTACCGTGGGGACCGACCGCGTCCACAAGCCGCACAGTCGCTCAGTGCTCTGCCGCTCGCTGTGTCGCTATGTCGCTTCTTTTCCCTCAGTCTTGGGGCCTGGGTGGCCTGGGTGGCCTGAGCCTGCTAGTACCGTGCTTCTTTTTTTCCCTGATTTCTAAACTTGGTATCAAGCTCCATCGCGGCACCATGCCCACTCGTCACTACTCGCTACCGCTCTGCCGCTCTGCCCACTGTGTTGACTCGCCGCGCCGCCTGCCTGCCTGCCTGCCTGCCTCGCCGTGCTCGAATGCCTCCTCATGTCTTCCCCGTCACCCCGTCTTTCACCCCCTTCTTTTTTGCCCTAATATCAAGGTCGAGTCAGTTGCTTCTGAGCCACCTGGCCGCTGGTGCTTAGCCTCTTTCCCCTGGTCCAGAGGCCAAAAGGGGGCCCAGAAGTTTATGCAACAATGACGATGGGACAAATAATATCAGACGAACGAGTGTTGATCCCCGTTCCCGCTGTTCGCCCGTCCAGCCCGCCAGCCCGCCAGCCGCCAGCCCGCCAGCCCGCCTCTCTGCTCTCTCGGGCCCTGCCCACACGTTGTGTGTTATGTGTCACGGTGTCACGGTGTCTGGGCGTCTGAGCGTCTGTGGGTGTTTTGTGTCTTCTGGACACGTCGTGCCAATCGGGCAATCAGTCGACCACGAGTCTGTCATCTACGATCGGCAAACTTAAACAAAAACTTTGCTTAGACGCCCTCTGCACTCGCTGATCACAATCACACCCCTCCCCTCCGCTCACGACAGGAGAGAAGAGAGAGGGAGGGAGATGCTGGACGCTCGGTACACCAGTGACAGTCCAATTACACCCACCACTTCCAAACGCCCGCCAGCCCGCCCGCCAGCCCGCGCTCCATCGCGCCGTCCTGGCAGGCTGGGCAGCCACAGCCTGGCGAATGCCATGGCCATGCACGAAATCCGGGCTATGGGGCCCCGACGGGTCACATCGCCGCTCAAATCAGACAATCAGACCAACCACTCAGGCGCTTCCCTGCAATCTCTGGATACGATACGGATAACCGGTATGTCCACTCCCCAGCTCTCCTCTCACTAGCACCACCATCGGCGCGGTACAGTAAAGGGGCCGGGCCACTAGCCCCCCAGTGCTGGTTGCTGTTTTTGGAAGTCTCTATGTCTCTCATCACGTACTCATCTCTTCACCTCTTCTTTTGCCCCCCTTCTGCCTGCGTATTTGTTCTACCCTACTGTGGTATATGGCACAGTAAGCATGGGGGCAGGGGGGATGGGGTGTACCCTGTACATGCACATCATAGTACCCAACCACCACCTTAGCAGCTTAACAGCTTCGTAGGCAGCCCGGCAGCCCAGGAGACGATCCAGTAGTCTTGTACGCACTGACAGTACAGTGGTGTGGACTGTATTCTGTTGTCTGTCTGTCTCTGCCTCTTTTTCCCAATCCAAGGGGGCCGCAGCAGCAGCAGCAGGCAGGGGGTCAGTCGATGCTGCAACGTGACGGGGCCCCATCCCGGACGCTTCTGGAAATCTCTGCCGGCCGTTCGGGGTGATCATAACAAATCACCATTCGAACCTTTGATTTCTTTGACCCTCTTGCCCTCCTGGTGACGCCCCTCTCTTCTCCTCTTGGCAGGGCTCTGCTCTAACTGGCAGGGTTGGTAGGCCATGTCTCTCGCTTTGTCCGAGCTGCCGAGTAACCGCAAATACGCCGTCGTGCAAGAAGGGGAAAGATCACTGGGCAATTGTGGGACGCTCGTGCTGGTCTGAATTCGGAATACGGGAGCGCGTCCCTCTACCAAGGCTGTTGCTCGCTCGCCACCCCTGGCAGTCTGGGGACCTCGGGGCACGAGATCGAACAAGCAATTTACCAACACAGACACCACCTCCGCACGTCGGTAGGTTTGTAGGTTTCTGATTAGGTTTCCTCCACCCCTACTCCAGTTCGTTCCTTACACGATCTCTCTTTTTTGTTGCGATATTCCCAAGAAGTCTTGGTCCTGCCTCGACCCGTCTTGAATTGAACCACATTCGTTTAAACCCCTATTTGGTGACTTGAAGTGTATAGTTTGGACCCGGGCAGATAATACTCGCACTGCGCGCCCAGCATTACGCGTCCAGTGTCCTGAATCCCAGCCAGTCCTTTCAACCTCTCAAATCAAAACACAGGCATCATGCGTGCCGTCTCGCTCGCTTTGACAACGGCTTCGGCCCTCCTCAGCCTCTCCAGTGCTGCCTCGCTGGAGGAGTGGAAATCCCGCTCCATCTACCAGGTCGTCGTCGACCGTTTCGCCCGGACGGATGGTTCCACCACGGCCGCCTGCGATGAACTCTTCCTTTTCTGTAATGGCACATGGACCGGTCTTATCAACGGTCTGGATTACATCCAAGGTCAGTATGATTGAATTTGACCGAAACCTTAGCACCCTGGCTGGGGTGGCTGCAGATAAGATGGGCTGATAGCAACTGTAAACATCAGGCATGGGCTTCACGGCCGTACAGATCAGCCCCATCTCAAAGAACATTGAGGACAACACCGCCGTCGGTGAGGCATACCATGGCTACTGGGTGGATGACCTCTACGCCGTCAACGAGCACTTTGGCACCGAGGATGACCTGAAGAAGCTGTCCGAGGAGCTCCACAGCCGTGACATGTACCTCCTGGTCGATGTTGTCGTCAACAACATGGTCCAAAAGTTCGACAACATTGTCCCGCCAAAGATCGATTACTCCAACTTTAACCCGTTCGACGACCAGGACTACTTCCACCCCTACTGCAACGTCACCGAGTGGACCAATGAGACAAACTACCAGGACTGCTGGCTCTACCCTTACGGTGTCGCCCTTGCCGACTTGAAGACCGAGGACGACAAGGTCGTCGACATGTTTAGCGACTGGATCAAGGAGCTCGTTTCTAACTACTCCATCGACGGCCTGCGAATCGACGCCGCCAAGCACGTCAACCGCGAGTTCCTGCCCAAGTTTGTCGAAGCCTCCGGTGTCTTCGCCTTCGGTGAGGTCCTCACCGGTGAGCCCGAGGACTTCTGCCCCTACCAGACCCAAGGCTACCTGCCCGGCATGCCCAACTACCTCGAGTACTACAAGATCAAGGACGCCTTCAACGCAGGCTCCATGACCATGATTGATGATATCCGTGAGCAGGCGCGGTCGTCCTGCAACGACACTTTCGCCCTCGGCTCCTTCGCTGAGAACCACGACATGCCTCGTTTCGCCTTCTACAACCAGGACATGGCCATCGCCAAGAACGCTATGGCATACATCATCCTCAACGACGGCATGCCCCTCGGTGAGTTACAACTGCCTGCCCGCTCTAGCTTTCATGCCGAGTCATTGATCTCACATGAGAGTTCCGGTTAATGCCGCAACCCCCCCCCCCCCCGAGGTCGATCATGACAAGCGACAGTCTTGCTAACATGTGAACCCCCAATCCCAGTCTACCAGGGCCAGGAGCAGCACTTCTCCGGCGGCGACACCCCCCAGAATCGTGAGGCCCTCTGGCTGTCCGGCTTCGACACGACGTCGGAGCTGTACGTCACCGCTGCCAAGCTCAACAAGGCCCGCAACACCCTCATCGGCCTGACCAACACCACCGACAGCACCTACGTCGACTCGCGCGCGCAGACCCTCATGGTCAACGACAACCACCTGTGCCAGGTCAAGGGCCCCGAGGGCTTCCAGATCGTCAGCTGCATCGTCAACCACTCGTCCAACGGCCCCTCGTACGAGCTGTCCATCGGCGGCTTCACCGCCGGCGACCAGGTCGTCGAGGTCCTCAGCTGCGGCACCTCCACCGCCGACGAGACCGGCAACGTCACCATGTACATGAACAAGGGCGAGCCCAAGGCCTACGTCCTGCAGAGCCTGCTGGAGCAGATGCCCGGCGTCTGCAACGAGACCAAGGACGCCAAGGACGCCTCCAAGGACAGCGCCGCCCCGTCCCTGGCGAGCGGCCTGGCCACCGTCTTCACCGTCGCCCTCGCCTCCGTCGCGATGCTGATGTAAAAGACTGACTGCGGAGCAGCTCCTTGTTTTTTTGTTAAAGTGGTGATTCTGAAAAAGTCCGGCGGCATTGCCCGTCGGGACTCGTTTGAGCTTACTGATGGCGTGCTGCTTCGTGTGCTTGATGCCTTAACGTCGCGCGGCTTTGAAGGAGCTGGTTGGTGGAATGGAGTGGGCGGTAGTCGTGAAATACTTTTTATAACTCTCTTGCGTGTGCACATGTTTTGCTGCTGCTCTGTTGGCACGTACATATGTTTTCATGAAAACCTTTGATATCCAGACTTACGTACATTGACATTAATTCATTAATATGAACTCTGTCTGCTATCATCCCCGTGTTTATCAAATGTGACTGGTCAGAAATCGGGCACGCCCGGGAGCCCCCCCCTCGGGGGGGAGGCTGGCGCAAGGGATGGAGAGAGTGTTCGGGACAGCATGCCCGCCCAGCACGATTCACTCTCGCAGAGTTCTCAGACAACAAGAGGCTTGTATTGCGAAGCTACGGGGGCTTGATCAGCTTCCCATACGAATCCACTGAACGGACAGTTGGGGGTTGAAGGGCTGATGGATTCGAGTTTCCAACTCAACACCTCTGAGAAATGGCATTATACGAAGCCGCGAGATATCTTCGAACATGTGACATGAGGCTGAATAGACCCATTCTGTCCCGGTTTTACTGACATCATACCTACCTTGGCAAGGCTGGAAGCAATCTCCAGCGAGGCATCACCCCTCAGTCCTCAATTCCTCGAGTCCCAAGTCCATCGCGACAGTGATCATCGACACTGATTTCACGGGCAAGTATGAGGTGAGGTCAGTACAGTACAACCTCGCAGTACGGATCATCCCAGAACAGTTCTTGTCTTATAGGGCTTAGGAGGTTTCAAATATGAAGGCACTCACTCGGCCGAGAAGTGATTTGTCGCCAAAAGTTAAACTTTCATGCCGAAGGGATCCCTGCCAGCTGCGGAGACGTCTATTCCTCCCTGGGTAGGCCTCAGCCTCAAAAAGTGGCTCCCAACAAGAGTACCTCGCAGTACAACGCTCTACGTATGCAGTCCTGTAGTAGGTTGTTTTATGGGACTATGTCTGTTGGGGGATCACCCTACTGGAGATTATCTTATGCGAGGTTCCCCTATTAGGGAGCAGTCTAAAAATAAATTGTCCTATGTGAAGCAGGCCTGCTGTGGGTAGTCTCCTGCTGGAGTTGCAGACTGCTGGCACAAGGCTGAAACCAAATGCGATTTGTGAGCTGACGGTCGGGCTACTTCGGTCATTCACACATAGCCAGGAACGACATGTCGTCGTCCTTGTCGTCGTGACCCAGCCGTGCGGCGGCCACAGACGCCGCATCCGAGCACCGGGCGGCTCAACGGCTCTCCTTGGGCGCAGATCAGCCAGTGTGTCACCGGTGCGAGCTTCCATTGTTCAGCTCAAGCAAGAAGAAAAATGACGATGGCAACGGCCGCTAGTGGCCGTTAGTAAGACCTCGGGAGACATGTATGAGCGCCATATTCTGACGCGCACTTAGACGCGGCTTGATAGTCATATGCGTCACATTGACAGCTCTAATAGACGTTGACAGAAAAGCGACTCTGCCTATAAATATGAATAGCATGCTGTTTATGATGGGTTACATTCCATTCTGAGTATATCAGTTGGTCTTGAGGACTATCAAATTAACTCTAATTATTCGGTGGTGATTAATCACAAGAACCCAAGAACAACAACCAAGTCAACATCTCCACCCCGCCCGCCCAACATGTCCTCCCTCCGCGCTCTCCGCCCACAGTCACTCGCCCGCCACACAGGCGCAGCGACAAGACAAGTCCGCCCAAGAGTCCCAGCACCAGCGGCACTCCAACAACAACAACAACAACAACAGCAACAAAGACGCCACCTGGACACCTCGAGCGCCCCGACGCTCTACTCGGCGCACGCCCGCGTGGTCGGGGCGCGCACGGGGCACGTGCAGGGCGAGAACCTCAACGTGGAGCTCACGATGGCCAAGGCGCTGGGCGGGCCCGGCGACAGGGGCAAGACGAACCCCGAGGAGCTCTTCGCGGCCGGGTACGGCGCGTGCTTCCAGTCGGCGATGAACGCCTCCGCCGCGGCGATGGGCATCAGGATGCCGTCGCGGGCCGAGGACTCTGTCGTCGAGACCACGGTGCACCTCGTGGGGGACATGAGGGCGCTCGATATGGGGCTGAGGGTTAACATGGTTGTAAAAGTCAAGGGGCTGGGCCGTGAGGAGCTGGACAAGGTCGTGGCCAAGGCGAAGGAGGTGTGTCCCTACTCGAGGGCCACGCAGGGCAATGTCGATACGCACATTGAGGTTGCCAACTTCACGGATAAGGAGAATGATATTGAAGGGGGCCAGGCCAAGTCATATGGGTCGAGCACGTATGGCTGAGTCACCTGGCTTCAGAGGACTGGTCATGCGTCTAACGTTTGAATTTGCTTGACCTACAAATGGAATCGCTCTATTTGTCTCGACAGCTTGTCTCGTCTGCCTGCCGCCATGTTTCATGGTTCCCAGAGAGCTTCCTCCGACGCGAGTGAGCCAGAGACAAGATTGGTCAATGGCATCTATACCCATGTTTGACACAACCTGAGCCTTCGTGGCGCCCTGTCCAGCTGGGTCCGTATCCAGCATTCTTTCTATCAAATTCCTAAACTCCTAGCCTGGTAATCATTGTGTTAAGACTTGATGTGACGCTAAGAGAATTAAAAAGAAATGCAAAGTAGTCCCTCTGCTATTACCGGGAATCTTCCGCTGCTTGTATCTCCAATCTTTTGGGTAAGACGTATGCGATGCCTTGCCTCTTGTTGTGGTTGTAGGGTGGGTTGTCAACTATAGCTCCCAAGAAGCTTAAGCACCCGGTGCTGGGTTCTGCTGGCTGGTCGGCGCTGGAGCGCCTGCCGTACCCACGCCGGCGCTGGCGGCGCTCTGTCCGACTCGTAGTTCATCCTCTGGCACTCCCACGGCGACGCTCCCAGTCGTACTCCCAGCAGTGCTCAGCATGCTGGTCACTCTGTCGCCCCTAGGAGGCGCAATGCCGGCCCCCCCGCCAGTGACGTTCACGCTCGCTGTGGTACTAACACTCTCACTGCGAGGCCTGGTACTGGCGTCGCTCGCCCTGCGCTCACGAACCAAACGCTCCAGCTCCCTGATCCTTTGCTTGAGAGCGTCGTTCTCTCGCTTGACCGTCTCCAACTCCTGACGGTGGAATGCAGTCTCTTCATATCTTGAAGTGACAGGCATCATGCTGGGTGACCTCATATCTGCCGAGGCAGAACCTGGTGTGGCCTGGGCGTGTGACAGGCTATGCGAGGATGCGCCCGTTGCCGAGCGGTAGTGGAAGTAGCCACCATGAGCGGCGTCCGCCATGTGCGAGCTCGCAAACGAGCTGGCGTGCGCAGGGGAGCTACTGAGACTTTGCCTCGAATGGCTTTGAGTACTATTCTGACGGCTCAGAGAGGTGGCGCCTGGCCTGATGGGCGCTGGTGAAGTGATGTTAACCACGGATGTGCTTCCTGTCGTTGCTGCGATACTTCGTGCGCTCGCGCTCGATCCGCTTCTAGTGTGGCGTCTCTCACGTCCGCTAGTCTGAGATGGTATGCTAAACCCAGATCCAGAGATCACTGGAGCGACCACCAGAGTCAGCGTGTATCCAAAGAAAAGTCATGTGTAAGATGTACGAGTCCATCGCCGCCCATGCTAGCGCAGGCCCCTCGTGCATATAGTTCGAGCCAGCAACAACACAATGGACCAGCCCGCGACACAAGGACGATAGAAGAGTGTATAGTGTCTGCTGCTTACGATGTTGTCTGCCATCTGGTATTATGGGAATTGTAGAGGTGGGTAATTCGGCGCCCGAGTCACTGGCTGAGGCGGAGGACGCATCATTTTGCTGTCTAAGGATTTCGAGTTCACGCTGGAGACGGTTGACCTGTTTGCAGACGTTGTGTCAGCATGTTACTCGGTCAGGCTCCCATGCGGCACTGAAGAAGACACATACCACTGCCTCCTGCTCTTTCTCGAACTGCTGGTGGAGATCAGCAACTGTGATGGTTTGCGGGTGGCGCGTGGGCCCCGGGCCCTGGGCCTGAGACGACGCATCTGCAGGTGGGTGTGCGCTGCCAGTCGCGACAAGGCGGGGCGACGGCAGAGAAGCGGCGGTGGGAGCACCTGTGTTGACGGCAGCCTGGTTTGAGGGCAGGATGTTGAGTGCCGGGTCCGAGGTCGAGGTCGAGGTCGGCGCGGCGCCTTGACCCTGGCTAGGGCCGGGAGCTGGTGGTGGAGGCATTTGCTGAGATGAGGCCCGCCTGGACAGAGCTAGAACGCGAGGCGATGGAGGAACCGAGTTAAGGTCCGGCATTGGCAGACGTTCCGGAAAGCTATGAAGACGGGTGGTCCGATACGCGAGGATGGCGCAGGGTGTGGGTCCTGCAGCCTGCTTCTTCTAGTCGTGGTGGTGGTGTTGATGGCGATGGCGGCCGTGACAGCTCGGGCGGGGCGAGGGGTTGAGCAAGCAGCTAGAGCCACCAGGTGGTCGGCGAACTTGCGAAGACGGACGGTGACGGTAAGAAGGCAGCACAAGATCAGCTCTGCAAGGGAGGAAAGGAGAGATCATCACATTGAAACAGTCATCTCTCCTGGGCCAGGCACACTAAACAAACAAACATACGAGTAGTGGTGAGATGCAGTACTGTCACAGGTATTATAGCAACACGGCGTTGGAGCAATAGCATCCGTTGCTGTTGTGGCGGCTGCAGGGGCTTAGATTGAACATTCATGCATTACCATGCCAGTGCCTTCCGTCAGGCTGTTCTGTCACGACTTGGCATCTGGAAGCTCAGGCTGAAGGGCTGGAAGGTGTATTGGAGCAAGTAGTCGCATGAGCTACACCTGCAGCAGGCCCTGCCTAACGGTTCCAGTACGGAGTACGTACCCGACAAGTACCCCTCATCGCAAGGGCACATGGGATGTCTACCCGACTCTCAGGTATACTCCGTAGAAAGACAAGAGCTCGAGAATGCCATTGCAGTAGAGAGTGGTAGGAGAGCCAGCCAGCCAGTCAGTCAAAGTGCAAGCGTGAGTAAGCGCAAGTGCTCCTCCCTAACCGATAATGGCGAGCGTCCTTTTCGACGAGAGTGCCTCCAGCAAGCGAGGGAGATGATATCATGGTGATGTCCCGACCCCTCTGACGTGTGTGTTTCCAAATCGACGCGCAGATGGTGGACAAACCACAAGGTCTAGGAGCTGCTTTCTCCTTTATTAAGAAGCAGTCTCTTCCCTCTGATCATAGTTCTTGAACCAAGAAATTCAGACCAATTCCTCCAAACCCCACGTTCGCCGCCGTTGTCCAGAAGCACAATCCAACCCAACTTCTCGTGTAAGTCAGTCGGGCACAACAAGCCTGCACCCCGCCTACCGGACGCCATCTCTTCGTGACGACCAACCCGGGCACATCCAAATCAGAAAGAATGAGAAAGGCTAAATAACCATCTTGCCACTGTTCAGAACAAGTCTCTCACATCCTCCCCACTATTCAAAATGTCGAGCACCGAGGGCCGCCAGTCTCCTCCCCCCGAGCAACAGAGCGGAGCTCAGCTCAAGGACGCCCCGGCACATGGTCAGGGTACCGACGACGCCTCCAAGAAGGAGCAGACCAACAAGTCCGCCCTTGACGTATGACTACCAAGCCCAGTCAATTATTTCTCCAGGTAGCTTGCTAACGAGGCACGTTGCAGAGCTTGTCATCCAACCCCAAGGGCCCTCTGGACGACGCCGTCAAGGACAAGTTCTCAAAAACCTCGGATAGCGAGGGTACAAAGCAGAAGTGAGAGCGCAACCCGGCCGGGGTTGTTTGAGGGAGAGTGGATGAGCAGCCAGTCAGCCCACTTGGGCAGGGCGCAATAGAGGCAGCTCTGACGATAGCTTAATGAGCAACAATGACATGATTTTGAGCCAAGAGTCGATATCATTCTCCACCGTATATCTAAGTGATTATGCCCAAGGAGTTGCTTGGTAGACTTGAGAGCCATTTGGCAGTGGCACCGCCGCACACGGGGCACCTGTTCCTCGTCCGAGCACCGCGACTGCCAGAACAGACATGGAACCCTGGAACGCGGTATGGAGACCGTGATGCCTGGATGCCAGGCCCATTTTCACATGCTTCCCATCCCTAGCCAGAAAAGCAACGGTTAGCTCGTGGCAAGGGCAAGGCAGGATTCCCACCGGTTGAGACAGGAGCTGTCGTATCAAGTGTGGCGCAGAGTTGGGACCTCGACTCGTCAACGGCCTGGGCTGGGAGGCCACCTGCGCCTTCTGGGCCTATTTAGATTTCACTATTTTGGTCTGGCTGTGCACACAGGTGGGGAGGGGGGGAGCTCTTACCTCCCCCGCAGGTCCTTCGCCGTCTGCTCAATCATTAGCGAACACACTCCACTTAGGCGCCACCAGCAAATGACGTATCCCGCCCCCCCTAAGCTCCCTCCCTCGCTGATTCTTGGCAACTACGCGCGTAACCCATAAAGCACCATCGCCTTCTTCTCAGTTGCTATCCCCCGTTAAAAGCTACATAACCAAGCAACTTCCCCTAAACAGAGCCGTTTCATACCCCATCCACCAAAGAATACACATCACCCACAGCTTTACATCGACTAGAGAACCCTCACACCACCACTCAACCCTTCACCATCTTCACAATGTCTTCTACCACTGTGAACGTTAAGAACATCGCCGGTAGCACCGACGACAAGGAGATCCGTGACTTCTTCAGCTTCTGGTAAGTAAATGTCTTCACGGGGCTCTTTTACCAGCACACCTAACAACTCTTTCAGCGGCAAGATTACCAGTCTCGACGTCAAGGCTGAGGGCGAGACCAAGTCCGCAAGCGTCACCTTTGAGAAGGAGACAGCCGCCAAGACTGCTCTCCTCCTGAACAACACCCAGCTCGGCTCCAACCACATCACCGTCGAGTCTGCGGGCGGCTCGTCCCCTATCGATGCTGAGCACCCCACCACTAACGCTGACCGGGACACGGACGAGATCACGCAAGAGGAGAAGCCCCGCGCAAGAATTGTCGCCGAGTACCTCGCCCACGGCTACGTTGTCGGTGATGCCGCCATCCAGCGGGCCATCGAGCTCGACCACACCCACGGCGTCTCGACCCGGTTCATGAACACTCTGACCGGCCTCGACAAGAAGTACCACGCCACCGACCGGGCAGTGACCGCCGATCAGAGCTATGGCATTACCCAGCGGGCGAACACCCTTTGGTCTGGCCTAAACTCGTACTTTGAGAAGGCTACCAACACTCCCACCGGCAAGAAGCTGGTCGACTTCTGTAAGCAATACACATACCGTCCAGCTTCATGCGAGACAAGGCCGAACAAGTTACTGACCCCGCTTTCCTTAATTCAGACACCCAAGGCCAGAAGCAGGTCACAGACATTCACACGGAGGCGCGCCGTCTTGCCGACCTCAAGAAGAACGAGCACGGTGGTTCTGCGTACAAGGCTGCCGGTCTGGAGCGTGTGTTTGGCGCCGAGAAGCCCAAGAGCGAGCCTCCGTCCTCTGGCCCTGGCGCCCCCGCCGCACCTGGCGCCGCCACCACGACCGAGACAACCCAGCCCGTCAAGCCTGCCGAGGGCGGCCTAGGCACCCAGGAGTCCGCTACAATCCCCCAGCCCGAGAAATCCGGTTAGGACAGCGATGAGGCCGCTTAGCAAGAAGCTCTTGGCGAGGGAGTAGTGAGATTCCATCGGACGAGTCAGCGATATCCAGTGGTACAGGAGCTGGAAGGATTGCATGCGACGTTATGACACTGCACGACACGACCCCTTTTTAGAATGAAGGTCCTGACACATGAATACCCCAACCCGTTAGTGTTTTTGCAATGATTGTTCACGAAGGCGAAATAGCAGATAGTTCCTAAATTCATCTTCACATCCTTTTCATTGTAATCATGTGTAGTGCGGAATCACACGGTGACAGCTATATCTACAATGTCGGAATCTATTGACTGACCTAATTAAAGCCGGGCCTCCACAAGCAATGAATAATGCGCGTGTCGTCCTTTCCTCAAAAACTGCACCTCACAGTGTTTTATTACGTATTGAAAATGTCGAGGACCAATTTCTTGGGCCAAGATAAGTAAGGTGTCTTGTGCTGGCTATGGCTCCCGCTCCAGTATTCCGTCTCGAGATCCGGGATCTGCGCCAGTGGTATATGAGTAACCATTCAAGAATATAAGACAGGTGTCAGCATGTCGTTTTTATAGTCCACGTGTGACAGAATGCCCAAAGTCCGGGTTGACACGCGATTCTGTCAGACCAGTACCGACAATTATGGCAAAGAATCCCAGTCGTCACCGGAACCACCAGTTCACAGACCCATTCAGCTGCCCGTCGTCAGACCGACTCCTCACACTATGCCACCAACCCTTGGGGATGAACAGCGCATCGCCGGGGCCCAGCTCCGCCTCCCGCAGCGGCGCCGCGGGGGCCGTCCAGACGGCCTGGTGAAGCAGCTCCCTCTCACGCCCCTGCATCATCTCCTCGCCCCTGATGCGCGAGCTGCCGCTCGTGCGGCCCAGCGCCGTCTGCACCTCGCGGAACACGGCGCGCCCCTCGTGCGGCGGGAGCAGGCGGACGGTCTTGGAGCTGCGCAGCTGCACGAACAGGTTCGGGTTCGGGTCCCGGTGCAGCGGCGTGTATGTCGGCTCCAGCCCCAGCCAGACCGACGAGGCGTATATGTCGCCGTTGCCGGCCTCCCTCACGAGGCGCGGCGTGGGGAGGTCCTCTGATAGCTCCCGGGGCAGGTCGGCCAGGGAGCACTGGGCTATGTAGAGCTGCCGCAGGCGGGAGGATCCTTTCCTCTGGGCGTTGTGCCTCAGCGCGGCGATGAGTAGCGCCAGGGGCGCATGGAAGCGCAGGAGCTGCTGGTATCGGTTGGGGTCGAGAAAGGGACGTCCGAGCCCGGGGGGTGCCTCCGTGATCTTTTGCCTCAGAATGCTGGCGAGATGTTGCTCGAGTCTCGCTTCCGCGGTGTCCGCCCTGCCGGACTGGACGCTGCCGGACTGGAGGAAACTCATGAACTGGCCGACAAGCTCGTTGCCGCCCTCACGCTTTTGCGGGTACATGAGCTCGTAGGGCAAATAAGCCATGGCGAAGTCCTGGAAATAAGAAGATACCGTGTCTGCCGCGGGTGATCCCTGACCGTCGGACACGGGCTGGAACCACTTCTCCATTGCGGGCATGCTGGCAGTGGCAGGTCCATCGTGTGAGGCTTTCAGCAGCAGAGGCACGCCGGCGTCGAAGGCCAGCTCCCTGAATCGCGCCACCTCGATGCTCTCGTGAGGAGTGTCTACACTCGTGACGTGCTGGACGAGCGGTTTGCTGCTATAGCCACGGGCCAGGCCGACCCTCAGCAAGTTGGCCTGAGGGCCCCTCAAGCTTCTGCTGAATATCATCGTCATCCGTACTTCTGTTCTGAGAGCGCGCCAGCACGGGTGAGGCAGTAGTCAGCCATCTATTTGATGCATACATAGGCTTTTATGCTTGCATTTCTAACATTATAAATCGAGATCGCAGTTCAGGTAATGACCGACATAATCGCTGAGCGACTCAAGGTGATCAAAGTTGCAGACCGTCGTCCACGAGTTGAGCATGCGGGATGCTTTGAAGGCGTATCCGGGTACATTGGACAGTAGTCATTGTCCTACCGAGGCTAAGTACCTATCAGCTTGGCTTGCCGGCCACCGCACGGACCACCTCGGCCGTCCCGCCAGCCAGCCCAGGCCGCAATTCCAGCAACCGATCTGCGTCCTTGACCTCCAGCTTCGAAAGACGGCAAGAACAGGATATCGCAAACCAGTATTATCGTCACCACATCGCCAGCAGCCTACCTACGCCGCCCCTACCTTGGCTCTGGGAAGGCGCCCCTTGACCTGATCGGAACACCTGGTCCCTGGGCAACTGTGGACATGCCAGCGACCCCTCACTAGGTCCATCCCACTTTGCATCCCATCACAACGCAACGCAACGCGGCAACCTTGCCCCCCCCCCCCCCACCAACGCGTCTTTCTGCTCAGCGCAAATTCCCCATCCCCGCCACAGAAACCTTCACAAGTGGTGATCTCTTGGGGCACGCCGTTGGTCGCGCGGGTTTTGCTGCTTGGATTACGTTGGCTACCGCCGCCACCATGTCGACTTCCTCGGGACCGCCAGAGTCCTGGATAGCCTCGTTCTGCTCCCTGCTCGGCCATGAATACTTCGCAGAGGTCTCGGAGGAGTTCATTGAAGATGACTTCAACCTTACGGGACTGCAGTCCCAAGTTCCCATGTACAAGGAGGCGCTCGAGGTGAGTCATTAACCCCCGATCCCACAAACCTCGAGGCTTGAGAAGGTTTCTCTAACTGATGAGACTTGTAGATGATACTCGACGTCGAGCCAGAAGACGATGAGGACGAGGAGGATGATGAAGACGAGGACGAGGAGGATGTCAGTGGCGATGGCCTCGACCGAAGGCTTCCGGGAGAGCGGCGTCATCACAGTAGGATGGCTAGTGACCTTTCCGTGATCGAGTCCTCTGCCGAGATGCTCTACGGCCTCATACACCAGCGATACATCTGCTCGCGCGCAGGCATACAACAGATGTCGGAGAAATACGAAATGGGACACTTCGGCTGCTGCCCTCGCACGAATTGCAACCAAGCACGAACGCTGCCGGTCGGGCTGTCAGACATACCCGGGGAGGACACTGTCAAGCTTTTCTGTCCCTCCTGCCAGGACGTCTACGTCCCACCCAACAGTCGCTTCCAGACCGTCGACGGCGCCTTCTTCGGCCGCACATTTGGCGCCTTGTTCCTCATGACCTTCCCCGACTACGACTACTCGAAGCACGGCGCCGACCTGATGTCATCTAATTCCTTGCACATCAGTCGCCGGTCGGGTGACGATGACTGGATGGTCAACGGCATGCATGCTAGGAACATTGCCCCGAGCCTAGGACCAGGCAAGATTTACCAGCCCAAGATATACGGGTTCAAGGTGTCGGAACTCGCGCGCTCTGGCCCTCGGATGCAGTGGCTGCGCGACAAGCCCGCGGACCTGTCCGAGCTGGACGAGGCACGCCGCTATGCGGAAGAGAACACGGACGATGACGAGAGCATGACCGGAAACCCCAAGCCGTCCCGGAGGAGGCCCCGTGGTAATGCCCGCCTGCGCCAGAGACAGCAACAAAACGGAAGCCCCATGGCCGTCGAGACTAACGGTGCCGAGTCGGAGCTCTAGGTGCCGATGGCTCACAGACATGAAATCGAAAGGGCATACCGCAGTGAGCTCCAACTACTCAGTTCAATGTTGATGCACAGCGCTGGTGGCCGGGAGACTACGTTATTAACAGACCCAGTTGAAGAGATGGAAGCGTCAAAATCAGCAGCGCCATCGCTCAAATCAGTCGAACGGTCTGCTAAACATGACTCTCCAAGCCGCGGCGTCAGAAACCTCGTGGAGGCTATCGACTTGCGTGGATCTGATGCCGGAACAAATAATATGCATGACAGTAGCGAAGACTCGATTGATACTGTGGAACCCTGGTCTTCAGAGGTCTCAGAGGAGTCATGGCCGGCGCCTCCTTTAATTCCGTTGTAGGCTGCAGGTTTTTGAAAGCCGCATCCGACTTTGACGAGCCGAGGGGTTCGGAGCCAGGAATCCACGTTCAATCTATTTCCTCTGCACAACGAGGCTTCTTCAGTGCTAGAGTCGTCGGCGCAGGTCACAGCAGGAGCAAGGAGCAGGAACAGGAACAAGGAGCAAGGAGAAAGAGCAAGTAGGGGGGCTTGAGGTTGGTATGAGGAGGGAACAAGGTAAACAGTGTCGGGGGAGCGAGGTGTTGGGCAGGGATGCTTCAAGCTACACATTACTTGCATGCGGTCGGCGTTGTTTCTTCCACCGTCTTCACATTATGGAATTTTGACATATATGTTTGTGTAAGGCCAGGAGGTCGGCGGAGCCGCGCCGCGCCGCTGCAGCGATGACTTTCGCTGGGGGCAGCATCGGCAAGCAGCAGCAAAGACGGTAGAATCCACAGACCTAGCCTTTTTCTTCGTGCCTGTTTCCTTGTGCGACTGCCCCTCCGTCGTCGTCACTACCGCAGCGCCGTTTTTTGTGTTAGGTCAAGGAGGAGGAGCATTGTTGGGAGAATCTCGTTGTATGAATAGACTAATTGAAACCCGCGCTTCTATTCCTCTATGTATTTTTTGTGTTGGACCGGCGATGTATTCAATTCATTAGCCGCCGTCTTTACATTCCCGGCTTTACTTGGGATTCGAAGACCCGTGCCCTACTTGGTATGAATATTCGTGTCTGCCTCGCATGTGTAGCTCGACGAATCCGGCCATACCGTCGCCATGGTCGATCTACTTTCAAATGTCGGTAAAAATTGCTGTCAATGATAAAGAGCCAGACATCAAAGGGCTGCTCACAAGCACACTTCGGCCAGCAAGGGCATCCTCCAGATCCAAATAGCCCAATGTAGAACCAGTGCGTACCCAACCCAAACCCCCTTTCCAAACCTGCCTAACTAAACCAGGCTGAACTCCCAAGGGCCTCAACCGTCATCATATGCACCACTGAAGGATCACGCCCGCATGGCATGACATGGCACTACATTGCTTACCCCCCGTAGGTTACAGTCTGTCACTCCGCGGTTCCTGCAGGCCGGCTCGGTATATCAGGAAACCAAGTTGGACCCTTCTAACGCGCTTGCTTACCACATAGGCAGGTCGGGGCGCATCCGGTATACGGCTCAGACAGTTCTTATCCCTTACAAATACGCCACGCTTACGATATACGCTTCCACCTCGGTAAGGAGTTGGTTGAGTGGGCTCTACCCTCCTGCCTGGGCCACCTAGCGAGATCGTGTCTTAAATGAATCAATGGTGATGCCGGTGACAAGTGGCTTCAATCATTGATATTGCTGCGGATTAGGTGGTTCTGTGCCGGCCAAATGATCATCATGGCTCATCCCTAGATTCTGTATCCGGAAGTAAATTGAACTTTCACTGTCACAGCTGATCCATTTGCAACATGTTCGAGTTTATGGGGCATTTTGAGATTGTGAAGGAAACAAACAAAACCAGGTTGGAACAAGAAGCAGCAGGAAAGGAAAGGATCCAGATTAGAAATCCAAAAAAAAATATTCAAAATGTCCACACAGGAAAAGCAGCCTTGCATGCTGACTCGAAATCGATAATCACCACCCAAAACTGTTCTCTACAGTCCCCCCTGGGAGAGTCAGGTAGAGGGGCGAGTTCCAACATCACAAGGTTGACGGCGGCCGGGACGGGGGCGACCCGCCCGCGCTGACCCAGCCAAGGATCGGCGCCGAATCAGGATCCGGACCCGACAAGACGGGTCAGCAACGCACTGCTGCACTCTATTCCATCTCCTTCTCTCGGTTACATTGGCGCACCACAACTCAATGTAAGCAAGGCAACCAACCAGGGCCAAGGCAACATTGATCCCAAGGCACCGGCTCGGCGCCCCAGTCGGTGCCATTCTGTTTTATCGTTTGGAAGTGGACTGCGTGCTTACGGTGATGATGCAGGCAGGGGCAGGCAAAAGTTATATGCCTTGCTGACGGGAAGCAGTAAGAAAATACGAGGGCCTGTTGATAAATGCATACTGTGTGTGGTAACCCTCCAGCCAGCCCGGAAGACAGCGCCCTTTGGCCCTTGGCGGAGGGGGACGGCATTCCCAATCGAGGCCCTGCGACGACGCCTCCCCTTTCTGCCTTCCCCCCCTCCCGTCGCCGTGCGTTCCGCAGAGGCAAAACAGTGCGATCCAATCGGCGACAGCTTGCCCCTGTGCCTGGGTTGTTTTGGTTCAATTTTGATACTATGTAGTAGTGAACCAAGTAACAGCGGCAGCCCGGGACGGGACGGCTAGCTTTAGATACGGCTTTTTGTTTTATTTTGTTTTTTTCCTTCCTCTCTGCCTGCTCGTGTTCCAGATCACGGAGGCTTCGAACGTTCCTCGGGCGGGAATAAAGTCCTGCCACCCAACCACCCACCGCACCCACCCGCACACACACACGCCCGAATCCGGCCTAGCACTAGCCAGCCCTGTGCCGCGGTCAGCCTGAAAAGGACCCGCGGGTAATTATCGGATGGGAAGGCAGCATCCCGTCTCACCTGTCTCAGTGACAGCGCGCCCGAGTCAGGGGGACGTTCCGCCGACGGGACGACTGTGTCAGGGTGGGGCCGCTGTTGAATCCGGGTCGTCGTTGGTGGCGAGTGGAGAGGGAGGGCCAACGGCTGTGCCGAGGGGGCAAGAGGGGAGAGAGGAGAGAGGCAGAGAGGCTTGAGGGTCTAGTGTGCACTAGCGAGTGTGTGACAGGACACCGCAGGACATGGCAGCAGCCAGCACCGTGTGAGGGAGTCTCCGTCTTGGGAAGCGATCAGATGCTCTGGAGCCTGCCGTCGATCTCGACTTACATCTGTACAGGACGGACTAAAGCTCGAGCCCGACCTTGTTCCTGTTGGCGGTTGGCGGTTGGCGGTTGGCATGGGGGCGGCCTTAGGTCCGAACAAAACCCTAAGTCCGGGCCTGAAGCTTTGATAGGATACTTGGATACCAGCAGGCAACTCATGCGTATCTGTCTATGCCCTTGGGTGATACGCAGTAACATTGGGAGCATTCATTCAATGCGTCTGAGCTGGCAGTGCAGAAGTGCAGAAGCGCATCACTGGCCGTCCGTCCTAGTGCCGTGCAAGCCTCCCGTGGTGCGTCGTGGCCAGGAAGCTCGTCAATGCCGTGATGGCTCAGGGCTGGCGGCAGACTCCAGGAGCGGCCCCCAATTGGCATGGCTGGCAGGGCAGGTCGGCAGGGGAAGCCGTCTCGGGGAGTATTAACTTACCGGCTGGAGTCGCCAGGCCGGCAGGATTACTCACCGAGACGCGCGAAACTTGTGTCGATCTCTGACGGACCCACCGGCCATCTCCTGGGATGGGGATATTGGGGAATGAGATGCAGGTCTGTGTGTATACCATGACACTGGCAACACTGTGGAGAAGCTTTTTTTTTTTCGGCACGTAGTACGGAAGTTGATTCTAGAATCTACAATCTACACTATGTATATAGGTGTAACCGTTGACTGCGGTGTAGCCCACGGCCATGTCGATGTGGATATGCTTTTCGTGTTTGTTACTCGGCCAAGGTGGCTCATGATGGCTCACACGGCAGACACTCCTGATGCTGCTCTGGTGAGTCATGCCGGGGTGCTCCTTGGCATTCTCATGGTCCTGGTCCTGGTCCTCGTCCATTGTTCCCGTCCACGCCCTTCGCCCACGTCCACGTCTTGCACGAGGTACGTACCCCGAACTGCTTGTTGGACGAGTCTCGTGCGCACCGTGTAATTCCGTATATCCGCAAATCTCACCCATCTCTTGGCATTGTCCTTTGTCGATAAAGCAGGGCAAACATTGGTAACCTGCCAGCCTGCGCGAGCAAAAAAAAGGAAGCAGCAATTGATAACAGAAGCGGTGTCTGCCGTGATACGCTGCGGCACAGTACAACTGGCGTGCACAGTAGAAATTCAATTCGAGCGCTCAGACTGTCAGACTGCCAGATCGAGGGCAGGGCCGATGTGGGGGTGCGTCCTCCTGCACGTTGAGCAGGCTAGCACATGGTGGTTCTGATCCGGCTCGACCCCCCCATGCGCCCCTAATTAGTCCCTTGTCCCCAGTCCCTCTGGCCTGGGGCGGGCACTTGGGACCGTTGAAACGACGCCGTGGGAGCAAAACAGAAAGTCAAAATGGCCCACTGGCTGATGTTCCAGAAAGACTGATTTATAATTCTAAGGCTGTATTGGCCCGGCCCAGCTACCGAGCCGATTCTCGGACTGCCGACCCCCCAGGCCACATCTGTGTGTATCTATCTGTTCGTCCGTCCCATCTACCTATTTGAGCCGCCTTGCCCCGAGGGTGCCTGCTGCTTGCTACACCATAAACTTTGTTGTTACGCCTCCCTGTTTCTTGCTGCTGGGGTTGGCACCCGTGGTCCACAGTCACTTCGTCATAACCCGAACGAAGTCCTGGCAACTCGTCTTGCCTCTCTCTGTGGGAAGAGGAAAAGCTGTGTTTCATAGTTTTACAAAATATTTGCCTCTTTGACCCTCGATGCCCCCCGCCCCTTTTTTCCTGCCTGCACGCCCTCAGGCCCTCTCGCAGCATTCCTTCAAGAGACTGGACGGCCCCCGTTTTCAGTCTCTAATTTCAAAAGGGCCCGCAACACTACACCTACTTTTGACCCAAGCCCCCAGTGCCAGCCCAGACCAGGACCCAGACCCAGACCCATTCCAGGCTTAGACCCTCCCTCCCTGGCCATTTGTAATACGATATCAGTCTTGATATCAGAACTTCAAAAACCTCAAAAATATCTGGCTGCACTTCCACCCATCTTTCTCACCCAGCGACTCGCGTTGCTTCGGGTTCTCCAGGCTTCAACCTTGGCCCTGCCCCGCGAACTCTTCTGCGCGCCCTTCTCACTATCGCGCCCAGATCGCTTGGCAGGAGCACTTGTGTTTATCTGTTTATTTGTTTTGGCTTTTTGTATTCTTCGCTTGGAGCATAAACGAGATCATGGAGCCCGATGTGGAGAAGGCCGCGCTCGAAGCTCGGGACCAGGAGCACTCCGAGTTCCTGGCCCATCGCGAGGTCGAGGAGCCACCACGAAGGACTTCGACCGACAGCGACACCACCCGCGATCCTGAAGAGGAGCTCGAGCAGGCCCGTCGCAACAACCCCCTAGGCCTCACCAGGACCAAGTCTGGCGTCTCGGTCGAGCAGGCCCGCGATGACTTCCAACAGCTGCGCCGAGAGATCTCCAGCCTGTCGAGGGCATCCAGGCAGAGCCGTGAGCACAGCCGCAGCCGCAAGGGCAGCAAGGTCGACATCCACCAGGAGAAATCCCACGAGGCCATCGACATTGCCGAGTCTGGCGGAACATCCACAACACTCTCCGACGATGAGCAGTTCGACCTCGAGGGGGCCCTGCGGACGGGCCTGAACGCCGAGCAGGAGGCTGGCATTCGCCCAAAGCACATTGGTGTTTACTGGGACCAGTTCACCGTCAAGGGAATGGGCGGCTTCTCAAACTACGTCAAGACCTTCCCCGACGCCTTCGTCGACTTCTTCGACGTCATCTCCCCCTTCAAGAAAGTCCTTGGGCTCGGCAAGAAGGGCACCGAGTCCACCCTCCTGGACAACTTCCGCGGTGTCTGCCAGCCTGGAGAGATGATCCTGGTCCTGGGCAGACCTGGCTCGGGATGCACCACCTTCCTCAAGACAATTGCGAACCAGCGGTATGGATACACCAACATCTCTGGCGAGGTCTTGTACGGACCATACGAGGCCAAGGAATTCAACCTGTACCGTGGCGAGGCAGTCTACAACGCCGAGGATGACCTGCACCACCCGACCCTTACCGTCGAGCAGACCCTCGGTTTTGCTCTGGACACCAAGGCCCCCAAGAAGCTCCCGGCCGGCCTGACCAAGGCCCAGTACAAGAAGTCCGTCATCGACATGCTGCTCAAGATGTTCAACATCGAGCACACGCGCAACACCATCGTTGGTGGGCCTCTGATCCGTGGTGTCTCTGGAGGTGAACGCAAGCGTGTCTCCATCGCCGAGATGTTGATCACAAACGCCTGCATTCTGTCCTGGGACAACTCGACCCGTGGTTTGGATGCCTCGACAGCACTGGACTTTGTCAAGTCTCTCCGGATCCAGACAGACCTGTACCGGACAACCACCTTTGTCTCACTGTACCAGGCCTCAGAGAACATCTACAAGGAATTCGACAAGGTCCTCGTCATCGACGGCGGAAAGCAGGTTTACTTCGGACCCACCACCAGCGCGAGGGCCTACTTTGAAGGCCTCGGCTTCGCCCCGCGTCCACGACAAACCACCCCGGATTACGTTACGGGCTGCACGGACGAGTTCGAACGCCAGTACGCCCCGGGCTACTCCGAGGAGAACGCGCCGCACGACCCCGAGTCCCTCGCCGAGGCCTTCAAGGGCTCTCAGCTGTCGAAGGACCTGTCCAAGGAGATGGCGGATTACAAGGAGAGCCTCAAGGAGGCCCAGCAGCAGCACGATGACTTCAAGATTGCGGTCAAGGAGAGCAAGCGCGCTGGTGCCAAGGGCTCCGTGTACGCGGTTGGTTTCCACCTGCAAGTCTGGGCTTTGATGAAGCGACAGTTCGTCCTGAAGATGCAGGACCGGCTGGCGCTTATCCTCGGATGGCTGAGGAGTATCATCATTGCCATCGTCCTCGGAACCCTGTACCTGAACCTCGGCCAGACGTCAGCCAGTGCCTTCAGCAAGGGTGGTCTCATGTTCGTCTCTCTCCTGTTCAACGCTTTCCAGGCCTTCTCTGAACTCGGCGGTGTCATGACGGGCCGAGCCATCGTCAACAAGCACAAGGCCTATGCCTTCCATCGGCCCTCAGCCCTGTGGATTGCACAAATCATCGTCGACCAAGCTTTTGCCGCCTCGCAGATCTTCATCTTCTCGGTCATCGTCTACTTCATGACAAATCTGCACCGAAGCGCCGGCGCCTTCTTCATCTTCTATCTCATGATCCTGGTGGGCAACATTGCCATGACGTTGTTCTTCCGTATCCTCGGCTGTATTAGTCCCGACTTCGACTACGCCATCAAGTTTGCCGTCGTGATCATCACTTTCTTCGTGACAACTTCAGGTTATCTGATTCAGTACCAGGCTGAGAAGGTCTGGCTCCGATGGATCTACTGGGTCAACGCGCTGGGCCTGGCCTTTAGTGCCATGATGGAGAATGAGTTCAGCCGGATCGACATGACATGCTCGGGCCCGCAGCTTATCCCATCTGGCCCAGGCTACGGAAACATCAGCCACCAGGTTTGCACCCTGCCCGGGTCCCGGCCAGGCACTGACCGGGTCTCTGGAGACGACTACATCATTGAGGGTTTCTCGTACCACCCAGAGGACCTGTGGAGGAACTTTGGCATCATCATCGCCCTGATTGTCGCTTTCCTCTTCTTCAACGTCCTGTTGGGTGAGCTGGTTAGGTTCGGAATGGGCGGCAACACCTTCAGGATCTTCCAGAAGCCCAACGCCGAGCGCAAGGCCCTCAACGAGGCCCTGACCAAGAAGCTTGAAGACCGCCAGAAGAACAAGGCCGGGCTCGATGCGGGTGGCAACGACATGAAGATTGATTCCAAGAGCGTGCTTACCTGGGAGAACCTCGTCTACGACGTCCCCGTTGCCGGTGGCACCCGCCGGCTTCTCAACAACGTTTTCGGCTACGTCAAGCCAGGCGAGCTGACCGCACTTATGGGAGCTTCCGGTGCCGGAAAGACGACCCTGCTGGATGTGCTCGCTGGGCGCAAGAACATTGGTGTCATCGGCGGCGATATCCTGGTCGACGGGGTCAAGCCCGGTAAGGAATTCCAGCGGTCGACCAGTTACGCAGAGCAACTCGACATGCACGACCCGTCCCAGACCGTCCGAGAGGCACTCCGCTTCTCAGCCGACCTGCGGCAGCCTATGGAGGTGCCTCAGGAGGAGAAGTACACGTACGTCGAGGAGGTCATCGCCCTGCTGGAAATGGAGAACATCGCAGACGCCATCATCGGCTCCCCCGAGGCCGGCCTGACGGTCGAGCAGCGCAAGCGTGTCACGATCGGCGTCGAGCTGGCAGCCAAGCCCCAGCTGTTGCTCTTCCTCGACGAGCCCACCTCGGGTCTCGACAGCCAGAGCGCGTACAACATCGTCCGTTTCCTCCAGAAGCTCGCCCGCGCCGGCCAGGCCATCCTCTGCACCATCCACCAGCCCAACGCCGCCCTGTTCGAGAACTTTGACCGCCTGCTCCTCCTCAAGTCCGGTGGTCGCTGCGTGTACTTTGGAGACATTGGCAAGGACGCCCACGTCCTCCGCGACTACCTGGCGCGCCACGGAGCCGTGGCCGGAGAGACCGACAACGTGGCCGAGTTCATGCTGGAGGCGGTGGGAGCCGGTTCTGCCCCCCGGATAGGCGACCGCGACTGGGCCGACGTCTGGGAGGACAGCAGCGAGCTGGCCAACATCAAGGACCACATCTCGCAGCTCAAGGAGGCGCGCAAGTCGGCGGGCGAGCAGTCGGACGCGTCGCTGCAGCGCGAGTACGCCTCGTCGGTGTCGCACCAGCTCAAGGTCGTCATCAAGCGCACGGCCATGTCGTACTGGCGGTCGCCCAACTACCTGTTCACGCGTCTCTTCAACCACGTCATCATCGGCCTGCTGACGGGGCTGACGTTCCTCAACCTCGACTCGTCGCGCTCCTCGCTGCAGAACAAGGTCTTCGTCATGTTCCAGGTGACGGTGCTGCCTGCCCTCATCATGTCGCAGGTCGAGGGCATGTACCACTTCCAGCGGGCCATCTTCTTCCGCGAGCAGTCGTCCAAGATGTACTCGTCCTTCACCTTCACCTCGTCCATCGTGCTGGCCGAGATGCCGTACTCGATCCTCTGCGCCGTCGCCTTCTTCCTGCCCCTGTACTACATGCCGGGCATGCCGACCGACTCGTCGCGCGCGGGCTACCAGTTCTTCATGGTCCTCATCACGGAGCTCTTCGCCGTCACCCTGGGCCAGGGCCTCGCGGCCCTGACGCCCTCCATGTTCATCTCGTCGCAGTTCGACCCCTTCATCGTCATCACCTTCGCCCTCTTCTGCGGCGTCACCATCCCCAAGCCCCAGATGCCCGGCTTCTGGCGCGCCTGGCTGTACGAGCTCGACCCCTTCACCCGCCTCATCAGCGGCATGGTGACGAGCGCGCTGCACGAGCTCCCCGTCACCTGCACCGACGCCGAGCTGAACCGCTTCACCGCGCCCGACGGCCAGACCTGCGGGCAGTACATGGAGCCGTACTTTGCGGCCGGCGGGCCCGGCTACATCGTCGGCAACGACACCAGCGACTGCGGCTACTGCGCCTTCAAGGTTGGCGACCAGTTCTACGAGGCGCTGGGAATGTCCTTCGACACCCGCTGGAGGGAGCTCGGCATTTATATCGCGTTTGTCGCATCCAACCTGATCATCCTATTTCTGGCGGTATGTTGTTACACCCCGAACTCCCCGGGCCCGAAGGGGGGTCCCCCAAGACACCCCCCGGAAGACCCGGTATCTATGAGTGGAGAACATCTGATTGGCTGACAATTTTTCCTTTAGGGTCGTTTCCTCAACTACAACAAGCGTTAATCGCACACCCCTCCCCTGGGACCCCCCCTTTTACGCGGGTCCCTTTCATCATCCTCATCATCATCACCTGTTTTCTTCCTCTCTTTCTTCGACTAGGGCCGGATGGCTCGGGGTCGGATGGCTCGGTGTCGTGTCTCCTCCCAGGACGATCGATACCTATTGTGGTTGGTACTTAGATATATGCTAATTTTGTTGTTGGTGTTGGTAACTATGAGTTGGACACTTGCACGGACTACGGTTGATGCCCATAGAATTTCTGATTGATTGATGCATCATGCGGTCCACGTCTGCATAGCAAAGCAAAGAGTCTTTTGCATGATCATGAGCAGGCAGGCATGAAGGGAAAGAAGGACGCACAGGAGGAAAAGATAGCCGTCCATGTGTATGTGGGAAAATAGAGAAAGATGTGTAACTATTCGCCTACGTAGGCAGTCAGAATGATCACATGTTAATTCGTACTTTGATATCATTCTCATTCGGGCCACCACCATGACCCAAATTAGAATCGCAGGTAGTGTAGTTCAAGCAGACAGATGGATCACTAAGTATCGACAACGAGAAGGCATCATGGCACAAGACCATCGTCATCCCGCCCCCCTCGAGATCTCACCTTAACAAAGACCGGCAGGCCGCCGTCCATGGGCAGCGTGAGGCTGCTCTTACTCTTCCTCTCGCGGCCCTCGTACGCAGGCACGAACTCAAACGTCCACGCCACGGTGGCGATGACCTGCACCGCGATGAGCTCCGCCATCCTCTTGCCCAGGCACAGGCGCGCCCCGCCGTTGAACACGGGGAACTCGCTCGCGCTCCTCTGCATCACCGCTGCTGCCTTGTCGCCGCCGCCGCCAGCCACCAGCCACCTCTCGGGCCTGAACTCGTCCGCGTCCTCGCCCCAGGTCAGCCGCGAGCGGTTCATGGCCCAGGGGCACCAGACCACGACCGCTCCCGCGGGCAGGAAGGTCCCGTCGGGCAGGGTCGTGGGGGACATGGCCTGCTTGATCTCGAAGGGGATGGGCGGGTACAGGCGCAGGGACTCGTTGAATATGGCGAGGGTGTAGGGCATCGAGGCCGGCGTGAAGAGGGTCGGGTCCACGGGGAGGGTGGGCGTAGTATCCGCCGCAGACGACGACAAGGAGGAGGAGGATGACGAGGAGGCGCCGCCACGCTGCGTCTCGAGGGCCTGCTGGACCTCCTGGCGGATCTTGGCCAGGGTGTAGCGGTGGTGCATGAGCAGGTGGAATGTCCACGTCAATGCCTGCGCGGTGGTGTCCCTACCTGGATGGGTTTGGGCGTGTTGGTTAGCATCGGGTTCTTGCTGGAGTCCGTGAGGAGGGTGAGCCAAGATACCTGCGGATAAATAATTAAGAGCAGAATCTGCGACTATCCCACGGTCCCCGATGGCGTCGAGCAACGACTGGATCAGGCTCCCAGAGATCTTGTCGAGCTTCTCGTCGCTGTCTGCGGCGCTGGGACGGCCGGGGGACGTCCCCTTTGCGGCGGCACGTTCACGGTCCCGTATGGCATTGTCTACGATCTGCTTGCCGTACGTCTTTACGATGGAAATCGACTTGCGCAACCTGGCGCCGAAGAAAACCTCGGTGGCGCGCCAGAGCGGGTTCTGCACCCTTTCTGCAGCGGCGCCTGAGGCGTAGTCAAAGGCGAGGGTGAAGTCATCGTCGGCGTGCATCTCCATCTGCCCGGACATCTAATCAGCCTCTGCCGTGGCACAATTGGACAGTTGGACTGCAAGCAGCATACGTTATAGGCCAGCTTGCCCATCAGCTGGGTGGTGATCTCATGGAACACGGACTGCAGGTCGGCCTCCCGCACGTCGCGAGACCTCGACTTGAGGAACTCGACGCTCTGGGCCAGGTACTGCGGCAGGGCGACATCGGTGAGGACCTGCAGGTTCTTGGTGTTGAGGAAGGCCAGGCCGGCCCTGCGCTGGATCTTCCACAGCTCGCCATCGGAGTTGATGATGCCGTGGCCTGTTGGGGTTGGGTGCACGAGGCGTCAGCGGTTGTTGGAGCATCAGCGGCCGACGGACACGGAGTGAATGTGGGAACGGAGCCGGGGACGGGAAGGACCCCTTCCCTTAACTCCGGGCCCGAGGCCGGGGTTCCAGAGCCCCAAGATGCCGGGCCCGTGAGCCAAGCAAGTGATAGACTAACCGAAAAGGTCCCACAGGGGCTTCTTGACAAAATCGCCCTTTGAGAAAATGGCTTCGTTCTTGAAGACATGGTCTAGATTGACAGGGTCGTTGATGACCACGCCCGGGGGCAGGCTGGGGACATACAACTCAAAGGTCTCGTGGCCAAAGATGCGCTCGCACTTTGCGAACCACGAGAAGAGCTTCTGGCGGGCCTGCAGAAACAAGATGCCGTTGCCGACAAGGGGCAACGTGTTGGGAGGTGTCCTTTGGTTGGGGTTGTCAGCCAGGGCGGACTTTACAGCACAAAAATATTGAAGACTCAAGGAGTGAAGAGAAAAGGACATGGTCAATCAGCCCGTCTTACCTCAGGGGAGCCCCACCTCTCGTGATGCCACTTTTTCTGAGGGCCGACTGCAGGAACAGAGCAACCAGGACGACTCCGACAACCCAGGTTGCAGCCCAGCCGGTTAGGAAAGCCATTGTTGCGATGCAGTAAGCGGAAGGTGTGAGCCCATCTCAGGTTTATAGTGCAGGATGATGTGGCTAAGCTCGAGGAGAGGAGGAGAGGCGAAACGTCATGATGTGTATGTAACACACACAAAGCTGGGCTGTGATGCATGTGCGGGCGTGGAGTGAGGTTGCACACCTGGGCAGGCTGGGCCAGTGAACCACTGATTCTCGTGCGGCGTTTTGGAACGGTGCCGATTGGACGGCCCCTGCGCAGCTGTAACTCTCCTTGCCCAGCACGGCAGACCCCCTGCAACCCTTGAGACATGCAAGCTTGCACAGCAAGCACCCTTGAGAGCTGGTCTAACGGCAGGTGCAAGAGAGACAGTGGTTACGTATCCTGCTTCCTTCCGAGGTTCACAGCAAAATAACCCCAAGGGATATCACTGCCTCAACCGTCCAACAACACGAAACAGAGGCAGTCATAAGTCAATTGCTTGAGACCAAACCGTGAGAGTGCAAGGAAGTGACAAAAGAACCACTCAGCCCAACTAGCCAAGAGTGTAAAACTCACCAACATGGCGCCCCTGGTCCCGCGGATGCATCTCTTTGAGATTGATGACCAGCCATGGTAAGCCAACTCCCGAGAACGTCGTCCACGCCTCAGAGGACCTACCAGCTGACCAATAACCCCCCTAGGTTCCCTCCCTGGTTCCGCGCCAAGGTCCAAGCCGCCCTCACCCAGACCTGGAACTCCCAGATCCCCCTCCTGCAGCCCGTCTCCCCGGCCAGGATGGTCTCGCGCCTGCTGCAGGCCCACCTGGGCGACAGGCTCGCAGACCACGTCTTCGTCGACTTCTGCGCCGGCGGCGGCGGGCCCACCCCCAGCATCGAGAGGTACATCAACCAGGACACCAGCCAGGGGCCAGTCCAGTTCGTCCTGACAGACCTCCACCCTCACATCGAGAACTGGACGCGCGCCTCCCGCCGCTCGCCAAACATCCACTTCTCCCCGTCCCAGATAGACGCCTCGGACGCGCCCCCGGACCTCCTGGCCAACCACCTCAACACCAACAACGCCCTGGGCAGCGGCAAGAAGCAATTCCGCCTCTTCAACCTGGCCTTCCACCACTTCGACGACCCCCTCGCGAGGCGCATCCTGGCCAACACCCTCCAGACGTCCGACGGCTTCGCCATCTTCGAGCTGCAGGACCGCTCCCTGCGCGCCTTCCTGGCCTGCTGCCTCCTCGGCGTCGGCGTCCTGCTGTCCGCGCCCCTCTTCGCCTGGCGCTGGCGCAGCCCCGGCACCCTCTTCTGGTCCTGGGTGGTCCCCGTGCTGCCCTTCGTGCTCGTCTACGACGGCTGGGTCTCGTCCCTGCGCACGAGGACCCCCGACGAGGTCGAGGCGCTGCTGAGGACGTGTGGCGCCGGCGAGGACGAGGTTTCCCAGTGGGAGATGCGCAGTGGGAGGGAGTGCCACCTACCTCCTGTTGCGGATCTGAACTGGATTATATGTACCAAGAAGACCCGGGGTTGAGGCGAGGCGCATTGCTGGTGGTGGTGGGGGGGGGGGTTGTTTTATCAGCGAGTCGTGATGGATGGATGCGTGAGGTGAATTAGTTGCCTCAGGGCCGCGCAGGACGCACAACCATGTTTCGCGCTTTAGGGAAACAATGTGGCCAAGTTCAGTTTGAGACTAATGACACTTCAAGACAACTCACCACTAATCACCTATTCACAAGATGCTTGTATATATGAATTATGGTTGCATATCACTGGACTTATCGAGGTATATCCATTACAACATTTCACAACGTTACACAGCATCATCGCGCATGCGTGCGACTACGTAAGCTGACATATATACACCTCTACTTGGCTGGGATTCCCTCTGTGCGATTCATTTATATAGCGACTATCTTCAGACCTGGTCTCGCCGTATGACTCTATCGCGGCGTTCTAGTCAACGCCGTCAAGACGATACCCCTTAGCCTAATCTATACATCGCAAGGCTAAGGCCACAAGCATCTATCGTATTATAACTATCATTATTAACATTATATTCTTTCTAAGCGCTGGGTCTTGAGTGCTTACCACCGTATAAAGGCGCTATATATATCCTCGAACGTATACGGAATAGCACCGTGTGAAGGCGCCATGTATGTCCTCGGACGTATACGGAATAGAAGCGAAACCACGTACACCTCTACTACGACCAGCCCTACTGCAAGACCACTTCATTCAACTTGTCTCAGGCTGAATGTTATGTGTTAAGCTTCCGCTACATACTATGTTCATAGATCACGAGAGGGTAATGCCTACGTTGAACAGATAGATGAAGAGTTTAGATGAGCCGAACAAGTATCCCAAAATGGATGCGATGAAGTGGACAGCAAACACATCACAGTGGGAATATTAGTGAAAAGTAAATTGTTCCAAAACTCATTTTCATTCTCAGCTGTTTATTTGGGCATCAACCATTGATCCCATTGAGTGCTATCAATCCTCAAAACCATAATGGCATTCTTGTCTGCCGGTGATGCAGCCGCATAGCGCGGAGCGCGTGTGCTCGTTGCTGGGCCTTTGAGTAACTTATCCCATATTTATCCCGGTTGTGGTATCATTGGACCTATCGCTCGGAGCGCGTGTGCTCTTTGCGGGTCTCTGATAGGTGTTCGCTCGGTCTAACAAAAAAAGCCAAAGCCAGATGCGATGGTGGATGCGCGTGCTCGAAACTCATCCCCGCACTGGGAATAGGAAGCATTAAATATGAACAGGTCGAAGTTCAACAAGAGAAGCAATCAAGGCGAGGATGTGCTTTAGACGACGGGTCCGGCATTCTTGACCTCGGGGGTGGCCTCAGACTCGTACTTCTTGAAGTTCTCGTTGAAGAGCTTGCCGAGCTTGGTAACCTCCTCGGTGAAGCTGTCGCCACCAGCAGTCCAGGCCTTGGCCGGGTTGAGCAGCTCAGACGGGACGTTGGGGCAGGTCTTGGGCACCTGAAGGTTGAAGATGTCGTAGTTCTCGTACTCAACCTTGGCAAGCTCACCAGAGTGGATGGCGTCCAGGATGGCACGGGTGTACTTCAGGGGGCAACGCTTGCCACCCTGGAGGGCACCGGCACCAACCCAGCCGGTGTTGAGAAGCCAGGCGTTGGCATTGTGGCTCTCAATCTTGTCCGCAAGCATCTTGGCGTAGCGCATGGGGTGCAGGGCCAGGAAGGGCTGGGCAAAGCAAGACGAGAAGGTGGCCTGGGGCTCGGTGACACCATCCTCAGTACCAGCCATCTTGGAAGTGTAACCAGAGATGAAGTGGAACATGATCTGGTCCCTGTTCAGCTTGGAGATCGGTGGCAGCACGCCGCGGGCGTCACAGGTGAGCAGAATGATGTTGCTGGGGTGGCTGGGCGACAGGCAAGGGATCTTGGCGTTCTCGATGTACTCGATAGGGTAGGCGCATCGAGTGTTCTCCGTCAGAGTCGAGTCATCGTAGTCAACCAGTCTGGTCTCTGGGTCAAAGACGACGTTCTCGAGAACGGAGCCGAACTTGATGGCACCGAAGATATCTGGCTCCTTCTCGGCCGACAGGCCAATGCACTTGGCGTAGCAGCCACCCTCAATGTTGAAGACACCGTGGTCGCTCCAGCAGTGCTCGTCGTCACCAATCAGGGCGCGGTTGGGGTCGGCAGAGAGTGTTGTCTTGCCGGTACCAGACAGGCCGAAGAAGAGGGTAACGTCGCCGTCCTTGCCCTCGTTGGCGGATGAGTGCAGGGTCAGGACGTTGTGCTTGATGGGCATCTCGTAGAAGAGAACAGTGAAGATACCCTTCTTCATCTCACCGGCGTACTCGGTGCCGAGAATGACCATCTCCTTCTCGGCGAAGTTGATGGCGACGGAGGTTCCCGAGGTCATGCCCTCAGTGTATCGGTTTGCTGGGAAGGATCCGGCATTGTAGATTGTGTAGTCGGGGTGGAAGTTCTCAAGCTCCTCACGCGAAGGACGGATGAGCATGTTGCGCATGAAGAGAGCGTGGTAGGCACGGGCACAAACGACCCGCACCTTGATCCTGTACTTCTCATCCCATCCTGCGAAACCATCTACCACGTAAATGCGAGACCTGGTGTTGAGGTAGTCGACAGCACGCTCGCGGTTGATCTTCCAGACCTATTGGGTTGTATCACGTGTTAGCCTCGATTGTGTTTCCATATTCCCGGTTATCCGGGTATGAGAGCGGGAAATGCAGGAGGCGCCATGCAGGAGTGGAGCCGGGTCTCGGCTGTGGAATAGCGGGGTGCATGAACTGGGCCGAGGGGTTGCACCGATGATCTCAGTGAGGAGGGGCGTGTGGGGTACGAGCCGCAATTCCAAGGTCGCATCCAGCAACATTTGCCTTCAGCAACCAGAATTGGAGCGATTCAAGGGAGGAAAGAGGATACGCCGGGTGGAGTCTGTGATCGCCAAATGACGTCGAATGTATTTGTGAACCAATGGAGGGCCAATTCTGCTGGTTTTGCGCAGCAGCCATAATTTGCACGAGACTCGTGACCGGCGCAGCCATTTGTCATGAGCAGCAGCTCGGTCGTGTGACCAAGTAGCAAAACAACCAGAGCGATGGATTTGGTGCCAAAACAAAGGAAGACAGGGGAGAACTGTCTGCAAAAGTCCGCAAGAGGAAAAACGTACGTCTGTGCCCATGGGCTTGTTCACTGGGCCCCACCAAATGTCCTTTTCTGAGCCGGGCTCCTGGACAATTCGCTTGTCCAGAGGAGAACGGCCGGTCTTCTTGCCAGAGTAGGCAGTCAGGGCGCCGGAAGATGAAATGGCAGAACCAGGCTCGTAAACGAGAGCATCTTCGTAAAGAGCAGCAACTGAAGGGTTGGGAATCTGTGACGCTGGTTAGCGTCTGGCTCAGGCTAATTCTGAGCCCGGGGATTTTCCCAACATACAATTGCAACACGGTCGTAGTCAATGTGTGCCTTCTCGTGCAATTCTTCCTCTGTTCCACTGTTAGCCAGTCTGTCCGCGGTCTGCAGGCCTGTCGCTGCTCGAGCAAAACAGCGAGATTTCTGGAGTCGTACCAAGCTCGGTGTGTTCGCGGTGCGGCCTGGAAGAATGCTGGGTTAGCTCGACTGTTCGATTTGAAGCACAAGGCCGCAGGATTTGAGACTTACTGCACACCACTCGGGTGGAGGCCGGTTTTGTTGACGGTGTTGACAAGCACTACAGACAGATGTCAGCACCATTCAGGCATAGGAGGGCCAATATAAGGCAATATTGTGCGTAAAACGTACTTTTGCGAAGATCTGACTGAGTACCGGAGGAGAGAATCTGAGCTCGAGGGCCTTGGACTTTGGGGTCGGTATAAGGAGAAGCGGTTCGAGCAACAGGATCGCGGGAGGGAGCCATGGTACTTGTATGAAATGGGCAGAGGGGTGACTTGGAGTAGGGGATGCCGGGCTCTGAGAGTGACAGGGTTGTGTGTAAGTTCAGACGCTTGTGAAAGTGACGAGTCCACAATGGGAGTGGGAGTGGGTACGGGGACGGTATGGATCCAGGCTTGGAAGAATCGAGCACGGGTGCGGGTCGAGACTGGGGCCGAGTTATTCCAGCTGAGGGTCCACGATGGGATAGCGCGTGAAGCCGAGGATATATAGGATTTGGCCCAGTGGAGCCTTTGAAGCTTGACGACAGCATTCGACTGGCCAGAGAAGAGCTGAGGGTGGTGATTGTGGTTGTTTGGGTTGCCGTCTGACGAAAACCAGCCGGAGCAGACAATCAGCCACCCCTGCAAGCTTCGGGAGGGGCGTGACGGACTTGCGTCGTCATGTCTAGCCGCCCCGGGCGTTGGTTACGGGCCAGGGGCGGACGGCACCAGACAAGGAAGGCAGCAATGGGGTTCTAGACGGACGAGTGTTGGGCGTCGGTTGTCGTGTCGTGTGTGGTGTGCGTGCTGTGCTGAGGTTTGGGGAGAAAACGGTCTGGCCGGGTCGAGGGAATGGGGAAATGGGGAAAACGGGCCTTGCCTAGATACACGGGCAGAGCCTTGACCCTCCGGGACGTCTCTCACAGTGCAACTACATACTCCGTAACAGCCTGAACAGCCTGACTGCTCGTGGTCCCAAAACGGTGATTGCTAATAAACTGCAGATTTGTGCATTTCACGTAACCGTTGGCTGGGCCGACGTTGTTTTCGATCGGGACATCACGATGCAGGCCTGATCGATGGATCGGCAGCAAATCAAATCCAGCAGCTGCCATTGGCGGCCCGCCACTTAACTGCCAGGGGCTGCGAGCCGCACTTGCCTTCTAAATTCAAACATGTAACACCCAGCCAGCACTTATGCACGTAGCACAGCAGATGCAATCGGTCGGGTAGGAACGGCCTTCCTCACACCCAGGTCCCCTTGCTCACTTCTAGAATTAGACCACACTCCCATTTGCCGAAGAGGGTACTCAGTCAGAGTTCAGAGACGGGACGGTCACGGCTACGGTCACTTCTAAACAAAGCCAGTCCAAGAGACAGGCAGACACGACAGGCAGACGGAGGGACCTGAGCCTGTAACGGTGTAACGATAACGGTGCAACGGTGTGACGGCCGCCGTCGGCTGTGCTTGCACAACCTGAACAGGGCTGAGGTGCAGCGGAATGCGATGATGCCAAAAACGGAACTTAGCCGACCTACGCGGGTCCTGTCGGAAGCACTCGAGTAGGCTGGCTGGCTGGTTGGGTGGGATGGGATTCTGAAATTCGAGACTTTGGACGGCCCATTGATTGCACAGAAAATACTTTCCGAGCCTTGCCGTTCCCGGACATAATTCTGGGGTTTGCAATCTAGAGAACGACAAGCCGCTCTCCAGATGTCCCACGAGCAGAGGACCCGCCAGGCGGCTAGCCCCTTGCCCTGGTTCTACCCCGGAAATCTCCAAGGCCAAGGCTAAGCCTTTGCTCCCCCCAGCTCCCCCACAGGGCAGTCCAGATTTTCGGACACACCCACAACTGGCTGGCTGACTGACTCCGTCTCGTCCCCCCCGTCACACTCCCCCACGACGACCTCTCTGTATTTCGTCGTGCTTTCTTTTCTGGTTTTCCACCATATCATGGCCCGATTTCGATGCGAAAAGTTGGACGCTGCTTGGCCCTGTCACAGGCAACATGCTCGTGCGGCCAGAACCTCGCCAACGATAATGGATCGGGACCAAACACGAGCAGATGTCGGGTGCTCCGCCCCACTGCATTGTCACTTACACATGCTAACCCCGCAGTGACCAGGGGGGTGACGGCGGCCCCACCCCACCATCCATCCCAAGACAGCCGCATCCCGAGGAATTATCGTCGCTCCCCCAAATGAGAAAGGGGCCCCTTTAGGCCCCTACCGTATCTGGACGGGCGCACTATGGCAATGAGTGCCGTAATAGATCTTGACTTTTACGAGATGGGAACGGCATGTGAGCACGGCTGCACAGCCTGCACGGTTTCACGGCTTGGGGTCGCCCTCTCCCACCACGTCCACGACGGCTGGCTGTGATCCAGAAGTGCTCGCATGGAGGCTCGTGACTGACGACTAGGTACCTAGGTATCCAGGTACTCCGTACCCTGCGGACAACGGACAGCTGAGTACCTGGGTAGACAAGTTGCTGGGGAAGCTGGGTGTAAGTAGAGCACGAGACACAGTCGTCTGGGCCACGCGAACCACCGCCAAGCTGCCCAGAGCTGAGCCAGAGAACCGGGACGCAATCCTGCAAGCTGCAATGGCGACATGGCCACTCATGTCGCCCTGACCCAGTCCCAGCTTGTCACGGCTGCATTGCCAAGTTTCGTCTCGTCTTGAAGTCGCGGCCGCTGTTCTCATCCACGCAAGCCAGGCTAGCCAGGCAGGCCAGGTCATCCACCTCCCACCCGAGATATTCCCTATCTGACATCACGATCACAGTTCTTGACAAACTGCCCCATATGTCGATCATCTCTCCCCGACTCTAGGCGTCCAGGCCTCTGCCCCCTGCTCGCCCTCTTCACTCCGCTCACCCGGTGCACGGCACCCCGGCAGAACGAATCGGCTCCCTTCTGTAGCATTATCACTGAAACACACCTCGCGCCCGACTTCAGCCGATATCATATCTAACACCACGCACCATCCCGAACCTACAACGACTTCAGAAGGTCGTAACATTCGCGCCATCCTGAGGAAACTTTCCTACCTGCAGAACATGTACCTGCATCACGGCGCGGCAACGATAAAGTTCGCTTTCGACTCGCCAGGTTTCGACTCTGGCCGAGCGTGTGCAGGCCGCCCGGGGAGAATAAGTGGCACCCGGAAGTTAAACGTCTATGCCGCCTATGCGGCCCTATGCGGCGAGAAGGCCCGATACGTCGTGTCGTTCGGCTGATGGGCATGAATTGCCGTCGTCAAGCAATTTCCACACTTGTCTGCGGGCTTTCTTCTCTTTCCGTTGACTCTGGATAAAACCCTAGGCCATCGAATGAGCGGGCCATTCTCGCCACCCTCAGTCGCGTCCCGAGGGCCCATCAACCAGGACGGGACGATCCGTTCCGTAAAGTTCCCAGTAAGTAAGGGTTGCCTCGCCGGGTCGGCGCGAGTTCTCGTTGATGGGATCATCTGTCGACTTCGGGGCGTTCCCTTCCGGCCCAGGGCCGGCTTTTCCTTCGTCCCAAGCCCGTCAGGGCGCCGGCTTGGCTCCGGCGCGACATTGGTCCCGCCCGGTGCTGCAGTCGCCCGCGTGTACCTTGCACCCAACGGCGCTGCCGATTGGGCCTTGCGGAGGAAAGCGTCCATAAGCTTCCATATTGCGACTGTGATTCGGGCCTACCTTGATTCATGTAGTTTCGAATGCCACGTCTCTGTAGGCTAGTTGGCTAGTTGCTGCTGATACGAATCGGAATCAAGGGATCGTACAGATGTCTGTATTATGATACTACAGCTGATACTGGTGAGTAGTATACTACTACTTGGGTGAGCAGAGAAGCCTGACACGAGGTGCGGCAAAGGAAAAGTCACAGCGGCAAAGATTGTGATTCGTTCACACTTTGATCTCATTGAATGTTGGCTATCCAGACATCCATCGCTAGCTACCTACCTAGGTAGGTACCCACTACATGCTATCCCGACATATGGCACTTGCTTCCTGGACATCCTTAATCTAAGATTCTCTTTCACCTTGCTAATTCCCACTCCTTCGGCCTCTTCTGGCGCTGGTTCTGGGACGTCCTGCCATCATATGGGCCCTGTCTCTTCCCTTGGCTGGACTGCTGGGGCCTCGGTGACAAGGGTGGATACGGATGATGCTTGGCCTTGCCCTTGAAGAAGGGACAAAAGACGTGTTCGCCGTTGTGGACGAGTCCACAGTCTGGGCAGATCTGTGTTGGGCCGCTCATGTTCGCATGTGATCGTTATTTTGTGTGTCTTTGACCAAGGAGTTGTGGATGTTCTAAACTGGACAAGGCTGATGTGATGAACCACAGGAGGCCGTCGACTCTGTTCGGGACAGAAGCGGCCACAATATATATAATGGGGTATTTGCTGTCACTGGACCTGGACGACGTCCCACTTTCTGGGACAAACACGCTCGTGTCGCGGTCGAAAACAAACTGTATTACCGACACCAGCGGCGTCTGTATGCCAGCAATGAACATTTGGGGATTCAGTGTGACTGAAATAAAAGGCGTGTCACTGGGTCTGGCCAACGGATTCTTTTTTCAGTCAGATAAGTATTGTCACCATCACTAGCAAGTAACACATGGGCGAGCTCTCCCGTCAAAATCAGCCTCGTAATTTCCGCGGGAGGCCCGCGAGTACGACAACAACTTGAACACAGGGCGGTGTAAGAAAGGAGGATACCGTTGACGTGTCTTTGTGCAAAAATCCAGACTACGTCTGCTTCGACCAAAAGACAGCAGCTCAGAAAGGATTTGGGCAGGAGACTTACAAGGGGAATTTCGCTTTTTGAGTCCACCCTCTCAGACCTTTGTATATTTACTATAGATGAGTGTTCCCGAGAGGGGCTTATGGATGAAGGACAGGAAAGTCCTCTGAGAGCCTCGTACTCATTTCCCAGTACACGTAGCTGTCCAGGCAACTGTTTTCGTAAGGCTTTGAATAAGGTGCTTTGGACGTATACAAAAGACTCCCAAGAAAAGAAACCGACAGCATCGCTCAACCTCCAATGCCTAGGTACCCTCCCCATTCAAAACTCATACACCATCCAAATAGTCTCACCCTCCTCGTAGCAATCCTCATAAACCTTGAAACCAGCCTTCTCGTAGAAAGGGACAACCTTCTTGTTCTCCCACCCAACACCAATATGCACCCCCTCCCCACAATCCAACCCGCCCTCCCGGACAGCAGCAGCACTGGCAGCACACGCGTCCTTCACGCTCGCCACAAACTCCCCGATCATCTTGCGCCCCCACCCCTTGCCCTGCCACCCCTCCAACAGGTCGATATGCATCGTAGCCCGGAACCGCCCCACAAGCGCGCCCCTGGCCCCGGATCCGTCCCCGCCGCCGTCCCCGAAAAGCAGAAACCGCGGGCTATGCGCCAGCTGCGCGAGGCACTCCTCGTTGATGACGGCCGGCCCCGGACCCTCCAGCCCGTCCTCACGCACCACATCCCCAGCCGCCGTACCGCCGGTGACAAGCCACGGGGCCAGGCGGTCGAGCTGCCGGGGCGCGGGGACCGCCGCGGCGGGCCCACCACCACCACCACCACCACCACCACCGTGGCCGTCCAAGGCTGCGGGCTGGAGCAGCACCTCGTCCACGTACCGCCCGTACCCCCTCGCAAACACAAACACGTCCGGGCACCCGATCACGTACCCCACCGCGGCGCCGGCCCCGTCGTCGAGCACGAGGCACGTACCCGGCGAGAGCAGCGTGTACTGGTGTGTCCAGACGTACGGCGCGAGGCGGACGGCGGCCTCGGAGTCGGCCAGGCTCGGGGGAAGGGTTGCTCGGCACTGTTTTTTTTTGGGGGTTGTTGGTTATTCAGCCCGTGGTGGTTGGGTGTGGGTGTGGGTGTGTGGAGGGAAGGGGAGGGGAATGGGAGGACGGGATTGGCAGAGGGGCGCAAGTTGCATGAGGTTGGGTAAGTGCACATGTGGAAAGAGTGGGTGGTGGCTACTCACGATGTGCGCGGTTGCGGCAAAGTCTGAAGGCTTATAGGGGCGTATGAAAGCCGCTGCGGCCATTATGGAGAGCACTGTGGGGATGGGGTGAGGGTCGATTCTTGTTTTCGCTAGATACCCGTGGGTTCGCTGTCGCTCCAAGGAACCCACTACTGGCGCAATGGGTGCCAAAACCCCCGCACAGCCAAAACCCCCACACACTTAAAAAGAATAAAACACTATACTTAAATTAGTCTAACTTACTTAAATAAAAATAATATAATATAAAAAAAATAGTTTTATAAACCTTATTTTTTAAGGAATTTCAATAAAATAGGTATAAAATTTTAAGGTTAGGGTTTAACTAGATTTTATTACTTTTTTATATTTATATTATTATAAATATTAACTTTAATTAATTTTATATAAATATAAAAAATATATTATTATAATCCTTATAAAATAAGGAATATTTATAAAATAAGAAATAAACTTTAAGGTTAGGTTTTATAATTTATATAAAGTATATAAAGTAAAGAAAATAAATAAAGTAAATAAAATAATAATTTTATTTATTAATTTTATTTATTAATTTTATTTATTAATTCTATTTATTAATTTTATTTATTAATGTTATTTAATAATATATTTAATAATTTTATTTAATAATTTAAATATTAATATTTTATTTTATTATTTTATTTTAAAATTAAAGTTAATTATAAATTAATAAATTTATTTATTAAATAAACTATTTATTTATTATATATTAAAATTAAAAGTATTTATTAAATAAATATAATAAAACTTTATTTTATAAATTATTTTATAAATTTAATTATATATATATAATATACTTATATATATAATATATTTATATATATATAATATATTTATATATATAATATTATTTTATATTTATATTAATTATTTTATATTTATTTTTATTAATTAAAATTATAAAATATAATAAATTAATTTTAAAATTAAATTAATTAATAAATATATTTAAAATTAATATATTTATTTATTAAAGTTATATTATAAATTATATAATAAAATTAAGTTTAAAGAAAGTTTATTTTTAAATTACTTTAATTTTTAAAACTATTTATTTTAATTTAATATTAAATAATAAATAAAAGAAATATATAAAAATAATATAATATAGTCTTTTAAAATTTACTATAAAACTTTAACTTTAATTTTTTAATTATTTTATAAATACTTATTATATTATAAAATTATAATAAAATATTTTTATATTAATATAAAATTATTTATTTTAATTTAATATTAAATAATAAATTAAAATAATATATAAAAATAATATAATATATTTATTTTAAAAGTTTATTATAAAATTATAATTTTAAATTTTCTTTATTATTTTATAAATATTCTTTATCTTATAAAGATTATAATAATATATTTTTATATTTATATAAAATTAATTAAAGTTAATATTTATAATAATATAAATATAAAAAAGTAATAAAATCTAGTTAAACCCTAACCCTAAAATTTTATATCTATTTTATTTAAATTCTTTAAAAAATAAGGTTTATAAAACTATTTTTTTTATATTATATTATTTTTATTTAAGTAAGTTAGACTAATTTAAATATAGTGTTTTATTCTTCTTAAGTGTGTAGGGGTTTTAGCCGTACGGGGGTTTTGGCACCCCCTACGCCGGGAGGCGTAGGGGGCAACCGAAGGTCTGACCCCCGGGTACCCTTTGCGCATCTAAACTTTGGTTGAGCTTGAGGCCAGAAGCTAGGCGCCGAGTGTGATTCGGAGCGACTGCCCGTATTGCATGGGCTAATTCCCATCGGCATAATGGTCAGCGAGACCGATCAGCGGTTAACCAATCCAATTTCACAAGTCCGACATCAGCAAAGAATCAGACTATCTTTATTCTCACAGCCTACATGTTGACTGCAAGGCAATGATCGATCAACATTGGAATCTGAGCAAGATTGGACACCCCCAGCGACCTTGATTTGCACAAATTCCCTGGATTCATGTGCCGAGCAACTAACTACTAACTAAGTATTATCTCCATCTTCGCCTTGACCAAGCCCATGGCCCGACGGGCTCTTGGCCGCTTGTCCGAAGCAATGAGGATAAAAGAACACGGTGCCCTCAATATGCAGTTCCTCGCGTCTCTCGCCTCACCTGTAAGGCTGTGATGTGACACTCACTGCCTTCAGCTGACGAGATGGTCTGGAACCGGTCAGATACAAATATCATCGTCGCTCCTCGCGTGTGTCCGACTGAGTGCTTCTCGAAACCCATACCAACCGGTCCATTACAACACACCAAGTGTCCGTGAATGAAAGTAAGGAAACGGAATATCAAGGCTAAGATGTGCCATAACGCAGTATACAAATAGGTATCTCAGCCCCGAAGGCCCCCCTTTATGTAAAGCAAAGATCGACGCCAACCCATGCCATGCCGAAGATATCGGTGATTTTTTTTTTTCCATTTGTGAATCACGAGTGGCGACCCTGGCTCACTCGATTTGTCTCGCTCGCGCTCGTAAGCATTTCTTCTGCTTTTTTCTTCTGTTATTGTATTAGGGAACGTAGCTGTGTGGACAGGCTGCAGCTAATCATCTCAGAACATTCCCCCGGGCATGTTTGGTGCCGGTCCCCGCATAGTGGACGTGATCACGGCCCTTCCCGCTGGTGGCCCGATCGCAACCTGAGGTGGGGCGCCGCTGGCGCGAGCGTCCAGCTTAATCTCGGAGCTGGCTTTTCTCAACAACTTCCGAGGCGCTGGCTTCTCATCATCGCTGACCGAGAACGCACTCTTCCTGTCTTCAACAGACGAGTCCGCGAAGGGGGCCACTGGCGGTCTTGCCAGCGGCAAATGAGGCGTGCTCATGCTGTGAGCAGCGTCATCTCCTTCGGTGATATTGCGACCTATCAACCCGTTTATAATAGTCCGTGTCCGAGAGCTCTCGCGCTTGCGTCGGGGGTTGACAGGTGGCAGTGGTGGTGGCGAGCCACCCCCAGCATTGCTGTCTGATCTCGACCTAGACTGGCTTCTAGACCGCGCCTCGGCTTCACGAGCATCTGTAACAGACATGGTTGGAACTCGACTGGTTGACATGATGAATGTTGGTTCAGAGATGTCGCTCTTGTTGATAACTCTCTTCATTGAATCCGTGAGTGTGCTCGTTGTTGTGCTCGGATGTGCAATCGAGGGCCTTCGAGGGGGCGCGTATGTCGGTGTCGCCGGTGCTGATCCATTGGCCTCGTTGGACGTGAACGCGCCACGAGGTTGCTCGAACGGTGCGCCTCGTGGCGACAACGGCGAAGCACCTGCAGACAAGGGCTCATTACCCGTCCGGAGCGGGAGAGCTCTCAGATTAGTTCCAGAGTTTGTCCTGTCAAGGAATGGCCCTGGATTAACAGACTGGGGACCGCCCGCAGCCGCCCTCAGCGGGGGCATGTGAGGCGACCGTCTGATATCAGTACCTGGCAGACCAGGCGAGCGAAGCTTGGGTCTGCCAGTTGTTGCAGCATTGAGCCTCTGGTCTTCGTTCGACACGGTGTTTTGTCTGGACCGCTGCGTCGGTCGGCTCCTCGATCGGCTCTGACCGGCGCTGTCTTCAGAGCCGCTTCGGTCTCTTGCAGTTCTTGACTGTGACCGAGGAGGTGCTTGCGGCGTCCCTACGTTTGAGTCATCACTGACCTTGCGCTGCTGTCCAGACCAAGCCGGCTGAAGCTCCCTACTGGGCGTACGTCTCAGCTCGCGTGTGCCCTTCTCTGATGCAGGTGAGCTTGTTCCTTGTCGGGGTTGTTGAGTCGGATGTCTTGCCAGGGCCTCGAGTTCTTTGCGCTTCTGCAGTTCTCGCCGCGCCTGTCTGAAGGCACGAAGGCCAGGGTGAGCGTTGGCTTCCTCCTTGTGCTCCGCGTCCTCGACTTCTTCATCGGGATGTTCCTTTATCTCGATTGGCGTCCTGCGATCGTGCTCGTCGAATTCCTGTTTGACAGAGCTCGGCGGGGTTGGCAGGGACACGGGGCCTGGTCCGTTGACTTTGTTCGACCTGGATGTGGCATCCCGTCCCCTATCAATTAGTGAGCCCCGACTACCCTTGCCCCGAAGAATTCCCAGTGGGTTGGAGCGGGACGTTGGCGGAGGCAGATCCCTAGCTGGCTCTGATGGCGACTGTGGTGACAAGGACAGAGTGTTGTCAGTCTCAACAAAAGACGTCAGCTTTTCCCTCACGCGGCGTCGTGCATTCGCAAGCTGATTCGCGAATTCGTCTTCCTCGTCTGGTGAGCGTGGTGATCCTGAGAGACTGTCTAGCTTCGTATGATCGGTGGCCTTGGACTGTTCCTCACTGTGCGCTGGGGGATTGGGTAGCACATGGAGGTCGCGCTCGCTTTCCTTGCTGGCAGATGCGATCCAGTCTTGGTCCTCCCACGGGTTTTTCAGTGGAACAGCGACAGACTCCCCGTTGTCCTGGGCTCCGAAAATGGAGGATACATCGCTTTCGGTCCGCAGGTGCTGTCGAACCAAGCCGCCGAGTCCCGAGTTCGGACCCAACGTTGGCGAGTCACCTAATAATACTGGCTTGGATTTGACGTTAAGCAGATCGGTGCTGCTAGTTGGAGGCGATTGCAAGTCGTTGGATAGCTGTGGGATGGAGAGTGGCGTTGGGGCGGCAGAGCTTCGCAGAGCTGGGTGAACTTGATCGGCTGGTCGTTGTACCCTGACATGTGGCGAGTACGATGGTTGATGAACGAGATCATTCAGTATAGGCGACTCGACGGGATCATTTCGGGGTGAGCTCTCTGCCAAACCCTCCTCTTGGGTTGAGAGGGTAATTGGCTTGGAATCCGACTCCGGCTGGCGGTTGGACGCTACTGACTGAGAACGAGAGTAGGTAAATGATGTGCTTGAGTCCTTCCGGGAGCGCTGGGTTGGAGTTTCTCTGCCTTGCTTCAATTGAAGCTGTCTCTCCGCATACCGGGAGTCGTCATATGGCTGGGATGGTCTCTGGAAGACACCCATGGCAGTTGCCTTGCCAACATCCTTGGGTTGGATGGATAGGTTTGTTTGATCACTTGCGCTGTGATCGCTGATTGGGGGGCTAAGTGGCGGTGACGCCAGGAAAGACGTCTTTGTGTCGATGGCGTTGATCGCTTTCGTGTTGAGATCTAGGGTGCCAATCGAGGATCCGGTGGTCGGTGGGCTCATGGACCTCAAGTTTGGGGCACTAGTCTTGGACAGGATGGTCCGACGCTCGCCGAAGCGGTCTGAAAACGAATGCATGGTCGGAGAGGGTGAGTTTTGTGCCAGGTCAGGAGTTCGCCCCCCTGCCGGCCGGCGAGTGAGGGTGTCGACCCTCGACAGGACCGAGTGCTGCTGTTCTTGGAGATCCTGTGTCAGGCCTTGTTCGTAAAGCCTCCTTGTCCGAGTGACATGTCGCTCCAGAGCGGGCGTGGAGGTTGTTGAGGACGCTGCCGTTGTTTGTTGGGAGTGGGTTGTGGTAGGCTGGGAGATTATGGAAGTGGCAGCTGTCGAGTTGCGCCCAACGGAAGGAGTAGAAGAAGTCGTCGATGATGTCTCGCGCTTCTTGTTATAGCCCTGGGGGAGCGGAGATTCTGCCCTCATCGCGAATGAGGAGTCCTCTGCTGGCCTCAACTCGTCACTTTCTGCCTCGCCAAGAGGCTCGTTGTCTTGTTCCTGATCTTTCGTAGCCTGTCTCCACTTCTGGAACGCAGACATGGAAACATCGTTGTCGTACAGGGCTCTGCCACTCATGCCGTCACTCAGATTCCTAGATGACGAAGATCCGACTGCAATCTTGTAAACCTTCTGTCTGCCTCCGAACATGACATTACCCTCTGTGGGTCGTGCCCTACTCAGCACTGAGCCAGACTCCTCAGAGGCGGTGGAGTCAGTCCGCAGGAATGGTGGTGCCTTGATAGATTCAACCTCAGCAATGTCACCGAGGCCTGCTCCGTTGCCAAAGTTGAAATCGTTCATCCTCGAGTGTCGCTTGGGTAGCAAGACACTATCGTCGCTAGCCTTGCCTATCTTGGTGCTTGGATCATCTTGTTCTCGGAGCATCGAAAAGCGAGCAGAGAGCCCTGACATGAGTAGACTCGTGCGGAAATCGTCACTCGAGGGCAGTGCGGTTGCCAGGTCGATCTCCTTCTTTTCCTCCTGCTCATGTGACTTCTTTTTCCGTCCGAAGAGAGAGAAAGAGGACTCGGACTCGAGAGACGGGCGAGCGGATGCCGCGTCATCCTTGGCTCTCTTCTTGGTCTTGAATCGGTTCATCGTGGATGTTGTGGTTTGCTCGGTCAACGGCAGTTGTTGAGAGGTGCTTTGGTGCCTTATGGGCTAACGATGGACAAAAGACTCTCGTCTTCAAGATGTGGCTTCCATCAATGCGAGCTTCGCATCGCAGAGTGGTAGTAAGGAATGCGCCGGTTAGCCTCTCGGGAGCGGTAGTGGGACTGGATTTCAGACGAAGATAAAGTCTAGATATGTAATCCGACGAACTGCGACCGTGCGAAATGGTCAGCTGGAACGACAGAGCATCAGCAAAATAAGCGGATTAATTGAATGTTTTGAAAACAGAAGGGCAGAAAAGGAGCCAGACAAACAGCCGAGCTGAAATTGTAGCTGTCCGTACAGGCTGACCGAGGCCTAGCAGGAGGTGCCCAATTCCGCGCACATCTTGTCATCAGGCACGGGAAGGCCAGCAAGCACCATCCTTCCTGTCACCATAGGATGTATGCGTGGGGCCAAGGCTAAAACGTGGGGATTTGTGCGCTGTGGGTGTTTGCTCACCTTGTGCGTAGCCGGTGTCGGATGCGTTTCAAAAGAGCAGGAGGGAACCTGGTTTGACAGGACGGTGCGCACAGGAGCGATTGGCGTCAGAGTGCGGACCCTTGCAACAACCAGCAGAAGAAATATGGACAGGATGATAATAAGACGGTAGGATCAGTGGCCCTATGTGATCCAGCAGGGCTGAGTCCCGAATGGAAATAGTCTGGTTGTGCTGGTGATTGGTGGAAGAGGTGGCGAGTTTGGCGACGTTCTGCACACGCCTGAGACGCAAGAAGGGGCCGGTGGTCGTCGACGATCCAGGCTGGCGACAAGAAGAGACGTGTTGTCGTGCGGCAGTGAAATGCGCGGCCGTGAAGAATGGAGATTGGTGAGTTCACCAGCTGGAACGCTCACATGCCAGAGAGGCGTCAGGACGGGCTGTCGTTGGTTGGTCTGGCGTGGGGCATGAGAAAGATTGTCTCGGTTGCCGTGCGGTGACAAGATCGGACCCGATACTCTGATTCGGAAGAGGAATTTCGTCTGGAGTCGGTGGTCCGCAAAGATGACTGAGAAACGAGGGTCTGTGACTGGGCCAGTTGAGGAGAATCCCAAGAAAGTCTGTCTGGGGATGTGGTCTTGCGTCTTGGATCTTGGGTCTTGGTCGCGGTCGTGTGGTCGCCTGGAAGGAGGGAGGAGAGAATGGCAGCGGCAAGCAGTAACCTGGACTGACAAGTCGCACGGACGAAAACAAAAGGCTGGGATTCGAAGGCGGACAACGAACACACGGGTGTCACGAAGGCAGCACGAACAAGGACAAAAAGAGGGACGAGGTCAGGGGATTTCCCACTGACCAAAAGGGACTTGGGGACGAAGGGGAACAAGAGACAAAGTACAACAAGACGCGGGCCGGGGGAGATTGACAGAGACTGAGAGATTGACAATCGAAAAATGAGTAGATGCAGGCGCGACCGGACATTGGATTGCCACTTGGGAAGACGTCGACGTGAGTGGCTCGGGGAACGCTGTGGGGCTGGACAGGGGGCTTGTACTTAAGTTGACTTAACTGCGAGGGGAAAGGACCACTTGGGCTGCTTGGGTGTCAGAGCGGCAGGGGGGCAGGGGGCAGGGGGCAGGGGGGTTAAAGCCGTGCAGCCAGCCAGCCAGCCAGCCACGGCAGGAGGCAGGACATTGGTGCTATACTATGTACTCCGTAGTAACAGAGTATCATAGTACCTGCGTGGTGTGGGCGGTAGTGCTCGGGAAGTCCCATGCGACCCAGTGGCATCCACCCTGCAACTCCCCACAGGAGTAGCGCAGGTACGCAAGCACCGGGGGGAGGGTGCGAGGGGCGAGCTTGCAGGGCGCCCGGCAGTGGGATGGATCCTGGCATAGCTTGGTGGGCTTAAACTTTCTGCAGTGCTCCCTCCATACCTACACTACGTTCGACACCTGGACGTACCCACAGGCAACCCACCTAGAGAGCACTGTCAAGACTGTCACTGCCAGACCGGTCAGCCCAGCTCACACATGTTCATTTCATCAACGACCTGCCTCGGCCACTCGCCCATGGCCATATCACGCACACTACTATCATAAACTCTGGATGAAACTTATCGCCTCTGCTAGAGCCACACGCAGCATAACCTTGTTGCCCTGTTTGTTCCAGTACGCTCCTCGGCTCGTGTGGATCTGGCGTTGCATTGGTCCCTGCAAACTCGGGCCCTCCATGTCGCTGCCTCTGCGCCTCTGTGCCTTGCCCTCACCCACCGTCTCATTTCGTCCCAAGGCGGCAGAGCTGAGAGCCTGAGAGCTCTCCAGCTTGCAGCCAGCTCGCATCTGCATCGCCTCCTTCCAGAACAACGCCCATCCCCTACCTGAAACATGGGACGAGAACAGGCTGATGACGTTGGACCAAGCAAGCAGCCGCATCCAACGAACTGTGGAGGACCCTTCAGCTGGACATGCCGACAAGCTGACAAGCCGACTGAACACCCGCGTTCCTGCAGGACAGACTTGCATACACACTCCGGCATATGCAGTAGTGGTGCACTACACTAGGGCAGTCGGGCAGTCGGGCAGTCGAGCAGTCAAGATCCTACCGCCTATCCTTTGCCACCTGCTTGCTGTCCCTGTGTCCCTGCAGAAATCGGGCGTGATCGACAGGATGCTGCCGCTGCGAGATCTGACTCCCAGTCTGCTGCCCCCGACTGCCCCATGAGCTCGGCATGCTCGGCTGCCTTGTCGGATTTGACGGTCGGTCTGTCGGTCTGTAAACATCTGCCTGCTGCATTTCTCTACACGGTAAGCTTCAGACCACTGGCGCCGAGAGCGTCACGGCGCACTGGTTGACTGGGTCCTGACTGTCTTGGCACCGCGCTGGCCCCATCCCCACCGGCGGGACGGTCTCTGCAGCAGTTCTCTTCCTGCTGCTGGACGGCGAACTGCTTCCCAGCACCACAGTCGCCGGACCGTGAGCTGATCCGCCTTGTGCATCGTCTCACAGCTCAGGCGAGTCAAAGCAATCCGGCACCACTTGACCGCAGGTCTTCACCAGAGTGGCAAGCATATTTCAAAGTCGCTGCTTGGGAGATTGTTTGTCTCGGGGGCAACCGTGCCCTGTGCCGCATCGCACTGTCCTTCTGTCCCCCTTGCAGCACTGCGTCCTCGGATCCCTTTTTCAACTTCCTCAAGGCTCTTTATGGCACGGCACCACAGGACGGCTTGTACGGATGCCGGGCGGGCGAGCGCGACGACTCTGCCACCACAACGTGCAAACGCAGGCGCAGGCAAACCGGGTGGGCTTCGATTAGCTCCGCCCAGTCAACGGCGGTGGGCGGTTTCTACAGTCATTGACAAGCGCTCGCTACTCCGTACTTCTGCTTGCCTCAAACAGAATGCAAACCCCTGAGATTCTGCATCTGTGCATCTGCAAGGGGTCGTCCTGGGGTTGGGGTCCCAAGGTCGGGTTGTAGTGGACTGGCCCGCGAGCCAATAATGGGCCTGTGCCTGAGCCCATCATCTTGCCAAACTCAGACAAGCGCTACGCGTGGGCAAACAACACGGGCCAACCGTACGCTTTTGGTACGCGGAGTATCCTTGGGGAGGCCTGTGGCCATACCCTGCACCACACCTTGCACACCACGTCTGCATCTCTTGCACCCCTTTCTCTCTCGTCACCAATGCCAATCAGACCAAGGCTGGCTGTGGCTCAAACAGCCCAGCGAATCGATCTTGTACGCCTTGGCCGATGGAAACTGCGGCTAAAAATTCTGAGAAAATAAAAGATAGGTCAAGCAGTCTAGGCCGTAGCAGTCTAGGCCGTAACAGTCTCGGCGGACCCATCATTTTTCACCTGCAGCGCTCTCCGTTCGACTGATCGGCAGACTCCGACTTTGTACTTGTGCTCATCCACACAGCGCTTTCACAGAGACGAGACCCATGCTATTGCAGCATCTCCTGGCCCTCTATCATGCTCACAACTGACGGGGATAGAGAACCGTGGCGGACTGGCGTCCTATACTCTATATCTACCGTGTGGCCATGGAATGCATCAATGTTCATGAGCAGCCACTGTCGACGATCACCCCAACGGGTTGGACGTTGTTTGCTGCCGGAGGGCTGGGAGCCGTCACGGCTCGAACAAGCGAGGCACACCGGGCTGGGGATCCCCGTACGCCAGTGAACCACTGTCCAGTCCAAGTGGGTGCTGACAAGGTTCATAGGACAAGCTGGCTAGATATCAGACGAAATATAGCCTGCAAAATGTCTAATTCCGACCAGCGTTTGCTTGTGTCAGGCTGGACGATCCGGCACGTGCAACCCATCCAAGGCGCGCTCATACACAGTGCTCGGGTTCGAAAACAGTAATAAAGCAGTATCTAATCAGCCATTGCTACGTTCTGATTGTGATTCGGCCCCGGTGGAGGCTTCAACTCATTTTGCTCCGAGTCAACACGTGGAAATGTCCCGATGAAGGATTCGGGAAACGCTTGGGCCACGGTCAATCAGGTTTGATTTGATTATCGTCAAGCTCTGAAAGATTTGCTTATTGTGATTACAGGAGTACACAAACCGCTTGTGATCATGCTACCAAACATGCGCACATTTTCCCTGTTAGTGTCCATCCCCAGACCACTCCGCTGTCGCCACCCGTGTGACGGATGGTCTAGGCTTGCCTGCGACAAGCACACTGGAGCAGCTTGAATTGTGAATCCCATGAAATCGCGGGATTCTCCCTGATGTCAGACGGATAAATTCGATCGACCCACAAGTCAATTGATTGGGCCCCCTCGGTGACAGGATACAACCCTGTCCAGGACCCGCCGTGGCATTAATTCGACATACTATGACAGGTTGCGACAAAAATCTCGCTTGAGACAGGCCGAATGAAGCAATTTCCGCGTGCTCCGCAAAACTTGTGTTCATATTCGATGACGCAGATCACAAGTTCACGGTGACGAGTTCATGATATGAGAACGCGGGGCACCAAGTGATGGATGGCAGCTTGTCCATGTCGTTGCTTGCTGGCTCTCTGTTGGGCGAGGTCCGCGGAGGCACACGCCGGTATTTCGAAGGAACTGCCGGCTAGGAAGGTTTAGCGTCAGCTTCACCAAATTGGCCTGGAAGAATGTGAGTCCCGATTATGCTTCTGACCTGACATGTCCATGATGTGCAATCAGTGTGACAATATATTAAACCGCCTTGGTCTCATCGCACCTCCAACCTTCGGACGAACCACGGCGCGTGCCCACTCTCCGCGCGCCAATAACCTTAATCTGCCCGCCTTCGATTCGCGAACGTAGCGTGCCTAGGGGCGGGTCACTCAAATTTGATGGAGACAGACGCGGTTCAGAGTCTGGGTTGCACGCTGCCCGCGGAGTAGGCGCTACTACCGCCCTAGTCCTCATCCAAACTAACTTATAAATCTCGACGTTATACTTTCCACGGCTTCGGCACATCGAGCTTGTCTCCAGCACGCTGGATTTTAACTACTCGGCCCTACTGCAGGTTCCGGTGGTTTCGAACCACCTGGGCTAGTCTCCGCGCCAAAAATCCAACGTCGACCTCGGCGGGGGCCTAGACTCGCGGGCATCCCACGAGCGGTCCGTCGCACACGGGCAGTGTGCTCGGTTGCCGCCAAGGTCGTGCGACCATGGCGTTCGTTCAGGAGCCCATCCGAGAAAGGCAGCCCGATACGCCGACACACAGATACCCAGCCCTCCCCCCAGCCGCAGCGCCGATGACAAGCGGCGGATCGCCGTTCCCGGGTGCACACGTACGCACACCCGTAGGACGCCCTACTTCGTAGTGTGTGGGTGGCTTGGGTTGCGGCGTGCTGGCATGCGGCCACGAACGCGACTAAGACATACGCGTTCCAGGTTTCCTGCGCGTCTACTTGACGACGCATCTTCTTGCCCTATGTTTCGCGTGCCACCGCTGCGACCGTCCTCGTGTCCTGGCTTAGCTGCTTTGGGTTGTGTTGTTTTGGCAAATGGTTACCCCTCTCTGTTGGAAATGCCTAGACGAGAATCGGAGGGGCTTTTGCAAGCGCGACGCAAAGGGGAGGGTGGACGTCGACCCCAGGTCTTGTCATACACCAGGGAGGCGTCTTTGCCCAGACTGATCAAATGATCACGAGTCCACTGTGGATTGTATCAGAGTTTTCGCTGTGCAGTTATCTTATTATCGTGGGATAGTCCTAGTATCGAATAGATTGAGCGAGTCATACGTAGATGCACAATATGGCTGGATTCAAACCGCGCTATTGTCTTCTGGCGTGCAGGGAGGACAGAGTACTCCCCGCTTGCAATAGCTTCAGGCCTCGTGAGGAAGTGTTGACTATGTCGCGTTCTCGAGATCAATTGCATCTTCTAAATTTGCTGTCTTCCGGAGTCAGCCAGCTGAGACCTTCTGCAAAATATCTGGAGCTCTCCAAGACTGTCGAAACTACTCTGGTCATATGTGGCGCAAGACAAGGCGCTCTTTGATCTGTGACACTGAACTTGTCTGCCAAATACCGAGGCAGATACTTGGGATGATACCGTATAGTAGATGGCAGGTCTATGACAGATGTCTTACCACGCGGTCTTTCGTGCAGCGGTATAATCCCCATACCCTTCGGTGCTCTAAACTGTGAACACTGCCAACCTGATGTCCTCGATCAATATGTATGCGACTGTTAGTCAAATCAAAAGCACAGGCTGTTCACTTTCCGGCCTGTAGAGACCTCGAGGGAGTCTGCATGGTCTAGTGACATGCATCATAGCAGTTCCAGTCAAGGAGGGCGAGATTCATATTCGATTTACACGGATCCCAACTTCAAGTTGAAGCTATTTATGCTATGTTTAGGCTGATCAGAAATACCACAATGTTGCCAATGCCTCGAGTTTATCAGGCAGAGGGTCTTTGAGCATCTACCACTGCATGAAGGGACCGCATGCACCGCCGGAAAGTGTGTGGATTAAGAATGAAACCACTTGTCGGGCGGAGGCTGTTCTCTGACATCGGTTTGTAGCACGGACTGATATTGTACGAATCTAATGTTGGGTCTTCGATCAGGACAGATCATGTTCTCGTCCCCATTCCTGTGATCGTTTACCGACATACAATAAGTCGAAGTATAGTTTCTCACTGTAGTAGGATTGTTCAACTGCCGCCAGGGTAAACAATGATAGCTTGTTACTATACCAGCTTTGCGTAGATTTGGGTGAGCATACAGTATGTGCGAATTTCAATTTGTGAAAGTCTTCGCTTGGCAACCATATTCATTGGAACCCGATGTAAGGAGAAAGATAATCGATTACCTTGAGACTGTTAAATAGTCTTCGCAAAACATTGTGTTATCAAGATATTCGTATTTTGTCTGCTTTTCCGAGAATAGGAGATCAGGGCAGACTTTGACAAAATAGCTTTCCTGACTTTGAATGGACATCAACATTTGAACAGTTTGTGGACTTGGCCATAAGCATTGCAATACGAGCACCTCGGCCACGGCTGGATACGTTTAATGTCGAGGCAGCGACAGCTTGCACAGCTTGCACAAATCTGAAAGATAAACGAGATGGGAAATGCATCAATAGCGCCCAATTTCATCTGCTGCAAGAATATAAAAGAAGCCAAGACATAAGCATAAGTACTTGATGCTGTCACTGCAATTTGTATCTCACATGCTCAAGGCTGTCAACCTCCTCAACTGTGACACCGTAGTTTGCGAGTCAGCATACCACTTTTACGCCCATGGTTGTAACGTTATCACGGCTAGTAGAGCTAAGAATAATGGTAAAAGACGCACATATTACGATATACAAGATATGAAAAATGTCACAGCGCTGATAGGTTACTCGAGGTGGTGAATTCATTGTTGCACAAGCGGTAAAAGGACCTAAGAGCCACAGGCCGTTGGCAAAGCCACGGCGTTTATGTAGAGTGGGCCCGTGTGTACCGTACCAGAAAAGAAGCTGTCGGGGTAGTGCTATCGCAGTCTGTTTCGAGCCACAATTATTGCGCTTGAGATGAGCGGCTGGGTGTTGATCTCGTAGTTGGATGCTCGAAGATGTCCATGCGCTGGTTTGAGACCACTTTTAGACCGCCTAATTCTTCTCCGAGTTTGAATTAGCAAGGCATATTAATTCATTAAGTGTACGATTACAGGTAGCTGTTGGACAAGCTCGACTGTGGCTACACAAACGCGGCAGAAGTAACAAGTTGTCTCCTCACGATTTCGCCTTCGACAGACCTGATCCCGCTACTGAGGACCCTTCACTCAAATCGGTATCTTTCCGCTGTCCAACATCTCCCAGCTCAATATCATGAACATATGGCCCCTTCAGGTGCGCATTCCACGGGTCGATCCTATCCCGTGCTGCCCGGGCCTCTTCGAGCTCGACGTAATTCTCCTCGCGCGTTACCGACACTTCGTATGTAACGAATATTGTGCCCCAGTTGAATTTCATGACGGGCCAGAAGACCGGCAGAGAGGCGCAGACTGTCGCGAGGCTGACCTCCATGGCGGCTAGCACGGTCGCGCCGCAACCGTACCAGCTCGGGTCGTATGTCGGGTACGTGCCTGCTTTCGTATCGACAATGCTGATGAGTCGGAAAATAGAGAGCACGTTGACACTGGTCCGAAGGTATCAGTATCAACATTGTAGCGGAACATCGACAGCCGCGTAGGAACCCCATCTCGCTGACTCACACTGAACCAAGACCAAATAACCCCATCAGGCTAGCTTGAGACTTCCAGTCGAGTTTTGGCTGTAGATAGTACGAGACGGGGATAGCCAACACAATCAAGTCGAGGATCATATTCGTTGACGTCTGCGCGAGGGAGGCGGCCACGATGCTGCTGGGATCCAGGCTCCCGAGCCCGTACCTGATGCCGGACGACTTGTCGTTGAAGTCCCACTGCGCTGAGATCGGGAACGCGGGGAACCACGCGATGAAGGAGAAGGCGAGCCCCCAAAGCGACACAACTCCGATCATGATGAGCGTTGTCTGTCTCAGGATGGCCTTGGTCTCGTCGAATAGCCGGAGGTATTGGAATAGGATGGCGAGCTTGATGAGCGCTGTCGCCGTCGGGTAGCATGCATGCATAACATACGAGTTCTACCGAATTGTCAGGACCTTGATGGGACCGGGATCTTGGGCAACAGGGGATGCTTGGAAATGGTGCAATGCGTACCTTTGTGAAGTTGACCAGTCGAGTCTGGTCAGACGCGAATGTAATGAAATGCGTGCCTAGCCCTCGATCAAAACCTGGGCGAGAACAACTGTCAGCACTCAATGTCCTTAGAGGCAGAGCGTGGATGAGAGATTGACTAAGACGACGCACAAAGTAATACGGACAAAGTCAGCGCGAAGCTCGCTATCTGAATATGGCATTAGCATTAAGTCCCCGTCCGATTTCATATGGGTCCTGATTCATACCATTGATAGGAATACCAGCAAGTCATCCCAGCCCGGACATTTGGAGACTTGAAATCGGACGTATAGCCTTGCCGTCGCGCAAATGTATGATATGATCTATGAATTGGTGAGATTCAAGTTCTTTTCAAAACCGGCTGTTCCGTCGTCAGCGACTTACAAGAAATGATATCAGCAATCCAAAGACAACCGGCCGCTGGTTCAATGCTGGGACCGGCTCGCCAAGGTTGTCGACTTGGCCCAGCAAGTCGAATACTGTGGACGGGTTCGACATATTGAACTTGTCATATCAATTGATGCCGCATTCCAAGTCCTCTGTTGTAAGGACGGCGATCGTTGCGCTGGTGGAGAAGGAGGAAAGCCGTCGAAAATTGATTAATGAGCGTAATCCTCCGCGGAGGGATTCTGAAACACAGAAGAAGCTGCAACGGGCTAAGAGGGGGTTCGGACGGCAGTGTTAGAGGAGAGCGTCATCTCTATATGGGACGCCATCGAGGAGAGAGCCCAGGGGTTCGATTTAGGTTTGCACTGTATTAACCTTAAAAGCCCACCCCTGGGAATGCAACCCCAGGAAACCTTCACCGCTGCCGCAGGGCGTCCCTAAACCAGCAGCACTGCCGCTGAGACGAGATCAGCAAAGTTCGCTGCGAGTTCCAAAGGGCTGTCATTTTCGAGCGCTTGAGACGCCAGATCCCCTCGCCAATGAAACTGGATTCGGAAGGCTTTTGAGATACAATCCGCCCGCTAGGCCAGAATCCCATTGGCTGGCCAAGCATGACAGGAACCGAATTAGTAAAACTTTGAGGACTGAGGCTCAGTCGCATCGTGTATGACCTGCATAGTCATCTCAAGTCGAAGAAATTGGGATGCACGTGTAAGTACGGACATGAACCCAAACTCAAACGTTCAACGAGCCTGGAATTCTGCTCTTTTCGACTAATGCATAGAACTAATGCATAGAAAAGGTGTTCTTGTATCGTGGTCGTGGATCTCATTGGCTCATGCCGACATGCTCATCGCGTGTAAGTGCAACCACCGTTTGGGTCGTTTGGAACCCCGGGTGGTAGGGCACAGTGCTTGAACGCGTGTACCCAGCTGCCGAGTTCCCGTCGTGCTTGGCTACTACATAGTATTCCCACACAAGCATATGCTGCCGTGGCGATGCTGGTCAGGATCCAACTAGCCAGTGGTCTCCTCTGGCTCAACGAATCCGCATTCATAAATATGTGCATCTCATAGATCATTCATTGCCTTGCCTCTTCACTGCTGACCTTATCCTGAATCAGCCGCGTCTATTTCGACTTAGGCGCTTGGCATGGAGGAGCACTTGGCAACCTTGGAATAATAAGCGAGCGGAGCCACGGATGGTTCGGACCGTAGCAGACATACCTAGATACTGTGAACTGCACATCGGGGCGGCCACAGAGGTCGAAACATTGTTTCATGTTTCATGTGCTGCCCAAACAAACGCCACCTCAAAACAGACAAGAGAGCCTCGCCGTTACTTCCGATGGTAATGTGCCATATTGCCGATGTCGCCGCAGAGAAACATAGGTGGCTGTATGTCGCGTCGTGCAGCATCTGAGGTCAATGATCATGAGCGATTGGCCCTATTTGCAAGATTTTCCTTCAGGAGTTGTGTTTCGAAAGCTGGTCTTCACAGACCCTTAGGTGCCATGGACCGTCAGCCACTTTGATGCTATGTGCTATGCGGTGGGGCTGGGTGGGGATCCCGTACGCGAGTGCAGTGATGCGCTCCTATCGACGCTCTTATCGAACAGCTGGGTCGCATCAGCGCAACCACCTCAAACAGCGTAAAGCGCTCCTGGTCGTGTGAAGGTGACTGTCACAGCTGAGTGGTACCAGGGTCCCAGCTTAGTGCTCCGTAATGGCTTTTTTTCTTTCTTTTTCTACAGCAGGATTTGCACGATTGACGAGCTACTCCACCACTGAACTTACTAGGAACGCACGCCCAGCTACCAGGAAACCGCATCACACTTGTTGAGACAACGCCATATACTGATGACTGTGCTAGTAACACCACTCGTTTCATCAAAATCATATATGCTGGAACTTGTGCCACTTACTACTACAGAAAATTTTGGTACCAGATTCCAGTATCATCTGCTATCGACATCTGTTGCCCCATGGCTTTTGACTGGAACGAGAGCATGCCGAAGATATAATCTCAAAGACAAGAAACACCGTCGAACCCAGCGCCTTGACGCGAACGAGTAAGATATGATCTGACTATTACTGCAGCATGTGGGTAGTTGGTGACACCGTTTATGTATCCCGTACAGAGCACCTGACTAGATGTTCGGAGCTCATGCTTGCCATTGGGCAGTAAGGCAGGACAGTATTTATACTTGAATTGGAGCTGAAGCTGAGCCTGCGTATCTCTTCGGATGTATACGGAATAGAATCTTGGAAGCATAACCTGTTACCGTGGCAGCTTTGCTCATGTTGGGATGCGAAATGAGACGGAGATAATGTCCCAGACCTTCAGGAAATTTACGACTCGGGAAGCTACCAAGGTAATTGTCAAGTCATATGTGTCAGCTGGTTGGGGGCGCCTGGTGGCCAGAATTTGTGATAAGAAAACCATGTCCAAGTGTAAGATACGGCATGAGGAACAAAGGTTGCCATTGTTCACTGCCTGACTAGTTTTCAGGTGAACATAAGCAAGAGAAGGAAGATATTAGGTTACAGAAAGAAGGAAAGCTGATTCATCGAGCAGTACTTAGCTACATACTGCTAGTAAGTAGTATATGGCTTTAAGGGGATAGAAATGCTTTGACTGAACCGTCATTCTACGTCAAGAGCAGTACTCCTTGGCGTTTTCTGTACGTCACAAAGCTGCGACAACATGCACCTATTGTATTTCAACTACGATTATCTGTATGATAACTTTTTCTTTTTGAAAAAAAAAAAAAAAAGAAGTTTTTGAGCGTTTACTACTTTGTAAATGCGCTGTATATGATTTCATGTGTACGCAGAATAAAAACGAAACCAGATAGTATTATTCATCATGTGTAGTTGCCATTCAACTGAAACTGAACAGTGGCTGCCCGGGTGGGGGTTTGCCGATATCTGTATTTGAATACTCAGCTCCTCATTCAGTTGCTATGTTAGTTTCATTACTTCAAGTAAAGCATGCACTGTTGTTGAACTCACATCTGGACATTAACAGAACCAATCTGGCTAAAGACGATTGATCTGCACCGAACTTCGGTCACTGAACAACCGCGTGATTGTCGCCTTAGAATGAAGACTAATGGACAGATTTCACTTGAAAATAAATTACCTCGAATATTCTTCAAGGCGGGCCAAACCGGCCGGGGAGGGGGGATCTCGACTTATGAAACGTCGAGCCTATGTAATCTTGCCCAACTGACCCCGTGGCATGTCTTCAACGACCGATGTGCACCATTAACAATCCTTCATCATGTGTCTGCGCTAGTGCCCGCTCGCAAATACTGAACGTTGTGTGTCTCACTAGGGGGCAAAACGCCGCGGGGACGGACACAGGAACCGAGATAGGCTGATGCTTTGTATATTCGAGTAGCGTGCGGAATGGAGCAGCGCAGCATTTCATACCACCTACCTACCTAGTAGTAGGTTGTAAGCACGAGACGGCAGGGGCCTGTAATCTACATGCAGCACTCAGCGCTTGCTGCATCAAAACATCCCTGGAATTGGCGACTAGGCACAGAGCGATCACAGAAAATTGATTGTGCATTGGACCCTGAGTCCCCAAGAAGGCCCGGGTGCCGTCATCCAACATCAAGAGTGCCCGGCACCATTGCAGCGAGACCGGTTGACAGCCTTTGTACCCATGGATCGCATAGTATCGGTACCATGGGGCAGTCCTTTCGGCGACCCATTTAAACCTGTTTCGAAGTATTTTGGTGTTGCCGCCCTCCGACCGCTGCGGCCAAGCCTCGGGGGTCCCCACGCGGGGTGTACCTGGCCGCGGGCCAAACTCTAATCTTGCGCCTTGGAACGAAACCACCCTGCCAGGGGTGTTCCAATCCCGCATTGCAACGCCGCAGGAACTGATGATCTCCGATCTGATCAAGATTATTTCGTACGAGAAGGCTAGGGCCGGGATTCTCTGCAACCCCAGGGTCCTCCTCGCGGTTCGGGGTCTGTCTCGTTGCAGCTGGTGTGATTATGCCGAGGGGAAGTCGACAATTTTCCCGACAAGATCCCCTTGTAAACCTGCTTTGCTTGCTGACAGACGGTCTTTTACCAAGGTATTTCTCCGGCCGGAAGGCCAATAGCATCGGTCCGATGGTGTTGGAGGATTGCTGTGAAGGTGTGCATCTCGGAGGGCTGAAAATGGAATCTGAGAAGATGCTGGCCTAATGCGACGCTGACTTCAGGATGCCGCCTTGTGAGGGCTGATCGTGCCCATCAGGAAGGTCCTTTTGGATGGACCGAGATATGAGGGTTTCGTTGGTGATAATTCCTTGGATCGGACCACCGGCTCTGCTCTGCTCTTTTGACTATTTAAGTCGAACCTCCCCGTAGGCGTTCTCTTCTGCGACGAGACTGTTCCTGACATTCTTGTGTCACTGCGGTCAATTCTCCTAAACGATGAGTATGTACAACGCTTCCACCGCCATGCTGGGCCTGCTTGGCTTCGCCGCAACAGCCCAGGCCGCTGTTGAGGTGATACTGTGCTCAGATCCCAGCTTCGGGGACTGCGTGACTTACAACGTAAACACTGGAGGTTGTGGTAAGCGAACACAGCACGCAGAGGTTTTCACATTACTAGTAGATGATCTGACCCAAAATACACAGTCGACCTTGCCACCGTTGCACAAATCGAATCACTCGCGGTTTCGAGTCCCTGTATCATATACGCGTACGTACATACCTTGACCTAAGTCTGGTGATACTGTACAAAAGGGGGTTCGGAGTCGGATATCTAATCAGAAGATCACAGTGAACGAGATTGCACGGGGGTTGACTCACAAGTGACAGGCAGTGTGCCATCTCTGCCTGATTCCTTTGATAAACGTGTCGCTTCAGTGTTCTGCAGTTAAATACCACAATCACACAACACACAGATCTGACTGGCTGGTACTTGGCACCACAGAGTGCTTGTTATATACAAATAACGTCATAATCCTTATGTTGGTACTTGCGCTTAATGAGTGGGTGTGATGTATTCATCAAGGCGCCATGTATGTGGTTTCGCTTCTATTCCGTATACGTCCGAGGACATACATGGCGCGTTCATACGGTGGTAAGCGCTCAGGACTCCTGTGTAGTAGGACTCGCTAAATCTGTATCTCGACCCTTGGAACAATAGTGATTTGGTAGGGCTGAAAATGGACCCAGATTTGTTCGTGAGCCGAGGGTCAAACCCCACCTTCGGCGAAAGGGGCTTCACGGAATGCATGGCCCTGAGCTTGTTGTCTGGGAATGGGCCGTTACGAAGTCGTAGGCTGTGAAAAAACGCCCAGGAATCTTCTATCTTCGAAACCGTGGTGTGGACCAAGACAGGGGAAATTGCGCCGGTTGACTTCAGCCATTTCGGACGGACAAATATGAAGCGAATTATCAGTGAATGAGGACCAGAAAGTGCCAGGACCACCGATTAATCGGTTTCATATCTTGGCGTGAGTTCTTAGGATAATTTTGCTTTGGTGTATCGAGATTGCTGGATGTAATGATCAAATCATTAGAGGTAAGTATCAGGGTTGGAGCAGCTTAGATGCGCTGCTTCTCGACACTAGTAAGCGCCCCCAAGGATCGTGAACACGGGCCCACGGTCGGTGTATTCGAATTACTGGGTGGACTGTGGCAGTGTGGAAATGGATAAGAGGTTGCGCAATCTCTAGAAAGGGGGCGACTTCGGCGGCATTTATTCCTGAGGCCACTCTAGAAGTCGGGCTGGGGCTGTGTCTGACACGGGAGTGGAAGGGATACGCGACCGGAAACAAGGCTGGCCATACAAGCCGTGGAGTCGACAGGATTCCGATCTTCAATCGTTCAAGGGGCTACAACGGATCCAAATTCAAGACTGAGTCGAATGTGGGAGAAATCGCCAGGGAACAGGGCGACTGCATTGAGCTTGAGTTCTTGGTTTGGCGATTGTTCGCCCGCTGACATCAATCTGGAGCGAGCTTCTGGTCTGGACCATGGCTGGCAGGGCCTGTAGAACTTGGATCGACCGACTATCATGTCTGAGTACAGCGAGCGTAAATTAAAGGCGTTTCGATGGTCCGGATGATGTCAGTCTTGTGCGCGGGCCGACAAGGAGAGATGTGGGTTCCAGGAGCGTGGAGCTCTTATCGCAGATCTTGGATGACTGTACGGGGCAACTTCTGCCAACCAGCAGCCACTTTGCGTAAACAAGCAACGGCAAGGAAGCTTAGAAAAGAAACGAGCGTCGTAATAAACCCGCATGCTCCACCGGGGCCCACCCCCTGAGACGGCCATCAGCTCGCAGCAACCCACAGTTTGCAGGGTTGGCTGTCTCTGCTTCCTTGAAATGCTGGCGTCGTCTCTCTTCTTATTTTTCGAGATGGCTGATTCTGTGGGCTGCTGTTCTCTATTGTTTGAAAATTTCCTGTTGACATAAACCACTGCACCGTCATTCCAGTCGCTCATTTTTTACCAAACCATCGTCTCTCTTTTTTGAATTGTACACAGCCGTGCTTTTTTTATATCCATAACCCGACAGATCGGATTCGAGTCTGTGCCAAGACCTGCCCGCCCGCGCGCGATCCCCGATCAGGCCCATACCCATCTAGATCCCGAGCTTGGCTTTTCTTCGGAGTGGACATTCCAACAAGATGAAGGCAGCACATACCTCCTTATTAGCGGCGGCTACGCTGTTCTCCTCCCTGGCCTCGGCTGTTGAGAACCTCAGTATTTCCGGCGCGAACTTTGTCTCAAACTCCACTGGTGACAGATTCGATATCATCGGTGTCACGTTAGTCCCACTTAGTCCCGCCCGCCGTATTCCCGTCTAAGATGCCCGGACAAGTCAACTCACAGCCAAAACAGATACCAGCCGGGTGGATCCGCAGGTTTCACCGGTAAGGCTGACCCTCTCAGCGATGCTGAGGCCTGTCTGCGAGATGCCATTCTCATGCAGCAGCTCGGCGTCAACACGATTCGAGTCTACAACCTGTCGCCCGACCTGAACCATGATGAATGTGTTTCCATCTTCAACGCCGCCGGCATGTACATGATCATCGATGTCAACAGCGGCCAGTCCGGCGAGTACATTGACCGCTCGGACCCGTCGTCCACCTACACCAAGGACTACATGGAGCATATCTTCAGGGTGATCGAGGCTTTCTGGGATTACCCCAACCTGCTGGGCTTCTTCGCCGGCAACGAGATCCTCAACGAGGACAGCGGCAAGAACGCGCCCGCTTACATCCGCGCTGTGGTCCGCGACCTCAAGGAATACATCTCCCTGCACGCCCCGCGGGACATTCCCGTCGGCTACTCTGCTGCAGATGTTGCAACCATGCTCAAGGACACCTGGGCATACCTTGGATGCTCGCTCGACGATTCTCCTTACTCGAGGATGGACTTCTTTGGTCTCAACGACTACGTGAGTTGATCCTGTGCCTGGACATCATCTTAAGAAGAGCTCTTTGTTTTCCTACAATCTCCAGGTATGAAATAGAGCACTGACAGAACAACAGGAATGGTGCGGAGACTCCTCTTTCGAGAAGTCAGGCTACAACTCGCTCGTTGCGGAATTCGCCGACACAAACATCCCCGTCTTCTTCTCTGAGTACGGATGCAACAACGTCAAGCCTCGCACTTTCACCAACGTGCCTGTCCTGTACGGCGACAAAATGTCCGTACTGTCTGGCGGTCTGGTCTACGAATACACCCAGGAGTCCGACGAGTACGGCCTGGTAGCGATCAACAGCTCCAAGGAGGTTACCCTTATGCAAGACTGTACGTAATCACCCGTGTATTCTCTGAAGGCTAGCTTCACGCCCAGGAAGAACTAGTCTGAGATATAGAGTGGACATATTGCTAATATCTCACAGACCAATACTTGAAGGAGCAGTACGCCAAGATCGACATGAGCGCTCTGACCTCGGTCAACGAGACCGCAGAGAAGCAGGAGACCACCGCCTGTGCCTCTTCCCTCATCACCGAGTCTACCTTTCTGTCCAAGTGGGACATTCCCAAGCGCCCCAACGGTGGTGATGACCTCGTGACTTCTGGAATCACCTCCGCGCCCAGCGGTGCCATTACTAGCGTGGTGAGTAGAACCATACCTGCGATCACCAGCCCTGACCAAGCTTTGAAGCTGACCGTGCCTACCAGACTGCCACCGACATGCCCGCCACCGTCCACAACTACACCGGCGCTGAGGTCACAGGCCTGGCCCTGGTCCAGCTTGGATGCGCCGACAGCAACGCGCCCGGTCTCGCCGCCACTTACAGCGGGGGCGAGCAGACCTGCTCCTACGCCACATCTACCGGCACCTCCGCCAAGAGCAGCAGCAGCAGCTCCAGCGCTGGAAACAGCGTCAGCCCCTTCGTCGGTGCTGACTTCCGGGCTCTGGTCCTGGTTGGCTCTGTCCTGGCCGCCTTCCTCGGTGGTGTCATGATTCTGTGAAATTGGACCATCCCATGAGACGAAAGTGCAGCCTACCAGTAGGCCAATGAACACAGGAGCAGTGTTGGGATCATGTGCTACCGGCGTTTGTGGCTTAGAGTGTCGGCAATTGAAGTCCGACTTGTAACATTTGAATCGGTCAGACTTGAAGAAATGATACATCATGATGCACTGAGAGTTTGAGGAGCCGGTCTTGAACCATTAACACTACATATGAGACTTGTATTCGATTAGCTAGACTCGGCCGCTTTTTCTTTTATGAATTGATACCGTCTTCCATCTTATTCTGTCTCATCGTTCTCAGAGGGGCTCATGTGATGTTTCATCAGCTTAATAGAGGGAATCAAAGAATATCAATAATTCTATTCAGTGATTTATAGTTTCGCCGGGCTTGCAGGTCAATGCAACCAACCAAAAGTGCAGGTCATGGCAATTCACTGCTTGGAACATGGCCACCGAAAAAGGGGGGGGGGCGCGGCGCCCGAGGACGGGCTGTCGGGCAGGCCGCTCCTCCACCCCCCCCCCCTTGGACGGAAGGAGGGTCAGGGTTTCCACATATACGCAGACCCCTGTCAGCATAAGACGCGGCGCGACGCGGTAGACTTTAAGCTGCCAAACAACGCATTATTCACGTTTGGCTCATCTGTTCCAAACCCCACCCTCTCATCATCAGTATTTAGAAATCCAGGAAACCATCAAAGACTCATCTGCTACTACATCTTTTATCCAAATTCTTCATAAAGCAACAATGGGTACCCTTGCAGGATCAAAACGCAAGCCCGGGACACCGCTCGCTTCACCATCCAAGGCCGCAGCATCAACAAAGAGGTCTCGGACACAATACGATTATTGTGACGAAGAGGACTCGGAGTCGTTCCCGGAGGATCGCTGGAGCGCCGACGACACAGATTCGTGGTCAGATATGAGCGTAGATGAGGACGAGGACCAAATCTGCCAACCTGATAGGGCAGGTGATAAATCTGCGACTGGGAGATCACAGCAAGACTCATGGACTACACAGGTAATTCTGACCGTGTAATTCACAGGGAAAGCATTTGATGTCATTTTTTTCAGGTCGCTGACATCCAACAGGAACCCGGCTGTATGTCTCTAGCTGCGAGTATGCCTTGTGGAAGTGGCTTGACGAAGAGCAAAACCGAGGGCTGCCCCGGCTGTTCCTGCAGCAGGGTGGGCAGACAGTGCAACACCTCCAATTGCCGCTGCGAGGCCGGGCCCACCTGTCACAATCCCCTCAACAAGCTCGACCTCGCTGCCATCTTCGGCAAGGACGGATTCGACCTCCACCCATGTTTCACGACGTGGATCACGGAGCAGTCCAATGCCGGACTGGAGTGGACGAGTACGCGGTTCCTTTTCGATATCGTCTTCGAGGCTATCATTATGCTTGATGAGTACAAAAGCAACGCGACCGAGCCCTACCTTGAGTGGAGGGCGAAATGGGACAGCCTCACCGCCTCAGAACAGGATAGTAGCGACGCCGGCCTTGCCCTCAAGCAGGAGCTGCTTCGCTGGGGGCTTACTTGCCGAGACTCCCAGTCCGTCTACTTCTCGTTCTGCCGCAAGAACGGGTGGGTAGAGACTGACCATGAATGGCACTGCGATCGTTGTGGCGGTTGTAGGCAGTGGAAGGAGTGGCATTGCTTGAATTGCAATCAGTGCTCATATGGTCTTACGCGACCGTGTGGAAATTGCGGGGGGGATGGAGACTGGTCTCCGGGCTTCAAACCAAACGAACCAGACGACGGTTATGACCTGATTCGATGGTAGAGACGCTGACAATGTTGGAGGGAATTCCGGTGTGTTGAACGGATGTTCTAAATTACAATGTCTGCTAAACTCTGAGCAATCACGTACGCAGTATTGCGTAATGAGATGGATCAAGCCCATGTATAAGCGGTTCTTGTGCAAGCATAGGGTACTTGTGGGACATGAGTTATAGCACATGAGGTAGCTACTTTGAGACCTGGAGATCTCTATATCCCAGGCACACTCAAACAGCAGAGGTGCAGCATGCTCAAATACGATGCATCCTTGCAGTCTCTGATCCCCTAAAAGAGCCGGGAAGCGTCCAGAATATATTTGTCACCGGGTATCTACCACCACTAAACAGACGTGTGCACACATGTGCCCGAAAGAGCTGGGGGACCAAGACAATCCCAGCGTCTCAAAGTTGTTGCAAAACTTACTCACTCAGAGAAACATCCATGAAGGGCCCGCAGGACATGCTCGTGGAGCCAACCCCGAAAGCTATTTAAACCTTCTCAGTCGGTTCCACGTGGTCCTCCTCACGGACATGAGGCGCGCCAACCTTGAGCTTGCCCTCCTCGATCTCCTTCTCAAGCTGGTCGAGCCTGCTGCGCTTGCCGCCCGTCCTCCAAGCGGGGATGCCGGAGTTGAAGACGTCGTCCATCTCCTCGAGGGTGAAGCCCTTGGTCTCGGGCGCCATCAGGAACATGTGGATGAACGCGGCGGCGTTGAAGGCGCCAAAGATGTAGTACATGTTGTACGAGATGTTCCACAGCAGCGGAGGGACGGCAAAGGCGAGCACCATGTTGAAGAACCAGTTGGTGGCGGTCGTCAGGCTGACTGCCTTGGCGCGGATCTTGGACGGGAAGATCTCGGCCGGGTAGGTCCACGAGACGGGGCCCCAGGTGGTGGCGAAGCTGGCGACGAAGAGGTACGAGCACGAGATGACGGCGCTCGAGACGGGCCGGTTGTTGAGAATGATCCAGGTGATGTTCTCGTTCTCGACGGTGCGCGTCTCGTCCGTGTTGGGCTGGCCGTAGTACTGCTGCAGGGCGCCGCTTATGAACAGCCACGTCATCATCAGGAACGAGCCGATGATCAGGGCTGGGCGGCGGCCGAACTTGTCGAGGTAGACGATGGCCGGGAGGGTCATGACCACGTTGATGACATACTGGATGGACGCGGTGAGGAGCTGCGAGGTCGGCTGTCAGTACGTGCGGATTTACAGGTTAAACGGAGAGTGAGCCCAGATAGTCACATACAGGCGATCCTATTCCAGCTCCCTGCATGATATAGACGATATAGTACATCACTAGAAGAGGTCAGCAATGTGGGCAGGAATTGTGAGACACCGGTGAGTTACGAACTGATGTTCATGCCGCAGAGCTGCGACCAGGCCTGAACACTCATGCCCAAGAAGACACGCTTGAACATTCCCTTGGCGACCAAGGCCTTGTAGCTGCTGATTGCCTGCTCCCGATCGAACCTCAGCGCGTCCTCAATTTCCTGGTACTGCGCGAGGACCTTTGGGTGGTTGCGGTCGCCATTGCCGAGGGTGCGGGCCAGGACCTCGAGTGCCTCGTCCCAGCGGTCCTTCGAGGCGAGCCAACGCGGGCTGTAAGGGAAGAAGAAGAGGCCGATGAACAAGACGACACCGGGCACCATTTGCACGCCCCAGGGGATTCGGAAGGCAGATGTTGGCTGGTCCGGGTTGTTGGGACCGCCTCCAACCTATGCGCAGCACCCAGTCAGCTTTTTGCACAGGAGGCATAATGGCTCCGTTGCGGAGCATGCAAGAACACTCACGTTTGATGCACCGTATTGGATGAAGTATTGGATCAAGATACCCCAAGTGATGGCCCACTGCTGCAGCGAGACCACACGACCACGGATCTCCCTAGGTGCGATTTCACTCTGGTAAACGGGGACCACGCTAGATGCAATACCGATGGACAGGCCTATAGATGGTCAGTAATCCATCGTACCGGATAATAGTGTTACTGTCTACGGGCCGGTCCCGGGTGGCGCCCTAGACGATCCTGGCGGACCAGCCAAGTACAACAAGGGAAACATACCTCCAACGACACGTCCGGCACAAAGCATGCCGCGGTCTATGGCGGCGCACTGGATGATGGCACCGATTATCCACAGTATACAGGAGATCTGGAGGGCGAGCTTGCGAGAGAAGCGGTCGGCAAGGAATCCGCTGCTGAGTGCTCCGACGAGACTGCCAGCGGGCATCGAGGCCGTGATTGCTCCCTGGGTGTAGCCACCGGCCTGAGGGTTGTCGAAGTAGCGGGTGTAAGCCTGGGTTCCGAGCACACCGCTCATGGAAGATATGTCAAAACCAAACAGCATGCCGCCTGTGTGTTGTTATTATACGTGTAAGCCATATACCCGTCTGTGCGTTGGCAAATAAGGAGGAGAAACGGGCCGTGTTGTTGCGCAAACGGCTGGTTGTGTGGGACGTACCTATAGCGGCAAACGCGCAAATAAAGTAGACATTGCTGACTTGATACATCTTGCAGATGAAAAGGCTCCTCAAGCCTCATAAAAATCTGAAGTGCGGTTTATAGGAGACTCGAGATCCTGGGCAGCTGTAAGAGGTCGCTTGGGATGTCGGAGGTGTGGTGAGATGCAAGCAGGAAGCAGCTTGAGGAAGATCAGATACCCATCCGGCAGTGGATGGTAGCTCCGCAGGGCCAACAAGACTAAAGGTCGAGGAAGCGTGATTCACAATCTGCAAGTGAATGTGGGGAGACAAGCTATTTGAAGGCCTGCTCTCATCCCTGAAGGAAACATGGCATCTGAGATCCGAGAAAGGCCAACCCGCCAAGGGGGGGTCATGCCACAAGGACGGACCGAATAGAAAGCCTTGGAAAGCAAAACACACCAGTGACCAGGCCGTCGGTACGAAACACAAACATTCAGAAAGCTGAACGTTGCAAGAATTCCTGGGCTGCAGTCATCGCCAAGGTGTGGTTGGCCCGCCGCAGTCGTCACGTTGCACCACCCCCCAAGAAAGTTCCTCTGGCCAGGGCAGCGGCGCACCAATCACGACGATCCCCGACGGCTGATATTGGACGAAGGATCGCGTCCTCATTCGACACACGCCTGGGCAGTCTGGCAGTTCATCTCGTTAGTGGCCTGGGGCCCGATGGTGCATCACGCCGTGTGTTCCCCGGGCCAAGACGTCCCATTGCGGGGGAAGGTCTGGGCGTGATCCTTTCCTTCTTGACGGGGCACGACAGTTGGGGGCGGCCAATGGCGGCACGTCGACTTCCGCAGGTTCGCAACAGCTTGGATGCCATCTGGGGGGTTGCAATTGGCACCCCAGCAGCCCAGAATTCCGGTGGCGTCCACCCATTCTTCTGGGGTGGGAGACTTGGTAGTATTATGTTGACACCGGTCCCCGATGGAGTTTCAAAGAATGTGGCGCCGCCACATGACTATGTCTTACATTGCAAGCGAGGCCACCACCCATCAGTTGGCGCGCACTCATACCGCTGTAGGATTATACATAAGCTGTGCTAGTCTTGCGTAATTAACAGCCTTGGAACCTTGGAAGAGACATATGCATGCTACCATATATCCGATCAGGCCAAAAGGTAGCCAAGCAACATGCCATGAGATGCGATGGGACCACTCACAATGCAACAGTACTAATAATGACCTGTGATCAGACCTTGTAAGGCTGAATGCTGTTGTATTTCCATCTTTCGCTAATGCATGGCCATGCGCAACCACAATTACTCACCACAAATCAGATCCAGTTTTACTTGAACAGTCAGCGCCGAGGAACACATGACTGGATTCCAACAATTGACGACTCCGTACACCAGCTTATAGAATTATAGACAAGAATTGAGAGACAGGCTCATATATCAATGTAATATATACAGTTGAACACCCCAAAACTCACCCACTGCTCACTTCCATCCCACTTACAGGTTGTACCTGCTCTTGATGTGCCTCCACCAGTCACGCGCCATCCAGACGTCGAAATCGGTGATCTCCATCGCAGAGCCAGCCATCATGATGAACGAGTCCTGGCCGCTAGGCTGCCAGTCATAAAAGTCCTCCAGGGCGAACGTGTGGCCCATTTCGTGCAGCAGGATGTGGATGTTCTCGGTGTCGAGGTTCCCGAGCATGTAGTCGATGGGGAGCTGCTGGCCCCAGTCGCCGCCGAAGCCGCCCATCTCCCCGTTCATGCTCTCGGACAGCCACAGCGAGACGTCGTACCGGCCCGCCTCGCCCTGTGGGCACCCGCTGAAGTTGTTGTCGGTGTAGTGCATCCCGCGGCCGCACCTCGGGTCGCACTCGGGGATGCCGTCGATGTCGACCGTCTTGGTGTGCAGGTTCAGGCCTGACGTGTCGCCCTTGAGCAGCGCCGTGTTGTTGGTCGCCCAGCCGGAGATGGACACGTCCACACTCTTGTACGGGAAGCCGTCAAAGCCCGCCAGCGCCTTGGACACCCACTTGTTGTACTGCGTGCTCAGCACTGTCTCGAGCTTCTTGCGCTGCGCCGCGGTAATGGTGTTGCTGCTGGCGTCCCAGCGGACACAATATTGGATTTTCCCCTTGGTAGCCATGATATGGTCATAGCCATAATTCTTGAACTTGGTAGCATCCGTGGTGTAGCTGTCCCAGACCTCAGTGAGGCCTTTGACCAGACCAGAAGGAGGGTTCCCTATTGCAGGTCAGAAATTGGGTTATCAAAGAATCTTGGATGTCTTGAAAGTACATGTGGAGGTAGCAGCCTTGGTTGAGCTGGCAGCGGCGACACGTCCAGGAGTCCGCTTTTGCTCCGTGACGACGCGGCCGAAACCACCGGCCTTGTCGAGCTGGTGGGCAGTGCCCGGGTGAAGAGCCCGGACAGCCTGCTCGGAAGCGCGCTCCTGGGTTGGGTGGGCCTGCGCCAAGGCTGCGAGGAGGGAGAGCACAGTAACAGTCTTCATGATTCTAGCTGGCTATGATATTGCCGGCGAGATATAGATGCTGTGCAATGGTACGGAAGGGGAACTGCCAATAGATTTGAGATCTAGCTCGAAAAGGAGGAGTCGAACGAAGGATGCCTGAGGACTAGCTCAGTGTGAAGAATGAATATGCGAACAGCTAACACTGGTTGTTCTGGTCTCGAGATCGGAGGTACAGTTCAGACTCTCACTTTGTCCTTATACACCTGGGCAGTACTCAGGGATGCCAAGACCTGCCCCAGCACCTGTCACATATTCTGCCAATCTCCAGAGGCGGATGTTCCGTACAGACCGATAGGTTTAATGGGGAAACTTTTCCCGCTCCGGCCATCCATTGCTCTGACAGGGGATATATAAATAAGTTGAGAGATCTCAGAGGCACGACTTCAAGGGGGCCCCGGGGGGGGGGGGGGGCTGGGCTGGAGACGAAACATCCAGCCTGCTTCTAATAGGTCTGCTCCGGAGCCTCCCTCCGTGAGCAAGTCGATGTTGATGAGAAGGAGGAGCCACTTTGACTGTTGATGACCCAGCCGAGGCGGCTGGATGGGCCTGGCGGGTCAGGTCTATCCCAGAGATCGTGGATCGATGGTTGACTAAAACGTTAGTTACCGAACCTAAGTAATGTTACCTTGGACCACGGCGTGGAGTATCTTTGTTCTGGAATCCAAAAGCCGTCTATTTCCCTGCCAGGCGAATCTCGCTCAACGACGGAGGCCCACAGCTAGAGATGATGGCCAATCCAATGCCGGCCGGAGCAATCCCTGCAAGAGGTTGTTAACCTCTTTGGTGGAAACTCAAAAGAAATGCCCACATTTGTGGGTATCTCCAGGCCCATCGGTGAAATTGGCCCTGCTCGTCATCTTGCGGCTCACGAAATGCCAAGAAGCAAGTGGTGGTTCTTCCCCTGGCCCAATTCGATTCCGAGGTGTTTGCTCGTATAGCAGTATTTTTTTATTGGGCCAGCAAATGCGCTCATCTGAGTTGGCTTGGCACAATGTTTGTTTCGTTTCAAGGAGAAAACCCAACTACCTCCACGAGGAAGTGGGTTTTGTAGATTCTGCAAATCATTACCTGGTATCATCTGGTTGGCTGGCGTCTTCAGTTAGGTCATGATTTAAGCTCGTGGCCTGCGCTGCTATAGCTTCCGCAAGCTTGTTTAGGTGACATCCACATAATACTGTCTCCACGGGCTGTCGTTGGCGAACCTAACTTCATGCGCCTCGGTCCTGTGTCACGACCGGGATGCAGTTTTGCCTGGTTGCTCTCTATACGCAGAAGTTGACATGTCAAGGCATTGGCTCTGTTCCTGTACATTGCATTCTGGGTCGGCCACGGTGATCAAGGCGAGCATTTGCAGAGGACTTGTCGTGCTTGCATCACCTCGCGAGGCCAGAGATGTAATAGACATGCCATTAGCACTCTTCCCCTTCATTTAAGTCCCTCGCCACGGCCGAATCAGGACTGGTAGAACATGCCACTGTGAATCTGAGGATCGCTTTGGAGTTGCCACCACGGGCGTCGAGGTCCTGCTCAATTGACATGGCTTGAAATGGATGGGTACCTGGGTACGAAGAGCCCGAAAGGATTGCCTTTGGCCCCTGCCCTCTGATAGAGTTTACGCAGCTCATGCATGGCCACTTGCGAGGCAAGCCTTCGATTTCCTCTCCACAGCCAGACATAAAGTACTGTCTGCAGTGAGAAAAGTGGCAGCGGATCATTCCTGATTTCTCAGGAGTGATCCACCACCGTCAAGGTTGGCGATGCTTGGTGAATCCGAGTGACTGATGCCGCCACACACGAGCTGTATGTGTCTGGCTCCGGCCAGCTCGTTTTCATGTCGAGGGCAATCGGTGTCGAATGGAAGACCCTGTTGAGCAATACCTGGAGAAGAATCAGTGGTTTGATGCGGGAAGCGCATCAGTGAGATTGTGGTGATTGCCGGGTCAATCATAACGAGAAGACTGAAAAGAGAACGGGAAGTCTGAAAGATTGAGGTGTCCATTAGGGCCCATCCCATGATGCCCGCTGCACAAGTGTGGCGCCCCGACTCTGTCGACCCGCCCTGCAGCCTACAAATGCAAGCCGCCTGGGCAAGAGGACTGGCCAAGAAGGGCGCGTGGACATGTCGGGCCTGAGGACCACAAGTCTATAGTACATGTATCTGCTGGAGTTAAGCTCAAGACGCAGTGTCTTTTGGGAAAGGGATAAGAACCGCAGACAAAACAGCAATCCAGCAGCACCTTGGCTGCTGAATATTGGCAGACAGCATTCTAGCTGCTGCAGGGTATCCCGTAAACGTAATTTGCCGCCGTGACCGTAAACGCCGCGACCAAAGATCATAGAAGACGTGGGATCTTGTCCGAGAAGTTTTCGAAGGACCGGAATGCCTCTCCAACGCCGAATACCGTGAACGCCACTCTATCGTTCCTATTCCTGTACCGATTCGGCTGGATCTGAGCGGCCGACTGGGCGAGACCGGACGGTCAGCCGGCGACGCCACTCGTTACCGGCGTTTCCGAACATGCTTACTCGTCGCAGTAGCCGAAGACCTTAAGATGCACTTTGCGCAAGTAATTGCGTTGCTCCCGGAACTGGGCGTAGTTACCGCCAAGGATGGTCTCGAGGATGCTGTCATGCTTTTCGCCTCGTGCGATCCGCTCGACCCTCTCTTGCAAGAGCTTGTGCGCTTCAGCGAAGCAGGCCTTGATCTGAGGGTAGTTCTGTGAACCGCCCGAGATATCATTTGCGGAGTTGTTGGGGTCGATGATGGACAAGCGGTTGGGATTCCTGTAGGTGAACGCAGTGACTTGGTTCTGAGCCAAGTGTATCTTGTTAGCGCTTGAAGGACGATGGGACTGAGCAGAACCTGCCTTGTTCACATAGCCAGGCGGATTGAGCCTGAGAGCCGTGATCTTGTAATTGAACCTGTTGCCGTAGAGGTCGAAGAAATGCATGAGCAAAGAACCAAGATTGCGTTCCGGCACCATGTCACCACTCTGGACCTGGGGCATCATCTGAAGCATGCTGACAACCATGCAAATAACAGAAAAGCCCCCGATACCACCATTCACCGGTTCGTTGAGGCCACGCATCAGCAAGAACTGCTTGATGATGGTCACAAGAATGGGCATGGCAGGGTACTGCTCTCTCCACGCCTTGAATGTCTGGATAGCAACGACACCGCTGGGGTTTTCAAAGGAGATGTCCACCTTCAGCCCAGTGGTGCTGTCCACATACTTGACCAAGGGAACCCTTGCTTTCAGGATCATCTCGAAATGGTTGTGGACTGCCACACGGTTGCTACGAAGGTAGTTCTTGAACTGCTTCAGCGCGTTTATGCCCATGGGAAGGCTATGTCCTCCAGAGAGGAGTGCGTCGGAGCACAAGACAAGGTCCATGTCACCAGTTGGCAAGTACAGACCAGACATGAAGGACCCAAAGGCGTGCAGCTTACGGCCTCCCCAACTTCCGTTCTTCTCGATGATGCGATTCAACTCGTCGACGAGGTTGCCACGAAGACGGTCTTCGAACTCACGTGGTCTCACCAGATCATAGAAGTCGTTGATTTCCATGTGAAACCTGTGTAGTGTAAGTCAGGTTGGCTTTCCGAATACTCAGTTATCTGTTACATACCTGACATTGACCTGAACAGCCGGGTTTGCCGCCGTGACCCATGGCGAGTGATTCTCGCCTTTCTTGAGTCGCCAATCGGAAACGATAGAGCCCCCACTAGGTCTCTTGGGGGCCGATTTGAGCTGTGAATGGGTTGGCAATTTCAACACGTCATCATGCGTGCGCTTGCGAGAGCCCAGATCTGACGAATTCGGCATGTCCATGTCAAAGTCAACCCGCTTCCGTGTCTTGCTGGCAGCCGGAGCCGCGGAGGCTTTGCCGGATACCGAGCTGGAGGCTGGCGCAGCCTGCGCGGCGGCTGTGGACTGGGGTGCTTCTTGACTGCTTGCACGCTGACGGCTGTATGTCAGGGGATCGATAAACTCCTCTTCGTCCCCGTCGTCCTCACTCCCGGAGTCGCACCGAATGAAGTCTTCATCGTCCGCAAGAAGCGAAGTCCTAGTGCCCTTGGCAGGTTCAACACGAGCCTTGCGGATCAATTGAACAACGTCCTTCTTCTTCTTGTCCTGATCCTGCTCAGGAGGCAGAGCAGTGTAAGGGTCTGGGTTGGACCACTTGGGGGCTTCATCAGCCGAGGCCGAGTTGGCAGACGTGCGTGCCCGCTTGGCAGTCGGCTGCGCAGAGTCGTTCTCGTCATCCGAAATATCCATGTCAGCCTCGTCACTATCTGAGAGCTGATCGAGGGCCCTGTAAGTTACACCATTCTGCGCGTCTGCGAAGTCTTCTGTGGGCTTGTGGTTGTCGGTCGTGTGCAGGATGGCACGTTCAGCTGCTACAAAAGGCTTCCAAGGTCGCCGCGGGGCGTGACCACCGCGCCCTGAGTGACCGTTTGGACGGTATGGTCTGTATGATTGCCGATCGCCACGAGGAGCTCGTGGGGGACCACGAGGCGGGTCTGTTCGAGACCTGGCCTCGTCGGGGCGATAGCTGGTGTACGAATCACCTACGCCTCTGGGTTTCTCCGAGCGAAAGTCAAAGCCACCCTGAGGGACACGGAATGAGTCAGAGCCGCGGAAGGGGGGTGGATACGAGTCGCCTGAGGGTCTTGGAGGGAGCGGGTGGTCATCAGTACGGCGCGAGGGCTCGTAGCGATCGTTGCGGGAATAACGGGCTCCTTGGTCGGCGCGGTGACTGGAAGGGGCGTAGGAATCGTAGTTTGATGGGGGAGGAGGTGGGGCGTTGTAGGATGGGGGAGGAGGTGGCGGAGGAGGTCGATAACTGTCGCCGAAGCCATATCCATCGCTGGGAGGTGGGTGTGGGGGAAAGTTGCGCGACGCGTTCTTGCGTCGGTCCACCCCCGGCGGAGGGGGGTAGTATTGTGACATGGTACTTCCAGGCAGTCTCTCTGCTTCCAAGTGTTTCGACGCGAGATCTGTTTGACGTCAGTCCAGGTGTGGTGAGTTGCAAGGTGATACACGGTCAACGCGATGGCGCGAGGGTTGGGCGAAGGTTGGCGGGTGGTTGCAGAAAATGTGTGGACAAAGGGAAGTAGTGACGACGAACTTTGTCTAGTGGGAACTACTCCGGCAGGCCCGACGCAGCCTGCCGGCCGGTGAGAATTGGTGCTGGCTTACGTAAGGGTCTCTCCCCTAGTCTGAGCAGACTTCAGAATCCAGAACGAATGCACGTGTGGGGGCTCATTCAGTTTATTAGGTGGCAGATGTCTTCACACCCATAAATGCCCCCCCTTCCACTCTTCCACTTGGAGACTAGCTGTGTCTTTCATCCAAGACACAATCCACACACATGTGCGAAGTAGGCTGTCTTGCCTAGGCACAAGAGACGGCCCGGACTCTCAAGCTTGCCAACAACAGACAACAGAAATAATCTGCCAGGATGAATATCTGGGCTGCAGGGAGAGCAAACAAGACAGACCTCCACTGTCTCTTTCTGCAATAGAGGCAACATGATTACATGACTGGTGCCTGGCAACACAGTTGAAGTAGCGAGACACCGGTACTAAGTATGCAAGGTGGCAAAGCTTTGCAGTCCCATGCCCTGCCATGCAAATTATTAGTTATCAGGTATGCTGATTTATTGTCAACCAGAAGCCTAAGACGGTAGCAGAAACGCATTGAGGAGGACCTTGGGAGCAAATACTGCCACCAACTTGAAGTGGCCTCTTCCTTGGTTCCTGCCCCGGCCAGCCGATTGGGACGCCTCTACGCATTACCGTACTTGGCTTGCAGATCAGTCCCGGTAGTGGCCCGTCCGCCAACGCCACAAGCCGCAGTCCACATGAATAAGCTTTCAGCCGAAGAGCCGCACACGTGCCCTCAATGCAAGATTGATGATCCCCAGGACGTGGCTGCGACGTTATATCTCGTCACTGGCCATGGCCCAGGCAGCGGTCGCTGTTAGACTCAGTGTCTTCCACGAGGCGGGCTCTGCTCTGACTGATCACACTTGGCGCGGAGGATTGGCGTCTTCGTGTGGTATTGAGGGAGAGAGAAGATCCTACTTGCATCCAACCTGCAGGTAGCTCATGCAAACGGTCCGCATTCGTGACAAGCATCGCAGTCTGGTGTGAGCACAGCTGATTATTGCGTAGCTCCCATGCCATCACAGCCCTTAGCTGTACATATGTACGCCGCCGCGGAGGTTGGAGGACGTCGAGGTGCGGAAGAGTGGAGACTGGAGAGGAATGCGGGAGTGTGATAGCGGCCGTTTGGGGTAGGACCGGGTGCTGCCGGGGTGGGCCTCGATTGTACAACCGCTCCAATCAGAGAGCCACCCACCGAAGCCTGTCTCCTCCCGACGACGCCTCCCGAGTGCCCGAGTCTCTCTGCTGCTGTTATCGATTGCCTTTCAATTCTGATGTTTATCAGAGAAGCCCAAGCATGGCGCACTGAATGCAGGCGAGCAGTTCAGTGGCTATACCAGAGGACTGACGTCAAACAGACCTCGGGAGTGTTTCTCCCCTGGCCAGGTGTCTTCGCCCGTCTCGCTCGCGAACCATGGGCCGAGGTGTACTCTCGAGCAAAGATCTCGCTCCCGCCATTTTAGTCCCACTACGAAATGACGTCGGCTGTGGATCTTGACGTCGGGCAACATCGGTTCCTTTCTCAGCGTCGAGAGAACCTCCCCCATTTCTCCAGAATCTCTACCCCAACCGTGACCAAGATCTGCGCTTCTGCTTCCCCGAGGGGAAATATCTGTTTCGGCTAGCCATGACACGGCGTGGTCTGACGGCCCCATTGTGCAGTCACCCACACTGCCACATCGGTCCCTGCCCGTGGCAGCTATCCAAAGATTGGGTCGCCTGGAGGCAGGTGTGATTGGACTTTGGGACGACTGGGACGACCATCCCTGGCCATCCACATTGACAGGCATGGACGTATACTATGCATGGAGCCGCAGGACGAGCATGATCCGAGCATAGCGTTGCTTTTGCGACCTTGCCAGGTTGCTGAGCAGCATGGCCAACTTGTGGCCGATGATAAATACTGCGGACATCCCCTCGTCTGGGATATGTACCTGAGTATTGATTTGAGTTGTTCTCAACCAACCTGCCTCTGCACAGGCCAAAACTGCCTGTTTGTTCTGACTCCACCGGACAACCGCAGCCATGTATCGAATCTGGAATATCTATGTGCTCGCCGGCTTGTAGGTCCCTCCCGTACCCACCACACAGAGCATTCCGCTTCCATGCGTGCTTACACTATTTACTGACATCCGTTCTATCTAGCGGCACCATCGGCGGCGCACTGTTCGGCTTCGATGTGAGTAGTATGTCTGCATGGATCGGCAGCGATCAATATCTCGAATACTTCGGGCATCCGGACTCGAACACACAAGGTGGGATCACCGCCTCCATGTCTGCGGGCAGCTTCATCGGCTCCCTTCTCGCTGGTTGGCTATGTGATCGCATGGGTCGTCGTGGAATTCTTGAAGTCGCAAGTGTCATTTGGGTTGTCGGAGCAGTCCTCCAGTGTAGCGCCCAGAATATCGCTCATCTCATCGTGGGAAGAATCGTCAGCGGCCTTGCCAGTAAGCTGTCCCCGGTTCATATGCTCTCGTCCCTCTACACTTCACTGACACGTTCTGCCAGTCGGTATTACCTCGTCCCAAGTCTGTGTCTACCTCGCCGAGCTCGCCCCAGCCAACATCCGAGGCCGTATCGTCGGTGTACAGCAGTGGGCTATCGACTGGGGCATTCTGATCATGTATCTGATCTCATATGGCTGTGCCGTTTCGATCAAAGGCCCATCGGCATTCCGTGTCGCGTGGGGTGTCCAAGGCATACCGGGTATCATCCTCGGAGTTTCACTGTTCTTCTTCCCAGAGTCCCCTCGATGGCTTGCCAGCAAGGACCGCTGGGACGAGTGCATTGATGTCCTCGCCGGGCTGCACAGTCGGGGTGATAGGGAGTCTCCCGTCGTGCTGGCCGAGCTGGAAGAGGTCAGGGAGGCCGCAGCTCTCGCAGCCGAGTCGAAGGACCTTGGTTACTTGGGACTCGTTGCACCCAATATGTGGTTCCGGACCCTGACTGGAGTCAGCGCCCAAGTGTGGCAACAGCTTCTGGGCGGTAACGTGATGCTTTATTACATTGTTTATATTTTCCAGATGGCTGGCCAGGGCGGTAATGCGGGACTAACGAGTGCCATCATTCAATATGTTATCTTCTTGGTAACGACTGGCGCTGTGCTCCCAGTCATTGATCGTTTCGGCCGTCGTACGCTTCTGAGTGAGTATTTTCTTGCCTTGCTACTCACTCGAGGGCCAGCCGCCCCCAACGGACGCTGCTATCGCCCTGATCATTGCACACTTTGTTGATATCACTTGCTGACTTGTTCACAACAGTCTCTGGCGCCATAATTGCCTGCATACTGCATTTCATCGTCGGTGCCCTGATGGCTTCGTATGGACACGAGGTCGACTCCATTGGCGGTAACTCGATTTTGACGTGGGAAATTGAGAGCACTGCCGCAGCTAAAGGAGTCATTGCGTGTTGCTACATCTTTGTTGGCGTCTATGGCATCACCTGGGTAAGTCTCACCTTGTGTCAGCTATCCTACTTAACACACTCCTCCGCTAACCACAACGCTAGGCTCCTGTCGCATGGATTTACGCATCAGAAGTCTTCCCATTGAGATATCGGGCTAAGGGCGTGGGCGTGTCTGCAGCAGGCAACTGGATCTTCAACCTGGCTCTCGCCTTCTTCGTCCCGCCAGCCTTCACTAACATCCGTGAGTAGATCCCCAAATTCGGGACAGTCAAGCATCCTTGCCACTAGCCACGACTTTGATTTGTTTCTAACCGCTGACGCCCGTAGAATGGCAAACCTACATGATATTTGGAACTTTCTGCGCCGTCATGACCATCCACGTCTTCTTCTTCTATCCCGAGACTGCCGGCAAGTCGCTCGAAGAGATCGATGCCGTGTTTGAGAGCAAGACGCCTGCGTGGCGGACGGGCCAGATGGGCACGTTCCAGGACCGCCTGCATGGGGTTGAGCGCAAACAGAACGGTTCAGAGACGACCCATGAAGAGGCGCCGTCTGATCACTCAGCAGCGAAGGAGGAAGCGAATGCCGCTCATGACGAGAAGGTCTGAACCAGAAGCCGGTCAGCTGATACGCTGGGGCCTTCGTCATTTGAGGAATTCCGATGGGTCAGGATTTCATTTATGGTAGATTCAATGTTGTTCGAGCCAACAAATCCATGGTCTAATTATGATACACTAATGGTGTTCATGTGGTCTACCCGGCCAAATTGATGGGCAAAACGGTGCCTTGGTATCATCTTTGAAGCATAAACTTTTGACGATTCGTCAGTAGAAATGCCACCCTTGGCCAAAATATCTGGGAACGGACCTTAAAATGGGTGAAGATTATTTCACAGGTCCAAGAATCTTCACGTCTTGGTCCCTCTGTACTGCCAGTGTGTGCATGGGAGTCTTGGGGCGCAAGGACCTCGAAAGAGGAAGGCGGTGTGGCGGGAGCCAATTGTGCCGACGCGACCCTGAATTTCGCTACCCCAATCTAATCGACCTCGCCGACAAACCTCTCGCTTCACAACCCAACTCACCATGGCCATCAGATAGCAAACACCTCGTCCAAACTGCATCATGCGTCTAGTCATATGCGCTGCGTCTAGGCTGTCTCGCCCAGGGATTGGCCAGGCTTTCACGGCTGCACCACCAGCTACCTTGCGCTACTCATCCAACGCCTCAGCAGGGAACACAGATAGCATCTCGGCGGAAATCACCTCGGCGGAAAGCACCACGGCAGAAAGCACCACGGCGGACGAGTTTGTTAAACAGGTTATTGGTACACCCGCTGTCCTAGCCACAGGGAATTCCAAGGGCAAGAAATCGTCCTCGAACGTGGCCAAAGAGGCGAACCCACAGAATGTGTTCAGAGTGGTTGCCGAACCGCCACGTTCAATAAGGAAACAGGCCGAGGGACCATCCTCGGGCGCCGTCAGGAAGGTGCAGATGAAGAAAATCTTCAGGAAGGTGATGCTAGATGACAAAGAGCCCGAGAACCCGTCCTCGATTGTGGACAAACCGCTCCCGATGCAGTCCAACGACACAAAAACTGCTTCGCCTTTGATCAGGAAAGCACCTGTCCACGGCACTCAGCCATGGAGACTCCCAAGCAAGCTGTGGCCAGAGAAGCCAGCAGCTGTCATTTCACGCCGTGGACTCCTGATACTTCGCGGACTTCCGCTAGAGACAACCCTAAGAGACATCATCCTGGCGATCGACCACGCCGCCCGCAATCGCCAGGTTTCCCGGCTCGAAGCTCTCGTAGCAGATATCGCGATCAAAACTAGCGTGGACAAATCAACCGAGGTAGACGCCGTTGTCGAGTTCAAGCATCCAGATAGCGCGATGCGCTTCCGAGGCCTGGTCAGCAAAGGGGAGTTCAGAGTACGTGGTGTGCTGCCAACAGGACCGGCATCCTTTTATAACCCCAAGGACCCATCCAAGTTACCACAGGCGTTCGAGGGCGACGGAATCATCGCCCGACTCTCCAAAGTAGACCGCGCGGAATATTTCACCTCGCCGGAACAGCGCAAGATTGTACGGCGGACACATCTAATCTACAATTAGAACTCCGGATATAACAAACCGGGGATCGCCAACGGCGCCCCCCCTCCCCCCCCCCCCCCCAAAAAAAAAAAGAGTTTTGGAGGTGGCGCAATCAATATCACGCCAGAAGGAGACGGAGCACGCCCTGGTCAGGGAACTCGGTGTGGACCAGCCATGGGGCAATCGTGCTCAAGGCAACTACAAGTGACCAGGTGCAAGGGGGACGGCTGGTGGGCTTCTGAGCCTTTGCCGAGTCAGGGACGGACGATAACAAACAGGAGCATGGGTATGACCGGTGTGCTCTCAAATGTTGGAAATACCCAGGTATGGGCCTAATACGATCCTATCTCATTTGCGCATGCTTTCAAGAATAGTCAGTAACCGGCAATTATATTCACTGAGGCATATTATAAATCAAATATACACAATGCTTAACGACCTAGCACTGGATCTGTTCTTTCGAACAGAGATCGGATATTCGCACCTGGCAAAACGGAGGGTACACTTATGCCAGGGAACTCGGAGATTAAAGTACTTGGTTTAGTACTAAATCACGAGCAATTATCCCATAGGATGTTTTCCCACAGGAGGTTGTCCCATAGGAGGTTGTCCTGAGACGTGATCCCTTGGGGCTTGGGTATACTCTCCATTTTGGTGGGTGCGAATATCCGATCTCTTCGAATAACTCCCAGTCAGTCAGAAATCTGACATCAACGAGCATTATCGCTAGGGGTAACTATGCATGCCAACCTATGAAGACGAGCTGAGTGAGTATCCCTTGGATCTCTTGTCAAATCAAGAACAATCAAGCGGATTCGAAAACTATCCTGGACCCGAGGCTTTCGAGGTCATCTGTAGGCTGGAAGCTAAATCCAGCCCACCCAACAATGAATTGAATCTGCAAGATGGAAAAAACGACCTTATTGAACCTGGCAGGAAGCTATTCAGTATTGGTCACTAGTCTCCAGACAAAGGACGACACTCCGACCTAAATTAGTCTGCGTTTCATGCACAACCAATGGGAAAAGGTTGAGCCGCTTACCCAGACATGGCGTCGAACAAAGCACTCTATATGATCCCCAAAGACACTGACGGTCTGAGATGCCGTCTGGTCTCTCGTCACCCGCCCATTCTGCAGGATTTTGCAGTTGGATGACAGCCAGGCCTTGCCAACTCAAAATGATAAGTCGGCCGACTTATCCGAAGTATTCAAAATGCAGAGGGAGCACCAAAGTTTCTTAGCTTCCCACAGATAAGAAGACCACAAATTTGCCCAAACATCGAACCATCATGTTCTCGGAGACAGAGTCATGCCCGTACATCTTCTCCTCGAAATGGATCAGCCACGAGGACAACTGTGCCACCGCCTATCACAATTGCATCACCTGCAAACACTGCATGGCAAACATCAATTATTGGGGCGCAGTGGATGAGGTCTTGCAGTCGACGGAGCCGCCGGCTATCCATCCTCCTGATTCGAACCCGTACGAACTGAATCAGCTGCAAGTTCATGAAATGGATACAAATGCCACGCGCAAGAGTCGGCAGCCGAAGCCTTGAGCCGCACGCTTGGGAACCGAGGGTGATATTTGGCCGCTGGGTACCTAAATTGCCTTTCAAGACCAAGATAAAGGCATATTCATCGACATCTAATCGGGTATGGCTAGTTCAACATGAATTAACGACGAAAGAGGCCAAGCCGTGCTGGGCAGATTGTCTGGTGCACTCGGCGTGGTCTCGCAGGCACAGCACCGCCAACATTGAAGTGGTGGTGGCCCTGCTTGAGGCTGCAGATCAGAAAGGGGCATCCCGAGCTGATGGGGCGATCATCAATGCTTGTCTTGCGAGCCTGCGTGCGCATCACGATGAGCTTGTGCGCGAGCTTGATTAACAATGACTCGGTGTGTGGGTCAGAAACGATAGCAGAGGGCACGTGGGGGCTTAGTGCTCAAGTGGGAGAAAGCGCCCGCGAATTTCCCAACATGGGATCGACACCCCGTCGACGAAATTTCAATACGCTGGGTATGTACCTGCATTGAATGTAATTGACACAGGGGTGGATCCAGCGCCCGCGGTAATACGAAACCGAGTGGAGCCGAAACATTGGAAACATTGGAAGATCCGCCGCCTTGGCATCATCCGGATATTTCGCCTGCGGCAGTCCTGAGCAAGGGGATCGGGGGCTGACTCCTGCTTCTGCCCACCAGGACCGATGATCATCGAACCCGCTCTGGCGGCTCAGGGTGTTGGCAGGGTGTTGGCAGGATGTTGGCAGGATGTTGTTCTTTGGGCCTTGGCCTCCACCGGCAGCCTTCTCTTAAAGAAGCAGCCCTCTCGTCCTCCTCTTCTCAGCAGTTCTTTCGTTGTCATCATCTTCACTCCTTCTTGTCTTGTGTGACATTCCTCATTCGCTTTTCATAGTCTTTCTTCATTGGATCCTGGAACTACACGATACCGGTATCGTGTATTTGGTCCTTCCCAACCCTCTTGTCCCAGATCCACACGTTCATTTGCTTGCCAGACCAAGCCAGAATGCGTGTCGCACAATACTACGCCGCGGCCCTGCTTGCCGCAGTGTCAGCCGTTTCGGCCCAGTCAGTCAAGGGAACCGCGTACGGTTTCGCTACCGGTGTCACAGGAGGTGCTGACGGCGAGGTGGCATCGCCAAAGTCTGCCTCGGAGCTGGCAGACCTCCTGGCTGACGACGTCGCCCGCGTGATTGACCTCACCACCACCTACGACTTCACCGGCACAACCAAGACTGGCTCGGGTTGCTCGCCATGGGGCACCGAGAAGACCTGCCAGCAGGCCCTTGATGGTGCCAACGACTGGTGTAGCCGTGAGCAGCCGGATGCCCCCAAGGCCTCCGGCCTGCAGTACGATACTGCTGCCCTCGACAAGCTGAAGGTCGGCAGCAACAAGAGTATCATCTCCTCCAACGGGAAGGGTATTCTGAAGGGCAAGGGTCTCAGCCTGCAGTCCGGAGCCAAGAACATCATCATCCAGGGTATCACCATCACCGACCTGAACCCCGGCCTGGTCTGGGGCGGCGACGCCCTCGAGCTCCAGGGCAACGACGGCGTCTGGATCGACCACTGCAAGTTCTCCCTGATCGGCCGCATGATGATTGTGGCGCATTATGAGGCAAGCAGAGGTGAGCAGCATCCATTTTCATCTTTTACGGATCCCCGTCTTTCATGTTTTGGAATATTCTAGAATACAACACTTTAGGACCCGTAGCAGGACTAACCTCACCACTAGTGACCATCTCCAACACCGAGTTCGACGGCGAGACCACGACCTCGGCCACGTGCAACGCCAACCACTACTGGACCATGATGTTCTACGGCGACGGCGACCAGGTTACCCTCGACCGCAACTACATCCACGACTGCTCGGGCCGCGCCCCCAAGCTCGGCGATGACGGCACCACCTGCTACGTCCAGGCCGTCAACAACGTCTTCTCCAACATGGAGGGCCACGCCTTCGAGGCCTACGGCTCCGCCACCGCCCTGATCGAGGGCAACTCGTTCGAGTCCGTCAAGGAGCCCTTCTCCAAGAACGCGCAGGTCGACACGGCCTACACCGTCGCCGACGCGTCCGCCGCCAGCGCGTGCTCCAGCTCCCTGGGCCGCGCGTGCCTGCAGAACACCCTGACTGGCTCGGGCGACTGGCCCTCGCTGGGCGGCGCCTCGACGCTGTCCGCCCTGGCCAAGTACAAGGACAGCCTGCTCACCCCCGTGGCCGTCGACGAGGCCAAGTCGTACGTCCTCGCCAACGCCGGCCCCGAGAACCTGGCCTCGTACACCGGCTACTCGGGCGCCGCCGGCTCCGCCTCCTCGGGCAGCGCCGCCGGCTCCGCCACCGCCTCTGCTGCCCGGCCCACCGCCACCGCCGGCGGTGTCTCCCGGGCCCAGGGCGCGGCTTACCGCTACTACAAGATGTAAAGGGGCCCATGACAGGTGCCTTTTTCTTTTGTTGCAGAAAGATTCTCTTATGGAGGGAAGACATCAATTTTGGCTGTAGATATTACCGGCCCCAACCAACATTTGAACCCTCTATGTACATATATATATTCCCCGGTGCGCCTTCATAGGTCCCGGCTTCAGTCCTAGCGACGTAAAATATTAGCATTGTTCAAACCCACATCCGTCTTGACCTTAGTTGTCCAGTGAATGTTCTTCTGTGTGGTTGTCAAGCTAGCTGAGAACATTGAACCCTCGATGTTGTGTGCCGCGCGGCCCGGCTGTGAAATGCACTGCATGAACCTGCGTAGAGCAACATCCAAGCCATTGCTCCACTAGTGGTTTTTCCGTGGGGTAAGTCTAGCATATATGAATTGATCGCTTGAGCCTCACGTTATTGGACTGGTGTTTCTTTTCGTTTCGACGACCACAAAGTCTAATCGCCCACGTATTCTGCATGATGTCAACTAACAAACTGCCCTGAGCAGATGCCATGTGGTGGGCGCACGGTTCTTAGTTCGAGTCATTTGGATGGCGTTGGGCGTCGCGCGAGGTTGGAACCGCCCCACCGGTGATGGTCTCGCGTGTCTATCGGAGGTTCTTAGGCGAGCCGGGAGATGCGAGCCCTGGAGCCCGGGGGCTCGGGCATTTCACGACTAACGCGAGAGTGGGCATTTCTTGGCGCGTGCTTTTGGCCCGCTCGGTAGGTTGGACGCCAGACTGGATTGGGAATGCACTCGTGCACGTACCGTCGGCCAGGTCGGCGGTCATGTCATATCTCACGTTTTCGGGTGCAGAAATACGGGTTCAAATCGGGAGGTGGAATCGCGTGACGATGAGCCAAAGATGGGGGCGGGGGCAAATCCCAGATACACGAGAAAGAAGCGTGCCGTATCCGGGGTGGTCTTGTACACGGGCTGTGGGGAATTTTGGATGGAGCATAAGAGTTCGAACCATCTACCTTATCCCATCGGATGCTTTCCTATAGGATGTTATTCCGTAGGATGTTATCCCACAGGAGGTTATCCCATTAGATGTTTTCCTATAGGAGGTTATCCCCACGGGAGGTTATCCCACAGGATGTTATCCCATTGGAGGTTATCCTATAGGAGGTTATCCTATAGGAGGTTATCCTATGAGAGGTTATCCTATGAGAGGTTATCCCTTGGGGCTTGGGTATATCCTCCGTTTTGGTGAGTACGAATATTCAATCTTCTCGGGTGATACACGTTGGACTGACTGATGACTGAGGTTCTGGATATAATATCATGCGGCTGATATTACTATGTCAGACCCGGTGACTCGGTGCCGGCTGGCCAGGGTGGTCCTGGCATTGATGAGCCCGGGATCTTGGGCGATTCCAAAGTTTGCTGATCCCCCAGCCAAGGTGTTACATGTAGACTGCTCCGTACAGCCAGTCTTGTCTTGACCTTGGAAACTGTGGGTGAGCCAACTTGGCCAATTCATAGTTGAGATTGTTGAGTGCAGGCTGGTAGGGTCCTGTTAGGGGCGGATGTTTCCGTGCAACCGTGCCTTTCTAGTGCTTCTAGTGTACCACAGTAGGCTGGGCCGCCTTACGAGGCCAAGCTGATAGACCCGGGGCAGTGCGGGGGGTGATTTCACTAACAAACTTGACAGGTCCCGCACCAAGGTACCCTATCCCTAATGCGACTTCAATGGGCCCCAGAAATGGCAGAGGCAAGCGCTGGCAGGCACAAAAGCAGGCACTGCTTGGCTGGCAACTGGCAAGGGCCCGTCTGAAACGAGATGGGGTGGTGCAGCGCTAAAGCGGGCCCTGCATTGTCGCGAGATTGTTGCCTCTTGGCCAACCATTCAGCCATGCAGCCATCCCGGGCCCCCAGTACAGGCCCCCCTTTGTCCACTGGCGCCCGCTGACTGCACACAATGAACTGGCGTCCCGGGGCCAGGCCTCGATTGACTGGCACACACCATCTCATTCTCAGACGCGGCTCGCATCTGCCAAGTTTGAATGTGTGGCCGCTTTGTGCGCCAACAGATCTTCTCGCGCGGCAGAAGCAGCCGCAGCAGCAGCATTACTGCTGACTGAGTGGCTGACTGGCTGCCAGCGAGAAGAGGAAAGTAAAACAAGGACGAACAACGACGGCTCAAGCGCCCTCACAAAGCCATCGTCGCGTCTATTGTCCTCTCGCGTATTGTCCCATCGACAAGCTTCCGCGCTTCGGATGGCATATTTAGAAGTTTGAGCGGCTCTCATTGCGCACTTGAGCATCCATAACCACTGCTCATTTTCTCTGTTCTGTCTTTCATCCCCACCAGTTGCATTATACTTACTGCCCTCAACCGGCTATTCGAATAATACCAGCTGCGGGCCAGCCTTAATATACCCATATACCCATACACAGCACAGCACAGCACAGCACCACACAGCACATACCATAATCATGGCCATCGCAAAGCTCCTCCCCGTCCTGCTCAAGCACAAGGACACCCTCATGGAGGACGGGCTCGACCCCCGCGCCCACGCCCAGCGCGGCGCCACCCACGGCATCGCCTACGGCCGCAAGGCCGCCACCGCCCCGCTCAAAGCCTGGGAGAACATCCCGCGCTGGGTCGTCCGCGGCCTGCAGTTCGTCCTCGGGCTCGTCATCGTCGGCATGTACGGCCACCGCGTCCAGAAGCAGCGCGACGACCCCGACGCCCACGTCTCGCCCGAGTGGGTCTTTGGCCTCATCGTCGCCGCCCTGTCGTGCATCACCGCCGTCGCCTTCGCCGCCGCCGCCCCCTTTGGCGCCGTCTCGAACCGCTTCAAGACCGCCCGCCTCTTCTCGTGGGACCTGACGCTGTTCCTGCTGTGGATTGTCGTCTTTGGTATCTTTGCTGGCATCTTCCTCCACCGGGATAATGATGACTCGTACAAGGGGAGCAGCACCATCTCTGAGAAGGGCGCCGTCTGGGTTGATCTGGTCAACGCCATCCTCTGGCTCGTCTCTGGCACCTACGGCTTCGTCAAGACTTTCAGTAAGCACCCTTCTTCCTCCCGTGTGGATTCCATTGTGTGATGTTTTGGAATACTTCCCAAATGGAACATTTTAGGCTCTGTCCCACGTTGACTAACACGTGTTACTAGTGAGCGGCAAGGTTGATACCCTCGGCGGCAAGGTCACGGACAAGGTGTTTGGCAAGAAGCAACCTGCGCCCAACAAGATGGAGATGTATGAGCAGGTCTGATAGAGCATGGTCCATTATAGACGCCTCGGACAGATGGGGCTGTAATAGATTTTTGAGCACACATAGCTTGGAAAATGTAATAATCTTATTCTTCGATTTCTAGATTACGCCACGCAGACCCTCTGCCGGCTTTGGTCCTGAAAGGGAGTCTCATGTTCAAGAGTGAACTGACACATACCTCTTGGCCAGCTATGGGACTGAACTTATATGGAAGATCCAGGTTTGCAAAATTGATCTGCCAGCCCGGCATTCCGGGAGGCTTGGAGACGGATACGATCCAGATGTTCATAGTGATAAAAACTGAAGATATTTGAGTGACTTCGTTCTTGATCCGTACCTAGGTATACATCCCGAAGGTGTACGGTCCCTGGCCCGATCCCTTCACACAGTGGCAAAGGCTCAAAGACCCAGCGTTTCAAAAACCACTGGGATGTTTGGATACTCTATGAGTGACTACATAGGTAACACACTTGTGTAAATCATGTAATACATGACATCTATAGGCCCACTGAGGTGGATGGAGCGACGGCAAAAGGTCCGACGTCACTCTCTTTCTCATTAAGCCACTATACCCCCAGGAACATTGGATATAGAATCGCTGGACAAGAAATTAATTCAAAAATGTCTAGAAAAGTCTAGAGTAGTTGCAAGGCAGCGACAAAAAGCGCCATCGAAAACACAACCCCAAAGCTGGAGGCTGACACCGTCGAAGACGCCAGACTATCAGCACTCCTAACGACGTTCTCGGTCCCGACCCATGCATTGAAATTCTTCATGCCCGTGACGCTGCACCCTCCTATGCTCATCCCCTGGATCTGGGCAATGTTCTTGTCGTCCCGGGACAACGAGACCACCACGGGGAACTCATCCCCGTCCGGGAGCGCCGGGACCGTATATGAGCCGTGGTAGAGCCCCGGGCCGCCGTCGACGGGCGAGCGGGCCTTCTCCCACGTGGCCTGTACGAGATCGTCGCCGATCTTGATCGTGATGTTGGCAGGCGCTGCTAGTATGGCATCGTAGTAGATCTTGATGGCGCCCAGCAGGTCTGCAGAGTATTCCGTCTGGCCGTGGCTGACGGTGTTCAGGGTGGTGTTTGCTGTGTCGCAGTTTGTGCCTTTTTGGGGGGCTGTGGGGGGAGCCATGCGCGTTAGAAATCGTTGATAACTCAGAGGTTGCATGAATTTGGGGGGGGGGGCGAGGCTGGAGGACTCACCGTAGTATGCCGTAATACTCTCCTGGGTCACGTTGCTTGTGCCATTCTTGTAAATGGAGATGACAGTCGGCAGTATGTTGCGCCAGCCCTCGTGGGGCATGGTTGACACGTAGTCGTACTCGGATCCAGTGTCCATTGCGGGAGAGCTGTGTAGCGGCCCGATGTAATGAGACTATCCATCAAGTCAGTGTACTGTCCTGTGCGCGAATGAGGCCCGATGAGGATTCGGAGCCGTGCGGGTCCAATGCAAGACGTACCTCGCCAAAGTCATTCCAGCTGATGATTTGAACAAAGGCAGGCTGAATGTTTGCGACTTGGGCCCAACGGTCGACCCAGAGATTATCCGGACTAATTTTGTAAAAATTAGCAACCAGGAATTCGCAAGTAATAGGATCTTCTGTAAGTGGAAAAGGGACATGTGGCATGGACAGAGGCTGGTAGCCGTCTGAGGAATTGCTTACTTCCAGACCCAGTTCTTGTGGTATCCTGGTAGATTCGTATAGAACCATGGGGAGACCGCCATCATGTATTTCGATTTGTCGATCACCGAGAGGTATACCTCGTCCACGGCGCCATCAATCGGCCTGACTCCATCTGGCCATGCGTCCCAGCTGAACAGGCCATCGGCGACATTGTCGGCAGCATCCCACGCATCCTGCGCGCCGAGAGAGGACCAGTCTGGGACCAGGAAACAGTCGGTCTCTGATTTGATGTCTGTCCAGTCCGTGGCGTTGGAGCCTCCTTCGAACGTGGACACCAATGGCTTAGTGTCCTCGAGATAGTAAGCTCCGTTGGTTTGATATGTGTCCATCAGTGAAAGGACATCTTTCTTGGGCCAGGGGCCGTTGCCCCTGTAGTCGAACGAGAAGAACAGCTTGAAATTAAGGGAATTGGCGACCTGGAAGGCCAGTGGGATCTGCCTTTCATTCGAGGTTCCATTCCAAGCAATGTTCAGAGCGAAGGCATCTATCAATGATTCTTGGGCATAGGCAATTTCTCTTTCCCAGTCTGATGACGTGAAGAGTGCTGTGTTGTCAATCTAGTATTGAATCCTGTCAGTATTGCTGAACCCCATTTTTGTCTCGTGACCAGGATCAGAGAATGTGATTGAACTCACCAGAAAATGTGCGAACACAGCTTTTGAGAGAGCGTGCAGCGGGCACAGAAGTGCCACAAGTACAATAGGACACCTCATCTTGGCTGAGGAACAGCAGGGAAACTGAAGCAAATGGGTATCACCAGAACACAGGAACAGGAAGCATCACAAGCACAAAGGAACGCCACCACCCGGGAGCCGCAAATGGAGCCAAGACCAATCTTTTTATCTATTCTACCCGCGAGGCGCTTCGCCCTTTGTGACGTGACTGCCTAACCACAAACTGGGACATTATTGATGATGCTGCATGCACGCCTGCGGTCTGAGTGTGACTCTTTTTCGAAGCTTGCCCGTATTGCGACTGCTGGGGCCCACACAGACCCGATGTGTTGGCTCGTAGCCTGCATGCTCCGGCCCTTCTAGCCGGGTGACATCGTACCCGTGTTTGCGCCGCGGACGCCAGATACGATCGTGCGTGTGTGGTGAGCTGCGGCTCGCTTAGATACCCAAGGCTCGATCCGGTCACATCATGCGAACGTGACGCAGGAACCCATCACACACTCACCGATAGCAGCCGTGTTGCGCGCAGAAAATGCTTTCGCGCCGCATGTCTTGGCCCTTTACGAGCCACCAAGTGGGCTCAAATGCGAGAGAGAGAGAGAGCACTGGAGAATACGGCTGCTGGCCAAACAGAGGCCTTTGCAGTGCCACATGTTATACGGGAATTTATATGGACCGCACTGCCTAAAAATCAGTTGATTACTAAATTAGCGCCCCGAGTTTCATGCACGAAAGCCCAGGCCCCAGTGATCCTTCGCGGTGATGCTATCGCTTGCTGGCCAGATAAGAGGAGCGCTTGTGGCTATGCGCCCTTGACCCAATTCAGCAGTTCCATTACACGATAACGGCCAAATCCCGACCAGCCTCATCAAGGTGTTTCCATTGAAAATTCTCAAGAGGGGCCTGCCTGGAAAACCCCCTGAAAACCTGAACAACTGTGAATTTCAAGAGCAGCATTGATGCCACATAGAAAGTGTTTTGTGGGGAATGGTTGTTGACGTTTCCAACATCGAGTTCCGGTGTCACTCCAACTCCTCTCAAATACAGTCTTGGTGAATACATTCCTATCACATATGGTGAATTCACTTCTTATCAGGATTTTAAATTAGGGAAGCACGTGGCGGACGGGATATTGACAAGCACCTCGCAAGGCGTTAAAGAATAAATTTGATTACGACGATAACATGTGCATTTGTCATCAGAGAGCGCATGCCATTTCCTTGTCCAGACCAGTATTACCAATGGTCTCTGCAAATGGTCGGAGAGAGCTGCGTTTCACTATTCCAAGTCAAGTCAGGGTTGAACTCGATACCGATATGTACTTGAGTAGCCACCTGCATGTCGCTATCATTGCCACCCCCCCTGCCATTTGTGCCAAGGGTAAGAGACTCTGTTGTGCAACCATCGAACCGCCGTTGACGATTAGTCCCAATGCCACATGCCTCCGTGCTCTACGAGCGCGTCCTGAGCCTTGTGGTCCCATCTAGTTATCGTCAGGCAGTGTTTATGCACTGGTATAACGAACCTCGCTGTTATTATCGGAAAATATTGTTCTTTCATCATTCTACAACACCATTATTGTTCCGACTTAGCTAGGTCTCTAAGCATTTACCATTGTGCGGAGACACCGTGCGCCTTCCGGATGTACTGAGAACAAAACCACGCAGTAGGAGGATTCCAATCAGCACAAATAAAAGATGGATCAATATAACGTAGGAAAGATGTCTCCCCCAATCTCGCCCACGAATCGCCCGTCGGGAAGAGCTCGCCCTGGTCGCGAAATGGGGAGCAAAGAGCAATCCAAACACTCTTCTGGGTCCAGGCCATTGCCACCCCGAAGATATCCTTCACTCCCAAGAAGAACCTTGAGCCTAGAGTTAGGCCTGGCATCGGTATGAATCATGTCTATCAATTCTCTCAGATAGGGCTCTGTTTCGTCAGACTCCACCTGGTCCAGCCCGCTGAGAATAATGAGAAGCAGGGGGTTGCGATGCCCAAGTAGCATGCTGATAACTTTCAGCGCCGTCGAAACGGTATCATGTTGACCGTTGAGAGACGAAATAATAGCCGAAAGTCCGGGAGAATCGGCCAGAGTCTCTCCAGCGGTTATCGTCAGGCCATGGATCAGGGTGTAGAAAACTGCAATGAGCATGCTCATTTCTCGAGACTGATTCCGAGAAACAGGTTCCTCGAAATCGGCACCAGGTGTGCAGAAGCTTGATATGCACGGAATATTCGCTACCGTCGCCAAGTTGCGGATGTGTAAGGCGGCCAGGTGCGAGTAGTCCAGGCTCGCGAATGCCACACTGAGGATCCAGAGCACCTCGGACCGTGGAGACGCTGCCCAATCTCGAAGCCTTTCAACGATCAGGGAGGGGATGAGATTCGCCCGTAGATTCCCATCCTCGGAGGGCTGTGGACCGGCGTTTGTGACCGGTAGATACTTGAGAAGGCTTTGTGAGATTTTTTCCAACGCGCCTCGACTTTCTTTGTTCGTTGAGATGGAATCAGATAATGCGATTGGTTGACCACGAATTCCAGATGCCTCCAAGACTTGGTGTTGTGAGTGACCGACAGTTTCCGTGATCATTGTATTGTCTTGTATTGTAGCTTAAATTGACCAATTCTTAGTATCTAGGTAGGAATCATCATGGAAAAGCAACCAAGGGCATACTTACATCTAGCGCTCGCAACATCGACGTCGTACATATGATGCTCAGCCATTGCAGTGGCATTCTGGTGACAGTGGTACCCGATAATAAGCTCCACGAGTTCTTTCAGCTTTGCATCGTGTTTGTCGAGACGCTCCATCATCAGACGACCCTGGAATATTCTTTGCTCATGATCAAGTTTGTTCTGATTGTGAAGTTGGAGGACCCGATTACCCGTGATTTGAGCTTGGCGTTGATTCAATAGATGAGCGTGGTCTTTTATTCTGTTGCAGATGTTCCTTATCTCTGTTACCTGAGGACTGTCTTCTTTGATGTAGAAATCGTTTCTTAGTGACGACTTGATTCGTTCCCAACGTGATCCAAGATGCCATTGCATAAAATGACAGAAGAACTTGGAGTACCGGATATATAAAAGCACGACGAGCCGTTTGATGCTCTCGCTGGTTTGATGAACCCTTGATATGGCTGTGCTCAAGCACATTGCGTTTCCAATCTCTGCCAAAGCCGAAGAGAAGCCCTCGTAGATTTCGGTATGCCTCCCAGCGGCCTGAAAGTTGTCCCGTTAGCAAGATGTCATTCTAGTAGTTGCCAGGATATAGACACCCTCAATATGGTATACACGAACCTTAACAGTGGTGGAGATCACCCCGGTAAAGAGGGATACGTACTTATCCCCATCAGGGATGATTGAAAAGAGGTCTGAGAATGATAGAAGAGTGTCAGAAAATTCGAGAAAGTTATTCTTTGCTTTGGACATCCCAGAATTCCCTCTCGCATCCCAGTCCTGCACCGTTTCTCTCGTAATTGACTGGAGATCATGAAAGCTTGGGGGCCCTCTGGTGCCAAGGTCGTGAGTTTTAGGATGCTTGATTTTCATTTGAAACTCATCCCACGTCTGCGCCAATAATTCGAATTCTTTTACTAGGTCTTCGACTTCCCAACTGCGAAGTATCAGCGGTTTCGAGGTACCTAGGTAGTCTTTAACATAACAAAAGTTGGGTTCAAACCTGTCTGATCCATAAGCACTGAAACACTGATCGAATCCGCTAGAGTCTTGATAATATCCAATTTCTTCTTCTGCAGAATCGGTCATTTCGCTCTTGTGAAGAAGTTGCGCCAGCTGATTGTGAGGTAGTTCTGCAGCTACCTTGGCACTGTTGCGGCGCACGAAGGCCGAAGCCTGTAGCTTTCTGTCCAGGCTCGCCATGCTGGGGCACGCTTGGAGGGGCGGGCGCGCGAAGCCCGGTTATTCAGGCTTCTGTATAGTAGAATGACACAGTCTTGCTTGGGTTTGGTGCTGGAAAAGAGGCCGATGAAGCATCGTCCAAAGTGCATGGAGCAAAGTCCGGCGAAGTCGTGGATTTGGCCGGTAACACAGCCGCCGTGGAATGCAGCCTCAAGTGCTTCTAGACGCGTACAGTTACATTAGGCAGCCCACCTCCCACCCATTGTAAGTGGCTGATCATACCCGAAGGTGGTCAGCATTGGGCGTCTGGGCGGTCATCATTTAATTCGCGCCCGGCTGATTGGAAGCTTGGCACGCAGGAACAGGGCGAGACATGCAGGTATCTTGATGTGGTCGATTAGGGAGCGAGCTAAAATGCGGCTGAGTTTCAGCGGCTCCTGCAATGGTTGTGGTATGAGGGGAAGTCAACACATTATAAGCCGGCTTACTTAAACCTCTTTAGATCGGAATACTTGGAGAGGCATGAGGAACATATCCTCTCGGGAAAACCACTCAGCAGCGGCCCTCACTTACTCGGGCCATCCAAAATACCCAGCATGGAATCCAGCGTTGTGCCCGAGCCGGCCAGTGTACCCGTCTCACCTTCCACGCAAGACAGTGCTGAGCGCAGTGCAGCTCAGAGTGTCAACGAGCCTGCCGCTGCTCACACAGAAGCATTTGTCTCTCATTTGACCATGTCCAAAGACCCGCCCGAGGACATCGCAGCCGATGGAGAAAATGGCCGGCCAGTCATATGGTGTCGGGTCGAGCTGAGGGACCCTGAGAATTGGGCGAAATGCCTTCTGTTGAAGGAAGACAGACACCACTGGCAGGGGCTGGATCGAATCGACGTCCCGCAAGATAAGGCAAGAGAGAGCGACATGGGAGAAAATGACACAGGAAACGAAGATCACACTGATCAGTCCATTTCTCCTGAGGATCCTCCCATACTCTATTCAAATCACTTTGTTGACCGAAAAGACAACGTTATTGTTGCCGATCCCTGGCCTGAGGCGTTGGACTTTGACAAAGAGCGTGAGAACCCGGCTGGGTCGAGTCTGCAACGAGGCGCAACCATCATCCAGTTCGTCACTACCATCGGGACGAATATAGATAATGCGCCTTACTATACTCATACATATCGTGATACCCAATCAATCCTGTCAGATGCAACGGTGGCTGCGGACGTCATCAGAAGGGAAGTGGTCATCCACAGTGTACCAATCATCAACGTATTCAAAGCAATGGTTACGTACTTTCCGGGTCTCGAGCTTCTTGGAATCACAATGACTATCCCTGAGCCATACTGCGCCTTTTATCATTATCACAAGGAGATCAAGGCCCTTCGACGTGCTCTCAATGCGCCGACAACGTCTCCGGTTGGAAACATACCCTCCCAAACTACGCCGTTGTGGCACCCTGACACATCAAAACATCTCCAAATTTTGTCAGACTTTATTGAAGGAGAAAGCCTCCTAGAAGTCGAGTTGGAGCAAGAGCGTCACCGTCGAAACCCTCCAGTTGCCACATATCGGATGATGTGGCTATTGTTCAAGCCGGGGACCATGGTCTATCACATCAGCGGTGGCAGAGCAACCGCAGGAATAGTCATCTCGGTTCAGACAGACATTGGTCGGAAGAGAGCGGGCCTTCGGTCGTTAAAGTTCTGGCATCTGGACTTTGACGGGTTCAAGATGGGCAGACGCGAAGTGAGCTACGATTTCAAGCCATTTGAGGGCGAGAAGAAAATACTCGACCTCGCGGTATGTCCATGTGAAATATATGACGCTCAAGACAACGAAAGCCTGCGTGAGAAGCTCATATCACGGGGCAAAAGATTTTGGAAGTTTCTACCAGGAGTGCAGGTTGACTACGACGGCAGACTTCCGGAGGAGGCTATTGATTGGGTAAGTTGATACTTGAACCTTGAAACTCTAACACCGGAAAACTTGCGAGATGTTGTATTGACGAAGTTTCATTCCAGACAGGTCGCGTCATCGTTGATCCAACGACATATATAAAACATGCTCCACTAGATGAAGATCGCTTTCAGGACATTCTAATGCCACCTCTGGTTGGTAAAGTCCAGGACGCGATGAATACTAAGGTGAAGGTGGACCCAAATTCGAGGGACAACGACAACTTCTTGCCCCGTTGGGAATCTCCCGCGGAGAGGATGAGCCGGCACCGTCGGGAGGCCCAAGAATTGTCAGTATATGATGAGGGTCTATGGGCGGAATACGAGAACATCATACCAGGTGATACGACTAGCTTAGAGCTCGATGTCGGCACGGCAGCCCGTGATAGAGACTCTAGATACCTTTTGTGCCCCAAAGATGTGATTGGCTTCGACCTGAAGACCAGAAGATGGAGTAAGTTGGGGCTTTGTCTTTTCTTATGACACTGACAGCGAGATCTTAGAGGGCCTGTTCCTTCACTGTACACTCTGGGCTAATTCCTTGGGACCTAGTACTCCTTGATGTGGACTGTTGCAAGGAGGTCGACTTCAAAGTTGATGCCGTCAACAATCTTGTGATGAAGGATGACAGGAAGGCGGTGATCAAGTCTCTGGTCCATCGATATACAGTGGCAGACACAGCGACAGCTAATGCCTTGCGGGGCGAAGGCCCCCAGAGCAAGCTATCTAGACCCTGGACGGCAGACTTCATCAAAAACAAGGGCGATGGTCAGATATTTCTTCTCCATGGTGGCCCGGGCGTCGGAAAAACATATGTGAGTGCGAACTCTTCACAACGGCGTTATACATGGTGATATACTCTTGCTGAACTCCTGCGAAGACTGCAGAGTGCATTGCTGAAGCAACACGTCGGCCCCTGTTGTCGTTGACTTGCGGGGACTTTGGGACGGATGCGACTATAGTGGAGCAGAGGCTCTCAAAATGGTTCCGTTTGGCAGAAGTGTGGGGTGCCGTCATGCTCCTTGATGAAGCCGACATTTTCTTGGAGAGAAGGCAGTTGACCGATCTGAACAGGAATAGTCTTGTTTCCGGTAATAATCATTTCTCCAGTTTTCCTATTCCATCCTCGACTATAGGACATCCTAGGGCATTCCATGAGAGGCCAGTCAGTAGGATTATAGCATCACGCTGACATTGTTCAAGTTTTTCTAAGGACAATGGAGTACTACCGCGGTATCCTCTTCCTGACGACCAACCGCGTCGGCAACTTCGACGATGCATTCATATCTCGCATACACTCTGTGATTCACTATGAAGGATTCTCTGACAGCGTAAGAGAACGAATATGGGAGCAATTCTTCCAGAAGCTGGAAGCCGAGCGACGGACCAAGGTGAAGATCGACCCGGACGCCCGCAGATACGTGCTTTCTCACGAGGATATGAAGGCCGTTCAATGGAATGGGAGAGAAATCCGAAATGGTGAGCGACTGTTGATTTATCGCCTATGTTATCGGTTTCCAAGGGCAATGACTAATGATGACTTGCACGTTCCAGCCTTCCAAACTGCAGTGGCGTTTGCAGAGTATCGGTTTTCCCAGCTCTCGCCTGAAGAGAAGGACGAAGTGGGTGGGAGAGCATGCTTGGAAGCCCAGGACTTTGCAAAAGTCAGTGAGATGACCATGACTTTCAAGAAATACCTGAAGTCTATCAAAAGAGATGAAGACACAGTAGCAAAGATGGGAGGATTTCGTTGATGGTGTTCTTGTACCAAAATAGCTGTCAGCAATTAATTCATGATAATGATATTCATTTGCCAGTTTCGGGCCAACAAAATATGACATCTCTCAGTTTCTGCACTCAAATACCAACAGTATCTGCCTAGATTGTTAATAAGGCAAATATGCTTCTGCTGAATAGCCACCGTTCTACCACCGACAATCATCTCTTCTGAGGTTACCAGTGGGTGATCAACCTTGTTCGTTCGGGCGGGTGGCCGTTCCCCGCCCGCCATCAAACGGCAGCGCCAGGTCAGACTCCCTTAACCACTCATAGTTTAGAAACCACACCAAGTAAAACTCAGAAACAGAATTCGATATTCGACCATTTGGGCGCAGTGGCCACCTCTAAGAGCTATTTTGCGGGTGCACAGCGTGCGGTACCACGCGCCAGGCTTGGCCCTTCACAATAAATTCACCCCGACTCCTGCTGGCTCTAATACGCATGGCTTTCGCTTGCGATCTCCGCAAAAATATCAGCCAGTTCTCATAAGCACAAGTTAGAGCTGCTATTTAGATATAATTATCACCTTGATATGATTATGCGACCAAGTTGTCTAAAGCGGTTGCATAGTCTGCGACATCTAATACCTAGGTACCGCGCAGGCGTCCGAGGAGGTTCAGACCAGAATGCCCAGGTGGCGCGTACCATCTTTAGCGAGGATACAGTTCCGGAGAGTCAGGGACCTCTACCGACTTTTTTAATTTGTGGTTCTTCAGATTAGGTGCCAGATTGACGCCTCTTTTCCGATTTACTTGTATCAGTCAGTGGCCCATATTCTCAGTTCCGGAATGAGTCACAGACTTGAAGCACCTGGTACATGATTCAAGCAGTTTGCTTCTACCGTCTATGGCTTCATATTTGAAACTAGTCGATTTGTCCCTATGCCTTGCAACTTCCCAAGACCCCTCGTTGCTTCATGATGCATGGGCCCAAGTATAGCCGCCGCCCTGGTGATAAAAGTCCTGATGGTAGCCATGCTGTTGACAGACGTTCTGATCATATGTGTGCTGGTAGTAATTGCCATGATCATTATCATATATATGTGATGGAACCTCACTCATGTTTCTGTCTGCCCACGGGGCGGGATAAGTGAGGCCACCACTGACTGCATAACCCGCCTGGATGTGGACTGACTCCATTGGGGTGACATGCGTCTGTGGAAGATTCTTTTGTGCTACTTGGCACAAATTTTCCGGTGAGGTGGCGCAGTGTTTCTGAGGAAGATTCTGGAGGTTTGCTTTCGTGTCGTTGGAACGCGCAAAACGGGAATAGATACTTTTGAACGGCCAGACCCGCTGGGGATGCTCAGGGCTTGTTCTGTGACCAAGGTGGGGTTCTTTCTTCGAGACAAATAGTTGACGGAAGGAGCCGATAGAAGCCACAATAATTGCTGAAGAATGTCAGTCTTGAATGAGCCGGGACAGTAGAAATGAAATTCTTCCTTACAAGTTCCCATCTCAACTACAGACCAAAGATACAGCCAATCAATAGCTGGCTCTTTAAGTTGCTGCTGTGTACCTTTTCCCAAAGCCATGCGGATAATAGACATCAAAATAATTAATATAGTCGCTGAGAAAACGGCAAACAGGATAATCTTGTTGCGGCGCGGAATTTGAACATTCCATAACATGATCACCGGAATCGAAACGATGAGCCCATCTGTAATCACATCCGCTGCCGTGTTGCCGTAGAAAGTTTGGTTTTGCCAGTTGATGTGACTCGGAGTAGGACACACAGCTTAGTAAAATCAAACTGTTAGCCGCGGGCGCCGAGGTGGCTAAGACACGAAGACAGTTATACGCGTAAGACTTACTTAGGATGAATTCGGTATCACCAATGGTGCATCCGTAATCAATATCGGCAACACAGCCAATCCATGCCACAACAGTCAAGAACAGCACAACCCACCACCATGTTTTGTGAAACCTGACGACCCTCGAATCTAATCGTCGGAAAAAGATGAGAAAAGACAGTTTGACAGCCCATAGACTGGAGTAGAATAGATAATTCCAAATTACAACAAATGGCAAAAATGAAGCCTGATGCTGGTAAAAGGCTTCCGTAGGAGGGGTTTTCCCGCTGAAGACATCTTCCATCCAGAACAAAAAGTATATTTTGACCTGCCAAGCAATGGTGAATGCAAGGAGCATAAGCCAAGCAACGATCACCAGCCAGTCATCACTTTGCAACCTGCGGGAAGACTGAAAGCGGACGGCCAGACGGAAAGCCAAGAAGAGAAATGATAAAGCCGTTGATGACCACGCAGTTGCCTGAGGCCGTTAGCTTTTTAAGAATCCTCCGGTCGAGCCCATTCATCGGTCGGACTGAATGCTATACTTACGAGAAAGGTCATTTGGCTCACTCGCTGCAAATTGGCGATAGTCGATTCTTCTCCGGCAGAGGCCATGGTGAGGTCAAGGCGGACCAAAATGGGAGTATGTCTCCGAGTGAGTCCAAATACAGCAAATGTACTACAGGTCGTAATTACATGCCTCGTAGAAACCACTTAATCCTTTTGAAACAAGAAAACAATAAGTTTAAGAAGGGCCTCTCGTGCATGAGCACCGCGATTCCCAGAATTCTCGTTCTAAGCCAAATGAAGAAGGGCTATCGAGCGCGTACCTAATTTTGGGTGCATGTGGAGCCAGCTGTCACCAACAGGTCACATTGCATGTCAGTGTTCTGCTTGAAGGAGGCGGCAAACGGATGTGAATGCCAAAAACACAACCAACGCAGCCAAAAGTGGACCCGAAACAATTTTCTACCTATGTGTAATGGATCTGATTAATTTTGTATGTGGGTATTATGCGACTGCACGAACTCACCGCCTGAGCTTTAAATGCATGTTGGTTCGAGATCTTGGATAGCGCGTTCCACTGCCGGATCACATGAGGTGTTGAAAAGATCTCTATAGCTGATCGAGATCATAGAAGTTGGAAAGTCTTTGTGCGAATTTGCCTCTTAGTGACGAGCTTTAGCAGAAGGGTCTTGAAGCGTTTACCACTATATCAAGAGACTACACACGCATTTGGATGCATTGGATTGATTGAGAATGAAACCACCCCACTTATTGTTCCACAAGCATCAGCTTCACCTGATCTGGATCCTCCATCCTAAGCAGTAAATCATGGTTTGCATGGTTGATACATGCGAGCGTCCTCTTCTTTGCGGATTCTTCTGTCTCTCCAGGCGTTTTCCTGACTAGCAGCCGACTTTTGCGGAAAAGGCAGGCTAAAATTGCGACTGATTCGACCTCGGAAAATTTCTTGCCTGGGCAGTTCTGCGGGCCGTCTGACCAAGGAAAGTAAGTATTTGGCGTGGGGTCGCTTAATACCTCTTGCCCCGGGCCACCGGAGCTATCAGCTTCAGGCGTGATCCAACGTGATGGCTTCCATGTGTAGGAGTCACTCCAATACTGTGGATGCAACTGAATAGCGAGGAGATGCATCATGGTACGCGTCCTTGCGGGGATTTGGAGGACTCTGTCGCCAACTCTGAGCGTCTGAGCGTTGTTGGCAGTCCACTTTGTCATGACCATGACTGGAGCATAGACCCGAAGTGTCTCAAGGAGTATGGCGCGGCAGCGAATCAGGCGAGGGAACAGTTCTTGATATTCCCACTCCTCTATAGGGATACCTTTGGTGACAGCAGAAATCTCCTCTGCCAGCCAATCTTGCACTTCAGGGTACACAGAGAGCAGGTACAAGCTGTAAGTGAGGGTATTGGCTGTCGTATCGTGACCGGCAAAGTTGATGACAAACAGGTTGCTCAGGATCTCGTCAACAGTGAGGCCCTTCTTTCCGTCTTTGCTTGTCTTGAGCTCAGGTGAGGTAATAAGTTCCTTCCGGTGCAATTCCAGAGAGTGGACAAAGCCGCTCATAATGCCGCCAGACACTGGTTTACCCTCCTTCGAAGCTGTGACTTCCTTCTCCAGCATGGCTGTCAAGTGAGTTTTGAAGGCCCTTGCGGCATCACCCACTTCGACAAGTTTCTTCGGAACAAGAGGTCCCTTGAGATACCGATAAGGTATTAGCATGATCAGGATGGCGTTGTCGAGAACCGTAGATAGAGTTTTGCGATAGCCGGTCTCGTCATCTGCGTGGACCGTCGTCTCATGAGAAGCCTTAAATGGGTATGACTTGCGAAAGCCGGTTGCTGAAAGCACGTTTAACGAGATGGTCCGTATGTCTTTGCGGACGCTCGGAATTTCGGACACAGTCATGCTCGCTGTCCTCCACGAAAGTCCCATTGCTTCCGATTGCCGGATGCTCTCGTCCCAGACAAATTTCATGATGCTCTCGTTAAACGGAGCTGCCATTGCTTTTCGATGACGAGCCCAATCCTCGGTTCCGGCTGTGGAAATCGAAAGGCCGTAGACATTCAATGTATCTGTTCATGTGAGCGTACTTGGCCATCTACGCGAACGACGGACTCGTGGATGCAGAAAACCATAAGGAGATCACTCACTGTACTCATGAACTGGGCGCTGAAAGTCCCAACGCCTCGAGAAAACATCATTAATTGCCTGGGGGTCTGTAATATGCAAGTAGATGGACATAGGCGTGACAATGGCCCAGACCGGGCCGAATTGCAGTGCCGTATCTGCCTTTTCCCTGAAGTGCCATCCGCGGTGCAGAAGACGGACAAAGTTTGGGTAAGAAGACCATTTGATTGGTAGCCGGTCAAGAACACCCCAGACATGAGGTTGAATGATCATCCAAAGCACGTTTCTCACAGGGTCGATTGGAACTCGTACGAGCGGGATACCGATGGAACGAGCTCTGTGCATATTGATCTCTAGACACGCTAGACTCCAGATGAAGTAGCCTAGGGCTGAGCCCAAGACGAAGTATAGAATCATGGTGGCGTGACGGCGAGCTGCGTTTTCGAGGCAGAAAAGAGAGGGTAGTTTGGTGGGTGTGATATGGTATCGCAGTGCACAAAATTTGCGTAAAGTCCAGGTCGGGGCCGGGAGATATTTGCGAACAAGGAAGAAATGCAATTGAACGCTGATCGTTGGTTCTGAAGTCTTGCGCGGCACGCCTGGGTGGTCCCACCCCACCGCGGCGTAGGACCCGTTTTGACGTACCAACAAGACTTTCAGGGATCCTTTCTTCCTGTTGGCACCCGCTACGGCTACAGTAGTGCGACCCGCGTCAGCACTTGGCCATTGCGATTGCATCTGGATCCTTCTCCAATTTCCTCTGAATGTGCCATAAGAGTAGTTCCATGCTGTGATGTGACTATTGGGTTGGTGTAGGGGTGGTAGTGCTTAGCTTTAGAACTCAGTTTAGTTTCCTTGGCTTCAACCTGCTCAAGTACCACCAGAAGAGGGGCGATTCCACCTCCGCGGGTCCGCTAAAACACGCAGGAAAAATATTCTCGGAGGACCAGATTCTGCCCGGATCTCTTACACCCATCCTGTTACCGGTCGAGGTCTCACACGCCAAGTCCGCATACCTGCTAGTTATGGGCTAAGAACGACACGATCTCTTCATAATCCTTCGAAGCTGTAACTCGGAGAGGTTTGCATTGACGACAATGCTCCAGGCAGAACCTCTATGTGCGCCACTCAGCACTAAAACTGGACAGTTTTAGTGTGGCCTCGCGATGCTGCAATCCGAATAGGTGGGCATTGGCTACCGACCTCTCCAGCCAAAATTTCAGTGTCTGCTCCTTTCAATAACAACTGATTCTTTCCCCCTTGGATACTGCTTTACTTTTAAGGGGTCTTAAGAGTTTACTACTATATAAAGGTGCTATATAATATCCTTAACCTATATTCTAATAGTCCCCTAAATCTAACTATTTTATATTTATATTTATATATATATATATTTATCTTTATTTTATTTATATTCTTTTATAATTTTATAAGGAATTTTTTTTTAATTATTAAACTTTTTTTAAGTATTATTTTAATTATTATAAAAGTATAAAAAAGATTTATAATATATTTATAATAGTTAGGATAAAATATTTATATAAAAGTTTTAAAATTTAATATATTTAATATATTATATTATAGAATTATTTTTAATATATAAAATAAATTTATTATTTATAAATTTTATTAACTATTTTTAATATTTAAAACTAATTAATATTATTTTAATTAATTAAAGTAATTTAAATTATATTTTAATTTATTAAAAATATAGACTTTAATAGATTAAATAACCTTCTTTTTCTTAATATTTCTTTATTAAGGAAGAAATAATTAAAAGTTTTTAATTTATTACTTTATTTTTAAAAGTTATAAGTATTAATAAATTAAAATAAAATAATTAAAAACAATAATAAAAAAATATATTTATATAATTTAATTTAATATAACTATTTATTATAAAGATTATTAAATTAAATAATTATTAAAATATTAATAAAAAATTAATAAAAGGAAAATTTAAAATAATATTTATAATTAACTATTTAAAAAGTAGTAAATTATTTTAAAAGGATTTTAATTTATATATATAGACCTTTTTATAAAATATATATTTATTATAAATAAGTTTTAAACTTTTTATTATTTTTAAAAATTAAATATATAATAGTAATAATTTTTATAATCTTTAAAAATTATATAAATTAATAGTTTATAATAATAAAAAGAATTAAATAAAAGGTTTATTATAATTAAATAGTTAAAAAAGTTTTTCTTTTAAATTATATTAAAAGATTTATTTAAATAATATCTTTTATAATTAATAAATATTATATATATATTATAATTAACTTTATATAAAAATATTTTTAAATAATATTTATATTATTTTTTATTAATTATTAATTTATATATATTTTAATTACTTAATATATTAATTTTTAATTTATTTAAAATAATTTTTAAAATAATTTATAATATTAAAATAATTATAATTTTTATTAATAATTATAAAAAAGATTTTTATTATTATTATAAAGTATAAACTATTTATATTTTTTTAATTCTATTATTAAGCTAGAAGTAAATAGTTAGAGTCTTAAAGGGATAAAATATAATATATCTTTTAAAGATTAATTTAGTTAAGTTTATTATATAGGACTTTTTATAATAATTTTATAATTTATATTTATAATACTATCTATTATTAGAAGATATCTTTCTATATTAATACGTTAAATTGTACCTAGTTAGTTTAGGCTAGTGTGTTAAAGGTTAAAGCTATTATAAACTATAAGTTAGTCTTAATACTGTTAAGCACTATAAATAAGGTTGCTATATAACTTAGGTGAATATAAGTTGGCTGAAATGGGTGAAAATAAAGTTATTATTCCCCTAATTAGGAATATATATAGGTTCTAACTCTACTCTATAAGTAAATACCTATCTATTAGCTTCGCAAATAAAACCACTTAAAAGTAGTTACTTAGCCCACTAAACTAAGAGATAACTAAGTAAGGTAATTATACTCTATTATTATATATAGTATTTAAGTTTATAGTTTTAATAGCTCTATTATAAATAAAAAAAGAAATAACTATTAATAATTAAGTTTATAACTATATAAAAGTAGACCTCTACTTTAAAGAGAAGTTATTATTATTTAAAATGATTAATATATTTTTAAAAAGATTAAAAGATTATAAACTTAATTTAAAGTATATTAAAATTTATAAGAATCTTAAACTTAAGCTTAAAAGTTTTAAATTAAAGTTTATACTTATAAAAATAAAAGCTTTTATAAAGTTTAAGAAAAACTTAAATAAAGTTAGAGATTAAATTAAATTATAATATAATAAAATAGTTAAATAAAAATGAATTAGAAAATTATAATTATAAATCTTTTAACTTTATATTTAAAAGGGTTATTATAAAGTATATATTAAAATTTTATAAAATTAAATATTTAATTTAAATAATAAGTAATTAGTTTATAATTACTTTTAAGTATAAAGCTTTTAATATATACTTTATTAAAGATTAATAAATTATTAAAGTAAAAAATAAAAAAGTTATTATTAAATAAAATAATATATATTTTTATATTAAATAATATTTTATTAATTCTAAAAACTATTTTAAAACCTTTAAATAATTATAAAATTATATAATATGATAATTAAATATATTTATAATAAATATTTAAACTTTATATAATAACTTTTTTATAAAATTTTAAAAGTTAAAATTAAAAAATATTAATTTAATAATATTTATAAAAAGAATTTAAAAATTAAAATATTAATTAAAAATTAATAAAATAATTTAAAAAAAGGTTTAATTTAATTTAAATAAGTTATTTATAAATATTAAAATAATTTAATAAACTTAAATTAAAATTAAATAAATATTTAAAAAAAATAATAAAAATAATTAATTAAAAACTTTAATTATTAAAAAGAATAAAATTATAGTAATAATATAAATAAAATTAAGGTAAAAAAGTAGTTAAAAGAGGAGATAATTAGATTTAGAGGATTGTTGGAATATGGGCTGGGGATGTTATGTCCTCGGACGTATATAGAATAGAAGCGAAACCACAGAAAAAGTCGGAATACGTCAATGAGAGTAGGGTCAGCTTTTGTCTACGGAACCAAAGGGGGTTCTGCTGGCTTTCAAATATTTGTCTGCATCTTATGATATCGGTCCCTCAACAAAGGCCCAATGCTGGGCACAACCAACTCCTACATAACATGAGATTGGCCGGCCGGAGCTTGTTGGTCAATGTCACAACGACACCTCAACCCACAGGGCGAACACTTGTACGTTTAGAGAAGACTATGATGACTGACAGCAGACAGTGGCCTGTAGGAATATCTTGCTCCCGTTGAAGCTTGGGAGTTTATGCGCAGCAATCTAAGCACGTGCGGGGTCGACATCTGAAGCCACTGCGGCTAATTACTCACAATGCGGGACCATTCTTGTCGTCGTCAGTCTCCTTCTCCACGTAGACATTCACTCTCCTCAGCAGCAGCCAATACTCAAGACATGGCAGACATCGGCGAGTGTGCTGCGAAGCTGGACTACCAGCCGGAGTCCCGCTACCCTGACAAACCTTTCTTTAAAGGCCCGGAGGCGCCGTGCCGGTTCGAAGCGGAAATTTATAATTGCATGGTCAGAGGAGAGATTCCCCCTCAGATTGATGGCACTTATTACCGGGTGATGCCCGATGCGCTGTGGGCTCCACTGTACGATGATGACGTCTTCATCAATGGCGACGGGGCCGTTGATGCCGTGCGCATCAAGGATGGGCATGTGGACTTCAAGCAGAAATTTGTTCGGACAGAGAAATTCACCATCGAACGGGCTGCCAGGAGAGCAGTCTACGGCAAATACAGGAACCGGTACACTGACGACCCAAGAGTCCGGACACGCTGCCATGCAACGGCCAACACACATGTGGTGTATTTCGAAAATCAACTATTGGCATTGAAGGAGGATTCCCTGCCGTATGCAATGAATCCAGACACCCTAGAGACCAAAGGTAGGTCCACAAAGGAGCCTGGACCGAGCAATGCTGACTGTTGCCAGGTGCCTACGATTTCCATGGACAATACACATCTCCTACTTTCACAGCCCATCCCAAGATCGATCCTCACACGGGGGAAATGATCACTATGGGCTATGAGGCAAAGGGAGACGCCACCAGGGATGTAGCGTATTTCTTGTTCGACAAGAATGGACGTAAACTCGAAGAGTGCTGGTTCCAGACCCCGTTCACGGGTATGATGCACGACATGGCCGCCACTGATAAATATGTCATTTTCATTTTAACGCCACTGACGACTGTGCCCGTCGAGCTAATGAAGGAAGGCCATAAACACTTCGCGTGGTCTGAGGACAAGCCCCTGACCTTCGGGGTTCTGCCACGTCGAAATCCAAAGCCAGGAGACGTCAAGTGGTTCCACTACAAGAACGCATGTGAGTAGCTGCTTCAGGGATTTAATATCCGCAGACAAACAGATTACTCCCAGCTTCTCTCTACCAATAGCTTTATATAGTTAAGCTAACATGACTGGTTATAGTCTATGGGCACACCGGCAACGCCTTCGACGGTGACGATGGTTGTGTCTACTTAGATGCCCCATTGACTTATCACAATAAGGTGAGTTCTAATTTGGAGACTGAAAAATGAGAAACGCATGTGATAACCAGGGGCGCAGTTCTGGTTCTTCCCACCTGTGGGACAGAACATGCACACAGCTCCCAGTGCGAAGCCGCCCAAGGACAGCACAATCAGTCATTACGTACGGTGGAAGTTCGACCTCAATGCCACTGACCCCTACGTCGAACCAAAGGAGTTGGTCAACCTAGATGGGGAGATGCCCAAAGTTGACGCGCGCTACGAGACCAAACCATACAGCCAGTTGTTCCTCGCCATGCACGACCCGAACTCCCATGAGCCCGCCATCGGAGGGGCGTATAACTCCATTGCGAGGTGCTCCATAAAGACTGGGAAGTATCAGTACTGGTCGGCTGGAAAGTCAACAGCATTGCATGAGGTGGCTTTCGTCCCCCGGTCGCCGGATGGTAAGTCGTCGAGCGTGTGAGGCACTGTAGTCTGAAGAACGCCTGCTAACGATAGCCCTGTGAATGAGTAGCTCCCGAGGCAGACGGATACCTGATCTCAGTGGCGAATAGGAGAGACAAACTGCTTACTGAAATTGTCATCCTGGACACAGAAAAAATCCCGCAAGGTCCGATTGCTATAATTGAGCTTCCATTCAGGCTCCGGGCTGGGATTCATGGAAGCTGGGTGATGGGAAGCGACCTACCTCAAGACAAGGATCTTTGTGACATGCATAGAATCAGCGAAGAAGTGAAGAGGGAATTTGGGAAGTCAGTCTCTGCGACAAATGGACAAGGCGATATTGTGAATGGTAGCAATTGAAGGTGAAAACATCTCCAGTAAGGAATTGAAGCCATCGCATGCCTAATGAAACTCTCCCCTTAAACGTTACAGGACCCGTGGACATCGTCATAAATCGCTGCCAGAGCCCGACTAGATCTCTCGTGAATCGCAACACACACATGTCCTCTTGAAGCTGCTCAGCGCCCAAATCCACAACTTAGAGAGTATACTGAAACACATCCTGGCTTCAGATTACTTAGCTTGAGGATTCCATCACAAGTCAACCTTGACAGCAGCCATGTTCTCAGAAGAGAAACCAGTCACATAGAGCCAAGCCTTCTTCTTACCACCCTCCTTCTTGGGATCGATGCCAACCATAAGTGCAGTAGCGGCATTCCTAACGATGCTACCATCGTCTTCCCATAGCTTTCTCTTGTCCCATTCGCCTGTAACATTCTTACTGGGAGTCGCCAGCCAGCCCATGGAGCCCTCCCTTCCCCCGGGGAAGTGACCGATTTTGCTGAGGTTGATACCCCTGATCAAGCCAGGGAGCACAAAGCCGCTCGCATCGTCGCCAGAGCTGGCAAACGGGTCCGAGTAATAACTGGGGTTGTCGGTGGTAACGTCGAGGTCGATGATCTCCTTGACCTCGATTGTCTTCGCGTCTGAGGACCCCAGCTTTCCGACCCACATGAACCCGCCGATGGCACTGGTCACCAAGATCTCGTCTGGAGTCCGCCCGTGGCCCATCCCGTTAGGATTCCAGAGCTTATCCAGGGCCACACTGGCGTCTACCTTGCCATCGTCGGACACGGATGCCCAGATCACGTTTGACCACTTGGCACCGGGAAACGAGTCTTCTATGCTCCTCATGTAGCCCTCATAGTAATAGTGGTCATTCGTGACATAGATTTCAGTTGGACTGACGGCGTAAACATCGTTGGGTGTCTTGATAAGCGGATGGCGGATGGTACGAATGTGCTTGGCCGAGCCCCCGCCGATCGTGTGGTGGAAGAGCTCGATCCTGGAGGCGGCCTTGGGAGCTGTGCCTGGGTCAGATGTCGGAGTGCTTCCATCGCGTGGGTACACAGCCTCGTTCGGGACATGGTTGATCGCGAAGATGTAGACAGCTTCGCCCGCCGGCTTCTCTGGGTCCGGTATAACGTCGATGCCGTGGGTGATGAAAGGGCCCTCAAAGTTTTCAAACTTGAGCCTCTTGTTCTCCCTGGTCTGCAGGTTGCATTAGTTGCTCTGCCCAACCATTCTCCCATTGAGACCCCGGCCTCACTTACCTCAGGGTCGATGATATGTATGGATCCTTGGCTGTTCCACGCCACGTTTGCATCGTCGAATGTACCTAGAGGTGGAAACCACTTGAAGCGTGTCTCGCTCACATCTTCGCATGCGGTGAAGAGAGTATGAGCTGGGGCGTAGTAGTGGATGTCCTCGCAGTGAGTTGTATCTTTGAAGACGACCAAGTCATCTGGATTAGACAATGGCGTCGAACTGAGTTCTCTGAATGTGCCGATCTTGCTGTAGTACCGGTGCGTAGCCGGCCCGTAGAGAAAGGCCGCCAGCCCAGCCAAGCCGGCCATCAATATCCCCGCGGTCGCCATTTCAAAGATTTCTGCAAACTGTTGGCATCAAATTGACTCCCTCTGGCTAATCGTGAAGGTCACGGCGATGAGAGATCACTGACAGCAACGTGATGACTTCAAATGTTCAGTCAAACTACGGACGCCTGTCGCATGTGTTTCTTTGATGAGGGGTCTAAGTAGCTTCCCCTGTTCAAGACGTCACAAAACCAGAGCTATCCTTGACAAGTGGATCTCGGAATCCGCTGCGTCCAGCGCTTCGCACAGCCGTTGATCTCGTTATGGGCCTCACGGACAGTGCGGGGAACAAAGTCTAACATCTCCACAGCCGAGAATCCCGGCACACCAACAGTACTGCGGAAAAGCAAATCCGAAGCAGCTTTCCACAGATGCGGCCTGGCTGTGGGACTGAATTTGGATGAGCAATGTGATGCTTGCGTCATGCCTGTTGAAGTGATCGACACGAGTGACAGTTGACCAGGGTAATCAAATCTCAGCCAATTACCTAGATATTCTATAGCCGCCCGCACGAGATGACAATTCTGCTTCATGCGAGAATTCATACATGATATGTTGTGACCTGATACATGTAACTGAAGAGACAGTCTTTTTATTGACCCACATGTAATTGCGTTGGAATAAACTCTCAATTTATTATTGCTGTAACTATGGAATGTGTCGACTGTAGCTCGAAGAAAGATAAACGTTCATTTGAGCAGAATGAAGAAAATATTCAAGGTGTAGCTGCGAACGTATGAACCATTACCCAAGTAGGTATTTGCATCCAAAAGCTGCCAATGGTGACCAAGCAGGCAAGCGACGTTGATGTGATTTGGAAGGAAGCAGCAAGGATTACTTCCATGGCTTGCACTGCCCAGCCGCTCAAGACTTGCGGAAGAAACCTGACCGAAAAAGGGGTGACGTGTGATTTTTGCGTGCCCAAAAGCTAAAGCAAGCAACTGTACCACACCGCCCATGCAATCGCGCGCACATGTTTGAGCTGTTCTTTGAGCTATCGAATCCACCACTTCCTGCATTGTCATGGATGACTTGTGGCACTGGTATCGTCAAAATGTTTGACAGAACGAAACGAGCTCCGAATGCCATCATGCCGACGGATTGCCTGAGTCGGTTTGCGGGCAGAGTACATTGAACCACTCATCGTCCTCTCTGTCCTCGTAGTAGTACTTGGGTTTGTTCCGCGAGCTGAAATGTGAGCGCTTCTCTATCAAGCCCCAAAGGATCTGGGGGCGCGTCACGGTGAGCCCGTCGCCGACAAGTGTCTCATCTTCGGAACCACTAGACTTCGAGACACCAAGTTTTCGCTTCTTGAAGTGGTCTATCAGGCGTGTCTCAGCATCGATGTCGGCTTTCATGTCCTCCCATCTCAAACGGGTCACATATGCCTCCGGAATGTAGTCCTCGATCAGGTACTCATGGTCGTCAAACCATGGGTGGCTGAGTACGTCAACTAGACCTAAAGCCTCCGCGGTCTCCTTGACATGCCACATTCTCGACTTGCTGGGCCAGTAACGCTCGCCACCCTGAATGACAAGAATCTCGATGTTCTTGAAGCCTTTGCGCTGGTATCGGGAGGCAATAGTAGCTGCTTTGCACAGTTTAGTGGTCGTGGACATGAATGGGCTGGCATCACGACACTTCCAGTTCAGGTGATGGTCGAATTGCAACATGAAATTGAGCGGATCCGTCTTTTTACCGTGGAGTGAGCCGCGCGATTCTAGACCAGACCCGGGGTGTTCATCATGTACCGCGCGGTACAGCAGCTCCGGCCGGCTCTCATCCTCACAGGGGTGAATGATAGCAGGCAGCAGCTTGAGCGCCCTTCCCCATTTGTATGTTTTGAAAACTCGATCGTCCCAGGAGTTGCTGAACTCTAAGTTGGGCGGACATGGGACATTCGCAGTGTCGTGTATTTGCCGCCAGCCGTCGTTCTCGGGATTTGGTGTAATTACGATCCTGAGAGGCGAGTGCGCCTTGCTTTTGGACTTGAAGACCCACCCAATCGAGGAGACGTCCACCTTGAATTCACATGCCTTCTCCGTGAACGCTGCGACATAAAATGTGGCACGTTTGCCAGGATCGCCATCAACTCGAAAGCATCCAGCCAGACCAGCATACCACTTCTCCTGCATGTTGGCAATTTCTTGATAAGGTGGACGCAAGGTTGAGAAGTCAGGTTGATGCTTTGAACATCGGCAAGTTTGTGTTTGGGAATTCGTTGGAGAGCCCTGAGCAACTATTGCAAGCTGGGCTGGTGTCCGCTTCGACACATGTGCAACTGTGAAAGTGGAGAGGCTTCAATAACGACGATGGAGGCGTTCATCGAGTTTCTGTGTGTGTAACTTCCTCAACAATGCTTGACTGAATGCGTGTTTATGAAACTAGAATGATGAAGGAAGCTTGCTATGGTTAGAAAATATTCTCGAGGTATCCTCACGTTAAACATCTAGGCAAAGTGACCTACAGTGCGGAGTGTGCAAAGATGATTGGACTTTCAGAGAGCGTTGGAGCCTTGAAAGCGAGTCTGAATGATGTCCGCGATGTGCATGCTGCTATCAGAAATGGCTTCTGGGGTTCAAAGCTGAGCCCCCAACTGGTCAGAAGAGCGATGTCATCTCTGATATCAAGCTTGGCATGGTTGTTAAAGTATGGTTGAGAAAAGAAAGTGTTGAGCCTGGAGGGTGAGCTCTGAGTATCAGAAAGTTTTGAGGAAGGAGATGAGCTGAAAAAGTGGCAACCCAAAAAGCACTTGAGCTGGCAGATTTGTGTTCTGACAGAGTATCGGTCGTGTCTTGTGATCCTCGAGGTCGAAAGACTGCCCCAATTGTTTCGTTCAACCGATGGTGATAGTTTTGGATGCGTGATTCTCAAGCAGAAAAGGAAGGGGGGTGCTCCAGGGCGAAAAGTTGGCATGGAAACTGCGGCTGGGCGAAGGTTTCCTCTGAACAACTACCACTCTACCTGGCAAGAAGAGAAAGACGGATCAGCTGGCCCCCTGGTGGCTTGTCCTGGGAAAAAACGGCAATCAAGCTTAAATATCAAGGGGGGTATAGCTGTATGGGACCTAGCACTACTAAGGCGTGGCAGTGAAATGCCATGATTCAACCACATGGCGGACTTCGTATAGAAGGGCAGACCTATAGACACACCTTGCAAACTCTAAGAAGCGAGCAGTCAATAAGCCGATTAGACTCTAGAAGCCATACTACGCACCCTAGGGTTTTTAAAAATCATCTCTACCCTATTACAGTCTAGCAACAGCTATAACTACTAACAGTCCTTCCTTCCTTAATATACCTTTAGATAGAAAGAAGGTCTTTTAAAAAAATAAGGTCCTTAAAAAGTATTAGTCTTTAAAATCCTTAAATATTAAGCTTTTACTTTAATATAAAGATTAATTAAAAGAGAATTTCTTTTCTATTCCTTTAATAATCTTCTCCTTTAAAATAAACCCTTAATTAACTTTTTATTTACTTACTTACTTAACTAGCTTTAATTAAGTTCCTTCCCCCTTTAAGAGAAAAAGTTCTTTAAGCTTTTTTAAAAAAATAGTTTTAAAGAACCCATTAATTTTAAAAAATATTAATTTTAATATTAATATACTTTATAGTTATTATTAAAGAGTATTAATAAAGAAATAATTAGAAGGTATAAGGTATTACTTTAAAGCTAGAGGAGAATTCTTAATAGCTAAGGGGATAGTTTAGTAATTATTTTTAAAAACCCCCTAGGGAGCGCTATGGAGGTTAGGAGGTTGTCTCACGGGAGGTCATCCTATAGGAGTTTGTCTCACAGGAGGTTCAAGTTGCGGACACCCAAGCAGACGCAGTGATTTTGTGACATTACAGTGTCTGCTCCTTTTTCGGCCAGTACGAGCTCCGAGACATCACCGGCCAGAGCCCGAAGGGCTACCAGCTGGTCGTCTCTGTCAGTTGCTCAGCAGCCGAGGGCAAAGTAATGAGTCGATGATGAGTTGTACATTTCTCGCTTCTTGAGCCCCTATTTTACATCCCCAAATGCCTTTTCATAAGTTCTCACCTGCTCCCACCACCCAACTGAGACCACTGATTACAGGAAGTTGATACCCACACCGACCGAGAGACCCTTACGGCCCAGCTCCCCTCTCCTCATCACCAGAGGCAAGCTGAAGTTGAGCTCAAACCTCGCAGCAGGGTGCGCGTACACCAGACCAAAACCAGCCGCCACGCTCGGCAGACCGTTGCTGAGCTCGCTGAGCGCCCTTCCCATCCCGCTCTTGACCGCACCCGGGCTCATCGCAAGGCCCTTGCTCTCTTGCTCGCGGGCCCTAGACTGGTCTTGCAAGGCGACCAGACGACCTCCGTTCGCGAAAAGCTGCAGCCGCAGCGGCGAGTCGACACCCGTCCGGGGGAGGGGGATGAGCATGTTGACGCTACCCGCGGCGAAGACATCGCCGCCCACCGAGTCGGTTCCCTCACGAGGGCCGAGACCTCCAATCTTGAAACCGCGCACGTCGGTGGGGCCACCGAGCTGGAAACGGTCATTGATCAGGCTGGGAATGGACTCGCCCTTGGGAGACCAGCCGAGGGGGAGAGGGTAGAGGATGCCGAATCGGAGACCTCCGCCGAGGGAGATGCCGGTCCGGCTGCTGCTGATGCCAGGGAGTGGTACCGGGACTGCTCCGGCGACCTCGACCTCGGATTTTGAGAAAGCCACGTCGCCGCGCAGGGGGCCGAAGCCAGCCAGCTCTGTTACCGTCTTAATCAGGTAGCCACTCTGAGGAAGGAGTGGGTTGTCCCGGCGGTCGCGGGTGAAACTGTAGGTGAGGGAGCTCTTCATGCTGTCCCCGGCATCTGCCCGGACCGTGGGAGAAGCACCGGCTTTCAGCCCGGTGATCTGTCGCCATGCGCCAGAGTATGCAAGGTTGTAAACGTCGCCCTGTTTTGACAGCCACGCGGCCTTGAGAGTTCCTCCCTTGACCAGCTCGTCGTGACTGGCCCAGTCCTTTTGCGTGTTGGAGGAAAGACCCTCCACCGATAGCCTCAGATCAGGGTTTCCGTTGACGGGGGCGGTAAACGCCGCACTGTAGGCAGACCTCGTCCGTGTTCCCGCGCTGGTGTTGATCGACAGCTGCTCGGCACCGCCGAACATGTTCCTGCAGAGGAGGTTGATGTACCCGGAGCCCTCGGTGTTGCCCAGGTCGGTACCACCCTTGAGCATGATGCGCGACTTCTCTGCGACGCGTATGGAGACATCGATATCGGTGCCGGCGGCGTGGGGGTTCGAGTCGCGGGCATCGGAGAGGAAGACGGTGGGCTCGGGGTGGAATATCTCGAATCGATCCAGCTTGGAGGTAGCTTCTTGCACGCCGGCGAGGACCTCCCCGAGCGTTGTGCCGGCATTGCGGCTGCTGCCAGCCAGAGGGGCGAAGACTGGGTCCAAGAAGCCCTTGCGAGTGTTCTTGGCGCCGTGGACCTCGATCGAGTTGATGGTGGCCGGTCGTTGGAGGTGTTCGCTCAGCTGTTGATCACATGTCAGGAGAGAGTCCTGGTGGACCAGACTTTTCGGGGACAGTCAGGGTTTGCTGACCAGCTGAAGCCGTCTTTGCAGAGCTTGTTGATGCCGTAAGAGGTCGGCCTGCTCCATGTTCTCGGCCTCCTGGCGCAGGATGGCAGCATCGGTCTCAAGTTTCTGGAGGGCTTCGATGGCCTTGCGACAAGCTGGTGTTAGCCATTGAGTGGCAATAGGTTGCTGGGGGGAGCAAAGTGGACAGGGGACGTACAGAAATGCCACCGGAGCTTTGAGTGGAAGCCATGAGTGGTTCCCGGGAGCTCTCTGGCTGACGTGCACCTTGGAAGATGGGCTGGAGACCTTTGGATATCTTGCGAAGCCGTCGCGTCTCGGAGAAGATCGCTCTCCCACCCGAGGTGGCTGTGCTGGTGGAGTGGCTGGTGAGCTCCGCTCAGGTACCTAAGTATCTCACTTGTATCCCTAGCATTGTCCACTACGGAGGACGGGGCACCAGGCGCAGACTGGGGCCCGGCCGAGGAGGGTAGCAGCAGGCCGGTACCTGGGCAGCTGGGCAGTCTAGCTACCTAGGTAGTAGCATTACTGGCAATGTTGCAATGGTTCTATTGAAAAGAATCCACTTAAACTGTGAATGGGACTGAAAGCCTGGTTGATCATGTCAACTGATGCCTGTGCTCTGCAATGTCGCTTCCAAGTTCCAGAACGAACTGTTGGCCAAACGCACAGGTGCTCAACGAAAGGAGAGCCAAGCAGGCACTAGATTGGAGTTTAGGACCCAAGGCAATCTGCCGCTGATTCCCTAACACCACCTAGGTACAACACTAGGCTCAACGGCGTGAGGTTTGAGTAGGTAGGTACAGTACATAAGTATCAAGGCAGGCAGGCCATTAGCCTGCCGCATTCGTGCTCCGTACTCCGTACTCCGTACAATGTCAAGGTGCCACTTTGTAACCAACCCCATTCTAAATCCATCCCGCCCTGCAGTCATCATCAACCTTGTCAGCCTCTTCCTAGAAGTTCGCCTCCCAAACCCGCACCTCGCCCTGGACAACGGCCATTCCTTTGGGTCCTTCCTCCTTTTCATTTCGTTGTCCTCTTCATCTGGGGCATTAGGAGTCCACGCGCCTTGTTCGTACGATCGTTTTGCGCCCCGTTGCCTTGGTCGATTCCCCCCCGCGGCGTCGTGACACATTTCCCTTTCCGATCAAGCCCCATCCCGAGTCGGCCGAATCATTTCCGGGGGCGCTCGTCAGCATCATTTGCCCACCCCGTCGGCATCAACATCACCAGCATCACTACTACCATCACCAGCCAGTATCGGACACCGCCCCACACAGCAGCCATGGCTACCAAAGCTGCCCGCACGCGCTTAACGCGCGAGTACAAGACTATGCAGAAGGAGCCCACGCCCTACATCGTCGCCCACCCATGCGAGTCCAACATATTAGAGTATGTAGTCCCCCCTGACCCTCCTGTCCTGCTTCCCCCCTATCATGGGGGGCCTACGAGCCTGCCCTCACATGCATGTTACTGACAAAGCCTCTAATCAGATGGCACTACCTGATTACCGGCCCACCCGACACACCGTACCACAACGGCCAGTACTGGGGCACCCTCATCTTCCCGACCGACTACCCCTTCAAGCCACCAGCGATCCGCATGCACACCCCGTCCGGCCGCTTCGCGCCATCCACCCGCCTCTGCCTCACCATCTCCGACTTCCACCCGCGCTCCTTCAACCCCGCCTGGAGCGTCAGCACCATCCTGGTGGGCCTGCTCTCGTTCATGACGTCCAACGACGTCACGACCGGCTCGATCACGGCCTCCACAGAGGAGCGCAGGCTACTTGCCGCGCGGACACGCTGGTGGAACTCGACAGGAGGAGGCACCTACGAGAGCGGTAAGGCCGCGCAGAAGGGCAACATCAAGGTCGGCGACGGCGGCAAGAAGTTCCGCGAGGAGTGGCCCGAGGAGGACGCCGCCAACTGGGAGTGGATGAAGGAGAACAAGATCGACCCGGTCACCGGGCAGAGCCTCAACGCCGCCGGGGCACCGTGCGGACCACCGCTCGTCGGTTCCATGGGTACTAGCGGTAGCCAGGTACAAGGGGTCGTGGACGCGGTGGTACAGCAGAGAGAAGCGGGCAGGGGCTGGGTGGCCGACCACAAGCTCCTGATAGCTGGTGGTGCCATCTTCTTCTACGTCCTGATCGCCCGCCTGCTGGGCCAGGGCATATAACGGGTGCCGACAAGGAGGCTGATCAGCCAGCCGGCGAGCTATCTCGGGTGTTGGTGTCAGTCGGGAACGAGGTCTTCCTATTTCTTTTTACTCGGTTTTAGCATTGGCGTTCGGTTTGCACATGTCTGTCGCGTAGACATAACGCCCGGGGCCATACATGACTAGTTTTAGGGAAACAAGAGCATGGCTGCTGCTGTTTCGCCGCCAGTTTGCATTTGCAGAAATCACTACTACCCACTCGGCTCGGTGCCAGATCCGGACGAACGTGATGTGACGAGGGAGAACTTTGCGGCGATTGATTTGGGTTCCTGCAATCCATGGCCATCTGTCCCCTGATGGATGTTAATCACCTGATGCAGCAGACCCCATTTGTCAGGCTGACTGTCGTCACCGTGGTGAAGAGGATGCGCGCCGACAGGGCGCTCTTGTCGATCATTATTGTTTCAACCAATTTTATGACAGAGTTGCGGAAAAGCCTCGGGCCCTTCACTCCACTTGCTTCCGGTGTGTTTTGTCTCTCTCACGTTCACTTCCAGATGCGGGCATGGCTGTGGTAATAATAAGACGGGTCGACCACGTCTGGGCGATCGTCTGAATCTGCGACGGTCAGGTGGAATATCGCACCTGGTACACCTTGTCACTACTCAGGGCTGTACCTCCAAGACAAGCTGATGCGGAGCCAGAGGCCTTTTGTGTTGACCCTCAAGTACGTACATCTGGGTTCATCAAGAATCCGACATAGTTTGGGATCGGTCCGGAACGTTTCGAATCTTGATGCTGCCGCGTGGAATGCACAGGAGCATCATCATCATCGGTGAGGCACGGAGAAGCCAGGATCTACGTAGTGTACATACGCTGATGGGCAAAGTTGTCAGCAGCCTGTATTGCGAACATACACAGTTGTAGCACGGTTAGGCAGCATTCCGCTTCTCCCGCAATGCATGCGTCTCATCAGCCAGACAAGCTCGCCGGGCCGTCGGGCACAACCCAGTGAGAGCAGAATGGCTGGGGTCGACTGCCGGCCGGCCTGAACATATCACAAGATGACCAGCGATGTCAACGTGTGCCGGTGGGTCGCAAGTGAGGCCATATGTTGATCATGACCCGAGTACCCCCTTGTTCTCACCCGTACTGTCAGTCTGTTACTGTGTACGGACCGTTGTTGCTGAAAACACAAACAAGCAGACAAGAAGTGATATCTAAATAAGCGACCAACCCAAGCACGGTGACCAAAGCTAAATGAGAGTCGCCAGAGGCTCCTATAGGCCCATAATCCACAATACTACCATCAAGCTATCAAGAGTCCGGATCAAATTCCACATCTGTGCCCCGGCACTCATATCCATGCCTAGATATCCACAACGTACAGTACAAGCCATACCTAGGTGGTAAGCAAGCAGATAAGTACTTAAGTAGGCAGGCAGGCTTGGCAGGCAAGCTGAAGCAGGCAAGAGGGAAGCAAGCAGCAGCTAGCCGTCGGTCTTGTGGTTCTGTAGGGCTAGAAGGGGCCCCGGGTTGGCAGCCGCGAGTGGGCCTTCCACGTTGCATGCCAGATCTGACAGGCACCATCCCTGCCCACAATGGGCGTTCCGGCCTAGGGGCTGTCTCATGGCCTTCCCACGCATTCAGCTTGGCCCAAATCTGAAGCATCAGCAACAACTTTGTCTCCTCCCCTCAGGTCCCCCCTCAGGTTCTCAACGTGGTGATCGCCGCTTGAACGATCGGATTATCGATGCGCCAGTGCAACGTCCAGCATCTTGCCTTGTTCACGAGAATGTACACGTGTACAGGTGATGGATTTATGATACACTCCATCTGGCTGTGTGGCTGTCTGGCTGATATCATGTTCGGTGCAGTCCGCGTGCAAGGACTTAGGACACCTCATCTGCCGCCCCACAAAGCCTATTCTTGCATCTGGCCAACCCATTTCGAGCAACGGCATGGGGAGCAGACGCAATCTGCCGGGCAGAGCAGGCAGGGCAGGCTGCCTTACTACACTACTACCGCTAAAGTGTGCCAGCCGTTGCCCAGATGGGATGGTGGGAACACCATCTCTCAGCCTCTGGGCCTAATGCGGCCAGGTCCATGGGATGCGACAGCCAACTAAATAAACCCTTTCCGCAGAACGCAGCTGCAGCTCCTGAGACTGCCGTCCCGGCGCACTGGCTTTTGCGGCTCTTCCGCATCCCATTCCCATCACAATCCAGCAGCGCATACAGCTTCCTGAGCCAGCACCGATCGAACCAGGGCCCACCCGCCCATTGTGGGACTGCTGGCTCCCTGTCCGTCCGCTGTGTCTTTGGTGACAACACGTCAGGTGTACCGGATCTGCGCAGGCTGCTGGCGATCCCGGTGGCTCGAAACCGCGGCCATCGCCAAGCCAGCTGGTATGACGAGGGTCGGCTGCTTGCCCACTTCCCGCTGTGGAGGCGGCGAGACGATGGCCGTCTGGTCTCTGCATGCAATGACAAAACTCCAAGCAGCAGGTGCTAATCATCGACTGACGGTCTTGCGTGTCGATTGTTTCTTTTCTCGCAGGCCTCACTTTCCCGTCCCTTGGGTCCTGCCGGGGGCAGGAATCAAGGCTCTTCTTCGGGACGGAGGACAAGGTCTGTATTGGATCGTCCAAAGTGAGAGTTTGTCGCCAGTCTGAGCGTAGCACAAGCCGTTACCACACCACTACGGTTCAATGGATCAGACGGGGCGCCTGTCGTCTGCCCCGGCTCGAGGTACTATTCTTACCGTTCAGCTACACGTGTACACCAATACCGGCGGCTGTCCAAGGTATTATTGAAGTCTATTCAGTGGGCTCCATTCCATACCTGCAACAAGTTATTGTGGTGCCCCTGATCCATGGGCCCTGGTCCTTTCCCCCCAAGAACGGCGCCCGGACGTCAAAGTCGTGAACTTGCCCACAAACGCGCTAGACCAAGAGCCTGGGCTGAGTTCTATCTGGGGACCCCGACCCTTGTAGCCCGCCGTTCAGCGCAGCAGAACATCAAACTGCTTTGCATGATGTCCTTCGGCCGCCCTCTCTCGAAACAGTCCCCATTTGTGTTGCCTCCACGTCTTATACCTTCTTCGCGTACATGGTACCGCTTCGTGTTTTGGTGTTTTGTAATCCGTCATGGTGGTATGAGATCGACAAATCATTGATATACATGCCGTCCTGAGCTGCTCTAGTTGCACTCTGTTTTCTGGCTCTCGTCTCTCTCTCTCTCTCATGGCCTGGCGCCCGAAGTAAAAAGGTTACCACATCAACAAGACCAGCAGATATGGCGGGCCGTATGAGCTGGCCCCTCCAGAGGGTCGACCCTAGCACCTTCGCTCAGATGGACACCTACCCGGAGGACAGGAAGGAGCTCGATGTTGAGGTCATGTCAATTCGAAGTGATGGCGACTCAACGCAGGTCGTGGGTAGCGCAGAAATGTTCGACGAAAATGGGAACGTGAGGTTGATTCCGGTATGTTTACTTTGCTCCTCAATACGTCCCGTCTCGGCTGGGTCAAGAAGCTACCAGGCTGACACTTCAATATCCAGATGCCTACATCAGATCCAAAGGGTGAGCCTTCTTGCCATGATAGTAACATAGGATGATACGGTAGACTGATGAGACTCCAGATCCTTTGAATCTACCTAATTGGAGGAAATGGACTGCCATTGGCTCTCTGTGCTTCTGTGAGTAGCCTCAAACGCATCTCGTCGTCTTGCCTGGCCCCTCGTTCACATCGTCTGACTGATTGTGTGACGACAATAGTCGGTTCCTTGGCCCTCTCCGCCGAGATCATCATCGGCTCATTGATTCCCATCTTTCTCCTCGAATATGCCGACGTCGACCCCACCACCATCAAAAACATCGACTTCGTCGCCGCCTCCGGAGGCAAGGGCACCCAGCTCAACCCCTTGGCCGTCCTCCCGCCGGGCGTGAAGCCTCCCAGCCTGGAGGAGGTGTCCATGCTGGCTACGATCCCGCTGCTCACCAACGGCATCGCGAGTTACCTGCTGGTCCCCCTATCGATCGCCATCGGTCGCCGTCCTGTCCTCCTTCTGACCGCTGTGCTCGCCTGGGCGGGTGGACTATGGGCAGGATTATCGACGTCGCTCCAGTCTCACCTCGCGGCGCGGGCGGTCATGGGCCTGGGTGCCGGTGCGGTCGAGGCCTTGATCCCGCTTATTGTTCAGGACATTGTCTTTGTTCACCAGCGGAGTAAGGCGCAGGCTGCTATTGTGGCTAGCCAGGTGAGGATTAATCGCTGCTTTCACTTGTTATCTGTGTGCAGGTTCAAGAACTGACGAGGAGCCAGGGCATCATCATCGTCGGACTGGGTATCGCTGCTCCATACATCTCCGCGAACTATGACTGGCGATATCTGTATTACGCCACGTCTGGCGCCGGTATTGTCGCGTGGCTGGTTCTCATAGCACTCCTCCCTGAAACTCGATGGACACGTTCAAGGGAGGCGCTTGGTAAGGATCTGCAACCTGCCCAACTTCCTGCTCACCATTACTGATTGCACATGAACACAGGCGGCAAGTCTGAGGAGAAGCTTGAACCCGGCGAGGTGCGCCCCCGGATCGACTACGCCAGGTTCGGCCCCCGGACGCTCTGGACAAACATCGGCGTCTTCAACGTCGGCTTCGAATGGAAGAACGCGGCCATATCGATGCTCGACACCCTGCGGACGACCTTCTTCCCGGCCGTGGTCTGGTCCGTCCTGGCCAACAGCGTCTTCCTGGTCACGAACCAGGCGGCCCAGCAGCTCGGCTCGTTCGCCCTCCTCGCCCAGGGCTGGGAGTTCCAGTGGACCGGCCTGGCGGTCGTTCCCTTTGTGCTCGCCACGGGCCTGGTCTTTGTCACCGTGGGCCCCGTGGCGGACAAGGTGTCCACCAAGATCGCCAAGAGGCGCAACGGCGTCCGCGAGGCCGAGTACGGGCTCGCCAACACGATCATCCCCTTCGTGGCGGGCATCGCGGGGTGCTTCGTGTTCGGGTACGCGGGCGAGTCCACGGTGCACTGGTCCGTGTTGCTCCTCGGCTCGTTCCTCATCATATTCGGGTTCCTGTGCCTCATGGTCACCATCAACGTATACATCGTCGAGTCGTACCCGCAGTGGGCGGGCCCCGTCCTCGTCAACGTCAGCTCGCTCAAGATCATCATCTCCTTCTTCTTCGCCAGCCTGGCCACCACCTGGGTCGCGCAGAAGGGCCTCCTCGCGACCTTTGTCATCTACGCCGAGACCATGATCGTCATCTCCATGTTCATCCCCGTGCTCTGGTTCAGCGGCAAGAAGCTCAGGGTGTGGACCGCCGGCAAGGTCAAGTCGAAGCCGGCGCCGAGGACGCGCAGCTTTGGGGCGCAGTCGAGGTTTTCTCAGTGAGGCTCCATGCTGTGGAACCAGCTGTAGAACCGGTGGCACATTGCCTGCCACGTTTACGGAGGTTCTCTGTAGTTATGGGCCCTGCAACACTTGCGAGCGAGCTACTGCAATGTTGCGGCAACGCGTTTGAGAAACACTTCTCTCAGTGCTGCCGCAGCGTGATCCCGGCTAGGAGGGAAAGGAGCACGCGCCGGCCTGGGCATTTTGGTGGGCCTAGAATTCTCTTCAGTCGTTACCTGCTCCATGGTTTCAAGAGGCATCCAGAGGTTGTAGCTGCAGAGTCAAAGCAGGAACATAATTCGGCCAACTCAAAAGGCATAGCTTCCGCCGTATGTGGTGCCTGAGGCACAGTGCACCATGATGGCACCAAGGATCCGATAGCGAGTAGTGGTCATCGCATAATCTATATGAAGCAGACTCTATCGCGCCGCTATATGCATTTAAACATGAAGATATCCATCCACCGCTCCGTACAGACCAGAGGATGCAAGGACAAGGCATTCATCGGGCTTACCATCGACCATGGCGGACCTGCTGCGGACCTATCGTGACTGCTTCTCCTTCTCGGGCCATACTTGACCAGTACAACCTGCCACTCAAAAACAAACAAAAAAAAAGAAGAACGATTCATCAACTTGCCAGACGACCTCATTCTGATGCCTGATCACCAGGGTGTTCCAACAGCTCGACCTCGAAATTGTTGACACCCCACAGCATAGGATCCACAAAGTCCGCCTCTCCCGGACCGGGGGGATCGAGCCCGAGTAGGGCTTGGTGTCTACTGTGCGACGGGGACAAGCCTGCACTGTCGTAGGACGAAGTATCGACAACGCTATAGCGAAAACATTCGAGTTCAGGATACAGGTCGATGTCAAGCCTGATCTCCCCCGAGCCTGGGGTGACAGCAGGGGCAGCACCGCCGTCACCATGGGATGACGCAGGGGGCCAGAAGCACATGTCTTCGTGCTGCTGCTGCTGCTGCTGCTGCTGCTGGAATGGGTGCCCATTGGCCGGCGAGTAGTTACTCACATACCCGGAGTCGGCGGATTTGGCGTCCGGCGGCATGTTGGCACCGCTGACCTCGCAGTTGTCATGGGTGGCTTGGGCGTCGCGCCGTGACACGTTGCGGGCCGTGGTGCGGCTCCCTGGTTGCAGGTATTGGCCCTCTGCGCTGGGCTGGGTGAAACCGCGCCAGAACTCCGGGTCTGGCTGATTATCGGTTATGTCTGCGAAACGGGGCGCTGGTTTAGAAGTGATCGGGCATATATATAGCCTATGGCCACTGACTGGGGGGTGGGATGTGGGTGGGGTTGACCAACAGTAGGAATCCGGCAGGGGCTTATCGCACGCGTCGTACAGGGCCTTGAGCTTGTCATCATTGTTCTTTATCGACTTGGTCAACTCGAAGCGCCGCTGCTGGTCCCAATCCAGCAGCTCCATGTCGTCTCGGCCGGATTCATAGAGGTACGGAGTGCCGTGGCGTTTTCCCTCACAGGTCGCCCAGTGCTGCTCCTTCATCTTGGTGACTTCCCGACGGGCGAAGGAGATGTTCCACGTGGCAGGGCAGAAGCCGCAGCGGAAGAATGAAGTATGTTTCCGCCATATGTGTTCACTGCAGAACTCTGTTGTCAGCCAGAGGCCTTTTTGATGGGTGTGAGGACGCGAAGACAAGCCCTCTGTTATCCTGGTATGGGAGTCTCAATTACGCACGGCAATCCCCTCAGCTCTTTGAATCCCGCCCTGCATGTGCTGGCCGCGGCACTCGTGTATCTTTCTGGGTCAGACTTGGCAAAGGGGCACGCCAGCCTGTACTCGTACTGCTGCAGCGGATCCGGCGGCGCATGACTGCGGCCGGTCATTGACACAACTTATTTATCTAGTAGGATCGGTTCGATGGCGAGTAGACCGTGTCAAACTGGGCAATGTAGCCTCGTAGCCGGCTCTGGCGGTCGGTCTGCGGCCCCACGGCGGCCAGGGGGAAGGGCTCGCTGCCGGGAGTCGTGCTCAAGAACTTCTGGATCTGGAAGGTTTGAGGGCGGCCTATTTTTGCGGCGGCGGAGGTAGGAATCTGCCAATTTGGGTTTGTATTAGTATTACTTGTTCTCTTCATGATGCTTTAGGGCATCTGTGGCGGCTGGACATGGCGATGCAGGCGTTGTTGTGATTGTGGTCGTGGTCGTGGTCGTGGTTTTGGTTAGGGCTCACCTCGGCGGACGGTCGATTTCCACTGAGGGGAAACATCCATACACTCCTGAATGACTGTGTACTGGAGCGAGATCTCTTCCGCGGAGCTTATGAAGTCGACCGCGATCGATCTTTGACGGTTCGTATGGTTGTTTGGAAGACGGACACATTTTCCAGAGGAAGAGAAGGATGTGCATTTTGTTGAAAAGGGGGAAAACCACATCGTACCAAGGCCTGCGATCGCAGCGTCAACAACAACCTGTCGCCGCTCCCCGGCGTCACCGGGCACAGCCCGCCTCGAAAACACGACAACGCAGAGCCTCCCGTCCCCCCACTTGAGCCGTTGGACCCGCATGCAAGACTCCATGCAGGCTGCTGCTGACCAGACTGGTTCCGTCCTGGATCAGTTGCGGGGCATGCCATGCAGGCCGATTGTGGCTGATCCGAAGGCTGACTTTTGTACAGACCCCAGCATTCAGAACCGTTGGGAAACGGGACTAGTCAAGCAGAGGGGGTCATGAATTAGGATCGCAGCTGGAGCTAATGGCATGTAATATGCGGCGCAAATCCGGTACAATAGTTACTGTGTATGTCATCAGGCTGGGTTCCGTATGGAGAGGAGGACATGAGACTTGGAAGCTCGATGAGATAAACAACGATATTCACAAATATTTCAGCGCTCATCATTTATTTGACCTGTGAATAGGCCCGGCCATTTGGAATCTTCTGTGCATCAAGCATTTGCGAGGGCTGGTCAGCTCCGTGTGTCGGCAACCTTTGGCGACGATGTTAATTGTTTTCCAGACGTACAAAGTTGGCGAAGACTCTTTTACCTCAATCGTCAATACACGTTATTAACGACTTTCTGGGCTTGAGATAAAGGCTTCCGACCGCCTTTGGTCCTCACTTTGAGGGCCGTGACCATCAGGATTGGAAAGACGTACAAGACGTGGCAGTGGCACGGTGGTAAAGGCTCGTAGTGTGTGAGACTGACTAGCTCACATGAATTCATATATTCTCAAAATAGATTCCTTTGAGAGAAGTCACGGAGAGAAATTCTACGAGGCTAAAAATGAACGATCTTAGGTATTTGTTGACGAGTGAAGTAGCTGTGTTCCTAGGTAACCACGGCCCGCTTCCAGAGGATGCCCCTACAAAAATGATAATATGATACGGCGAGAATGTGCTACTGGGTGACACCTACGTCCTGCTTTCCCCAATACTCATCGAAATATTAGAAGTCCCAGACATTTTGCAGCTGGCCATACCGGATACTAGTAGGGTCACCCCGAAGAGACAGCCATTGGCACATTCAGGAGGCTCAATGTGGAAGCCCCTTTATGAGGATTTTCGCCATCCACTTTCACGAGCTCTCTCGTGACACCAGTATGGTACGTCCAACCATCGATTTCAGTGATGTTCTTCACGAAACCGGTGCTCATGATGGAGTTGTCGTGGCAGCCGCTTGGGGACCACTCGTGGAAGTCGTCGAGGCCGAATTAGTGTCCCTAGAAAGATAAAGGCATGGTTAGTTTCAAACAAATCATACATAGGTCATAGATCCCTTGGTCTAACCCCTATATGCTCGTGAATGAGGTACAGCATACTGTCACCACCATAACCGCCAGCCATGAACAACTTCGTCGCGACGCGCTGACGCATTCGGAAGTGGCAGAATGCAATGGAGAAAAGGCAAATTCTAAGGATAATTGGGAACATTTCGGCCTCTTAGAGCTCCAGGAATCACCTAGCATACTCGAGAGGCATCGTCGCCGAGACATAGAAACAGTTGAAAGAGTCGGCTCGGCACGTTTGTGGCTACAAGAGGTACTTGATAACAGACGCCTGAAAGATCTCAGCTATGTTGAACACCCATCCTATTTTACTGCTTTTGGAGATCTTGAATAACATCACTGATATCAGTCCCGAAGGCAAACCGCCCTCGCATTCTCTTCCCCGCCACCAATCAGCATTACCTAGGTGTATGGGTTCCAATCCGGGGGTTTGGAAACAATTTTCCACTAGCTTGTCTTCGGCCTATGTTTCCTCGCTCGCCTGATTCAGGCAAACCGTGGCATCCGCGATCTCCTCCTCAGTCGGCAGATTCACAATCATGAGGTAAATGATATCCTACATGTTTGTAGTCTGGTCAGATACTGGGGCCGAAATGCGCGAGCACAGAGGCAGACATACCGGCTGTAACAGCTTCTTCATCGTCCTCACGGGAGCGGCGACCGGAAGGGATCCGATTCTTCGGAGCCGCGGCGCAACACCAGCAGTCACGTTGTTCGGCAACCTGGGCAGCCAGTCCCCGCGTGGTCTGATGTCTGCGAACGCCTCCTTTGCCCTCGGGCTGATGATCTGTCGCGGGGGGCCGCCATCCTCACCACCACCGCCAAGACCCAGCCCAGCACGCCCGGTTGTACTCTTCACACGGCTCAAGCCCTCGCGGCCTGCCGCGACCGTAGCCCTCACGGCCTCCCGACTGACCTCAGCCGTCGTGCGCTTCCCGCCCGTCACCAGTGCCACAAAGTCGCCGCTGGCCGCTGGATGGTTGGGGTCCGCGAACCGGGACTGGAACCCCGGGGCCGGCGCGAGCTTTGCCATCTGCGAGTCCGGGTGCTGGCCCGACCACCTCGCCACCGCGCGCCGGTCCTGGTAGTCGCTTATAAAGTGACCCGTCCGCCTGATGCTCGTCCCGGCCGACTTGCCGCCCAGTTTGACCTGTCGCACGGCTGGGCCAACGTACTCGGCGGTGCTTTGTCTGAAGGCTGGAAGGCAGCCTGGTTCGGCGCGGTGCTGTAGTTCCCTATTGCCTGTTGTTTTTCTTCTTGCCCTTGTTGACAGGCTATATCTTTCCTTTATCTCATTTTCCTCTCCCTTCCTCGTCCCCATGTCCTGTGTAGATCGTCTGTGAGAAGGGGCGGCTGGAGCTCTCGGTTCTGGGGATTCTGTTGCTGCCTCCAGCTTGGGGAACACCAGTGGTGCGAATTCCGGAAGCTCGAACATTTCGCCGGCAGAAGGCATCTGGATCGTCGATCTGCTTCGCTTCAAGCCAGCCGGGTCATCTCCCCGCGAGTTCTTCTTCACAGCTGCTGCGCTCATATCGATGTCGACGATACTTGTTGCATTTTGCTCCGATCCATCCTGATTTGGTTTCCAGGTGACAACCAGCGCTATCAAGCCTTTCGGCTTGAAGAAGTCCTGATTCATCTTATCCAAGAATGCGTTGCTTTTACTGCGGCTGACGACTTCGGCAGTGATTTGCGTTGCCATTAGAGCAGACGCTGAGATCAACAGGTGAATGGGCTCTGGGAACGCGTGGCCTGCTAGGGAAGCCAGGTCAATGGCACTGATCCAAGGACTCGGCTCGACCGCCTTGTTGAGCTGGTCAATGAATTCTATGAAAGTTTCTTGATCGATGCCAACGTTCTGAAGAACAGGCGCGTATGCACGGATGAATCCTCGAGTGCGGGCTTTCGGACGGCGTTGGGTGATCACGACAGGGAGTTCAAGACGTCCGGATGCCTTAGTACCCTCTGTAGGTGGATGGCTCTGGAGGAAGCTCTCTGCAAGCTTTGGCGAGCCAGGCGGGTTGTGGTCAGGTGGAGTCGTGGTGCCACTATTCGTGCTGATATCATCCTGCACTTCGTCAAGTGCCCAAGCTACCTCGTCCACTTGCGTGGGAAGCCTCTGCTCAGGTTCGGCCTCATCTGGGGTTCGGAAATAATCGAGATTTCCGGCTGTCGATATGCAGTCGTCATTTGAAAAGCTTCTTGGAACGCTGTCACGCGGCGATCGCTGAGATGCTCTTTTTTGCTTATGATGGTAGATAGTCTCGGATGCGAGGCCGATGGTAGCAGCGATTCCTTTGACTGCCTTCCCAAAGGGGTTGCTGCTTTCATGTTGTCTGGTGCCAGTGGTTACATGGCTGGACTGTGTAGTATTCACGTCTGCCATTGTCAAGGATTGTTTGTAGTTGAGTGAGATGGATATTGAAGCTGACCCAACATCAGGATACCATCAAGCCTACGCAGATTCCGCAGACACATAAGGTGAGCAATGTTGGTGACAGCAGAATGCACATGCCAATAAGTATGTATTGAGCTCGATCCTTCGTTCGTGGCCAGTGGCCATCTCGCAGTTCACCCAGTGAGAAATGCGCATTGAAATACTCTGGCAAATATTTTATTAAGACAATGTGTTATTGCAGAAATGCCCAGCCCGCAAGCGTTGTCAGAGCTGCTGGTGTCTGGGCACTGGGCGGCAGTGCTGCGTGAGGTTCTCGGTAGACTGCCGACTAAGGTGACAAAGGCTTGGACGTACACGCAACCACACATCTTGGCAATGAGCGCCTAGCAACCTTATTCTGACAACTCCTCTTAAGTTAAGGCAGTGTAGGACAGTCATGACGCTGTTCGCTTGGGGTTGCGCTGCGAGCAGTGGTACGATTGTCTTGGATAGTTTGACTTCGCCTCGCTTGAGCAGGCGTGCTGGATGCACCATGGTCAGTTGATCTAACGGACAACCTTGTGCGCTTTGATGAATTTCTTAGATTCACTAGTATATCAACATCGAAGCTGTTTTCGGTAACAGAGCGATATACATGTCTGGGTTTGAAAGTAGCACTTGAGCTCCAAGTCAGTTTTCGTCTGTGATGGGAGAGAGTAACAAAATCATTTGACCAAAGAACCGAAACAGCTTGGAATTGGAGAGCAGAAGATATACAGATACATCGAGTTGCCCTTATTCCAATGCAGTCGATGGCATGACAGGCATGCCCTAGGAGCTAGCATGGCCGAAAGTGCTCGGCATCCGCTTGACTGCCCAGGTGGTCAACTGCAAGGCTAGAGCTCTTCCACACAAATATTGTGCAAGCCTACCCTAGGGTACTGGGGGGTATCCTCACCGCTTCCGGCGGGAAAGTAAAAGTCATTGAATTCTCTGGTCCTGGGGTAGCGACCCTCGGGCGTGCGAAATGCCTGCGGATGCGGTATTTGGTTCGTTTGTCTCGAGATCTTCCCGCATTGCGAGAGAATGTGAGATATCAGCGGTTACGAAGCACATCAATATATCAAGTGGTTTCGGTTTCGGATTTCCCTTCTATTCCGTATACATCCGAGAACATACATGGCGCCTTCATACAGTGTGACAAAAAAAAGGAGACCCGAATCATCTTCCAACACCCTCTCTCTGCATCGTTGTGTCCTGTTTCGCTTCCACCTTTTCCAATCGCTGCTTCAACCGCAACTCAAGAGTTTGTAGTGAAATGAGAGGCTTTGCAGTGGGCATCAGCTTTGAGAAATCATCGGGGAGTGTGCTTTGGCCAGCTGTGTTCTTTTCTGAATCGCCCATATGGGTTTGGGGAATCTGCGCATCCGTGCTCTTGCTTTCTGATGCTCCCTTTTTGTCATCTTTGCTCAACTCCTTCTTGGAAAGGCGATAGAGGTGTTCTGAGTAGAATTGATGTAGTCAGCACTCATTCAATAGGTCTCAGCACCATGCGCCGACAGGGAGCATGATCCTTACTCAATATCCTCAGCAAAACCACAATATTGCTGAACAAGAACAGGACAGCTCGCGATAGCCCATAGACTGGCAACACTGTAATACCAATTGCCACTTTCCACACAGCTGCGGGTGACAAAGTCCCGGTTCTGACCGCTGTCAACGCTGATGAGATCATGCGCGTGGGCAATTCGAGGAGCAGGTAAGCGGGCCAGAACCAGGAACTGACCATCCAGTCTTGCTTTGGGTATGCCTTGTGCAATGCCTCTTCACGCTGTTTGTCTGCGGAGACTCCTTTAAAAAGGAGACTGTTCTCCCTGGTACCGCGCGAGTATCGCTGGAGCGGCAGTAGTATGGCACGATTGACCATGGAGATAGAATAGTTCTTGACTGTGAGGACGAGATGCTTGACCACAGTAAGTGCTTTTCCACCCAAGGCAATTAATGTGCCAGCAATGAAGAGAAAGACGGCCGTGACTGCCAAAGCTGCGGCAGCGAACTTTGCTAGCGAGATGATCAGGTCGTTGCTCGGAGGACCGTTCATGCTGTAGAAGCTTGAAGCGAACCCAAGGGGCAGGAATATTACTGTCACGTATGTGAAATATCGAATGTTCTGCTCCCTCTTTGCTTCAAGGTCTGATCTGATCTTGGCTTGACGTGTGGCCAGAGTCTCCCTCAGTTTGCACATCTTTTCACGGCTACTCTCCAGGTCCCACCGCTGTCTTTCTGTCTGGTTGCGCAACTTGTTGATAGATCCTCGGTATTTTGTTTCGTCGTTGCGTGTCCATCTTGGTCTCTCTTGCCCCCGATCGTGTTCCCTGGAAGCCCATTTAGAAAGCGTGTTCAGGGACGATAAGATATCGTCCTCTGCCTTCTCCAAAAGTTCCTCATATATCTGCCAGTGATTCGCCGATTCCGTGTACGCCTCCGATGTCAATACGGAGAAGATCAATATTCCCTTCTTTATCCCAAGCTCTGCTTCGATTTCGTGCAATATCTTGTTAGAGCTGGTCAAGATCAAGTTCAAAATATGTTGTAGAAGCTGCAATTCCAGAACTTTTCGCTGCCAAGACTCCTTCTCCCGGATGAATCTATTCGTCCAGTGCAGTGGAATGCCCCAAGAATAGCTCAATCCAGGGATGTACTGGATGAAGTAACCTGTCCAGTAGCGATCAAAGAAGTCACCGTTGAACCGGAACCCAATCGACGCACGACGGAACTCTTTATCATTGCCCCTTGGCCAGGGTGCTACAATTGGGTGTGGTAGACCTTGGTGAAGTGGGTCGCTCTTATTGTAGATCAGCCAAAAGCAGAGATGAAGCTCTGTTTGCCATGTGTTCATGACCATGGTCGTATCGTCCCACAAGTGGTTGTCGTATCCTGCATGACGATCAAAGAACAAGGATATGGCAGGCTTTTCCGTATCGGTACTTGCTAGCCAACAGAGAAGAGCTGTTTCTGGGTTGGAGCGTGCTGGCAGCCACAGGAAACGTTTTTTTGCTGTGACTGCGGACCGCTCTTTGCTGATTGAGTCCCAGAGGCACTTATTGAAAGGGTCGGAGAAACGGTAACAAGTCGCGCCAATAGACCATTTTCGTCTGTTTTCTCGCAGACTTTTTTGCTTCGGTAAGCCTGCCACCATTCCATCTTTGATCCACTTGTCTGTCCCGATTCCCTTGATGGAAAAGTCATTCGGAGCAATATTACCGAGAGCCTCAAGCGCTTTATCGATGATGGAAGATTCAGACCCGTAAAAATGTATCTGCGGTAGGTACCGTTTGGAATACTTGCTAAACAGCTTCTTCAGTTGATCTTGCAAGTCGATGTCCTTGACTAACAGAAAGTCGGGGTAATTGTAAAGCCACTCTTCATCCAACGGCGTGATACTGCTCGCATCGATCATACTATTAAAGGGCATGAACTTTTTCATGACCATGGATATTCGTTTTCTGTCAAAGCGTGCATCTACTCCGGAGAGCTTTGAAAGAGCTTTATAGTCGCCTCCGTGTGGGAACTTCGTCAAACTCTGCTTCTTAGGTTGCGCCAGCATCTCATTCAGGAGTATCTCGACCATCTCCCGCTGGCTTTGAAACTGGCGGCTATCGCCCTCGGTCTGCTTTGCAGCAGGGGAGTTGCAATCAGTCTGTTCAGATCGAAACGCTGTTTCAATTCTTCTGCCGTACTCCAGAAGAATACGGCAGGACTCGAATCCAACATGGTAATAGTAGTCTCTGTCTTCCTCTGCTTTGAATATTAGCGGTTCTCGAGTCACTGCGTCCATTTCACCAGGAATGGAAGCATTTTGGGAGCTGGTCCGGATGAGGGCTTCCACGGACTGTCGGACCAACTCATCAGGGTCTCTTTTGTCAATGGAGAACCCATTTAGACCAGCCACTGCTCCTAGAGCGAACCGCAATGGACTATGCCATCCCTCCTGTAAAGCCTCTTCGTGATGACTCTGACATTTGATGGTCCGTTCCCAAAGATCGCTGAATGCAGTTTCGGGTCGGAAGAAACCGCGCTTGTGGCCATAGAAAAGCGCGGTATCGCGAGCATGGAAGAAGAATCGAGTCTCCCTTGCGGATCGCGTTACGGCCAGCATTCGCTCTCCTGAAACATTGTTTTCTACCGTGAATCGCTGGAGCACCGCTCTCTGGACCTCTTTAGGCATAAGACGTCTAGCCTTCGAGACGAAATTCGCGAACGACTTTGTATGCCTCACATTTTCCGAATCATCCGTCGAACTTTCTTCGTCTTGCTTCACTTCAGTCGAGGAGGGGAATATCTTGGACATCCATCGGTCTGGAGAACCCTCCCATGACTTGCCATTTGCATCAACCAGGCTCCACAGTCCGAGGGAATGTAATTCAGCCAGGCTGTTCCACAACCAGAAATGGTCATCCAGACGATATGTATTCAATCCGTTCTCGCTTTTGTGACGCCATGCACAGGCTTTTCGCTTGTCCAGATCGTCAAGCTCGGTAATCAGACAAGCCCACACATCTCGTAACAGAGCCATAGGATGTCTCAATTCCTCTTTCTGCCGGACCGCAGTGCTAGGCACTGTTCGAAGCAGTTTCACATAAGCAGTAACTTTGAGAATCTGAAACGGAGTGTCGGTTATGGCATCGTCCGGTTGCCATGTGACAGAGTTCTTCAAGTTGTGCATGATCTGGCCATTGACCCAGTAGTTGGCAGCGAAACAGCCCGATTCTAGGAGACTGTGGGTCTGATGAAGTGGGAGCCAAGCCTTCCTTACCCATTCGAGCCACTTAATGTGCCCGCGACATGCTGCCATGATCCGTCCTCGAAGTGAGAGGATGTATGGTGCCTGCTCGACATATTCCAATCGCCCAAGAACATCGACGAGAAACTCAAATGCAAAGCTAAAACCCTCCGTAAATTGATAGTCAGCAGAAATCCATGGCCGTTAATTTCCTGCAAGAGGCTTACAAGCTGGCTGAAGTGCATATCCGGTGCCCCGACATGTCTCCACATGTGAGGGCCACTGGGACGTCGTGCTCAACCTCTGCGGGATTTGAGTTGCCGGAAGTATTAACCTTGATGTTCATATCGGCGCTGCTCTGCTGAATACTCGTTCCAGATGAATCTTCCTCCAATAGAAGCGGTACCAAGAGAGGCAGCATGCAGACAGAAAGAATGTGCTCCGTATGTCGCCAAGTAAGATACTCAATGGAGTTGATGACAGGCACTTTCTGAGAAGTTCCTATTGCAGTACCACTGTGAGGCCTTGCGCTGGTGTCTTGGGATGATCGGTGCTTGTTGGAAGATTCGGCGGCTGCCGACCTCCCTCCTGTCGTGGCGGCCACTTTTGAATCTGTGCTGGTAGCAGTTTCGTCCTTCATCGCAATGTTCATAGCACCGTGACCCTCAGAGTCGAAACGCTCTGGCTTTTGCCCGAGACCACCTGTATCTTGACCCAAGTCCCGTTCGTAACCGCCTTTTGTGCAGATTCCGATGTCACGAAGCGAATAACTGTTGCTGCCACCGCCAAGGTCATCCCACAGTCCTTCCGATTCCGCGGCTAGCTTCGCATCAACATCAGAAATTTCAGCAGGAATGAGGAAATTCTTCCAATGCACTTTTCTATCCGGTATCACAATCATCTTGTATGCAGCTGTTATTTTCAGCACGCTTGAACTGCTGCCACTGGCTCCGATTGTCCGGTGAGATTTGTATCGCCCCATCCCCATCTTTTGTGCGGTCCCATTCACAAATAAACTCATGACAGAAACGACGGCGTGGGCATCCTTAGTAGTCCATGTATCTGAAATCTCTCTCTGCTGCCACAGTTCAGTATCGCTAGGAGGCTGCTTACTCTTGTTTGGAATTTTCTCCTGCAGCTGATCGCAAGTCTTGTTTCCTCCACTGTTGAGGTTTTGCTGATCGATGCTGGCTTGTTTTCGCACACCTTCGACTTGGTCGCTCGCTGGCGATATGTCAAGTTCCACATTGGTCTGACCTGAAGCTCGGTGGCGCCTGATGGTTTCCCCCGATGCGGTCCTCGGTGGAGACATAGATGCCTCGTTCCCTGCAGCTTCTGTTCGTGAATTATGTTGTTGCAGTCCCTCCACAGCATGATTGGAATTGCTCTCCACGTGAATAGCTCCTGTGGCAACCCCTGTGGTCGAACCCGATTTCTCACTATCGATGACATTGACTGTGATCCAGCTAAATCCATTGGGTCCCGGCCCTCGGATGTAACTCTTGCTGTCATTATCGTTGTAAGAGGGCTCATCAAGGTAGTCCAAGTCTCTTATCAATATAGCACGGCCTGCTCGGATCCGAAAGTTTTCGATAGGTGAGCTCCCTGTGTTTGTAACCACGAATTGCTGAAAAACAATGTTATCCTTCACAAAGAATTGGACTGTCACTTTCGCAATGGGCCGGGTGTCGTTCTCTAGCACGTTCCCTGTGTAGATGAATATCAGCGCCATGCATGGCTCTTCAGTGTGCTGTATTGACGAGTCTGTTGCGCTGGGCTTCAACCATTTGCAAAGGAGCTTGCTGAGACAGTCTCTTCGATAAAGGCGGGGCAAGTTGAAGCCAATATCAAGCTTACATTCATATCTCGGCCATCTCCAATTGACCCATTTCATTTCTGGCGCTCGATTTGGCCGATATGCTTTAGGCAGATACACGCCAAGCGAAGGATATACATTTTCAGAGCCCAAGGCGTCTAAATCGCTAGCTCGTTCGGAAACATAGTAGGGCACGTCGGTGTTTATGTGGTCCATTGAAAAGATACCAGAGTGTCCTGCTCCGAGGAATTGGTTGATTTGGATGAAATTGCCAAAGCAGGACACTGAGGCCGTTGTACCTTGGTTTCCAAAAGAGGCGTGACAACTGCTATTTGGCGCATCTTTCCACATACCACAGTGTTGCTCTCTGGGTTCGAACACAGAGCTTTTAGCATCTTGAGGGCCTGTGAGCCCAGGGCGTAGTTGAATCAGCCATCCTGCCTGGAACATGTCAGGCAATTCTCTACTCACTATTAACCAAAGACCTGAACGAAGGGTTGTCTTCCAAGGGAATGGCTCCACACCACAATTCAAGCTCTTCCTGGAGAGAGTCTTTGAACTGCGAGGACGCTCCGGCACTGCTTGTAGTGGATGCGTCAGAGGGACGCAATGAACCTCTGAGACTCATGCCCGGCGCATCTGTTACATGAGATAGGGAAATAAAATAGTTCGTGACAGCTGGAAGGCGAGAGCTCGAGGTTATGATAGCTCTTTTGGTACACGCGGAAGTGCAGAGAAGATCAAGACGGAGGCTGAAACCTGTTTTTCGGGCACTGAATGCCGAGATTATATTCGGAATCACGTCAGTGTCACACTCGCTTGAGGCGCATTGGATATGACTGCAATCCATTGGTCTGTAGGTGCGGAGACAAGACCGGTGTGTGCAACTGCACAGCTCATTGGCACTTGAGTTTAGATTTGCACTGCTGTGCAACCACAAGGGCGCCATAAGATGACAGCATGATCAAGAACAGGAAGAAGTCTAGGAAAATTGCATCTTGTCTGAGCGGCACCAGGCTGAGGCCACGTACTCACGTATTGTTTTATCTCTGCACTGTTATTGGTGTTGTACTTTTTAAATACTTGGTCTTGAGCGTTTACCACTACATGAAGGCGCCACATATGTTTTATAACTATGTATGAGGATTAGAAACGAAACCACGCGCATACAATTAAAATTCTTCCATACCGTCTTGAACGGAGGATATTCTCGAACTTATACGGAATCCGGAATACAAACAAGATCAATTACTTAAGCATTATCGAGGAGAGCATTCAATTCAATACCTCTTGACAACACCTTCCAACTTTGCCACAGTAGAAAATGTATGATGACTCTAGGAACCGATGTTAGGTGCTACAACAGTCCATCTACCCCTCACTCATATATATAAAGAGTTACTAGTATCGCTGGTCTTCCCAATTTCTGTGTGAAAGGATAGCTGAATCATACGACCTCGGGAGTCTACAGCGTGTGTTCGGGATTGCAGAGGCTCGGCCACGTGCCCACATACTGTATTCTCTTTCCACTGTTATTGGCACTGTATTTCTTCAAACGCTGGGTCGTGAGCGTTTACCACTGTATGAAGGCGCCACGTACATTTTACATGTATGGGGATTAAAAACGAAACCACTCGGGATTGCAGAGGGACTGTGGTCAGTCCGCCCACAAAAGCACCTGATTCTGCAGAAGCTGCATTCTCTTCGAGCCTGGCGAGTGAGCAACACTTTGAGTGGTCATGTCAAATTCATGGGTCTCGTTGTCCTCACAGCCGAGGTTCGGAGTATGCCAACCATTTGATGACCGACCATTCGTATTGCGACCAACCAAGAGCCAAGCACCGGACCGAGCGTTTGGATGCTGAATCTTCCCATATGCGAATGTGACTAGCTGTCATGGTTCTGCTCCTGGCCGCGGACACTTCGGCCATTATACTGTACCTAGGAATAGGCCGATTCAATTCAGAGATTTGGGGTGAAGTCGCCTTTACAGACTTACGAGACACTTTTGGTTCCAGGCCGACCGCTCTGGTTCCCTTTACCTGAATCATCAGCTCCACGTATTTGATTCCAGATCATGGTGTCGGAGGCTATTTGTGAGCTTTTTTTGCAACTGCTTGTCCTTCCTGAGACGCCAGGTCTTCCAGGGTTGGGTTGATAACCTCATGAGCCCGAATTCGACGTGTAGGCCACTGTTCACGGGCGCCCTTTATCGGATGGCCTCATCTCCATGCCGTGGCTTGGCACGGGCGACATCGAGTGACACCAGTGGGAGCTTCTCTCGCCGCGGTGGTAGCGCCTAGAAAATAATTATTTATCTAAATATGTGAGATTGACGTATGTTAGAGGAGCTTGGATTGGAGAAAGGGTGCTGGGACTTGTCACAACCCATCGCAATCGTTCGCGTTGGGAGTTCATGCGCGACTCGGATGTCAGCGCGATGGGCGTCGCCTCGTGGCCCGACTCCAACCATACAGCCACAGGCGTTAAACCATGACGCCTCGGTGGGTGAAAAAGTCAAAACCTGGGCTTTTGCACGAACCAAAGCTGTCAACGTGTTCTTAGTCTCAGAAATATCGACACCATATTTTGCACGTATTATGCCCACAGCGAGATCCGGGGTTACGCAGCCTCGTCAGGCTCCCAAAGAGGATGTTCCGTGTGTGCCCTTCGAGGCTGGGAAGCTGGACTACGCCACCCGTTCTCACAAGCTTTTCGCAGTTGATGATCATGAAATAGGTGGAAGATGATCCTCGATCGTCGCATAGGAGGACTGTTGCCCTAGTAATTCTGCCAGAAATTTCCCCTAAATGAAAGAGAAGTTCCTTCACCGTCTCATGACAGGCTGAAGTGTGGCCTCACTGCGTAGATCGGGCGTGTTCTAGCCGGCAGTCGGATGCTCTGCCACGGGATTCCGTCGGGAATTTTAACGGTCGAGAAGGCGATCCCTGCACCTCGATTAGTTTTTCCACTAATCAAACCGTCGGCTGAGGGCCCATTGAGCTGGACAGGCCCCCACAAAATATGCCCCTCGGTCGACCCCTCCCCCGCCATTTGACGACGATGCCCTCCATAGGCGTCCAGGGGGCATGGGAGAGGCAGGCTACTACGGGCCAGCCGGTCGTAGTGGTGCCGACATCAGGAGAAGAATTCGGCCGGACGACAGAGGCCCGGGCTTGTTTAGCTCGTACTCCCGTCCATAGCAATCACACGATTCTTCCTAGGAGGACAGACTCGTGTCGTTAAATAGCCTCCTTCATCTCCAATCTACGCCGTCATTGCACTCTCTTGATCCCCTCCCGTCCATATCTACTACATCTCCTTCACCCCTCGCCCTCCCTTTCTCCTCCACCCTCAGTTCACCCCAAGTACCAAGACATACTCATTGCCGTCAAGTCAACATGGCGTCCCTAGACATCACCATCACCGGCTGGACGACGAGGGATGTCCGCTTCCCCACGTCCCTCGACAAGACCGGCAGTGATGCCATGAACGCCGCCGGTGACTACTCGTCTGCCTACTGCATCCTGACCACGTCGGACGACAAGTTCACCGGCCACGGCATGACCTTCACCATCGGCCGTGGCAACGACATCGTCTGCGCGGCCATCAACCACGTGGCGGACCGCATCAAGGGCAAGAAGCTCAGCGAGCTCGTGGCCGACTGGGGCAAGACGTGGCGGCACCTGGTCAACGACTCGCAGCTGCGGTGGATCGGCCCCGAGAAGGGAGTCATCCACCTGGCGCTGGGCGCCGTCGTCAACGCCATCTGGGACCTGTGGGCCAAGGTGCTGGGCAAGCCGGTGTGGCGCATCGTGGCCGAGATGTCGCCCGAGGAGTTTGTGCGGTGCATCGACTTCCGCTACATCACGGACGCCATCACGCCCGAGGAGGCGGTGGCCCTGCTCAAGGAGTCGGAGGTGGGCAAGGCGGAGCGCATCAAGGAGGCCGAGAACTCGCGGGCCGTGCCGGCCTACACGACGTCGGCGGGCTGGCTGGGCTACGGCGAGGACAAGATGAAGGCGCTGCTGCAGGAGACGCTGTCCAAGGGGTACCGGCACTTCAAGCTCAAGGTGGGCGGCAGCATCGAGCAGGACAAGCACAGGCTGTCGATCGCGCGCGAGATCATCGGCTACGACAAGGGCAACGTGCTCATGGTGGACGCCAACCAGGTGTGGTCCGTCCCCGAGGCCATCAGCTACATGAAGGAGCTCAAGGAGTTCAAGCCGTGGTTCATCGAGGAGCCGACCTCGCCCGACGACATCCTGGGCCACAAGGCGGTGCGCGACGCGCTGCGGCCCTACGGCATCGGCGTCGCCACCGGCGAGATGTGCCAGAACCGCGTCATCTTCAAGCAGCTCATCGTCAGCGGCGCCATCGACGTCTGCCAGATCGACGCCTGCCGCATGGGCGGCGTCAACGAGGTCCTCGCCGTCCTGCTCATGGCCAAGAAGTACGGCGTCCCCATCGTGCCCCACTCGGGCGGCGTCGGCCTGCCCGAGTACACCCAGCACCTGAGCACCATCGACTACGTCGTCGTCACCGGCAAGCTGTCCGTGCTCGAGTACGTCGACCACCTGCACGAGCACTTCCTGCACCCCTCCGTCATCAAGGACGGGTACTACCAGACCCCCATGGACCCGGGCTACAGTGTCGAGATGAAGCCCGACAGCATGGACAGGTTCACCTTCCCCGGCGAGCCTGGTGTGTCTTGGTGGCAGAGCGAGGAGGCGAAGCCTATCCTGGAGGGTGTGAAGATCTAAGCCCCATCTTCGTTACTTGATGTTATAGGAGGAATAAGGATGGCGGAAGGAAGAGCCAGGCCGAGGAGGTCCGGTGACGATGGGTCTAAGGACAGGGCAGAAATAACGGCGGCGTCTTCTAAAGGAGACGTGTCAGTGATCCGCGTCTTTGCGCTGAGCTGTTCAGTACGAATAGCCCGGCCAAGATCTGGTGGATTACGAACCGGGCATGCGACCACCGTGAGTCGTTTGGCAGGGCAACGATGGCATCCTGTATTCCCCGCTGCTTAACTCTAAGCAGTCGTGGTTATCCCTCTCAAGGCAATGTGGGCCTTGCATTCTTGGACTCTTTCCGGGGAGGGTAGTTAGTATCCCAATCTGCTGGGATATCACCTACCCTTGACACCGAACAGATGCTCAAGCTAGTTAGAGAACAATGATCGAGTCACTATTGAAACTGTGTCAGAACCCCACGGCCCGTACGCCTCTTGCACCCCGGACCGAGCACAATGTTCCGATTCTTGCCAGCCGGCCCGTCGAAATATCAGGCAACGCGGCAAGTTTCAGCCGACTGTGTCTCCCGTACTTGACCATGACGTGACCATCGTGAATGCCAACAGGAGCTTTTCCTCCATCTATAAGACGTGAGATGCAGGAGGGACGCCACTGCGTTCCAAGTCTGATGGTCCTCGATATATCGCCCAAGACATGTGGCTTACAGTTTTCCAATGCCATTATTCCAAGTTTCCTGGAAGATGGCAATCTGCCCAGTCTGCCTTGACCACAAACATGCCAACCGCACGATGGATATTTCTTTAACCTCGCCCTTTCCACACCACCACGTGTGGTGACGATGATGTGAGCGGCAGTGGCAGCGGCAGCAGCCTTCTGAGCCGTTAAACAATGCAAAGGGATGGCGATGGCGGCAGGCACACGTTAAGAAAGCCACAATTCCTGATTATCAATGAGTTTCTCAGATCACAACGGGAACAGGGCGTCAAGACTCCCCGCGGCGGCACGACCTGATGGTGCTCGAGACGTTGAGCGCCACTAACACGGTGCATGCCCTTTCTTCACCGCCAGACTGGCTTTCCTGGTGATGCTTGCCTGCCTAGTTGACGCGTGCGCCTCTAGATACGGATGGAAGCGCATCGTCACCAATGATTGGCCCCTGGAAGCGGTGTTTGAGAAATCTTGCTGTTGTCCTCAAGCCGTACTCACAAGATAATGCAGGGGGCTGGAATCTCCTGTCTGTTCCTGTGCCTTGAATATGTTTGTTGTCGGGAATGGCGTCGAAGGGCGTGCAAGCCATCGCATAACGTCTTTCTGCGCGAGTGAAGTGACGCAGTCGTGGACAGAAGCGTGCAGCTGCCGTGGTCCCATCTCGCGAAAGGGCAGCCAAGTCGTCATCCAAACACCTGCCAGGGGGGAGAGGCAGGCGGGCAGGCGGGCGGGCAGGCAGATAAGGGAAGATGAAATTTTGTGGCTGTAGACTGCGGGCAGATATCTGAATAATCTCTGCTCGGGTCTCACAGGCATTTCCGCCACCGGGGGGTGAAGACGCATCCCTTGCTTCTCGTGGCGATATGCAGGCCTGCGTGTCTGTGCCGCTATCTCCATGCCTTTGGGTGATGAATGGATTCACGGGATGCCACGCGACTCGCCAGCGCCGCCACGGCTGCCCATTGTTTTGTCTCGTTGCAATACAATACAGCGCACTGGCATGCTGCACACCGAGACATCAGTGCGGAAGAGGAATTTTTATCGGATCGGTCTTGGGGGGGGTGGTGGTCTTTGGTGTTTCTGTGTGAAAACGCACGGGGCCAAGGAATGAATATTGGAATCGCATTGTGGTAGGCCAATCTCGCCAGGGCAGCCAGGGAGAGCTGAGCTCTTCCGCCCAGGCCCCAGGCCCCAGGGCTGCTGTCCCTGGGTTTTAGGACCCCTTGGGTCGTCTAGGTAGGGCTGTGGTGCCCAGAGTCAGGGTGTCTTATCTCTCCACGTCCCCTAGTTTCCGCGTCTGGCCAGTGGGCTGGCCCAGCCCAAAGCCCCAGCTACCAAGCAAGTACCCCGTACCAGGTACCCGGGTACCCGGGTACCGTGTAGTTGTTCCCCATTCCCCCAAAATTCGCATTCCCCCAGCCACGGGCCCCAGCCCGTTCCTCACTTCTTCGATCATGAGAATAACAATGAGGGCACATCAGGAATCAAGAAGATGGAGCATCTGGAAACCCAGGTCAGCGACCTTCGATCTTTCCTTCCAGGAGCTGTCCCCTCGGCCGCACCGACATCGACAACGACACCCAATGCCAACTCGAGGCCTGCAGCACACATGGCTGGAGTCGTAATAGGCCCAGGCGCTTCGACCGCCGCCACCACTCCACGTCATCCCAGCCAGAGCGCTGGGTCGTCTGTTTCCGCCGTCGGAAGCAATTCCGCACACCCATCACCCCTCGCCTTTGCTGCCAACCACAACCCCCAGCCCGCAAGAAATCACGGTGCTTCTGTCTCGACCCCTGGCCCTGTGTCAGCGCATCGCTCTCATGCAAATGGCGGTGGTGCTGGCGGTGGAGGAGGAGGAGGAAACGGTGGCGTCGCCGCCACTGCCGGGGCGAAGCGGAAGCTCAACGACAACGCCAGCGACGACTCCTCGCAGAGACAGCAGAGGAGCAAGAGGAACAGGGTAAGTGGTGACAGCAGCAGGAGTAGCCAGTCAGTCACACCTGGGCGGGATCTTGCTTGCTGACCGTTGCTTTTGCGACTGCTCACAGTACATCTCCATCGCTTGGTACGTCGTAACTCTGCCCGGCCCGAGAAGCCCACGGCCCACGGCCCACGGCCCACGGCCCACGGCCCACAAGCTCGATCCCCGAAGCTTCCCTCCATCCAGACCGCACGGCGAACAGGGGCATGGGGCATGCATGAGCCAGCCAGCCGGTGACGGCCTGCGGCTCCAGCACCCCTCGAGCCCAAGTGTCGCGTCGCGGGGGAGACAGACAACTGCAGAAAGCTAACGATGCCCTCCTCCACCTCAGTAACGAGTGCAAGCGGCGCAAGATCAAGTGCAATGGCGAGACGCCGTGCCAGCGCTGCGGCAACCTCAACCTCGCCTGCCAGTATGCGCCCAACTGCTGCTCCAACAACTTCAAGGACTCGGACGAGTTCAGGGAAATGAGAGACAATGTCGCCCGACTGCAGGAGCAGGTTGACACCCTGTTTCAGTCCATGAACGCCCTCAAGCAGGAAACACTGCACCTCGCCCCAATCCATGACCGGGCCCTGCCCTTCCCGAACAGCGCTGCCGTCACTCCTTCCCCGTCCACAGCAACCATGTCCTCCGTCCACAGGCAGGACCTGCCGCCGCCCCGGGCCCCGCTCCTTTTCCGTGGCCCGACGAGTGCCTCCTTCACCGTCGATCTTGCTAAGAACTCGCTGCGACAGATGAGGCAAGAAGGGAAGTTGCCGCACATGGACCTTGCTGCCGCCGAAGGACTCGAGGACAACGCGGTCATGATCGAGGACTCACCTGCCCCATCGCCCTACCAGACCTGGCCCTCAGCTGCCGAAATGCCTCGGGGTCGTGCGCGAGATCCCCTGTGGAACTTCGACAAGAAGGAGATGGTACGCCTGTGCAGGCTCCACCAGGAGGAAGTCGGCATCATGTACCCCGTCCTCAATATCAACAATGTCGTGAGCCATGCCGTTTTTCTGTGCGATTGGATGGAGGCCAGCAGCAAGAATGGGCTCGCTCCACACGGCATTGGCCAAGACGAAGGCATCAACAACATCCACACGCTGGAACTCAAGATCATCATGTGCATCGGCCTGGTGGTCGAAGGGCAGGGCTACAGCCCCAAGGCCATCCAGCTGTGGGACAGCATGCAGCCTACGGTAGACCGGATGCTCATGAGCGACCAGAGCAAGATAACGAACCTGCCCTTCTTGGCCCTCGTCGGCGGCTACAGATTCCTCTCCAACGATGAGACTCTAGCGTGGAGGGTGATGGGCCAGGTCACTCGCCTGTGCTTTGAGCTTGGCATTCACAGGAGGGACGTCATCGACGCCATGGGCAATGACCAAGACCGCAGGAACGCCATCAACACGTTCTGGTCGGCATACGTGCTGGATCGTCGGTGGAGTTTTGGCGTCGGGCTTCCTTTCGTCGTTCACGACGACAAAATAGACCCGCATCTTCCGTGGCCTGTAAGTGTGATGGTGCTCTCCCCAGTTACGCCCCGCATCCCGTCCCCCTCCGCCCGAGCCCAATCTCAATATCGTGCCGCAGCTGTTGAACGTGTGCTAACTTACCTTGCAGGATGAATTCCCGTACCTCGTATCCATGGTCACTTTCTCCAGGGTGTGTGCCAAGGTCTGGAAGCTTGTGGACTTCTTCGATCCTACCATCATGCGTCAGATAGAGCGCGCTCAATTTGAGGAGCTGGACAAAGAGATACTGGATTGGTACGAGAAATCGGTCCCGGAGGGAATCAAGATCGACGGACTCACGGCTCATGTACCTATACCGGGCACTCCTACCTACGACAATGATCGTCTCCAAATCTGGACACGATTGAGACTGAACCAGGTGAGTTTCGCTCCAGGTTCAACCCGAACAAGCGCAGTCTGATTCGTGTGACAGATTCGCATCTGGCTGTATACACCCATCCTCCATTCGTCAACAAGCATCTCCAACAACCTTGATCTTGCCCAGCGTGTCGTCGACCTTGCGAAGGAAACAATACACTGTCTTAGTATTCTGAACACGCACGCCGATGTCTACCGCCGTATCCAGGTATTCTACAACCACTTCCTGACCTCGGCGATTGCCTGTCTTTTTCTCGCATCGGCCCACCGTCCCGGCGACTTGAGTGACCAGTGTCGGGACCCGTTCAACATGTCCATGGGGCTCATTGAGGACATTTCATCCAAGAGCCATGTTAGCCAGAGGCTGTGGCAGACAATGGAGACATTGAAGACATATGCGCCTTTTGTGGGCCTTGCCGACAAGACCGATGATCGACGGGGTCGGCAGAAGGAACAATTGGCGATGGCGGGGATGGCGCGAATGTCCCGCGGGGGGCAGCCCCCCTTTGACGTCCTGTCATCCTCTGACCGCCACGGCTCCATCAGTAGCACCAGTGCCGGCCAGCGGGCGTCACCGAGCCCCGGGTTCATAGCTGGGTTTAGCGGACCCACTCAACCGCCGAGCCGGATGGGCAGCCTCACGCCGCATGCCGGAGGGGCTTCGCCGTACAACGGGGCACCTAGCGGCGCAGCGGGCCACGGCGGCCTGTCCTCGGGTGGCGAGGACGCGAAGAACGGACTGCGCCTGCGCAACGAGATGTCGAGGGTGTACGAAGCACTGTCGAACGGCCTGGGTCCCGGCGACGACTTCTTCGCCGGGAGCCCCATTGAGTACCCTGACAGCGGGCAGTTCATGCCCAATGCTGAACACGGCGTTTTTCAGCGCATGAAGAAGATGTTTTAGGTGGACATGTATACACACGCTCCTCCACTCCGGTGCGGGATTGATTTAGCAAGCCATATATTATTATTTTGGAATGCAAAGTTTGAGGCATCTTTTGTCAGATATCATGGCGGAGAAAGGTCTGATCAATATATCATGTATGATAGGGTTGAATGCGTGCAAGCTGCTACGGTCTTCCTCGACGCCATGGGTCGAAGATCAGCGTAGCTCACGAACAACCAAGGTCATATTTGCAGCGGCAGGACTGGATACTGCTGCGGACTGTGGAAGATGCATTTTCAAGCATATTGAAGAGGTTGATGATCGTTGGAGCAAGCCTCATGGGTGAGAGGAGCCCAAACAAGCCTTGAGCCCTTTGTTGATCCTACCTAGGTACTGTGTCCCCCTGAGTGCTCTTTCATCCTTTTGATTTTAATTTTGAATCACATTAAAAGGTGGTGATGTATACTAGTTTGGGAGAAAGTTTACATTTGAAAGCGTATACACGGACTTACCTACTGGGAGAAGAAAAAACCTGACCGAAACCTATCTTACCTTTTCATTCAGTCATGCCTGGCAGTCAACAACGAGTAACAACCTCAAATCTTATGGGAAGTAAGACAAGTCAACGCCAGGAGCGAAACCCGTCCACCCACCATAAACATTCCTGTCATAGGCATCCCGATCGTAGATCAGCACAGTCGCCTCGACCCGCGCATACGGCACAGAGTGGGCCGGCTGCGGTTCAGCCTCGGACGAGAAGTGCTCGGGTTGGGCGTGGGCATGCCTGCGGCGCTCCCTGGCGATATGGTCCTCTGCCCACCAGCGGAAATCCTGGGGCCTCATCCCGCAGCGCCGGTACGACCTGTCGGCAGACCAGACACCCCACGCAGGGCCAAGAGGCACAGGCCGCGGCAGCATCGTCGGCCAGCCCGCCCGCCTGGCCCGCGCCTCGGCGCGCGCCACCGCGGCACAGGCCTCCCGCCGCCGGGCGACGACCCGGAACGCGGCCGTCAGCATGTGCTGCACGGCCGCTATGAAGGGCGGGTCCCGCCCGCCCTCGTGGTCAGCTGGGGCGCGGGGCTCGGGGTCGTGCATGAGGCCCGCGCCGATGCCGTACGCCACCAGGGGCGTGCGCGCCAGGTCGCCCGCCAGCGACCGGCCCCGGCCGTCGGCGTACGCGCCCGTGGCCCTCATGAGCGCCGGCGACATGCCGGCGGTGTCGAAGCGGGCCTCGGCGTCCTCGCGGGCCCGCCGCACGTAGCTGCTGCCGCCGTTGCGCCGCATCTCCTCCTGCGCGAAGTACCCGAGCTCGCCGGTTTTGAACCAGCGGTCGGGCGTCAGGCCCAGCCGCTCGGCGACGTCGCTGGCCACGGTGCCGATGGAGGTCAGGCGGAGCCTGTGGAGGCGGGGGAAGGCCCTGGCGATGGCGTAGCACAGGTACGTCCGCGCCTCTGGGTCCCGGAAGGCCTTGGCCGAGACCATGATGGCGGTCACCTTGGCCGCGTCGGGGCCGGCGAGGAAGGGGATGAGCTTGACGTCGGGCCTCATGCGCACCGAGGCCGCGCCGTCCTGGCTCGCGCGCTTGAGGAAGTCGGTCAGGTAGTCGTCGTCTAGGAAGAGCAAGTCGCGGGTGCCTCGAAATCCCATCCCCGTGGGCTTGTGGTTCCAATCCCGGAACCGGAAGAACGAGTCGTACTCCCTCCAGTCCCTCCTTTGTTCTCTCATACTGGCGGCCATGGCGGCGGCCCCGGGGTTCCCCTGCCTCTCGAGCTGCCCGACGACGCCTATAGCCATCTTCCTGATGTCCTTCCACTCGACGTTGAAGTTTGGCTCTGGGTCCGACGGGCCCCTGGCGGCTGAGTGACAGACAGCCGCGGCGAACTCGAGACCCTCTTCCGGGGTGAGCTTGCTTGTCCGGATGGTCTGGCCATGCTGGAGGAGTGCCTCTGGGAAATACGGCAGGGGCATGTCGAGCGCCGGGTAGGGAAACTCCTCAATCCAGTCGGCCCTGCATAGTGAGCTGGAGACCTGTCGCCACAGGAACGCAGTCTCCCAGTCCAGGTCCTCGGGGATTTCCAGGTTGGACTGCGGCCGGAGGTGGAATAATCTAGTTGGATAGTTGACGTACCTTCTAAAGCCTCTGTATTTCATCCTCTCTAGCACCTGAACGGGGACATCGTTGGGGAATCTCAGTTTTGCAAGCAATCGTGGGTCGCATAGTCGGAGGGGAGGAGGGGGAGGAAACCCCCAGGGCTGTGGGCCCCTGTCATTATATGGGAATGGTGCTTGCTCCATCTCCTGTGGCGGATACATTTCTCTCTCGTCGTCTGAGAACGTTAGTGGATGTTGACTTCCATATTCAAACCCGAAGGTATGACTCCTACGAGTCGGAGTACCGACCCAGATAATTCCCAAAGGGTCGATCCAGGTCTCAGAGCGTCCCAGCCTCTCTGGTGATGGCGGTTCATCGAAGCGAAGGGCCATATTCTTGGCTCAGCTCAGGCTGATCTAGGTAGCTTGATTGAATGTGAGCACAGTCCGTGTCTAGCAAAATCCCATGAGGTCGAAGTCTATAGCACGAAACGAATCGTCAGGGCACCAAGGTAAGCCCGGCTCTGGAAGCGTAGATTTCTTGCTTCGTCATACATATACACGATAATCCTCATCGCGAGAACAATGCTCATTGTTGAAGCAAACTGAAGTCGGGTACACAAGCGAATAAAGACCTCGGTTATCTTTAGACGCATGCCGCCTGTGTCCCTAGGGGTCCTTTCTCCGAGACGGGACCTGCTTGAATGCATCTTTGTGGCATTAGCTTTCATCAAGTGCCGAACAATTCGCTCGTACTTTTGCTACGGCCGGTATATTCGTCCGCAGGCCTGGATGTCCAACCCTGTTCCCACATGGTCCCCCAGGCTGAGTTCAGATCGGCGGGCTGCCAAGAAGTGTGCACTCTTCCATTGTTGTTGGTTGCATTGTGCAAATGCTGTTGGTGGTTCAAAGTGGAGCCCCTGAGGGAAAATGCGATCAAGAGACGCATCAAGGCCAAAATAGCCTTGGGGCTGAACCATGCTCCACTTGAGACAGGGATCATTAACCTTTCTGTGGTATGGTTGTAGCATCACTTCACCAACGCACTCCCCAGCCTCGGCCAACATGTGCACCTACTGCAACCCGGAGCCGCTGCCCGAATCATGCGCCAAGATTGGTCCCAGCACAGGATTGGTCAGTGGCTGGTATCGTAGAACCAACAGACATCTAGGCCACGCCTCCCTAGATGGGCTCACGGATTGCTGCGCTCCAAGAAGCGGTCTATTGCCCTCCGTGTCGTCACATTGGAACTCAGCGGTAGCCGACGGCATTGCCTGAATAGGAGGGCAGATCGGAAAATGTTTTTGGTCATGCCCGAGTGATGTGACATTCAGCGGCTACAAGCTGGAGTGAGCCTTCCAGACCTCCACAACCCGCGAGTCTCCATAGCCAGTTTGTGGATGTCTCGGCTTGAATCGCTCCACGCTGCCGAGGATAGGCCAACGAAGTCGCACCGCAGATGGCTCAAAATTTAAGAGAAATCACTGATGACCAATATTTCTGACTCTGGGCGAGCGAATCTTTGATTTGAGTAGCGCAACCATTACTGCTGGCCCTTCGCCCAGCTTACGTAGCAAGGATATCCGTTGGCAGGATGCAGCCCCGCCGAGTCCGTCTGGTACGCCCGTTCTCCGTGCACGGTTCGAACAGGTTGTCCGAAGAACCTCCTCTTCGTCTTCTCGACGAAGCCCAACTGACGCTCCCGCTCAGCATCGAAATCATCGTAGGCATCCCGTAACTCAAGGTCCCTGCAGGTGAGAATAATAGCTATCCGAAGCTCATTCCACACCAAGGTCTGCCCAATGCAGTTCCTTGGACCCTGCTCGAATGGCCGAAATGCTGCTGGGTCCGGGTACAGTTCGTCTTCAGGCCCAACGAGGAACCGCTCGGGCAGGAACTCCTTCGGCCTTGGCCATACCCGTGCATTGACATGCAATGCGTGATGCAGTACGTTTGCGCCAATATAATCCATGGGCTGTTCGCTGCCTTGGTGGTCGGTGACGGTGAGCCCGGGTCGCCCGGCACGTACTGTTCCAGCCGGGCCATATATGCGAAGAACCTCCTTTGTGAACGCCACTGTGAGCTTACAGTTGTTCAAAAGGCTAGGATTTGCCTTGATAACGCTGGCTGCGGTATTCGGGTCCTTCCCAAACACCTCGTCGTGCTCGCCCCTCAGTCTCTCAAGCCATTCTGGATGCTTGGCGAGCATGTGATAGATGTATACCATCATGGAGGCTGTGGTGTCGGTGCCTGCGAAGAGGAAAAGCCGAATTTGGTACGTTGCGTAGCGAGCAAATTTCTCGTCAAGTTTTGGGCTGAGGAGCAAGTCTGCGTCTGGGGACTGTGCCACGTATGCTTCAAGCGCAAGCGTGATGACAGACTTGATAGACTTGGAGGTCTGCCGTGTGTGGTCTGTGTCAGCTGCATGTACTGCCTTGGTTTCTTGAAATCGTCTCTCCAGCTCGTGGCGGATGTATTTGTTCATAGTCCGTGCATGATACCATTGCTTGAAGGGTCGAAGGGGATGCATGAGCACTCGAGGATCCCAGAAAGAATGCCAGCTTAAGATCTTCCCCAGTGTGATTGCGAGAACATTAGGCGAGTTTTGGTTACTTGAGTCGTCATCCCTTGGGATGTCAGCAGCTGTGGGCCGGCTGGGTCATGAGTACTTACAATGTCACTTTCAGGATAACTTCTTGAGTAAGTTTTGTGGCCAAATCGTCCAAAGAAAACATGCCTTTTCCAATTCTCTGGATCAACTTCTCACGGAAGACCAGGACTGAGTCGACGATGTGAGGTACACCGTTGAGCATAGCACCAGTACTGAATCCGGGGTTGAACAAAGATCTCCAGTACTTCCACTCATCTCCATTCATGCTAATGAGATTCGGGCCACCCGTAACTGGCTCCATAAATCGGGATGCGACGGCAGGCTTGGGGAGATTGTATTTGTTGCAAATTTGGTTGATGGATTCGGGACCAAACACCGTAAAAAGAGGGGGATACACTGGCCAAAAGTCCATGAGGAAGAGCTCCGTATCAGTATGCTCCTCACAGAGGTCTCGCATGGCCAGCGCGACGGCCGCATCAGGAGGGACCCCGTCCAGGTATTTCTGGAGGACCATTAGATGACCTGTGATCCAGCTCCATCCCTGGGGCATGGGCTTCCAAAGGTGTCAGTGACCAGGTTGAAGCTGACGTTGCTCGAGTGGCGGCAATTGGATCGCTTACCACGCCCTGCTTTCGAAGCTCATTGATCTTGCAACGATGATTGTAGGCCGTATGAACGAAGTATCCGAGAGCGGTACATAGTAGGATGCCAGCGGTGGACAAGATGCTTGACCACGCCATCTTCAAATGTGGCGAAAGTGTTGAGTGAGTTTGTGCAGATGAGGGAAGAAGTGAGAAGAAAAAATGGCAGGGCAAGTACCCAAGTAGCTCGTGAGACAAGTCGAGGTTGCATCAGATGGGGCCTACTGTTGGAGCTACGGGGGCACAGCAGCTGCAGGGTCCTCCGTTCCTGTCCACTAGGCAACACTGTGGGCTGGGCTGGTTGGCAGGCCAGGAACAGCCCGTCTGATGGGGCGACTAAGAGCCCCACGCCCAAGCTCATCCCGAGTCCAAGGAGCCAATTCGTCCAATTCCAGTGCTCAGTTTATTTGGTATGTTCCCACGATGGTAACAGAACAAAATGATTTCATCGTTTTTCCAGACCCCAACCATCAGGAATATTATGCATAGGAGAGCTTTTACTGCGATAGACATACGCGTTCGATCCACAAAGTCGTTCTATTTATGCAAGCTAAAAAAGAATAAGGTGCTATGAGAGTGGACCGAAGTTACAGAGCACTGGCATGGCATGCCGCGCCACGGAAATCAGAACTTCAGCTGCCTTGGTTTGAGTCTGACTTGCCAGTGACCACTGGCAAATTGCATAGTGATGTACTGCCTGAAGTCGACGTCCTGGCCAGGCACCTCGATGACATCGAAACGGCTGAAGATGTTGGCGGCCACCATTCTCATCTCAGCCCAGGCAAAGCTGTTCACAGCACGTTCGTATCAGTAAATCCACTGACCAACAGTTAGGCGCTGAGGGTTTTCTTATGTTACTTACTTAATGCCTATGCAAGAGTGCTTTCCACCGGAGAAGGGATAGTATGCGTCCATGCTATGAAACAATACAGTCAGTCAGCCGTCGACCAAGATGAAAAGGTGTCTGCTGGAAGCAGATATTAGATGACTTACTCAGGGCCGGGGGCGCCCTCCCTCTTATCCTCTGTCAGCCACCGCTCAGGCCAGAACCGCTGCGCCTGAGGCCAGTGATCCTCATTAAGGTGCAGAGCGCGGTAGCTAGCACTGACCACGGTGTGAGGCGGGAGCCTGTAGCCCATGATCTCAACCCACTCGCCGCCGGTCCGGCGGCCCATCTCCGAGGCGATGGGGTGCATCCGCAGGTTCTCCTTGATGCAGGCCTCGAGGTACTCATACCGCGGGTCCGACCGCACCGTCTTGGACGTGATGATATCGTCGTCCAGGACGCCGCGGGCGGGCAGGCTCGCCAGCAGCTTGGCCCTGACGCGCGGGTTCCGCGCCAGCTCGAGGAACAGGCACGCGATGGTGCCGCTGGTGGTCTCGGAGCCGGCGAGCAGCACCTCGGCCATCTGGTCGATGATGTCGCGGCTGCTCATGGCCGTGCCCGTGTCGGGCTTGCGGCCCTCGTCGATCATGTGCTGCAGCAGGTCCTGCCGCTCGACGTCGGCGCCGGGAGCGGCGCCGCTGCTGCTGCTGCTGCGGCGGCGCACCACGGCGTCGATGGCCGTGATCATCTCGGCCGGCCAGTCGAACTTGATGTCCCACCCCAGCTGGCGGAAGAACTTCTTGACGTAGACGGTGCGGTACCGCTTGGCGAGCCCGTCGAAGATGGAGCGGGGGATGGACTTCCACACGTGCTCGTCCACGCCATTTTCTATCTCGGTCAGGCCTGGGTTTGTCTGTCCGAAGCCTTTGCCGAAGGAGCATTCTCCCATTCTGCGAGCACTCGAGTTAGTTGTGTCATGACTTGGACTGGATTTCCTGCTCACTCACATGTCAAGGGCCACATTATGGAGGTCGTCCATCAAGTCCACCTGGAAGCCGGTGTGCTTAGCCAGTTGGAGGTTGTGGTCGATTTCATTTTGATATTTCGACAACAGAGCACGGACGGTGTGCTGGAAGTAAGACTCCAGGTTGTCAATGTAGTTGACTGTAAAGGCCGGGGACAAGAATCGTTTCAGCTTCTTGTGAGGCTCATAACGACTGTTGTAGAGGATCTTGTTCAGCCCGTGGATATTTTGATATTTCATGGAGAATGGTAGGGTGAGAGGTGAAGGCACTTACATTTCGCCAAAGAGGCCCGGGCTCAGCTTGTCCCGCGAGATCTCAGAGTACATTGCGACCTTTGGGAGGTCCACCTTGACCAAGATCTGCTTCAGGGCATCTTTGTCTGAGACCCATATCTGACGCGGGCCGAGACGGACGATAGACCCATATTCAGAGTGAGCCTTCTCCACAGTCTTCCAGATCTCTCCAGTGGAGAAACCCCATTTGAGGTGTGCTGTAGTTAACGGAGCATACCACGGACCTGGTATGTCACGCAAGGGAGAGCGGATAGCCCTCAGAGTGCTAAGGATCGATTTGACGAGTATAAACAACGCAATTAGCACCGCGACTGCGGAGATCACAATGGTGAACGCCATTGTGTCTCGGCTTGCCTCTGATAATGCCGTTCAAGTCCTATGTAGTTCACTTGTGAAAGGGACTACGGAGCACAATCAACGTGGAGCGTAACCCTTTTTTTGCTTGTGCCTGGTAGGAGATAGAATGGTAGAAAAGGGAATTGCGACTAGTGTATCAATTTTGAAGACCTCGATCGACGCAGTGAGGTCTATATAAGAGACATTGAGTAGCTTGTCGAATACATCATAGCGCAAGTATTATTGCCCCTGGGACTGCTATTATTTATATTACAGCGGCGGTCAACTATCAAGTCTTATCTCTTGGTGAGAACACCACAAGATCAAGTTCGTCTCAGCTGTCCGGCCAAGAACCATGCCCAGGTACGGCGGCTGGGGAGGGCAAGGGAGGAGGACAGGCCATAATGCGACAACGGTTCGGAGATGAGAAGCGGCAGGGGAACGGCGCCTGATCGTGGTATGAAGCCCACTCACACTCTTCTAGGGATGCTTGATTCAAGCCACGATGAATTTAATAGATCGTCCCGCGGACGGACGATTCTGGGCCCTCGTGAGGATGTATCCACAATATGGAAGAAGGTTTCACAATCAGCAGCAATAAGTCAGCATGGACCCGCAAGCCTGGCTCGTATTCGCATGATGCCGCCGTACTAAAAAGTTTTATGACAGGGCGAGGTTGGTTATCACGATAGTACAAGTACATGAAGTCGAGGCGGATGACTTCAAGAGTACTGATGAAAGGGCGAATAGAGTTGTCAGGCTGACAACAGACCCTAACCGGAGCTGAACTGCAAGTGGGTATCGTCCGAGGCTTTACCGACTGCGCGCTTGAAGCTGAGGCAGCACGATGGACTCCGAGACCCCGTCTCTGTCGAATGATCAGGTATGATTTTGTCATCAGATCATGAGTCGTCTTGCTGAAGTCTATGGTCGTGGTTACCTAGGAATGCTAGTCTACACATAGTCTAGGCCTTGAGGCGGCAGCTTATAATAATTAAGGTTTGTCCGGAGGAGGAGGAGCAGAGTGGGCCGAAGATGTCTTGCGTAGCGCTCCCGATGCCTGTGGAGCCTGGGCTATGCTTAATCTGGAACCTCCGGAGTCAGCTCGTAGAGATACAAGAGAACCCTAATTGTCTACTATGTAGTACCATCTAAGTTGGCGATGGAGTTGTCCCGGCTATATGGAGACTATATGTATGTATTATCATAGTGCTGTGCGGGGAATGTAGCAACACCTGAAACTTGGCACTGGACTCAGAAAGTGATAGATTGCATTCGAGATGATGAACCCAATCTGTAGTATTCTCGAACCTCCACGTGGTGCTGTGCGTGCGCGCTCTACACGTCGTGCTTGCATGCTGCAGCTTGTGGGGCTGTAAGCATAATTGCAGAGACAGACACTCTGGCTCCAGGGCTGGCAGTGTGGAGTTGTGCAGGATGTTCGAGATCCAAACTGAACTTTGAGTTCAATGTTGACTATGTAGACCCATCCAAACCCACTTTGCCGGGAAGGGCTGCATTGACGAACTGGGTGGATGAGCGGCTGACTTATTGCATCAGGCAATCGACATTGAGACCCATGAAAAGATGACCTGATAATGTCCTCAATTCCGACGGCATAGTAGACCGCTCCGCTACAGGTAGAGACCACTTGAGGACAATCTAAAGTCCGGGGCTTGTTCAAACATGCCAGGGCAATATAGAAAGATAGTTTCGTATAGTGGTATAATACTATGGAACGGCTCTGATGCGGCGGGCAGTGATGCCTAATGAAGAGAGCGGCCAGTCGATTTTAACTTTCAGCTACTGGGGTATCCGCCTGTGCCGCTTTACTATTCAACCAACCAACCGAAAGACTATATGTACTTAGGTAGGTAGGTATATGTGTGTGTGTTCTGATCACTTCGTCCGGCACTTAACAAACATAGACCTCGGGAGTACCCAGATCAGGTGATTAGATATAGCATCGGCACGAATCGTCCAAGTAGGGAGGCCGTGCTCTTGCGGGCATATGCGCGGAGATGACTCGCCCTGGGAGTTGTAGACACCCCATTACGGCGCTGGGGGACAGTACTTATGTACCAAGACCGGTAAGACAGTGCCGAAGAGGGAATAAGAGACAAATTTACCAACTGTGGATTCGCTTAACAGCGGAACTCAAAAAACACAAATAGTCCATGAGATCAATTCGAAGAGTTTACTCACCGCCGGAGGTCCGGAGGCATGGGCAGAGTTCAATGTTGTGGAAACAGAAAAGGCAAAAACCTAGGTAGTCTCGAGGGTGGGGACTGAGCAGGAGCGAGAGATCCAGCACTTGCATGGATCATTCATTGTGCAGCAAGGCTGCAGACTGTGATCTAGATGAGGGGCGGCAGATCAATCTGATGAGTGGCGATCCATCCAGCCATCCCTTTGGAGCGAGCGTTATGTTGTACTGTGTACTTTTGTATGGAGCAGGCCTCGTATCTCGCCTACCCCTAACCCCTATAGACAGGAGGAGGCTGCACAAGCTGGGCGCCCAGGCACCTGGGCGCGCAAGCTGGCACGTGATGTCTCACATGGATGCAGTGCAACGCTGGAAGCGAGAGAAGGCGCAGGGTATGAATTTCACATGTCGTCGTTTGCCAAGTCCTCACGACGACCGGCAGACTGCCTGAACTGCCCGCCAGAATCGGAGGTGCCAGACAGGCCTGCCGGGCTGCCGGGGTGAGCATGCCGCAGTGGCACCCTGCCGGCGCATCGTGCTTCTTGGATGAGTCGTTGATGGCAATTGATGACGTTGCCTGCTCGGTTCCTGCGCCGGGCAAAGCTCGGGCGGGCAAAGCTCGGATGGGGGCGGTTTCTTCGTGAGAGCCCAGTCTATTTGTGGTTGTGGCACTGGTGTGTTTCGAAGGGGGAGTTTCAACTGGGGGGGGGGAGGAAGGGTTTCGGAAGATAACCCTTTTGGTAACCCTGGTGCCAGGGCAGACTCGAGCCTGAGTGAGATTTTTTCTTCTAAGGTTGGTGTTTGGATGGCCTGGCAAGCCTGGGCCACACGTGCAAATTGGTGGGCTAACCGTTTTGAGGGTGGGCGCACCGTTGCAATGCTGCAGGGCTCCGTAGCCCAGGAACAGCATACCACACACACACACTATGGACAAGTTAACCTCGGCCATCCTTCCCACTTTCCTCTCCTGTTTCCTCCGACACAGACTTCCAGGGCTGCAAAATGCACACTGCTGTAGTGTAGTGCTGTCGATGATGTGTCTTCCCATGCCAAGTGCAAGCCTGATCCCACCCACCTGCCAGCTACACGCAGTAGCTCAACGGTTTCCTCCCCGCCTTCCTCCTTCCCTCCCCGATGAGGCAGTCTCTGTTCTCCAAGCAATTACCCGAGCACGCTGGTTGGTTGTGTGCCGTGGGGGGTTCCCGAGCCGCCTCCATTCTAGACCAGGGGTCCCCCATCCACACGGGCCCAGTTGACCCATGGCCAACATGGGCCCATAAAATTTGAGCCGGGCAGCTGCTGAGCTTGGGACCCTGAATCCGAATTGGTGGTGGTGTTGCCTTCTTTCTCACTCTGCCAGTCTGCCCCTGTCAGGTCAGGCAGGCAGGCAAGCGGCCGCCAGCCTGCCAGCCTGCCTGCCCAACTCTTCTCTCAATTCAACTCCCGCCCACCTGGCATTGTTCAGGCCCCTTCCTTTTTGCCAGTCCCATTCCGAGTCCCAATCCCAGGGTGCCCACGCCAGGGCCACTGCCAGTGCCAATGCGCCCACGGGCCGTCACACAGCTAGCTTCCCGCACAGTCAGACTGACAAAGAATCCCTCCTTGGCAGAGTTTTGCATGTGAAAACATACTTTTCTGCCCTTGGGCTCGCAGGCTCACCCTTCTGCGCGTCGTCCCAGAGTCCCTAGAGGCTTGGCCCCCTGATCATCCCGCCATGGTCCAATCCAAGGCCGTGGACCTGCACGAGTCTAGCCGCATGGGACGTGGCCGAATCGCTGATCTAGTCTGCAATCTGTCTAGAAGGGTTCCAGAGTTTTCTCCTCGGCCTTCATCTCAGGGGCACAGGGGGGAAATGGGATGAATTGAGAGAGCCACAGGCAGGAGAGGCAAAGAGGGTCGAAAGGAGTCGGATGGAGTAAGCCTGTGCCGTGCCCCAGCCTGCCGACCTCGCCCAACCGCGCATTGTTGCACATTAGCCTACCGTGTACTGGCAGGACTTTGCTGCCCACATTCGCCATGTCTATGCGTCGTCCATCCGCTTTCACCGCCAGGATGGGGCCGCCGCCAACTGGGCCGAACCGGGGCCATCCACGGGCTGCCCTGCTGCCGGATCCATCTCGCTCTCTGGCTCTGCCCTTGGCCCTCCCTATGCCTCTCAGGGGACCGAGACGCCTGGGCCGGGAACGGGCACCCTCACTGCTTGCTCAGGGTCCTCCAAGGGTCCATGGGGTCGGTCCAAGGGGTCCATGGGGTCCAAGCAATCCAGTCCCAAGTCCCAAACCCACCAGCAGGGGTCTCACTTGTTGATATCGCTCGAGCGGTCGGGGGTCAAAAATTGTTGATATCGTGTCCAGATCCCAGACCTAGAAAAAAAAAACCTGCTGGTCCCCTACTCATTCACTTGAGACCCTTCGTTCCTTAGCCGAGCTCAGTCGCTTTCTCTGTCTCTCTTGCCTGTGCAAACACTCCCTCCCGATTCACAGCCAGGAAGAGTTGGACTGCGGTGTCTGATTTTCTTGGGCACACCACACTGAGGTCTACAGGACAGGCACTCTCTTGTGAGAAAAGGGATCAGATTGGACCTACGGAGTACAGTGATAACCATGGCTATCTCAATCACTTCGGTCCAGACGAGGAGCAGGACGGCGAAGCAGCAGGTAAGCTACCCCCCTTCCACCCCACCTCATCCACAGTCGCCAATGGCATGAGCCTGCACTGCAGCACAATGCGCGCCATCGCCCTCGTTGAGAAGGGAAAATTACTCGTCGCAGCCAGGTTGGCCTGTTCTGACACTGCCCCTCCCTAGGCTGCTCCGTCCGCTGCCATCAAGCTCGAGGCAGAGCCCAAGGAGCAGGAATTCCCCGATGTCAAGACCATCAAGAGCTGGATCCCCGAGCACTGCTTCCAGCCAACCGTTGCCCGCTCCATGAGCTATGTCGTCCGCGACTATGCCATGGCCCTCACCCTGGGCTGGGCCGCCCTGACCTACATCCCTCAGATCGAGAACTCGCTGTACCGCACCGCCGCCTGGATCGCCTACGGCTACGTCCAGGGCCTCATCGGCGTCGGCATCTGGATCCTGGGCCACGAGTGCGGCCACGGTGCCTTCTCCGTCCACAACAAGTTTAACGATGTCATGGGCTGGATCATGCACTCCTCGCTCCTCGTCCCCTACTTCAGCTGGAAGTTCAGCCACCACCGCCACCACCGCTTCACCGGCCACATGGACAAGGACATGGCCTTTGTGCCCCAGACCGTCGCCGACCGATCGCGCAAGCGCCTTGCCAACTTCTACATGGACGCCGACCTCTTCGAGGACACCCCCGTCGTCCAGGCCGTCAAGCTCTTCTTCCACCAGCTGCTCGGGTGGCAGACCTACCTGCTGACCAACGCCTCGTCCGGCAAGGGCAGCCTGCAGCGCGAGGGAAGCTGGTTCCGCGTGAGCCACTTCGAGCCCACCTCTGCCGTCTTCAGGCCGAATGAGGCCGTCTTCATTGCCCTCTCCGACCTTGGCCTGGCCCTGACCTCGGGCGCCCTGTACTACGGCTCCACCATCTACGGCTGGCAGACGATTGCCCTTCTCTACATCGTGCCCTACATGTGGGTCCACCACTGGCTCGTCGCCATCACCTACCTCCACCACAACCACCCCGAGGTTCACCACTACGAGGCCGAGTCCTGGTCCTACGTTAAGGGTGCCCTTGCCACCATCGACCGCGACTTCGGCTGGGTTGGCCGCCACCTGTTCCACAACATCATCTCTGACCACGTTGTCCACCACCTTTTCCCGTGAGTTCTCCTTGGCCCGCCGCCTTATACCCACGAATTGATGACTAACAACAGACCACAGTCGCATTCCCTTCTACAAGGCTGAGGAGGCCACCGAGGCCATCAGGCCCAAGCTCGGCAAGCTCTACCACCGTGACGACCGCTCGTTCCTCGGCCAGCTGTGGTCCGTCTTCACCACGTGCAAGTACGTCGAGAAGGACCCCAACGTGCCGGGCGCCATGAGGTGGGCCGACCTCAGCCAGGAGAACTAGAAATTTTTCTCTCGTGTTAGACGGCTGGGTTAGATCTCCCTGAGAGACCTCCGACATGAGGTTTTCTTTTTTCCTGCTCTAGACTCGATACTCTCCAGAGACTATGGAACTTGGGATAGACAGAATCAGAGCCCGCAATGGTTTGCGGGTCATAGATTAAAGAGGCTGGGGACCCCTTGGCTTCCATGCTGAATGATAGACGGGCTGCTTTTAGACCATAGAGAGAGAACAAGACGAAAAAGACTTGTTGATACCACGCTTATATACTGGCCCTCTAAACGTGTTCCTGCTACAGCTGAGACTTGTCTGTGCACAACTCACTTTGAGAGCCAACTGGTCACCGACACTGGAGTCCATTTTATCCGCGATGTGCACAATCATAAGCTCGTTGATCAAAATTACTCTGCAATATGAACTACCGGATATTAACTTGAATTTGGCGGCTTGAAAACTCACAACGGCCTGTCAAACCTAACCCGCAGCCTCTCGCCATACCTGATGAAGAGCAACGGCGCAGGAAAAAGCAAGCAGGAGATGCCAGCCAACAAGGTATTTGCCAGCCCCAGCCCCACGGCATCATTGAGAGAGGTGCCCACCAGAGGCAGGAAGGCACCGAGCACGTAGCGCAGCAGCGTCGACGCGGCGATGGCGGACGAGGCGACGGCTGTGAAGGCGTCCACGAGGTACGTGTTGAGCGGCAGCTGTTATTAGTTGACAGGCGAGCCATCTCGAGTCAGCCAGCTGTTCATCCCGTCTGCTTGGCCCTCGACCCCGCACAGAATAACAACCCGGGGGTTGGAACAGTAAGAGGTCAAGTGTTGAAAAAAAAAATCATACATACCAGCGTCAGCATCATCCCCGCGCCCACCAGCGCGCTCCCCACGATGGGGACGGCAAAGTGCAGCCCGGCCTGCAGCGACCAGCCGTACAGCAGCAGGCCGGCGGGGACGAGCGGGCTCGCGTAGACGATGGGTCGCAGGCGGTTCTCGGGCCTGTGGCCCTCCCCCGACGGGCGTGTGTCGGACGGCCGCATGGCGATCCTGTCCATGACGGTCGCGCTGAGGGCGACGCCCGCCGCGAACCCGACCATCAGGCCCGTGTAGACCAGGCCCACCGTGCTCGTGGAGAAGGCGTACTTGGCCCTGAAGACTGTGGGTAGGGTTGCGAGGAATATGAACTGTTTTTGGTTGGGGGGGCGGGTGAGTCAGTGTGGTTGTGAAGGTGGTGCTGGGGCTGGCTTACGATGTATCCTGAGACCACTGCTAGGTAGACCGAGAGCAACAAGATGACGGGGTTGGTGAAGAGCAGCAGCAGCGGCCTGCGCAGTGCCCTCGCCACCGTCTTGTGGAGGGGCACCGGGTCAGCATCTGCGAGCTTGGAGGTGTACCTCTTGTCCTTGGTGATCTTGCGCATGTCGTGTGCGATGCGTTCGAGGATGACCTTGGCGTTGGTCTCGCGGAGGAAGAGCATGGAGGCAACCGTGAGGATTCCACCCTACATACAACCGTTCAACTCATATCCTCTCTCAGAAACTTGGGCTTGGACAAGGGGACAGAGGACCCACAGCAGCAGCAGTAAAGTAAACAGTCGACCTCCAGCCGAACGCATCGACAAGCGGCCCCCCGATCATGGGCCCCACGGCGAGCCCCAGCAGCGGGGCGACGGCGGCGGCCGACATGGCCTTGCCCCGGACGCGCAGGGGCACGATGTCGGCCATGGTCCCCGCGCCGACGGTGGTTGGGCCCGACGCGGCACATCCCGCCACGAAGCGCAGCACGATGAGGGCCGTCAGGTTCGGGGACCGCGCCGAGGCCAGCGTCGAGACGGCGAAGACGATGTTGCTGGCGTGGTAGACGCCCAGGCGGCCGAGGACCTCGGAGAGCGGGCCGAGGACCCTGTTTGCGTTTAATAAGTTTGCGTCGCTGGTCAGCAAGCACTCTTGTTGTTGTTCGAGCACTGACAGGGAAACTTAAACTTACAGTGGAGCGATCCCCCACCCCAACGGGTAGATAGAGACGGTCATGACCCCGAGCAACTTGCTTGTATTGTGGAACTCGCTTAGAAGCTCCGGCACCCCTGGCGAGAATATCGCCGTCGCTAATGACCTGTTGCACAACGACAAGCTTTCTCAGCCCCCGCCGTTCATAGATCCCCCCCGCTTCCGCTGCTGGGCGGTCTTGGTGGAAAGGAAAGTCTTGGGAGCCAGGGGAGGGCAGCAGGGCAGGGCAGCAGGGCAAGTGGGCCAGGCCACCATCTTATTATTACAGAGTACTCACCCGATGAACAATAGGCCGCTGATGAGGCCCAGGTGCACCCAGATCTTGGACCACGGCCAGTTGGCCGGGTTGTCCGGGTCATCGTCCGAGTCCCAGTCCACGATGAAGTCCTCCGGCCTCTGCTTCTCCGATTTCTCGTCGGACCTCCTCCGTTGTGGTTCTGGCTCGAGCTGCGACTGCCACTGCCACCTCGCTTCCCGCGCCCACTGCGGCGAGGCATTGGCTGCTGCCCTTCCCTCCTCGAGGCTGAAGGACCTCTCCACAAATGTGGTAAAACGCCGCAGGCTGTTGATCGATATCCCGTCGGCCGATGTGCTGGACCATCGTGCCCTGGGAGGGAACCTCGGAGGTGTCCAGGGCGAAGACGGCGTGCTCGGTGAGTCCCCGTTCATCGTAAAGGAGGAGAGTGGCCTGGGAAAGCAGGTGAAGGCATCACTTTCGTGCTCCGTCAAGGTGTGGGTGGTATTCAAAGAGACAATAGACAATTGGAAGCTATTGCTACAAGCCCGGGAGGTGTCTCCAAGAGGCAGAGTTCCGTAGACTCGGGGCTCCTACAGCTTGCACGTCCGGATCCCCACGGAAATTAAAATGTTTTTGCGATCGCTGAGAGGTATCAAAGTTTCATCGGCACATTGCCTGAGGACAGTATTGCAACATCGTTTTGGGAAGCCTGAGGGCGCAAGGCGAAAGTCCCGGCTCGGCGCGGTCTTGAGAACAGCCCAGGGTCGCGCGCGCAATCCTGAAGTGTTCTTCATCTTGGCGACGGATTTGTGGATCCTACAAGTTGACAATACCCGTCGCGGTTATACTCAAGTGTCATTGCCAACTATTGGTACTTCCGAACCGGGTTGGTGGTTGGTTACTGTTGCTGCGGAATCTAGTCTATAGTACTGTCGCTAATAAGTACTCATCATGCGGCGCTCTTGGCTGCGGAGGGCAGTGGGACATCAAATGTTGCCAAGCATCAGCCTTATGAAACAGACACTATTACTATAGCACAACGCAACGAGCAACCTTCGGGTCTTCGTCTCAAGTCTTTGGCCGCCCAAGGTTTTGTACCGCTCTGCCCACTTGGGCACGAGCCCAAACAGCCAAGGTCGCCCACGCTAGGCGATACCTGGAGGGCATCGAGTCATTCCGGCACGTCTTGCATGACTTTGTCTGCGAGAATTCGCGAGCAAACAACGAGAATGAGTCGGGAGATACGGCGGACCTGCTGTGGCCATCGTCGCCATGTCAGAAGTCTAAATCGATGTTCATGCCCCTCCTCCGTCCCTCCTCGCAGGCTCGCCTGTTGAGAGAGGTCTGGTTTATTAGACGTGGAGAACATGGTTCGGAACTAGTCATGCAACACCGCCGATTTTCATCGCATGAGACGCACGCTGAAGCCGGGGTCTGATATGTCGCCAATTTAGACTTCATCGTGGTCCGCTGCAAAAAAATACAAGGGACGTGGCCATCTTTTCCTTTCGTCCCGGCGTTTGCAAACCTTGGAATTGGCTGCTGACCCACGGTTGGGCAAGTAAGCTCCCGAGGTCCGATGTCTGCTTCACGCAGTTGCCAGACTGTCATTAATGTTCCCAGCCGACTACTCAGCTCCACTAACATCCAGAACGCGGCCTGTACGATAATAGCAAAAGACTAGCTCTAATAGCTGAAGTCTATCTTGAGAGCCAATCTTGCCGATGTTTTCCCTAGGTACCAGATACTCGCCATTCAGGGTTGACATGGGGGCCAGTACATAGGCCCTGCGTCCTCTGTTTCCAACTCCTGGCAGCCCGTTGGTTAATTCCCGACAGCTATGAAGTTTATGTACAGAGTCTCGGATATCAAGCAAAATATGGACGTGCCAGCCCGGGCCAGAGCTGAAAGATGGGTGTAGCTGAGGCTGGGCCACGGCTGAATCGTGCCATCTCGATCTCGTGATGGGACCTGAGGTGGGCTGACCGTTCCGAGAGCCTCGGAAGGGAAGGCCACGGAGGCCACGGGGTCCACAATACTATCAGGATGTGCCATGCATGCATGTATCGGTTCGATTCCGGCGGAGCTGTTCAGAGACCCGTGGGCAGGGCTAGACCGCTCCATCCTCGAGAGGGACGTACTCGTAATTGTGACTTATAACTATACTAATAATCAGTTGCAAATGAAGGTGGCTGTTCGATACCCAGGTGGAGGTAATATCTTGCAAGACAACAGCGAAAATGACTATAATCCAAAAAAGCGTCGTGCCTACCAACAAGAAGGTGGAAACGCTTGAGACGTTTCTGGACTTCGTCAGGAAGAATTCCCCCTTTTACAGAGAATTCTGGAACACTGTCACCTGCGCCCCAGTTTTGAAAAAGACGTTGGAGGGCTATCCGTTGACGGACCATGCCGCATATTGGCAGGCAAATACATGCTTGAACAGCAGGGTGGTTACTTGTGAACAGCAAGACGGTATAATCTTCAAGACAGGAGGTAAATTCAATCTGCCTTCTCTGGCCAGAGCGGATGGTCCAGAGTCCTGGCTGCACGCTTGATGTTCGTAAGAAGCTAATCAAGTCGGACACAGGCACCACAGCAAAGCCCAAGGTCTCCTTCTACAACCATGCCGAGCTCGAAGGTGTCTCTAGGGCCTTGGCAACGAGTCTTGTCAGGTGCGGGGTGGCCCAGGGTGACAGGGTCATCAATCTGTTCTACGCAGGCGACATGTACGGCTCGTTCCTGTTGCACATCTTGTCGGTCTTCTACCTGCCGATCCACGAGCGGGTGGGCGGGGTGCAGCTCCCCGTGGCGGGGCACGTCACGACGGAGAGCATGATCACGCACATCCTCGAGTTCGAGGGGACTGTCGTGCTATCGACGGTGACCACGCTGGTCAAGATGGCGGAGCTGTTGGTGGGCGGTGGTTACCCAGGTAGGAGCACGGCCGGCAGTGTGAGGCTTCTGCTGTTCTCTGGCGAGGCGCTGTATGATGACCAGGTCGGCATAATCAAGAGGGCTTTTCCAGATGCTGAGCTTCGTAGCTTGGTCTACGGGACTATGGACTGTGGGGTGATTGGGCTGCCTCCGAGTCCAGAGGCGAAGCAGCGATTTCCAATCGCCGATGGCTTGAGAGACCCGAGGCTCCACCAAGTCAATCGACCGGGGATGGTCGTCGAGATAATCAAGGGCGATGGGACGGCGACAACAGAGCCTGGAACGCCTGGAAGTCTTGTGATAACGAACTTGGAGAGGAGACTGATGCCTGTTGTCAGATATCCATCTGGGGATAGGGCGGAATGGATTGACCACGACGCTGGGCTCTTCAGGGTTCTGGGGCGTGATCAGACGGCCATTCGATTGGGGCCTGTTTCGATTGACTTCACGCACCTGCGAGAGGCTGTGTCCTCAGCACTGGGCCCTGAGCGCCATGTCTCTGGCATTCAGGCAGTGGTTGACAGGCAAGACTCCAAGGACCTACTTACAGTCTTGATTGCCTTTCACCCAGCAACTCAGGCTGAGGAGGCGGAGCTACGATTGAGAATCACAGAAGAGCTGGGCAAGGCGAGACCCATGTTCAAGGGTCATGTCGACCTTGGGCTAGTCAATCCACTCTGCCTCTCGTTTGTAAAGGCGGGGGACCTGACTGTCAACGAGCGAAGTGGGAAGTCCATCAACGTGGTCGACAAGAGACTCACGACCCTATAACGGTACATGTGATCAGCGCACAAAATAGAGCTTGCAGAGAAATTAACGGTCTCGGTCAAATATGAGCTGTTTCGTTGCCAGCGTCAGCCGCTGAATGAGATGGAAAACGTTTTGGCCTGTGTGGCCAGCTAATATGTTTCTTGTCACTCATCCCATTGTTCAACGCCACCAGCCACCCGATTGTTAAACTTTCCCACAGCTGCTGGGCAGCTTCAGAAGCTCAAGTGGCCTCCGTCTGAACGAGCTGGCAGCTTGACCTCGGGTCCCAGCAATCCAACACAAATCTCTTTTGTAGAACCTTCAGTCTTTTCAATTGAAAACTCCAACCTACCTCTCAACCAACCCTCACTGTAACCAAACACTCAACACCACCCATTTCGATCACAAAGTTCTCGATTCTGATTGAGATCCTCTGCTCTTAACCCCCTCATCACTCTTACCAGTATCAAACTTCAATTTGGTTGATCCAGAACATCGTTTCCAGCAGCTGGCTGCGTCAAGCAAAGCGTGCGTCAAGCAAAGTGCGACCGCAACCTCAGCCTCCCTCCTCAATTCTCACACTTCAACTTGATCCACGAAGCCGTCTTCAGCAGCTGGCTGCCTCAAGCAAGCTCGTCAAGCAAGAAGAGTAATCTCGAGCTCTAACTTGTCATGGCACCCCCCGACGTTGCCAATCAGCGAAACGTGAGTCCTGGCTTCAATTGAGAACAGGAAGAAGTACCTGGCGCTGACGAGTAACCACTGGCAGATCATGGCTGACCTTGACCTTGTGGCCATGCTTGGTGAGGACCACGTCACTGAGGACGACTTCAACTGGGCCATGGGATTCACCCAGGAGTCTCCCCTGCACAAGCGCCTCAAGGCCGCTGCCGACGCTTTCAAGCACGAGTATGCCCGGCTCCGCCAGGCTGATGGCTCCTACGATGATGAGACCAGCGACCGCGTCTTCCACTTCTTCCCCAAGCTGCCCGGTGAGATCCAGCTCGAGATCTGGAAGTACGCTGCGTACGGCCTGGCGGTCCCCGCGGTCCAGGCCTTTGACTTTGACCTTGCTTACGACGCCAACGCCTCCCCTGTCGGCCGTGCTGGCAACGGTGTGATTGCTTGCTTCAAGCCAAAGTACACCCGCGCGCTTACTGGACACCGCGGCTTGCTGATGGCGTGCGTCGACTCGCGCAGGGCTTTCCTGGAGTTCTCGGACTACACGATGCAGCCACTCACGTACCTGGTCAGCCCCCCCGCCGAGAAGACGGAGCCTGAGGCTCAGACCTTCCCCGAGTACATCGACAAGTCCAACAAGGACATCGACAAGATGTGCGCCGACTACGGCAAGTATGTGTACAACGGCTACCGTGAGGAGGACAGGCTGCCGCCCCGCAAGGCCAAGTCCAAGGCCAAATCCAAGGCCAAGTCCAAGGAGGTCGACTCCCAGAACGACAAGAAGTTCGTCAACGTCATCCTCCCCATCAACTTCGACGAGACCCGCTTCGTCATCGACAAGGTCGCAGCCACCTTCGCCTACACGACCGTCCACCCCTCCGCGCCGACAGCCGAGCGCGTCTTCACCCAGGCGGCGGGCCTCGAGGTCATGCACAAGATCAAGCGGCTCGCCATGAGCACGAGCCAGGCGACCTTCAGCAGCGAGCGCATCTTCAGCGACTTCTTCGCCACCTCGCCGCAGCACTGGCGCTGCGCCCCTCTCCCGGGCCCCATCCCCTTCGCCCTCGGCGCGCTCGAGGAGGTCACCTACGTGAGCGCAAAGGCCTTCCGCCGCCAGTGCTGCATCGGCCACGCCCACGTCTGGGCCACCGCCCCGACCGTCAAGCTGCGCACCTTCCAGCGCGGCCTGCGCACCGCCAGCGACGCCTGGCCCGTCGCCGACCTGTACCGCGTCCACGCCACCCTCATGGGCAGCTGGACCCGCTACGACCGTGACTTCAACCTGCGCTGGATGAAGGCTATGAAGCAGCATTGCACCTGTCGCCGCTGAGGTGTCTCGTCGCCGTCGCCGTCGCCGTCGCCGTGCAGACTTGCGTCACATCACAGCCCGCGATGATGAAGTGGGGAGCTAGGACAAAGGCTCCTGGGCACCTGGGCACCCAGCTCTCAAACACATCGAATTATACATACTAAAGGAAGAAAAGGGGAAAAAAAAATTCGAAAACCCACAAAACACAAAAAACATAAAGCAAAATGAGGAGGTCTTGGAAGATACCCCGCGCTGAAGCTGCAGCGCACATCGAAGCTGCAAAGCAAGCATATAGAAATCTGCGAGATGCGTCTTGAGAATGACGCCATCGACTCGTGGTCGAATCAAAGGATTCAATTGAGGAAAGGGAAAATCGACGGCTGGGCGTCTTGTGCTGCTCTCTGGTCATGGTTCGCCAGAGGCACTGGCATGTTTTGAGCAAGTAGGTAGGGACGGACTCCTCGTTAGTTGAGTTGAGCTGTTTACTGAGTAAATCCTCACTGCGGACATCCATAGCCAATCAAACGCAAACTGTCATCGTCTTCTTGTTCCTAATCATCTTGTCATTCAATGCCTGCCTGCCTTGTTGTCCAGGTGAAGCTATGCTGGCTGGCCTGGTGGCCTGGCCTTGTGGCCGCCGCGCAGGCAGATGCAGCGCCTTGGCTGCGAACATACAAAATGGAACGGGTACTGCCTGGCTACGCACTATGACTCGTCTGCTTACATAGGGACATCTGAAACACTTTCCTTTTGTTCTACACTAATTCAGTAGGGGCGAGCCCACCGCCCGTCGCCACAAACTTCGATTCCCTAGGTTTCTTTTCTGTACAAGAGTGAGAGCACGAGGCGACTCTTCCGGCAAGTGCCCGATCCTGAAACTGGTTGAACGAGTGCATCCCCGACAACCTCAAGGACATGCTCGCCTGGTTCGTCTCCCTGCCCTCGTCCATCACTCCTTGCAGTCGTCGTCTCTTGGGCCTTAGTCCCTGGATTTCTCATCCCCGCAATCGTCCCCTTCAAGTTTCTGCGGCGTCTATGACTTCTGTGGCTTGTGAATCCATCTGTTCGTCCTCCGCCGGCTCTATCTGCTCATTCTCCTTTGCGGGCTCGCCCTCCTTTGCGGGCTCGCCCTCCTTTGCGGGCTCGCCCTCCTTTGCGGGCTCACTCTCCTCTGCGGGCTCATCATCCTCTGCGGGCTCATCATCCTCTGTGGGCTCACCCTTATCTGCGGGCTCATCCTCCTCGTCCGAGTCCTCACCAGCGGCCCGCCTCTCGCGGTACTCCCTAGCAAAGTTGCTCCACCTGTCCTGTTTAAGGACAAGTGAGTGTCGGATAGCGCACGCGGGCTCACTCCTGCCAAGAATGGCCTGCGATCCAAGGTGTGTTAGCGAAATGTTCAGTCAGGCACTTCTGTAGGGGCGTGTGTTGTTGGAAGATGAGGGGACTCGTTGAGATAGATGGCCAGGTGTCTGGTACTCACGCCGATCTCCTTGTGGGTCATGCCCTGCGCCTTCCACTTGATCAACTTCGTGATCTCCTCGTCCCCCCACGCCTCCTTCCCGTTCGCGACCGGCGGCCCGTTCGACCTCCTCTTCTTTGAGCGACGCGCACTGCTGGTGGGCTCTGCCTGATCGTCGCTGTCGGCAGGGGAAGACGGGTCGCCTCGGGTGCTGCCGCCTCGCTTCAGAGCGCGTGTGGGTGTGGGTGGGGGTGGGGCCGGGGACTCAGCGGCGGTGGTAGCCCTGGAGCCACTGGCGCTGTGATCCTCGGGCTCGTCGCGCCTGGGTGTCTCGTCATCGCCTACTCCAGCTCGAGGGCGATCGTTGGGGGTGGTGGTGGCCGGGACAGCCTCGCTAGGGACTGGGGCATTCGGGGACGGAAGGCGCGGAGCTCTGCCGCACACCAGCTCGGGCTGGAGAACGGGGCACGCGAGGTTCTGCACGCAGAGGTACATCCATTTCTCCTCGACGGGTTTGCTTCATCATTGTTAGCGATACGGGGTGCCAAGGGGCTGCGCACAAACGGACTCCTGGTGTTCCTGGTTGTAGAGATCGAGGCATGCGATGGCCGCGTCGCAGACGAGCTCGACGTTTGCGGTATTCGGGTCGGCTGCGATCGACCGGAGAGGGAGCACCTCTGCGATTCTGTCTCTTATGATCTTTGTATGTGCAACACCAAGGCCTCTGTACGGTCACGTCTTAGCTACCGCACAAACGCGGCATATCAGGTCAAAAGGAGCAACTTACGTGTGTCTCTCGTCATGGAAGCTCAGGACGGTGTTGATCGCCTTTTCGGCAATAAGTGGGAGGTTGCTGTGCGCTGTCAGTGGGTGCGATTCGAGGACTTGTCTGTACTTAGGTGCTCAGTTGGCAGGCAGTACTCACTTGTCATTCATTGTGCTCTGCTGCTCTAGCGATGTTGGATGCAGATGTGGCTGCTAGGTGTTGGTGCGCAAGTCGATACTTCGAGCGGATAAGATGGTGGCATGGGGGGGGGGGTTCCAACTCATAAGCAAAGATCGTGACTTGAGACTAAGGCGAAACTGATAATGCACTTGGAGCCCCACTTGGCTTGATGATAGCTATGGCATATCCAGTGAATGGGCAAAATCGCATAGCTCCAGCACTTGGTTGCTTGGGGGTCGCCTTGGTGTTGACGGGCGCCTGCCGAGGCAGGAGCTGCTGCATAGGGGCAGGAACTGGGGGGCAAGACTGCTGCCTCATCCTCTCCTCTGCTAGGTGGGCCCGCATAATGGAGGATACGCATAGCTCAACACACAGTTCCATGATTTCTGGTCTGTCAAAGAACACTGAAAGGGGCAAAAAATATGATTGTGGGTGTTCAAGACATTCCAAGAGTCAGGCCTACATCTCAGGCCTAGGCAATTTGCACCGTCAGGTGTCTTCCACACAGGCAGCCTAAGCCTGTCTATCCGTAACGCTTTCAAAGATCGTAAATCACAATCGTAATGTGTTCAACGTTTCTTTGCATTCCAAATAGAGGGAAATGCAGGAGGGAGACATTACATCTCTGGACTGACATGGCATGTCTGATTGGCCCGTGCGCAGGCCAAGGATACAGAGTTGAACTTGCTTCTTAAGGCAGTGAATCCTCACAAGATTAATCTTATCTCCATAATCTCCGCAAACCGTAGGCGTGCCCGTATTCAAGTAGTGAATATATGATTTAATAGTTGGGTGGATGATGAGGAAGAGGAAGGAAATGAAGAGGAAGGAAAGAGAAGGGAGGAAAGAGATGGTAGGAAAGAGACGGTAGGAAAGAGACGGAAGAAAAGAGGACGGAAGAAAAGAAGAGGGAAGAAAAGAGGAGGAGAGAAGTAGGAGGAGAAAACCATAAATGAATGTTTCTTTATATTGGATACGAAACTCTCGTAAACACATTGGACATTCTAGGGCCAGGATCCCTCCAACAGTCAACAGTGCTCCTCATTGTGCCCATGCCCGTGCCAAAAGCACCCCTCATGCTGAGCGCTTCCTCTTCTTCTGGGCATTGGCCTCAACCTGCGTCAGATAAGTCTTCCACTCGTCCAGGTGCATGACCCTCCCATACTTGTTCTCGATAGAGCCAAGGCTTCGACCAAGCCTTGCCTATACATTGATTAGCATCATTGTGAAGACCCGCTAAATCGAGCTTTGGGGGGGGGGGCCTACGGCAATGTCAGAATGGCGCATCCCATCCGCCTTGAGCTCCACCATGAGTCGGATCTCGTCGTCCTCCCAATTAGCCTTCGCGGGCTGGGCCGTACGGGCGCGCTTGGTGCTGCTGCTGCCTCTGCCGCTGCTGCCTCTGCCGTTGCCGCTGCCTCTGCCGCTGCCGCTGCCGCTCGACGGCGCCGATCGCTCCATCGATCGCTCCATCGATCGCTCGGGAGAAGAACGAGGCGATGGGGACGAATCGGGTGAAAGATTGGGTGGCGAACCTGCCGACGAAGAGTGGCCGTCCTCGACGGACTGTGAAGGCTGCTGCTGTGGGGGCTGCCCGGGCTGGGCATTTCGCTGGAGGCGCTCGACCTTACCGTCGAGCAGCAACTCGGGCTTGAGATCGATGAGAAGATGGCCTTGAACGCAGATGTAAAACCATCGAAGGTTGATCTTGGATTGGCTGTGGGTGTGTGAGTGCTCTGGTCATCTATGGCCGTTGCCGTCACAGGATGGTTCTTTGAAGGACTCACTTTTCACGGTTATCATTGTAGGCCTCAGCTGCGCTTACAGCAGCATCGCAGGCGATCTCGAGATCTGCAACACTGGCATCTTTCACGTGTGCCCCGTCGCGGAGATGGTAGAGGTCATGGACGGCCTGCTCGATGAGCATTGGTAGATCATTCTCGTGAGGACTGCGGGAAATTTCTTCTGTCAGATGTAATTCGGTGAGAAAATCTCGTTGTACATACTTCAGGTCAAGGTCCGTGTGGTATCGCAGGACAGCTGTCGTTGCTTTGGTGGCAAGCGCGCACAAACGACTGTGGATGTCAGCACGCTTGGGCCTGTGGAGTGGACGCTCCTCCTGGCGAAGACTCACTCGATATCCATTTTGCTTGTAGATGCCCGTGTCTGTGGAGGCAGTGGATTGAAGCGACCGTGTTTCGATCTGGCCCTAATCTGTTGACTTCAAAGTTGGATGTTGACTTCAAAGTCGGGTGTTGACTTCAAAGTCAGGTGTTGACTTCAAAATTGGGTGTTGCAATGGAGACCAGACCGATGCTGTGATTTATGGGGCATTCAAAAAGTAATGGTGTGCGCTCCTGTGACCGAGGCAGTGACTGAAATTAATCTGGGTGGCCCTCCATTGAGCATGCGTCAAAGTGAAAACACCCTTGGAAACGACCTTGGAAGCGTTTGTCTCATCGCTGACATGTAAACAAACCGGCACCATGAAGTGAATTGGTAAGGGCGAGACCAGCTCCGTTCACCACAGGAAGCCGTGGTCACCAAACAAAGGCATCTTTCCATCCGAGACACTGTCCTTTCTGGTCACCTCATTGCACCTTCATTAAATGTTGTTTCGAAGGCCATGGTCCCCTTGTGCCACAGAGGAAGCTTCGAGTTGCAGCCTCGAAAGGACATGCGCATGATCTGGAACACTTGACAGCTTTGTCACCACCTGGGCAAAGATGCACCAAGACCTCATTATGTGGGAGCCGTCTCACTTTGGATCCAACACCACCTTGGATATATGGGTTGGGCACAGGGAAAACTCCACAATCAGACGTGAATTCCTCTAAATATTCACTCGCTTCGGCGTTGGTCATGTCACACATGTAGCTTAGTAGAACACGTTGTAAGCGGCTTATAGTCCACATACTACATGGGGAGCCCCTACCAGGGCTCTAGAAGCTGTTTGTCTATGTCTAAGTAGGTGGGCTTATAGCTAACTAATAGCTTTTATTTTTATTTAAATAAATATTCTAAATATTCTAAATATTCTAAATATTCTAAATATTCTAAATATTCTAAATATTCTAAATATTCTAAATATTCTAAATATTCTAAATATTCTAAATATTCTAAATATTCTAAATATTCTAAATATTCTAAATATTCTAAATATTCTAAATATTCTAAATATTCTAAATATTCTAAATATTCTAAATATTCTAAATATTCTAAATATTCTAAATATTCTAAATATTCTAAATATTCTAAATATTCTAAATATTCTAAATATTCTAAATATTCTAAATATTCTAAATATTCTAAATATTCTAAATATTCTAAATATTCTAAATATTCTAAATATTCTAAATATTCTAAATATTCTAAATATTCTAAATATTCTAAATATTCTAAATATTCTAAATATTCTAAATATTCTAAATATTCTAAATATTCTAAATATTCTAAATATTCTAAATATTCTAAATATTCTAAATATTCTAAATATTCTAAATATTCTAAATATTCTAAATATTCTAAATATTTTAAATATTCTAAATATTTTAAATATTCTAAATATTTTAAATATTCTAAATATTCTAAATATTCTAAATATTCTAAATATTCTAAATATTCTAAATATTCTAAATATTCTAAATATTTTAATTATACTTTCTTTATTTCTTTTTTTCTTTCTTTTTTCTTTTAATTTTTATTTATTTTATATTCTTTTAACTTTTATAATCTTTTTTTAAAATTATTATTAATTAATTACTTTTTATTAATTTAATTAATTAATATTTAATATTTTAAACTTTTAAATATATTCTATTTAAAGATTATTTTATAAAAATCGTATAGTACATATATTTTAAATTATTTATAGATATATAGTTATTAATGCCTAGATATGCACTTAGCCATTTGGATTCTTCTAAGGTTGCTGTAGCCTATCAGCTAGCTGACCTAAAGACCCGCAGAGGCCCCCACCTGGGCACTCTTGCTGACAGCCCCTCATCTTGGAGCTGTCGTATAATATCGAATCACAGAAGTGGATGTCTTGCTGCTTATTTCTTTTTATAAATTTGAGTCTTTTTGTGATGCCTTTATAAAACTTATGAGCTTTGCTGTCCCCAGAGCCTGCCGCTGCCTGAGCATCTATTCTTAAGACTTGCACCTTTCATCTGCCTAAATGTGCTGCCGGTAACCCAAGACAAATCCTCCTTGAATCGCTCTCACGATGTTGTCTCCAGACCCAACCACCCCTTCGCCAGTTAGGCCTCGCCCAGCAAATTCGCCCAATCCAGCTCTCTGCGACCAATGCAACGAACACCTGGTTCTTGATGACAGTGTCCTGGAGCCATACATCCAAACCCGTCCCAACGAGGGTTTGCGCATTGGCTCATGCTTGCCCGCAAATCCAGGTCGCAGATGGAACCCCATGTTCGGTGGTATCGAGTACACACGAAAGGACCACCTCCCGCATCTCCCCAGCTTGTCACACGCCGCGGAGAACGGTTGCGAATTCTGCGCCGGGGTGAAAGAAGGGCTAAAGACTAAGTATCAAGGAGCCTCCTGGTGGAATGATAGCTCCGGACCCCTCAGTCTGCGCATTCAGTATGTTTGGCAGTGTCTCAAACATGCTGATCACACAGGCATCCATTCAATTGTGGTAAGCGTGTCTCCAGACGAGACGAAGGGTTGGGAGAAAACAGCTCTGCAATTCCTTGTTTGGGCAACCAAAGGTAGGTAAGGTTAGAGTTCCAAGAAGGGGTGCTCGTGAATATGTGATACAAGGACTTTCAAGTACTGATAATGACTGGCAACAGGCGAAGATGCTTGTTACGAGTGGCTGGGGGGGTGGGATATGGGCCGCGGAAGCAAGTACTGGGCGTCGGACGATCGGCAGTGGTCTCCGAGTAATATTTCCAAAGCCAATCGATGGCTTCGCGGTTGTGTCGAACGGACCGGCCACTGCGAAGGAAGCGAATCATCAATGATTGCTACTTCCAAGAACGTTGGGGTGTCGACTGGGATTGAGGACCTCGGAAGCCGAACTCTTCCTACTAGGCTTCTGGATCTGTTTCCGGATCGGCCATCCCCATCAGGTGACGTGACTCCAGACGATATTGTACTTTTCGAGACGGCTTCTCTACGAGAAATGGAAGGGAAAGCTGGCTCGCAAACTGGAAGCTTTCGATACGCGGCCTTGAGCTCCTGTTGGGGTGGCGTGGACCCGCCAGCTAAGACGACCAACGCCAACTTCAAGCATGGCTCCAGGAACATAGGATTGTCCAGTCTCCCACAGTGTTTGAAAGACGCTGTTACTGTCACAAGAGACCTTGGAGTACGGTATTTATGGATCGACGCGCTGTGTATCATCCAAGGAGATACAGATGACTGGGTAAGAGAATCAGGGACAATGTTCCGCGTGTTCCGCAACGCCTTCTTCACTATTGGCGCCGCCGCGTCGGCATCCTTTGACGATGGGTTTTTGAGACATCGACCCCGACAAATCAGAGTCCCATTCTCCTCGTCTTTCAACCCACAAGTCAGGGGAAGCATCACGTTGTCGACGATCCCGATTTTGACTACAGAGCCGGAGTTATTTCCTTCAATTTCTCCCCTTGACCGCGACCTTGAAGCCAGCGAGTGGGACACCCGAGGATGGGTATGGCAGCAACAGATGCTAACAAAGCGGCTTCTCATCTTCGGAAAGGAAACGATCAATTTCAAATGCATCCATTGCGTCCAATCTGAAGAAGATTGTTGGAGCAACTTCGACTCGTCCACGTACACACTTGGTGACCAGACAAGGCAGGAGTGGAGGGATTGGGTGGAATATTTCTCGCAAACAGACTTGCCTTGCATTCAGGAAAAGCTGCCAGCTGTCTCGGGTCTAGCCAAAATAATGGATGAGAATTCATCGACGGCCGGGGAACCACCAGCAGAATACCTCGCCGGTATTTGGCGGTCATCCCGGGAGAAGGATCTCCATTCCGGCTGGCGGGGCCAGCTATGCTGGAGGCTGAGGCGCGAAGACTCCACATTCAAGCAGATGCTCGAGAGCTTGCGGAACACCTCAATGGGAAGCTATTCCGCGCCGAGCTGGTCCTGGGCTTCACGCAGCGAAGCCGTGGGCTGGAGATCAGCGTCGTATATCATGATGAGGCACTATCCTTACAGGGAGGGTCCGCAGCGTTTCCAAGCCCGGTTTGAGGACTATCATGGGATATTAATGGGGCCCGACCCAATGGGCCGCGTCATGCCAGGCACTTATCTGAAGATTTCGGGACTTATGCGCCAGACACCAATACCTGTGAATACGGCAGAGCCGCATGACCGCCGAGCAATGCTGGAATGGAGGGTGCCTTCTCTGTCACCTCATTTTTCTTTCAGCCTGGACTGGAAACATTCACCGGATGGGGCCGACGGGCATGCTGAGGGTGACATTCGCTTATTCGGCCTCTGGAGAGCGACAATCGAGGGGTGCAGTAACTTCTCGGGCCTCCTCCTGCTGCAAGACAACGAGGATGGCTTCTTTCTTCGCGTGGGAACTTTCCACATGCAGTGCAAACTTGATCACGAGGGACATGGACGTGGGCCAATGTTGGAAGAATTCGAAAATAGTTTTGTGGACTGGCAAGAGACGTCGGTCTCAATCAAATGAGTGTTTCTTCGAATAAATGGAGAGATCGTTGCCCGAGCTTGTTCAATGATCTAGGAAAACCTACTAGAACCACCGACGACATCTTAGCGGTGGGAGTCTCGGCACTAATACAAGTTGTGTCACTCCTTGAATATTTTGGGTCAATGCTGGCCCCAGGCGTCCAATTTCAGAACGACTCAGTGCTAGGACCTTGCGTCCGGACAATGTCATATACGATCGAGCTGACATGCTCCACTTGAGCCGGCCAAGTCATTGCTTTGTTCATCAATAAGTTTCCGAAAATACTCCATTGTTCATTCAGAGCCGGATTAAATATGTCAGAGTGTTCCAACCAACGTATCTACTGGGCCACACTCCATCCCTGTTTCCTCCCCGTGAACGAAGCATTACCGACACCGAGCAGCTCAAGAATCTCCTTGAACTTGGGCGTCCCAAAGCCCGTCACAGCGTCCCAGCCCTTCTTGGCAGGGAACCCGAGCCCGTCTCCGAGCTCCGAGCACCCGACGGCGCTGCCGGACGTGATGTCCGTGAACGCCTTGTGGCCCCGCTTGTACAGCCACGGGTTGAGGAATCCGAGCGGGCGCCTGCCGGCGGCGAGCAGGGCATCGTTGACCAGCGCGAGGATGGCGGAGATAGCAGGCGTGGAGGCACTGGTCCCGGACACGCGCACGTCGCGGGAGTTCCAAACCTCGGCGTAGGCAAACCCCTGGCCCGCGATGTCGGGGTACCCACGGCCGGACGCGTTGAAGAACTCGGCGTCCCTGCCGCCCAGGGACTCGACGTAGGCGTCGACTATGCCGTGCTGGTAGAGCGGCCGGGAGAAGTACGACGAGAACCCGCCGCCGCTCGCGTAACCGCTGCTCGGCCTGTAGGCGACGACCTCCGGGGTGAAGTTCATGGTGGCGCCGACCGAGGTGATGAACGGGCACGATGACGGGAACTCGGGAAGGAAGGAGGAGCGGTTCGTCCCGTCATTTGTGGTGCAGTACCCGCTGAAGCCGACGCCGTCGTCGCCCGAGGCGAAGAGCAGCGACACGCCACGGGCGCCGAGCTGAGCCATGTCGTTGCAGACGCGGCGGGCGTACGAGGGTGGCACGGTCTGCTCGTCGTCGTCGTATGACGTGCTGATCACCTTGGCCAGCTTGTCATCTGGCTGCGATAGGAGGTGCTCCAGCCAGACGAGGTAGGGCTCGTTGGTGTCGGATGTGGTTGCTGCGTCTGGGAGGTAAGGGGGGCTGCCGCCAACGGAGTAGGCGATCAACTTGGTTGGCCAGCCGATTCCCAGCATGGCTTGTACATCTAGGTTGCCCTCGACGTTGGTCTCGTCCTCGATTGACTCGTCGGTGTAGACCTGCGTCGTTGTTCCGTTCGCGATGGAATCGAACTTGAAGTCGTAGGCTCCGGACTTGGCCTCGGGTCGATACTCTGAGAGGAATTGGAAGGTATCATTCCTGTTGTTGGATTCGCCGAGGTAGTCAACTAGGCCCATGATGTTTGTATCATTGGACTGTGTCTGGTAGTCGATAGTCCCGTATAGTGTCCTCAGGCACGTCGGGGTGACGTGATCCCAGACACAGACATCGGATACAGAGCCATTGTTGTACAGCTTCGTAGCTGGCTTCTTGTCCTCAAGCGTCTCAACCTTGAGGGCAAAAGACTTAGGCTTGGCGCGGAACCAGGAGTTCGTCGGTTGGATAGTATCGATATGGTCGTGGAGGTGGAGCGGCAAAGACCACTTTGGAGTACGCACAACCTCTGACCCATCTTCATGGCGGTAGACCGAGTACTTTGCGTCCAGCATTGCCTCGATGTCCGCGACCGGGAGGGTGACTGTGATCCAGTCACGGGCAGAGCTGTACTTCAGCGCCGACTTGTCGACGCCATTGTCAGCCAGCCACTCGTGAACCTGATCCAGAGTCTCGTCGGAAGGCTCGAGCAGCTTGTGGACCTCGTGCGCCTTCAGGTGCTGACCGTACGACGGGTGATCAGGATCTGACACCTCATACAGCTGCCGCTCCAAGTCTGAGAACGAACCCTGTTTCAGACCGATGCGCAGAGAGATCTTCTGGTCAGCATCTGGCCGGCGAGTCTCAGTCCACCTGCGAGGAACGTGGTGAGTTTCCTTGACCGCGAAAGCAGAGCGCTGTCGGACGGGCTTGCCCACGGTCGAGGTAGCCAGGAGGCCTGCTGCCAGGAGGATTCCGTGCACCTTCATGCTGACGATATGGACCACGCTCTTCAACTTAGAGTTGTCTAATAAAAGACGAGATACTCTGTATGGGTGAAGAAGCAAGTGTCAGGGCACGTCACCGGGGCCATCAGATCAGAAGCCCACCCTTTTATATCATGCTGAAGGCCCATATAGCGATGTCAGACAAGCATTTCCAAGGGCTTTCCAGCAATGTTTCCCACCATGCTACCACCAATGTGGGGCGAACTGCTAACGGGTGCAACTCTGCATTGGGCTGTGGTGGCTTGCACGCCACCGGGAGAAAGGAGCCGACCCCGCCGTCACCAGGGGAGAGATGGTGCCTCTCGCCGGCGCTTGGCACCGAACGGGCAGGTCGTGGGGCTTCGGGATTCGATAACGGAAATTGGCCCCATTCTGTCAGCTCACCGCACGATTGCGACTCGCCCATTCCTGCGGCGAGTAACGCCTGTACGGTGTGCCTGGCTTCTCTGTATGGCTTGATCACTCGCTCTACACGTGTAGTTCCATGGTGATCGCCGTTCGCAGGGGCTGTCAGCATGTTAAGCTTTTTGGATCTGGCCAATGCAGGCCAAGCAGCGGGACGACAGCTCGGCGTTCTCTTGGCGTCCGCCTGGCGTCCAGCTGGTCCCACCCGCCATCGACGTCTTCTCGAAGACTGCTTTACATTTCCCTGTCTGGTAGCTGATTTCCTCGTTGCCTTTTATTACACGGAGAGGATATCTAGGCACGCCACTGGAATGGGTTCATTTCCGATCGAGCCCTTCTAAACACTATCCCTGTGGTAGTCCCTGACGGCTCAGAACTTTGATATTCGTCGTTCATTGCGACTGTCATGCAATGTCCCCCCCCCTTTCTCTCTCCCCTCTTTTCCGTGTACGCTAGAATTACCATGAGAGGAGTGCAGAGGAATATTGAAGCTTATGCAATGGATCAATGCTTCCAGGCTTCTCACGGCCATGAAGTCCGAGCTGACAACCTCGTGTTTCTCCCTCGGGCTGCTCTTTGTCTTACTAATAATAGTTTCCTTGTATCCGAGTTGAACCCGTCCTCCGTTCTGATGGATATATGTCTCCCCTTTTATTCTACTTCTGTGTCTGTCAATTACAGTTCTTAATTTGTTTTTACCCAAAAGCAACCCAGTTTCTTACTCGGCGTTCGCGTGATCTTTTTTGCTACAGTCCACAAGTGATGCATGGTGTCTGTGGCCAGTAGTACCGTATGGGTAGGCTCACTGTGAGCTTGATTGGAGCAATTAAAATACAATTCCAGTAATTCAATTCAAATTTCTCGTCAATTTCTAGACCTCCCGGACAATGTTCCCTCGCTTAAACCAACGATCCGGCGTGGTGGTCGTGGCTTAGTAGTGTCATTTCCCCCCAAATGAGCGTCAATCGCAAGCAGGAGAACGTATATCGTCGTCAGCTTTGAAATCAGGCACGCTGTTCTACGTATGGTAGTCCCGGATTTATCAGGATACAGGATGAGGATATTGGAAGTCTGTCCGTGCGATATTTGAAGGAAAGCAAGGAATAGAGATTTGCGCGGTGTGCTGGCTGACTCTACGCTTCTTTTGGTGCATTTTGGTAACAGATTCTTGACTTGCTGTGTTACTGATGCACACCGTTGGCGTGTCGTTCCCTGGCTAGTCGTCCAAATGAAGCGTGTTTTGCCTCAGTGCTGCTTTACCTAATTAAGTAGGTACCATAGTAGACGGATACGCACTTGCGCTGGATACCTGATGCGCCAAGGCTTTTTCTTTTTGAAGCAGTTTTGTCGCCTCAAAGCTTCGATATTAATGTCTGACATTCATCCTTGCCCAATCCTTCTTTCTCAAGTACTATGGAGTCAAGCATAACGTTCTTCTTGGGGCTTGGAGAGTCGCATATGGCACCAGGGCCCATTCCGAGCACCTGGGAGGTAAGCATGAAGGTTCCAACATCAACTCTTCCAATCCGATTATTTCGAACGAGTTACAAATCACTTGTATCAGGTCCTCCTACGCGTTTGCGCCCCCTCTCCACATTATCATCGGCGTTATCAACGGGTGTCGGAGCTCCCTCAGTGCCCTTGCGCTTCCATATCTCCACCTCACCCCCACCCCGCAAGATGCCAACTCGCATGGTTGCCAGCAAATTATGCGCCGCATTTGAATGGTTATACACGCCACCATTAAAAGCAGCAGTGGCGTCTTTGCCAACATAAGCGGCAATTAGGGACCTGCCGCCTGGGTGCTCTTGGATGAAATCTGCAACATCGTGGATGACACCAGCCACAACTAGGAGTGTCCTAGTGTTGACCTGAGTTTCTGTCACAAAGTCATCCCACGACATGATGGGAAGTTGTTCCAGCGGAAGCCCCCAATCGCATTTGCTACGCCTCCGATCCAGCGCCTTCTGGAGCTGTTGGATTCTCCCCTTTTCGATCTCGTTTCGGCGGAAGCGCTTGAGGTCGTCGGCGAGCCCAACTTGTTTCCACAGCCATATCATCCATTTGGTAGGATCATATTGCCACCATTCGATAGCATTTCGATAATCTGAAGGAAATTCATGGTGGAAGTTGTGATAGCCCTCGCCCAGAGTTACCACGGCTGTCAGGAAGTGGTCACGGGGAGAGCGACGGTCGTCAAACGGCTGCTCACCGATCCAATGAGCGAGAGAGTTCACGCAGAACGTGGCCTGCTGGAGGAGGAAGCACCGTATTATGCCGGCGTAGATGAAGCCACCCATCCGGTCGCCCCATAGGCCGCATACCAGAGCCGGAAAAGTCCAGGCCATGACAATTACAGCTGGTAGATAGTTCCGATGCTGCCACATCACAATGCGATTTTGATTCAGATCAGTCATGTCGGTTCGACCAAGCTTTTTGGGGTCCTGTTTGAATATCATCCAGCCAAGATGTGAATGCATCAGACCCCTGCGGACGGAGTAAGGGTCCTTTTCGGTGTCAGTATGTCTGTGATGTGCTCGATCTGATACTGTCAGTCAGATTTCACAAAAGCTCTAGAGCAAAGTGAGGCACCACTGGCAGGTTATCAGCTGCAGGCCGAATCACGCTGCTCTTGATCATCTGGGAAATGAGGGAACCATGACTGAAAGCACTAACGATCTCTAGACCACACCCTTATGGACCCTTGTACAGCACCAGCACCAACGGCAGCTAGGTAAACCTGAAGTAATGGCCTGGCCTTGTAACATGTGTGCGACCATAGCCGATGGTAGCCTGCGAAGTGTCAATGTTTCTGTCAGATCAAGCCACTGCTTCTATTGCGCATACCGGCGGTAATCCCGAGGGCCGTGTTGAAATAGTACACAGCAGCGAAGACAGCGGTGTACGGATGCAGAGGCGTCCACAGGGCCACGAGGACGCCCAAAACAGGGACGATGATAACGAAAAAAACATTCAACCAATTGAGATGTTGGTGCCAGTTCTGCCATGTCATTGGCAGCTCACTGATATGAGGTGCCTTTGACGACATTTCGGCAGAACGTGGCTGTTGCGGAGAGAGCTGACTTCGACACGGTAAAAAGCCCCGAGGCACTGGGTCTCCTCCGAAGGTTCCAAGGTTCTGGGGCGATACTACAGCCAGAGTTTATGTTTACGATTGATCTGAAACATAGACTCTGGAAGGATTCCAGGGTAACGGGGCCCCTCTGCGGTGAGGCGAGCTCAACGTCGAAAAAGCAAAAGTCAAGAACTTGGCGTCTGTTATCGTCCTCTCACCAGACGCTTGCAGAAAACAACATGGCCCTGAAGACGAGCCGTGTTGAGGAAGCGGCCTTTTGTTGGGACCGTGCGCTCATTTAGTCTCATTGGGCTCGAGATGGTAATCATACTGTCCACGGGTCTTTGCTAAGCACATAGTAATCCGGGGCCGGAACCTTGGTCGGCCGAACTGGCAAGTCGATGACCCGTGCAAACGTTTGTTGTTTTGAAACAAATATCGTTGCAGCACCCCGTTCTGCATCCAGGTGGATCGGGGACGGTTGTAATACCATTTCAGGAAGACTCTCCCGTGGTAGTTTCCGGGAGGGCCTTCCTTGCTACAACGTTGTGTTAACCGCTGAGAGACATGGCGATTGTGCACGCAAGAAGCTTCATTCGATCTTTGTCGTCTGTGTAGTCACGAATAAGATATGCGTAATTTTGACCCCTTAATGCATGGTTTTTTTTTATTACTCCAATTAATGATCTAATTTATTATTACATTGCGTGTCGGGTTTATCATCGAGGATGGTTGAGGAGCTCACTAGTACAGTGCGGTTCCTCGAACGGTTCTAGTTAGCCTGGATCCTCCCACTAGGCACTTACATAAACATAGCATTCCAAGGTTCCCAAGGATTGTTGGGGCCTTTAGACCTTTCCGAAGCAGTTCTAGGCAGCAAGGATAGCCCTGCCACAACAGTCCTCCCGGAGATCATGTTTGTAGGCCGAAGGAGCGGTGATGGCATCATTTATGAACTTCAACCAAGATATGCCATTGGCCAAGACATCGGCAAACTACTCTCAAGCTTCAGCCATTGCTACAGCGGTAGAGACAAGAGACACGTGTCCACTCCTGATACTGGTCATCTAGATACGGAGTAGTCCGGGATAGGTTTTATTTAGACGAAAGAACACACGAGCCAGGCTTCCAAATTGAACATTACTCAGCTTTGATGGAAAGTATACACCAATTGAAGATCTATGAGGTAATGACTAATTGATTACGGCTATGGCGCTATTATCTTGTTAAAACTGTGACTCGAACCACTCATCCGTGTCGACGGCGTACAGAGACCGGATCTTCCGCGCCTCGCCCTCGTAGTCCACCGGACCCTCAGTCCCCGCCTGAGCACGAGGTGCAAGTGGATGATATGCGTGAAATCCAATATCAACGCCGGGGTGTTTGATCGTGACACCTCGCCTCATAGAAAATGGCTTGCTAGCCGTTTCCCCTTCCGATTCGCTTACCTTTGTAACCCCCGGCGGCGGTGGTGTGTCAGGGGACGCCTCCTGCGCAAAGACCAGCAGGCTTTTGACAGTCTGCCTCACCGGAGCCGAGTCCCAATATTCTACGAACGCCTCAAAGGGGTCTGAAGTCTGCGATACCTCGGCCGGCACGCACCTCTGGAAGACACCTTCCACTATCTCGGGGTCGAAGCATCCCCCGACCAGCCGGGCTATAATTGCCTCACGGTGAATATGAACGTACCTGGGGTTACTAAGGGCCTCCGGGGTCATACTCAACGTTTGTATGATGTCCTGAAATGTCGCATCCTCATCAGTGCCGAGCTGGAAGCATTTACAGGTAGCGGGTGTAATCTCAAACTTGGCAAGCCTGGGTATCTTAGCGTCTGCTGGAAGGAGGCAGGATTCTAGGAGGTGTGCCTCATGGTCATCAAGAAAGCGCCGCATGGAACGCTGAGCCCTCAGATCATCGAGGGTGTACCGCCCTGCCGTCGCAGCCCAGACACGTGAGCGCCAGGCCGATGTCTTGAAGTCCTTCAGGGCTACCGGGTGTGGTGCGACACTTTCCTCGTCCGCCAGAACGCGAAGCCATACGTGCAGGTTGCCCCACATCTTCACATCAACGCAGTCCCATTGCTTCGGACCTGTAGCCCCGGGCGGATAGGAACAATGAGGATTGTTGTTGAGATCTTGAATCGCAAGTTGAAGGTCTGCTGGCCCGCCCAAATCTTGCATTAGTCGCTCGAAGAGCGGCCGGTCAAGCTGGCTGATCCGTCTGTAGACCTTCCATATGAGGTCAGTCCTTGCTTTGGAGTGGAGGTACCGTTGGGTCAGGCCCTGCTTGCACGGCCTGCAGATCAGATCGGAGTTGGCGATGGTGCTGATGAAGGCATGGCACAGTTCAACATCGAACTCAGTCGTCCCAGAGTTTGCCATGACGCTATGGGTGTCTGTGTTGAGCATTTACTTGACGCACAACAATTTGCTATTGGGTGATATGGATGATGCCTTGAAAGTTGATCAGATAATTTCGGCACACATTTCTCTGCTCAGGCACGGAAAGTGACGAAACAACACAGCGCGCTAAATGCTACTGCGCCGGCAAATATACTCGATGGATGGATAACGGTTGTAAGTAAGACCAAGGCCGTTCCTTGATACTCTACAAAGGCTTTGTCTATACAAATGGGACAAAGGTTGAAGGCTACTAGATAGTCCCTAAATACAAAAATACGCGGGTCGACTAGTATTGTGTCCAAACACACAAGGACCCCAAGTCTACTCAAGGGGACTTGCTTTGTCCTAAACTACAAAATTAGAACTAGGACACTCTTGTTTCCCACATGCACGCTCCAAGTATAGCACCTCCTAAACTTACCTAGTGATAGACATGTTGTCACAGCGAAGCGGGTCGAAGAACCATCTGTGGATGTCTACCCAGGTATTCAGGTATTGAAAGTGTCATACGAGCGTCTATGCTCTTCCGCCCGTGTGTACTAACGGGATCTTCTCCGGGTAACGGGACTACTAGTATCAAACAGCCCAACACCTGTCCGCGCCACCCAGTCCTGCGCGGCAGCCACAACGCCCATCACAACACCGGGCCTCCCACTCGTAGTCGCGGCCGGTCTCTTCCCGACAACATCCTCACCCGCCAACCGCTCCGTATCCCCGAGCACCGTCCCATCACTCTTGACACTGACGTCCCGGAAATACAACTCCACGCCCTGCCCGTCACCCGCATCGCCCCCATCCAGCCCGCCAAACCGCATAGTCTGCGCCTGCGACCCGGTCTGAGAACTCCCGTTCTGCCCCTCGGGCGCGGTGAACACTGTCGCGGCGCCCTTCTGCCTCGTGGTGAAGGCCGTCCCCGCAAAGGCCGCCGCCCGGTCCGCCGTGGCCGGCAGCACGGAGAAGAGCTGCAGCCCGCTCGGGGCGACGCCGCCGCGCGGGTTGGTGCGGCCCACGCTCTTGGTGCGCTCGAGGGTTGCGTCGAGGCGGGTCGTGCCGTTCGCGAGGACCTGGTTCGTCACGTTTGCGTTGAGCGGGTACGAGTACCGGGTCGTGAAGCCCGCGGTGTCGTCGTCGCCGTGGGTGGAGGTGTCGGTCCCGGTCGTGGTGATCACGTTGACCTGGCTCTGCCCGCTGTTGCTGACGAGCGCGTCGTCTGTGTGCGCGAGGGTTTGCGTCCAGGAGACTGTTTTGTTGCCGGCTGATGTTGTGATGGAGCCTGAGACGCTGAAACTTCGGGACACAGACGTGGTGTATTTGAGTGTGTCGTTGAAGCCGGTTGCGTTTTGTGTGACGGACTGGCTGATTGCGATCGTTGGGTCCAGACCGCTGACTGTAGGCGGTGACCCTGTCGTGATTGAGTCTGTCTTTTCGTCCAACCATACAAACATTTTCCCCGTTACTTGCCAGCTTGAGGTGACGTTCGGAGATAGCGTGGCAATCTTCCCGTCATCGCTGAGACCGACGACGTTGAAAGTCAAATTGTGAGGTTGCCCATCACAAAGGACAGGAAGCCACGGCGACATGTCGATCTCGCCCTCCTTGAGGTCGAAGGCGTCGATTCCAACTATGGGCTGCCAGAAAGAAGGAGAAACGCCACCGGTGAATATGACAGGAAATGGCCACTGGACGCCTGCTAATTTCCCATCAAGAAGAACCTGCACTTCCCGAAACGGCGAATTTCCGGGCAGCTGGCCACCCGAGGCATTGTAAGTCAGTGCGTTGGACTCGAGAACATTGCTCCACCAGAACTCCTCGTTGCCCTGGCCTGTTGCCGAGACCGAGAATATGACCTTGACAGCGTTTCGAGGGAAGTCGGTGATCACGTTGGATGCAATCTGATCCGGGAGTGAAAACACGCTTGGCTGGGAGTCGTTATTGGCCTGGCGGGAGGAAATAGTGAGAACCGAATCTGCCGGGGTGGCACCCTGCGGTGCACTGAAGAAGCTCGCCGTTACAGTAGCGTTATAGACACCAGTCAACTGTGTGTGAAGTTAGCTCTTGCTTCGTTTGAAAGGCCAGGGTACGCTCTCCAAGGGTGATGGTCGGGGTGGCACATCTGGGCATGCTTACCACGTCAGTGACGCCATTCGGAAGATCGAAGATGACCTTTTGCGGTTGCCTCCACATTGCCATGTATTGTGACATATCCTTTATGTATGTGTATGATATACCCCGGCGATTTGGCTCCTCAGTAGACGTCCGGAGAACCTCGGTGTCTCCGAAGTACCTGGGTGTGGCCCGGATCAGCATCACAACTTGAAGTCCGCAAGCGCCCTGGCATCAATGTGGCGCCTCACCGACTCACACGATGGCCAGGCGGTCAAACTGCCTGCCCTGGGACTGCACCGTCAAGTTCATGATGGCCGTGTTGCTATCAGCCAAGCACGCAGGCGGCGTATAGTTGCCCACGAACGGACTCCCGAAAGAGTTGGAGAAGGTGTTGACGGCAATCGTGACCTGGCAGTCCTCCTCGCCGAGCCCGGGCAATATCGTCGGTATGTCCCTGAACCCATCGGCCGTGCCTCCACCCACAACCTTCCCGTTCATCCCCAGCAGCGGTACGTCGACCTGAAAGGTCTGCATCGCGCTGTTGTTGCCCCCAGGGACATCTCTCCTCATGACACGCCGCAAGTCGTGGATGGCATGTCGTCCCAGCGGCAGCCGCTGGTGTACCGCTTGTCGGATCTCGAGTTCGACTGGTCCCTCCTGGACCTGCTGCACATCATGCTTGGCCCACGTGCCCAGCCCCGCGAGCACGCCTAATACCAGGAACACCACGTTGAGGATGACCACCGCAATGATTGCCGGTGACTGCGACCGCTCATCCGCCCATCTCACTTTCTTCTTCTTCTTGGGTATCTTGTTCGGGCCAGCCCTGATGCTTCTGAGAGGAGACGGCCCAGCCATCCGATGTTTCTCCCCGTCCGAGGTGCGGGGGTATTGAGTCTCCATGGGGGGGCCAGTTGCTCAGCGCCGAGCTGCTCAAGCACGACTCGACAGGATGCACAGCGCCGGCGGCTCGGGCCAGTGCGGTCAATCAACCATGGGAGGCAGCGCCGTCAGATTGGGAGAAGGAAAAAGAAACAAGGCAAACAAACTACTTATGATGATGCGTTTCGCTTTTAGCTCCTGTCACGAGTCAAACCAAGCTTTGGTGTCCACGGAGCCCCGTGGCGGGAGGGGTAGCATCGTTTCAGAACCCGGTTCGCATTGAACGTCTGCTGGCCGGTCCCGAGGGACCGCCACACGGTTGTGGTCGGGGCCAACAGTACGTGTCCGGCGGCGCAGCGGCTATAATTGCTGGAATTATATGAGATCGGCGCAAACCTTGCCTGTGTCCCATCCCGCGGCCGGCCGCGAAGAAGCATCACCAGCTTCAGAGCACTAACCAGGATTAGTCTGGAATACCGGAACTAAACTGATAACGCTGATAAGCTGGTGTATGCCAAGAGCACGTCACTCGCCCTGGTGGAGGATGGTTGCTGTACTGATGATGATGATGATGATGATGATGGCCCATCTTCAGAGTGTGTAAGACGGAGGAGATCCAACCTTTGAGACGGTAGGGGCGGGGTTCCATTTCACCATCCCTGTCCTTCTTATTATGGAATGTGGACCCTGAATTCCAACCCTCGTCTGTATTAGTGACCAGGGACATCTCGCTTTGCCTGCAGCCTCCACGTTTGGTGCACTGCACTGCTCACTGCTCACTGCGTTATAACCCCCGAAGCCACAATGGCTGAGAAGATGAAGGGTCAATTACATTTGCAGGGCCTGAATGAAGAGGGCACATACCAGACAGAAGACTCCACGATACACAACTGTGTCCCTCAGCCTACTTAAAATAAAGTTTGTTTGTTAGTGAAAGCCGTGAGAAATAAGTCTACAAGGAGTTATCCTAGAGCAGGAGCCGGCAGAGAGTTTCCTTAACACTATCTAATATTATAATGATTCCCCAGGTGCATATAGTAGATCTAAAGATATATTAATTGACTGATCCGTGCTTGAGAATTACATTTACACTGATCCCTGCTTCAGAAATATTTAGTCGGGTTGCGTAGGAACAGAGAAAGCTCTTCTTCTGTTCACCCTTCCGCTCCGCTCCATGAAAACTCCTCGCTACGCTTATTAATAACCTAGCAGGTCATTGTCCAAGTTACCAATCTCTTTGACCGAGCATTCTCAAACAACGAGGTGGACGAAAGGATGATGTAACAATTGCTCTGTGGCGCCCCTAAAGAAAACTATCTTTGTACGACCAGCCGAGTTCACCAACAATGCGTATGTGCTCATAATAGTGAGCCTAACCCCCTGGTTGGTCCATGATCATCCCCGTCCCGCAGACTAATTTCCTTGCATCATTTTCCCACAGCAATAATAATATGAACGCAGCTCAAGCAGGCAGAGTCGGAGAGAGCAGTATCCGGCTGCTGCAGCTGGCCGGCTCACTCGACGGCGTCGTAGCCGTCGTCGGGGAGTATCCCCAGACATGGCCAGGCGACAACCGCTTAGACCAGTTCGTCATACACGTCCTCGCCGACCCCGAGGCGGCAAGCGGCCAGCTACCAGCTGACCAATATCAATTCGTGATCGAGGAGCCTACCGAACAGGCACACTGGGTCGTGGACTGTTTCAAAAGGGAGCATTCGGTACGCCAGCGGTACAGTGGCTGCACATCTGGGTGCAGGCATCCCCCCTTGCCCTCTCTCTTCCCAAACCTAGACTGGACGTTCCAGAAGGGGTTTTACAGCTATGACAAGCGCAGGCTGCAGTTTGGGCACACATCGGCCGTGGATGTGTTCGTGCAGGCGCCGGATGCCACCCCCATGTCCGGCTACGAGGCGGCCCTGCAGCGCTTGAAGATCCTGGTGGGCGAGGCTGTGTCGCGTGGGCTGCGTGATCTGCGCATCGTCATATCAGCAACTAACCCACAGACCTTACCGACCCACAGGTTCTCGGATTCAAGGGCCAGGGAACAGCAAGAGCTTGTCAGCCGCTGTATGCAGGTTTGTCAAGAACTCACTGACCATGTTGATCTGGAGTTGCGCAACGTCGACTCGCTCCGCAATTTCTTAGGCCCGACGAGCAGCTTGCGGGGCTGTACATTTCAGGACCATGAGATTCCCGAGTGGTAAGTGGGATGTCAGAGCGGAACGGTGTAGTAGTTCTACCGTTTCCCTTCTCTCGTACCCTCCGTGCGAGCTGTGCTCGCTGATGTGAGAGGGCGGCTGGCTGCTGAGCATTCATTTTAGATGATTCTGTATCTCACCCGACTCATATGAACTTTTCTTTTTTCTATAATATTTTAAAGTAAATGTCATTCATAACCTAGAAATCTTCGAATTTTGCCATCAGCACACAAGAAATGTCACTTCGATCGTGCGTGCTCCCTTGCAGTTGCCCCAGTTCCACCAAGCTACTGCTTTGTTCTAATGTTTAATTCCCGCTTTCATAAGACAAAGGCCATAGAGGTGTCACTTTTGAGTTTATCTGACGGCTCAAGTAAGCATGATTCCGTGGAGCGAGGGCTTCACACAGGGCAACTTATAATCAACCGGCGGCGTGAAGCCGATGCAGTGCTGTACACGTGGTTACAATTCTATCTTCTGCGACATGCTTCACCATATTTGATTACCAGGGCCATGAAATAAAGGTTCATTTAGTCATGCGCTTCTTCATATCGGATATGCAGTGCCATTCGATAAATTTTACTCAAACGTTTCCACTTTCTGTGTCTCTACTTGACAAGCAAAATGGTCACCCAGATAGGGTAAGTATTTGAGTGCAGGGTGATAAAAATACGCGTTTCAAGAGTTTGATGACATGAGTAACCAAAACTCACAGATTTGAGTAATTCACACTAGAATGTGGTACATGATAGCTCGTCAAAGTGATTTTCACGGTATCCAAAACAAGTAGATAGTACTTGGAACAAATATTTGGTGCTCGACCTGCACAAATCCCATGGCTCTGTGCATGGACTCACTTGATCCAACCTGTCCTGCGCAGACAACACGAATTAGACGAGCATATTTCAGGGTAGTCGGACTCAAGTACAATTAGATGGCCCACAAAATGTATCGAAAGGCCATGTTGAATACCAACAATGGCGCTTTCGCCGTTCAGAACAAATGGTATTGCCTTTACAATGTGCGCGGAAGTCATCAGCCTTTGTTCTGTTTAGAACTTGACTTGTTCTTTGATAGATTAGTGACTAATTCTTTGACAGAGTAGTACCATTTTGGTGGCTATCCCGTTCTTCCTGTCGGGGGTGTAAGTGGACCAAGAAGGATAGGTCTTTGATTTGTGCCACCACAATCCCGCGCCAGCTTCTTTGTGACCACTCAGACTTTTGATATCATAAGTCCTTCTCGGAATCCTGCATGGTTTCATTTTCAATTCTGCAACAATTCCTCGCAAAGCAATTCCAATCTTCCTGGCCTATATACAAAATGTGTCTCAAAGCTCTAACCCCTCTTGTCTCTAAGGCGATTGCATACTTCGATCTGGCCTACCTATGTGCCATGACTATTACGGAGAACGGAGTTATCCAGGTGATCGAGTCCGAATGCGTTACTGATCACTTCCTAGAAACTGCTAATGATACAGAGATCGAGAGCTTTGAGCACATCTTGAGGTCTCAGCAGAATAACCGCCCATACGACCGGCTGGCCCGGAAGATTCGGCCGCGACGCCAATTACGGCGAAATACCTCCACCTCCACAGCTCGTTCAGATTGCAGCGAGCGAATTCATGCGAGCCTGCGAATCCAGGAAAGCCTTTCCACTTTTCCAAGATTCCAAGAACCGTCTTTCATACCCTTCTGGAGCAGCAAGAAAGACAAGAGAAAGCGCAGGAGTCTCCAGGGAAAGACGGTGCCTAAATCCCTGCCAGTACAGTATGAAGATTAGGTTGGCTGGTCCAAATTTATCAAACGCGCTTGTTTCTGTCCTTCCCCTGGCTAGGAGCCTCTCTATTCACCATTGCTGACGTTGAGCAGACACTTGCCGAATACGACTTGGCTCCCGTCGGAAGCCGACCGTAGGGCAATGCTTCCAGGTGCGATGGATCAAGGATGACGGTTGTTCGTCTACACGGTTTAAGAAAGCATGGCAGGGCTTAGAATGTTGTTGTCATGATCAACGACAATCGGGGTACCGCAAAATGGAGCTTCCTAGGACAAAGGAGGCATAGACTCGTCCAAGAGTAGGGTCTGCAGGAAGAGGGAACGGCGTGATTTCAGTTTATATATATATATATATATTTCCTTTGTCCAAATATTCTAATAAACCCTGAGTTCTATTGATATGCTGAAGAAATCCAGCGAAAATGTCTGAAATTGCCTTGATGTCATAGGATACTCAGCCGCCAGTGGGCTATGCTTCAGGAATTCGCCACTCGAACGGAGGCTGCGGAGGCTCGGAGCCGTTTCACATTGTGCGAAGGGAAGTGAACTAAAGTCCCGATGTAGCTATTTCCCCTGAATTGGACGCTCAAAGTGGGTCTCCCTATTATTAACGTTGAAACACGTGCTGCCCACAAGCCAAAGACGCTTTTGGATATCAATACATCATGCACGCCATGCACTAGGCCGAACGACCGCGCCCGTCGCGAGCCCCACATATTCTCAAATGGCCCGTTTTCCTCAGCCCGCTCTAAGTCAGCATCAGAACTTCATCCTCGTCCTCGGCGACGTCATATCCTGCAAGTACGTGTTGTACAGGTTATCCGAGCTCGGTCGCCTCGGCCTCGCTGGCCGCTGCCTCTCATAGACGATCCGGTAGAACCCTAGGCCGTCATCGTCCTGTCCGGGATTGGCGGTTTCGTATCCCATGGCTTTCAGGAGGTGGTAAAGCCCGGCTGCCACTACGGCTCCTAGAACAGGCCCCACAAAGAAAATCCAGATGTCGTCGACGTAGTTGTTGTTCACGACCGCCGGACCCAGAGTTCGAGCTGGGTTCACAGAGGTCCCGGTATAATTGATCCCTTCATGATTGAAATTAGCTCTGCGCACAAAAGTATGAGATCTCCAGATGTCTCGGAACAGGCTAAACTTACCAATAAGATGTGCTACAAAAAGGGCGAAGCCAATGGCTAGAGGTGCGATAAATGAAGTGCGACTCTTTTCAACAGCGAGCATTATGATGGTCATAACGAGCTCTGCAGTAAGGATGACTTCGAGGAACAGGCCCTGAACAGGCAATGTTCCCGATGAAAGAGCGTTTTCCGCTTGTAATTTCCCAGGAAGCAAAGCAGACACGACTCCAGCTGCTGTAATCGCTCCCAGAAATTGGACAGGTATAACGCAGAGGAGGCGAATCCAGTCGAAAGCCCCAGCAATCCAAAGCCCGATGGCCACCTGTGTACCCGACAGTCAGCAAAGGCAGCCCATAGCGCACATTGTGACACCACAAGCTGAAAGTATGGACCTACCGCTGGGTTGAACATTCCGCCGCTGACTCTATAGAAGATCCACACGTTGACACCAAGACTGAGCCCGAAGACAGCAGCGATGTACGATATTTGTAGAAGGCTTAGCCCCTCCGGCGCGTTGAACAGCGGCAATGAGTCCTCCTTCTCGTTGCCTATCTGAGCAGCGGCATATGAGAAGAATAGAAACATGAAAGTGCCGATGAATTCGGATATCATGGCGATGATGTGGCCTCTGACGGTGTCCTTCATTCTGGAGAAGTAATGTACTGTCGGCCCATTTGGTTCCACTGCATACGGCTCCAGGCCTGCTTCTTCTCGAATAACCAGCGGTGTATCGTCCATGTCTCCCGTATATCGGGTCGGTTGGTATGCGATTGGGATCGCCATCTTGTTATGATGCATATTGCCTCGGTGACGGCCTTGTTCAGCGGCGGGCAACCAACTGTACATGGTCGAGGTGGAGAAGCATACGAGGGTTATTATATTCGTACGGGACAGGCCGAAACAGCGAGGGAGTTGTGGCAGCAGTAGAAACAAATAATGAAGGTGACGGAGGAGTGTCACAAGAGGATACACCCCGGAGAAGATAATAATATGACGATGAATAAGAAAGCCTAGCCTTCCTGTCTGACCGCACAAGGAATCAATGTAGAAAGAAATGCTTAAAAGCCCTAATAATGCCCAGAGGGAATCGTCTGACCCAGGCAAAGATGTTCCGAACATCATCTGGCGACCACACAGCCTGCTCCCCGGCTGACCACCCCATTATGCCTTACAAACTAATAACGCGGCATGAACCGCCTACTATTCAGGGATGACGCATGGCAGAGCAGGCATGTCGAGGCAGATCGGCTTGGGCCCCCGGCATCGAAGGTTGCATCGAGCCGTTTGAGACTACTTGCGCGACAGCAAGATAATTAGCCGTTGCTTTACACTTACGGAGTACTGGGGCAACTGGTGACAGCCTTCAGCCCTAGCTTTCTGAGCGAGAATCCGAATACATCCTGGCTCAGCTGTGGTCATGGCGCGCGCTGAAAGATACGTGAGGTGGGTGTGGGCGAGAACCGTGCGCGACACCTTCTGAGGCTTGGGACGGAGTGGTCGAGTCTCACCTCGCTGAGTTTGGACTAGTCATCACTCTTTTAGACTCCGACGCCCAGGACCGTGACGACATTGCCAATCAAGTCACAATACATTCTCGGCTGGGTCAATTGGGAAACAGCAAGAGCCGGAACCCCCGGAGACTGGGCATGGCTTGTGTGTAGAACAAAGGGATGACATACCCGGCTGGGGGTCCCGCCAGCTGATCACCTGGGCATGCGGGAGAGGCGTCGTCGAAGCTCATCCCACCATCACGGAGGTGGCGGTGATCGGGAGCGGCAATGCACTGTCAGTCCTTGGCCCCAAAATCCTATTCAACTTGACTCAACTGGATAAAATTGCGGGAGAGACCAGGGTTGAACAAGTACCTAGATGGGTGTTTTTCAGTCATGCTTGGTGATAAAGCGCGAGTCTCAGAAGCAGGCCCTGTCACTCTGAAGAACCAGCCTTGGAACGGACGAAGTCAAGAGTCACCGGCTCGGACCTTTTTGAAGCAAGCTACTAGTTCCAATCCAGAAGCGACTGCTACTGCAACACTACTCTGTATGCACCCAGGGCCCAGGTGCCCTCTCAGCCCAGCTGCCCTGGCCCGTCAATCCTGCATCGAGTGGTTGCGTTGCTGCGACCAGCTGCGATCTGCTGAAACGGTGCAGAAAGCTCACCGCAGCTGCGTTTCAGCGGCTGCAGGAATGCTCCCACGCCCGCATGCGAGAGTTTCTGAGCCGACGGATCCGAGCCAAAAGAGCAAAACTATACTGATGCAGCGGTGTTCGAGAGATGTCCCAACATTGAATCAATCATTTCGTCAGCAAGGACAGTACGAGTAAGCAGGTGTGAAGCAGCCTGAGGTGCGGCGTCGGGCGAGGTCCAAGCGGGTGAAATCCTGATTTCAAGCCCCTCTAGCCGTAGATCAAAGGCATATCTTGCAGCAATTGACGGGTGGCAAAGGCACGTACTCTCAATCCGATATGCGCCTATCATCAGTAGGCGCGCGGCCATCCGCGATATGCGGACCCTTCATGGGTCCTCTGACGCGTAAACAAGGTTCTTGAGACCGCATACATGATCCGCATAAGCACACCTGGGCATGCCGTCGGCTGTGCGTAGAGTGAGGTCACGGGACGATGTTTCTGGGAATCTCTGGGGAAAAGGCGGCAACTGAGTCAACCGCTCGAGTGCTCCCTCGGACGAATGCACCTGTGATCTGCATGCGCTGTGATGCTGCGGCTACTGACTTGGGTGACTGTTCTTGGCGCTTTGCGACGTGAGTTTTGGATTTACATGAATGATGAAGATCTCAGCCCAGTAAGGCGTGCCTGAATGTGGAGATTGGGCAGCATTGCTCTCGATGATCTCGACGCCGTTTTGGTAACGAACATTGAACATCGGACTACGAATCGTGGCCGGTCATGACGAGCTCCTATTCCAGAAATACATGTCGTGACCGTGCGGCACTTCTCTCGGCTACTGGGGTTCTTCGATGCGCCTTGGCTTCCCAGCTTCAGAACAGGAATCTTGTGATGATACTCCACCTCTACATTTGTGCTTATGGAGATCTCCGTGAAGTAAAATATATCTTCCAGGGTCAGGTAAAGCTTGTCTGCATCAAACACTTGTTGCCACTCTACAAGCGTGAGTGTGACAAGTCCGGAGGACTATGAGTTCTTCTAATACATCATCGAAAAGCAGGCTGAGCTGCTTGCGTTATGCAAATTTATGGCAAGTACGAGTACGGATGTGGAACCAAGATGTGCGAGTATTGCTCCATCTATGAGAATCGGTAATTCACTGGGAAGGTGTCTAGCACATGTTAGATTCGGTGTCGACTTCGATCTTCCTCACTTCTAAGTTTGCTGAAGAGATCGCACAAGGAGACTCATCAGTACCTGGATTCTCAGTATTGCAGTACTCGGTCAGCTGAGCTTCTCTGTATGTAGCAGTCTCATACTCCAAGCAGGCATGAAGTGGCTCAAAATGGTGTCGACTGATACTTATCCTTTGATTGAACATGTCAGTCTTGGAAGTTTACCCATCTCGGTGATAATATTGCACCTTTAAACACAAGCCTGTAGGAAACAGCTACTTCGCCTTCCAAGTATGCTTTTCCAGTCTATAGGTTATCCCCAGCGGGACTTACTGCCTGGTTTGGAAGGAAATACAGCCTTGAAGATATCATTACTTGTAGCGTGAGCTACTCGGCTGAAACAGTCTGATTAATCCCCGCACGGATCTCGCGATGGCTTTGAGCATGACGACAAGCATACCATAGGAAGCCGCCTTATGGCGAGGCTGTTAGCTGATCAATAGAATTGGCGAGGATTGTTGCTGCCCGAGGCTGAGACTTGTAGTGTGAGATGATGACTTTTGAAAGAACAGCAGGTTGAAAAGGCATGCAAAAGTATCCACTAGAATATTCTTAAAGTTGTTTTAATTCAAGCATTGGTATAGAAGTCACGTCGTCGCCAGGCCTCGAGGAACGGTCATTGTCGTCCCGGCTTATTACTAGAGTAACAACAGAAGACATTTTCCCAGAATTCCTAAATCACGTATCCTCGCAGGGCAAAGCAGAGAGAGCATATCGACTAGTGTTCTGACTAAAGAATTGAAGTGTATGAATTCCGCTCAAATATCTACTAACAAGCTACTGTGTCTTGTGCCATTTTTTATGCCCTACAGACCCTTGAATATTTACAACCTAGATACCAACATTCTGAAGACTAAATGCTTGCAAGACAACTTATAAAAGATGATTTTATTTATACCTGCCTACTTTATCAATAGCCTGCTGACATAAAAGCTTGTGTGCGTGGTATGGTTTATTCTTGTGGCTGAACTTATGTGGTATACCTGGGAATACTTGTGTAGCATGATCCAATCCTGCATAAATCTCTATTATTTTGAAGTCATTGAATGTTATAGCGCTGTCTGCTTAGTTTCAATAGTTAGACCTTGTGTGGCAGGCACGATGGGGTGCAACCTACTACACCTTAATTCTACGTATTCCCCCTACTTTATCTGCCACACCTTGCTGTCTACATAGTATAAGTCCAAGATTCTGGAGGCGTTCGACTAGGCGAAACCCAGTCTGGAGATCGAGTTGCACATAGACGGCAATAACATCATAGGATGTGACATGTCTGACTCTACTAGTAGTTCTCCATTCATCCATCGACATGAATCGAGCGATGTGTTTAGGAATCTATAACACATGTGTCATCCTCAGCATTTTCGGCCCGTTCTGGCATCACAATTGTCGTCACCATTTTCAATCTGCAAGAAACCATGCTCAGACCATCTGCCTTGGCTCGTTGCGCCCTGTAGAGACCGTTTATCGACCTCGAAGTCTCCTCATATACCGGAGCCGGATGGCTAGAACATACCTAGGTACCTAGGTACCTAGGTACTTGAGAGGCTGGGGAAGCAGAATAAAGTGCCTGGGGTCGCTCATTACAGTGGGGACCTGGGAAGGGCCGATGAAGATATGACGACAGTACAAAGCAGGGCCCGCCCAATCAGCTATCTCTTTCCCCACAATTCAGGTTGCTCGTCTTGAATTTGGCAGTGCTTTTTATGATTCTTGTGATGACTGGCGTCCCAATTGTGGTCGATCTAAGGGACGGGCGGAAGCTTTTCTCCGCAGATGGCACTTGTGATTCACTGCCAGGGTGCAGCCGGGGAGTCCAACAAACAGTCAAAAATTCAGCTTTCGCCTCCCAACTTTGCAACCAACTTTTTTTTTGGGCATTCAAATCGAAGTCTTCAAGCTCACTGGCAGTCAGGCCTTGCAAGATGCCAGGCCATCGCTTCAGGGAGGCCCAGGCCAACACGACCGGCCTGGAACATATCCAATCCTCGGCAAGTGGGCCCAAACGGAGGACATACGATGCTCTCGAGTACACCCGAAATCGCATGGGCTTGAAACCATCGATCGAGACAAGACCCGGCACCCACAACCAAGAACTCTCGTGGTGGCCTCGCATGCGCCTCATTTTCCGCGAGCCATTGCTGGAGTTCTGGGGCACGCTGGTGATGATGCTTCTCGGAGGATCCGTCACGGCAATCACATATCTCAGCGAATATCAGTTTGGCAACTGGCTCACCATTTGTTTTGGGTAGGCTCCATCATCAAACTTTACCCCAAACATTCGAAGTCGCATGGCTGGCAAATAACTAACTCCAGAACTCTGAACCGCAGGTGGTCGGCCGCCATGATCTTCGGCATCTACGTTGCCGGGGACTCAGGAGCCTACCTCAATCCGGCAATCACTTTGACTAACTGTCTCTTCCGTGGTTTGCCTTTGCGACGCTGGCCAGTCTATGCTGCCGCTCAATTTCTTGGCGCCTTCTGTGGCCACGGCCTCGTGTATGCGAACTACATCTCGGCTATTGATCAGTACGAAGGCCACGGAATCCGAACCATCCCCCCAAGCCCGACTTCCAGTGCAAAGATCTTTTGCCAATTTCCTCAGCCATTCGTCCCGTTAGGAAGTCAGATCTTCTCTGAGTTCATCGCCAACTTCTTCATGGCATTCCTGATCCTCTCGGTTCGAGACGAGAATGGTGCTGACTTGAAAGGCGGTGGCTTCTTCGTGATCGCTTTCTTCTGGCTGAACTTCGTTGTCATGGCAGCCTTCGGGTGGGAAACAGGATCCCCAATCAATCCAGCTCGCGACCTTATGGGGCGAACATGGCTGGCCATACTCGGTTACAAGAACGCTTGGTCTGCCTATAACTATTATTTTTGGGTATGTGGCATAATTTTGATCACTTGGCTTTTTGTGGGAATTAACATGGATCACAGATTCCGTTCTTCATCCCGTTCATCGCATGTTTTCTCGGTGCTCTCACCTACGACATCTTCATCTACACTGGAGACAGCCCTATCAACAACGGTGAATGGAGCCCAGGAAAGGTTCACAAGCGACTCAGGAGAACTTTCAGGAGAGATTTTCGAGGTCACCAATCGGACGAAGAGAATCTGAATGCACGACAGAACCAGGGCATAGCGGCTTCCACTCCCATGGTTGAAAATGAAGAGCGCCATCCTTCACGGCCCAATCTTCAAGGCATTCACTCCGTAAAGTCACACCAAGAAACCGAAGCAAATCATGAGGACATGGAGAACGATCCGAATGTCACTTTGACTAACGCCCGAAAAGGCGGATATCACGGCCAGTCATGGGAAGATACAGAACGCCACGGTGACCAAGTTCAAGACGCGGAGCACCTACACCGCAACACACCTCAGCGGAGCAACGCGAGTGGTCATGACCTCGAGGGCAAACAGACTGGTTATGACGATCCCCATAGGGATGGCGGGGAGGAGGCGGACAGGGATGACACTGAGATGTGAAGTAGCCAGCAGTTTCTGGGTTTCTAGTTGAGAACGGAAATTCGCGCACCCAGAATCGGAAGGCGCGCACCCAATTATGACTAAGCAGTGCCCACATATATACACGAATTTATTTTAACTAAGGCCCACCATAGTAATTAGTAAGGTCCTGATATATAACTAGCATCTAGCAACACTTCCTCGCCAACCAACCAAAGTGAGGTCGAAAATCGTGCAAATCGCACACATTAGGGCCCTAATCGGTGGCGTTCTAAGCGCAATTTACGCTCAACTACGTGCGTACGTAGATTTCTAGTTGCGTACCCTCGTCGTCGCCGCTGGCAACGTCGTCTATAGTCAGGTCTACCCGTGGCGGTGGTTGGTGGCAGTGATATTGTAATTCCAGTTGTGACAATCGACTTGCCATGGCGGCTCGAGCCCAAAATAGTCTAGCACCTACGTTATTAGCTGCAACGCTGATAAAACGATATATAAATAGACACAATTGCAGCTTAGTCCTTAATTAACAGGTATTACCAGTTAGATAGTCGATTTAACTTATGGTTGGGTGGTGGTCGCTGAGTGTTATCTAGTAGGAAGAGAGGATTTTACTGGATGTAAAAAAACACTACTTAGGTGGTGTAATAGAGTGGAATAAAGCCCTCTGATTGGTTAGGGGCTGCTTAGTCAGAAATGGGTGCGCACCTTCCGATTCTGGGTGCACGAATTTCCGTTCTCTTCTAGTTTACAGAAGGACAGTAATAGGACTACAATTCTATATGCAAACTATGCAGAATCCAATAAGTGAATTTGGGACCTGAGACTATAGGAGTCAACCAGCTCCGGTCAAGTGTCTGCCGCGCAGCGGCAATTATATGGTTTCACTTCTATTCCGTATACGTCCGAGGACATACGTGGCGCCTTCATACCAAATACCCGTGGGCCTCGGCTTCCACTTACCCACTCCTAGCAGAGTAAGTGCCAAAAACCCGCAACGGCCAAAACCTCACAACACCTACACCTACCTATTTCTACTACTTTTACCTATAAAAACCTACTTTTTAATTAAGTATATTTCCTTTATTAAATTTTATATTTAAAAAAGATAAATATCTTTAAAATCTTTATTTTATAAAAATTAATAATAAAATATTTTTAAATTTCTAGGGTTAGATTTTAAAATTTTAAATTTTTTAATTAAAAGTTTTTTAAAATTAATATAACTATTTAAATAAATTATATTATTAAAAAATAAAAATAGTAAAATATTCTTAGAATTATTTATTTTATATAAATAATATTTTTAAAATTAGATTTCTATTATAAAAAAATTATAAATTAAAGTTTTAAAAAGGATTTATAATAACTTTAATTTTAAAACTAATTTTTTAAAAATATTACCTATATTATAACGGTCTAATACTAAGCCTATAAACTACTAGAATAACTAATTAGATGAATTAGTTATTATAGTCTTTTAGTTAAGCGGTCTATTATATTAATAGTTAATAGAATTTCTATGGATCTATCTTAATAATTAATTTAAAGGGCGTAGGTTCGAACCCCTACGTTTAAAAAGATCTTATTTAAGGTGTTAATAGGCTAGTAGGTGTAGTATTTATAGTCTATAGTTGTAGTACTAAAATAGGCTATTTATTTTAATAAAGTAGTTTAAGTATACTATAAATATCTATCCTATTTAAAAGATTTTTAAGCCTCTTATAGGTATTTAATCCATCTCTAAGCTATTTAAGTACTCTATAAGGCCTTAAGGGGAATTATAATAATTTAGTATTAAGTCTATAAACTATTAGAATAACTAATTAGATAAATTAGTTATTATAGTCTTTTAGTTAAGTAATTTATTATATTAATAGTTAATAAAATTTTTATAAATCTATTTTATATATAAAGTAAATAATTCTAAGAATATTTTACTATTTTTATTTCTTAGAAATATAATTTATTTAAATAGTTATATTAATTTTAAAAAACCCTTAACTAAAAAAACTAAAATCTTAAACCCTAACCCTAGAAATTTAAAAAATTTTAATTATAATCTTTATAAAATAAAGGTCTTAAAGGTATTAAATTTTTCTTTATATAAAATTTAATAATAAAAATATACTTAATTAAAAAGTAGATTTTTATAGGGAAAAGTAATGAAAATAGGTAGGTATAGGTGTTGCGGGATTTTGGCCGTTGCGGAATTTTGGCACCCCCTACGCCAAGGGCGTAGGGGGGCAGGGAAGGCCTGCCCCCCGGGTAAAGGCATGCATTCTGTAAGCGACAGTACTGCGATCGGGTTCACCTCGAGTGGTATGCATCCTCAAATGATCAAGCCGGAGACATTCGGACTTCAGTCTTTTGGTCAACTTGCAGCACACATGCCCAGGTGCCCAGGCGTGCAACGGGGTGGCTTTGCCTGATTGGGACAATCCTTCAATCTGCGGGATCAAGCAGAATGGCCGGTGTTAGGACTTGGTCAGAACGTCATATGACTAACCTTAGGTAATTCCGTCGGTGAGACTAACCACCGTCCAAGATGTCAGCGGCACCTAATAAGTAGGTACTTAGGCAGCCTCTTCTCCATCCCATCACTGACCCGCTGGAGCACTTGAGCGCGCTTCCAAGGTCATGGTTTGCCATATATCAAAATCTCCTCCCCCACAAAACTAGTCGAAATCAAAGGAGCATACTCTTAATTATCAATACTAATTATCGGAACAACAGCTTCGGCCTGACTCAACACTCGCAGAAACCACCTGGGCTGGCTTTCTTCACCATGGCCGCGACGGTAGCAACGGTTATCGAGGCTGCACCCACGGCCAGCATGCGGGCCGCACACCAAAACAGCCAGGCAGACCACATGTTCAACCGCATCAACAGCAGCAGCCAAAGCCACCAAGATGACACTGGCCGCAGTCCCGCCACAGAGACAGGGACCCAACATGACAGACTCGCTTCCGGCCCAGCCGCAACTGCAATTGCGCTGATCATGATTCCCCTCTGCCTCTCCGTATTGCTCTCCTCGCTGGATCTAACAATGGTGACGCCGGCGATACCGTCCATCGCCGCCGAGTTCCAGTCCTCGTCGGGCTACATTTGGGTCGGCGGGGCGTTCATCCTGGGCAGCACAGCCGTGACTCCCGTGTGGGGCTCGGTGGCTGATATCTGGGGCCGCAAGCCCATCATGCTCATCGCCCAAGTCTTCTTCTTCGCCGGCAGCCTGATGTGTGCTCTAGCGCCCAACATGGACGCCTTCATTGCTGGTCGTGGCATCCAAGGCATTGGTGCCAGCGGCATGGGCATACTTGTGAATGTGATCATATGCGATACCTTTTCGATGCGAGACCGCGGCCTCTACCTGGGTATCACGTCTATCATGTGGGCGATTGGGACGGCGATTGGGCCAATTCTGGGTGGTTTTTTCACCACCAAGGTGCATTGGAGGTGGTGCTTCTGGATGAACTGTGGGTTCTCCTGCTCGCCCTGGCCACCAAACCTTGTGGCATCTGTTCTCACTCAGCGGCGGCTAATTCTGTATTCATCCACAGTGCCAGTCGGCGGCCTTGTATTTCTCGTGCAACTATCCTTTCTCAAGATACCTGCGCCAAACACCCCTGTACTGGCTGGCCTGAAGGCAGTCGACTGGACTGGCAGCTTGCTCATCGTCGGGTCCGCCTTGATGGTCCTGCTCGGTCTCGAATTCGGGGGTATCACATTTCCCTGGTCATCTGCGGCTGTCATTTGCCTCATAACGTTTGGAACCGTCGTCTTGGGGGTTTTCCTCCTCAATGAGTGGAAGCTGGCGATTAATCCGGTGATACCCTTACGCTTGTTCACGAACCGTTCCACAGTGGCGGCCTATCTTGTCTACGTTTGCAATTTCTCCGTCTTGATCGGTCTGTCTTATTACCTCCCCCTCTATTCTCAGTCCGTTCTGGGAGCCAACGCCCTGGTATCTGGGCTTCACCTTCTTCCCCTGATCGTGTCCAGCTCTCTTGCCGCCGCCTGCGCTGGGGTGTTCATCCAGAAGACCGGCATATACCTTCCAATCATGTACGGCGCACAGGTCCTGCTCACCCTTGGTTCTGGACTATTTATGAACCTTGCGCTCGAAAAGAGCATCACCAAGCTCATCGTCTATCAGATTATCTGTGGAGTCGGCGTCGGCTTCAACATGGAGCCACCACTCCTTGTAGCACAGGCTACAGCAACAAGCCTTGACACAGCCGCGGTCATTTCAACAATGAGCTTCCTGCGGTCCATATGCACTGCAATAGTCGTTGTTGTCGGTGGCGTTTTATTCCAGGGCCAGATGGTGGCGGAAAATAGCGGGCTTTCTGCACAAATCGGCCCGGAATTGGCATCTCATTTCAACGGTGACCATGCTACCGCGAGCGTGGAGATCATTGCCACTCTGTCAGTCGATTCGCAAGACATTATAAGGCGTGTATATTTCAAGAGTTTGCGCGCAATATGGATCATGGTAAGTAACTGAAAGATTGAACTATGTCAGGTTCAGTCGTTTCGAGGTTCCTTTACGCTAACACAATGCCCTACAAAAGTGTTTGGTTGTTGCCGGAGTTTCGCTTGTCTCGAACATTTTCGTACGGGCCCATCACCTGAGCTCAGAGACCCAAAAGGCAATTCTTGGGCTTGACAGGACACGGCAAGAAGAACACACACGGCAGCGACAGACTAACAGTCCTGCACCGGATCGTTCTATTGAACTCTCCCACATCCGAGAAGAAGCCCTACGGCAACGTTCATAAGGCCTGTCCGGTCCGGCAACCAGTACATTCTGCACAAGGAGTGCATCATGAATGACAGGCATCGTAGAACCCTAGGATGGGGCCACTGCTGGTTTTACATCATTGTCAGGGAGGGCGGGTTAACTTCCGCCATCTGGAAGTAAAATCTATTACCACGAAATTGGCTTCTTACACCTATCTGGTAGCACTTGAGCCACCACGGCAACGTCTGGGGAGATGCATCAGAGAACCCTGAGTGGCATAATTCTCCTCATCTGCGGATGAGTCGTTGTGGTGAGCTAAGTAAAACACAAGTTCCTGATGCTCTTGAAGGACTTGTTGGACTTAGCTGTTGGACCCACTTTGGATTCATTGGCCTGGCAACATTCGCGGCAGAGAAGGGTGAAAATAGCCTGTTTCGACCACATCATTGCAAGGGTAGGCTGGGCAAGTCCCAATGATGACGGAAGTGTTTCGGCGCCCGAGAGAGGGTGGATGGAAGCGATCAAAGAGCCTCGATGACGGGCTGTGGTTCCCGATAGACGACGTAGTTGTGGGTGTACCTGAGGGTGGGCTGTCGACTTAGCACCTCTAGAGCCCGTTTTCCTGAGTTGCTGGACCGCACATGTCGAATTAAGTATTATTTCTATCACGTCCATAGGATCATGGTATCTCGATCCAACGGGTGTTATTCCTCTCGTAATCTTTATGGCTAGAGACCGTATCAACTTTGCTGATGCTTCGATAGAATGACATGTAACGGTTGCTCGCCGACGGCGGGCGGCCCATCGGGGGCCGGAGATCAATGCTGAGGATTTGACATGCAGCATGACGCTGGCCACCTTACCGCAGGCAAGCTAGTATGTGCGCTCTTGGCCAAGAACTTTATGCGTATTCTGGGCGTTGGCTGAGGGCAGTCGGAGGCATGTGAGGATCGACAGGGCTCTGGGCGACAAGATGGAAGTGGAAGGGGCGGCTCAAGTTTACGGAGGAGCTCACGTACTGACTCAATAAAGTCGGCCTGTTCGGGAGGGATTGTCCATGCGAGCGGTGGGTATAGGCACATAGGGCTTGGAAACAACGACACAGATTGGCCCTGGGAGGCTTAGGGGTGTAAACGATTCCTGTAGTCTCCGTCTAACTGGTAGCAATTCACGTCTCGCGGATGCAAGGGAAAACAAGCCGCCGCGCCGCACGCACTCCCGTCCTGCTGCGGGAGGAGTGTCTGGCTGCTTGGAAGTGTTTCATGACAGGGCTAGGACGGGTAATGATGGCAAGGGTCGCGGGTATCGTGCCATGGGTACCTAGGTAAGGTTTGGCGATAGTGGTCCCTGGCATTTCTGAGGAATGTGCTGTGTGCGTCAAAACGTTGCATTGTCCATCATCGCTGCAAGCTTGTCGAGATCTAGCCGGCACCGGTCTTGATTTATGTCAAAAGGTGCAAAATTATAGTTCCTAGTCGTGTGTGGGGGTAGTTCATCGAGTATCTGTTTCTTAAGGTAGCAAAGAGTCTCGATCATATACTGCATACCTACTAGGTACAAATGAAGTGCACTGAGATGCTGTCAGCGTTTCAGTCTCCACGATGACACCCCACAAAGGCATTCGGGGGATCGTCACGGTTGGTCTAACTTCCTGTAGCTGTTGTGGTGTGTTTGTTTTGAGTATTAGACTTTGAAGCTTATTCTAATTTGTGATCTTTTCACACTAGCAGGGAAACCGATTGCCAAAACTTGCGTTAACGAGTTACCAGGTTCTCCACAAGACCTGAAATGTTCAGTGGACTTCGTGAGAGTTTGCATGAGTGCGAGTCGGTCGACTCATGAGGGCTTCAAGTCCTAGGGTTAAGGCTGGAACAACACAAGGACACCCTGTAACTGAGTGTCTGATGGATCCAATTCATCGGCCCAGGGAGCAGAGGGCGGCTTTGAGAGACTTGAACATTGATTAAGTACTTAGTAGGTACAACATTCGTCCTGTCTCAGCTACAGGCGCTTGACCCTTTGCCGTACTGGCCCTTCGCAGCAGTTGAGATTGTATTGGTGCCCGCGGGGGGCATCGCTGCTGCCAGCTACGGGCAAACTTCTTTTGGTAACGCGCCTAGGGCCATCCAAATTTGGGCACATGGCGACCGATTTCTATCGTCTCATGTCAAACACAAACTGTACTCCGATAGATAGAGTGATGCGCACCTCGACCCGGGAGCAGATAAAATATGAGCTGATAGATTACCAAGAGATCTGGCGGCTCGGATGTTCCATCAGATTTGAATATGACATACCCAAACACTTCATGTTTGCCCCGAATGAATTGAAACGAAGGTGCTAACGTCCACTCGAAGAGATCATCACGAGGGACAACGTCCACCAAACCGTGGATCCTGGCCGATCTCTCCTCGGCCAAAGCGCCGGCCATGAACTTGCCATCGGGAAGACTGATCATGACAATCATCATTTGTGCCATGAAGGCTGCAATGCAAGCCGATCAAGCTCTTTTTCCATAGGATATCCACTCTCACAGAGTATAACTTCAAAGTCCTGGATCTGAAATAGCAAGATTTACCAACACGGTACTCGATGGCGTCTTCGAATAGTGGCCGGCTTTACTTATGCAAAACGCGGCGGCAGCACGGAGATTTTGCATAATTTGGCTGTCTCACTTGAATTGACAGTGTGAGTATGTCACCTTCCGGAACTTTCCACCGCATCTTGAAGCACTAGCCCGGGACGGTGAAAATTTGATCTACGTTGGCTCGTCCGAGTTCATGACAAAATGTGACGGTACTGATTGTTGACTCGAATACACGAGCAACCTTGGAATCACTCAACTAAGCACGCAAGTCAACTGCCCCCATCCAAATGGCTTCTACACCATGCTTCGTGGTCCAGATCAAGCGATGAAGCAAATAGGCATGTAGCAATAAGACCAAGTAAAATCTCAAACTCTGCCAGTCAAGGATATTCTCTTCTCGAAGAATTTATCTTCACTAAATCCGAGACAAGAATTTGCTGCATCCAGCCATGAAATGGCAAGATCCGACCATTCGTGTCATGAAGCTGAAAATGTTGGGGTAGGTATACGTACTCTGTAAGAAGCAGTGGAGACAACCGCTAGAAGCTGCCATTCCCCTCTGGTACAGTTGCAGATGGTCTGACATTCCGTGTGGCGGGTATTTATCTAGATGTTCTGCGGCATTATCACACGCAACACATTCCGAGTCTTGGTATCAGAGAGGTGAGGCTGCCAAGTGCTTTGAGCTCGGCCACAGAGTCCCGCCACCACGCCGCCGGCAACTTCTAATCGTAGTACACGGATCGAGATAAACTCTACTGAGACCCAGCTTGTCAATATAATTCCCTGCCAAGACACATGAGACTTTCCATCTTTCTAGATCTGGGCCTTGGCTTCAACATTGCGATTATCAGCCACACTCCCCGTCCTCTCTACTTTGGGAAGCTGAGGATAGTACCCTCCCGGTTTCAGGAAAGCCTTTCGCCTCCCAACTTCCGTGCTCAAGCCCATAACAGATGCTCAAGATCTCAATCCTGCTATTCCGATCTTGTCATACAGCTTGCCGGTGCATTTTTTCATATGCCATCCACAACTAGCAAACTCAAGGCCATAGTGCACAGAACAAGAGAATTTCTTGTCAAAGACATGACGAGAGACGAAGACAAGAGAGCAGGAATTGTGGTCGACCCCGAGGCTGATCTGGCCCATGTCCCCCCGGCGGTGACCAGGCACGCCTCGTTCAATGACAGCCCAACTATTCGCGGAGCACCACCAATGGAGAGCGGGTGGTACGAGAGTCCCCGTAATTCTGTGTTTGGCGACCGCCGTTACAACCGCCGCGGCGTCAGTGGACGGACGACCTACCCAGCATATCGTTTCTCAACCCAGTCAGCTCCTGCCATGCCGCCAACAGGAATCTCACCGCCTCCAGCGAATATAGGAGCCAAGGACGAGGTCTACATCACTCTGTCAGAAGAAGAATGTGATATGCCTACCAGGCGCCGGTACATCACAAAACTATGCAGGGCAACACTAGTCTACGGCTCGCCAACTCATAGAATAGTCCCGTACATCCAAATGGCAGCCCGGGCCCTGGACATGGATATATACATTCTCTACGTCCCCGACAACATCATCGTCGCATTTGACAGCCCAGACGAAAGCAACAGCAAAGGGATCTACCAGCCAACAGAGGTGAAGCTGATCCAGGGAGCCGGCACCCACGTGGGCAAGATGCTGGATGCCCACGAGGTGTACAAGCACGTGCTGCACGGGCGGATGTCCGTCTCGGAGGGAATCCAGCGGCTGGACGACATTGAGCGGCGCAACGACGAACACAACGTGTGGTTCATGTTCATGATTTTCGGCTTCGCGGCTGTGGGCATCGCCCCCTTTGCCTACCGCGCCCGCTTCATCGACCTGCCCGTCGCTTTCATCACGGGCAGCCTGCTGGGCGTCATGCAGCTCAAGTTCGCGCCCTCGCACCCACTGTACGCCCTCATATTCGAAGTCACGGCCGCCATCATTATGTCCTTTCTTGGCCGCATGTTTGGCTCTATCCGGGGTGCTGACGGCGACCGCATCTTCTGCTACTCGGCGCTGACTCAGTGCTCCATCAACCTGCTCATGCCTGGCTACTGGATGACCAACGCGGCGCTGGAGATCATGTCCAAGAACATCGTCACTGGTGGCTCAAGGATGATGTATGCCTTGATCTACTCGCTCCTTCTCGCTTATGGAATCGCTATTGGCTCAACCCTCTACGGCTACATGGATTACGATGCTGTTAGCAACCCCCGCTGCGAGAACCTGATCGACCGGAGGTGGAATCTGTTCTTTGTGCCTTTCTTTTCGGTCCAGGTGTCCATCATCAGTGGGGCAAAGTATCGACAAATCCCAGCGTAAGAATCGGATAACCCCAAGCCTCTATCATCCGCTTTTCGATCGCTTTGCTAACTGGAGCGAATGAAGCATGGTCTTTATCTCATTCATGGGCTACCTAGTCAACTTCCTATCAGTAGACGTATTCCACGGGTCCTTCACCATCGCCCACACCCTGGGTGGCTTCATGATCGGCCTGCTGGGTAACCTCTACTCCAAGTTCGGCTGGCAGGTGGAGCACATCATCTATGACCGGGGGTTCAGCAGGGGCAACAACGCTGGCCGGCGAAGGAGCCGTATCAGCCTGGGCGCGTCTCAGGGGTTTGCCCTCGCCGCCGCGGGGATGGTGCCGGCCATGATCGTGCAGGTCCCGTCGGGACTGGCCAACACGGGCATCGTTGCCGCGGGCCTGCAGACGGCCGACGCCATCGTGCGCAACACCACGGCCAACAACATGGCGTTCCCCCTCGGAGAGCTCCAGCTCGACGCTATGCCCATTCTGCTACAGGTCATCCAGATCGGCATCAGTATTGCCATGGGACTGTCACTGGCTGCCCTGATGCTGTACCCGCTGGCAAAGAAGAGGAGTGGAGTAATGGCGTGGTGAGCCACTTGGGTGTGTGCGGAAGAAGACTTACGGGAGAACATTGGCATTCAGCATAGCATTGAGCGCTGCGGGAGTCATGTTTGTTTCCTCTCACTGGGCAGACAGACCCAGATGCCTCCGAATGCCGCTTCCAAACGGCATATAATCTTCGGCAGGGCGGCTAAGTGGCCAGGCATACACAGCGTTCACTTGTCATTTGTGTCATATAATAGAAAGAGTGGGCTCCTCGGTTTTGTTGGAAACGATGATCCACCGCTCAGGTCAAGCGATTGGACTCTCGTGGCGGGTTGATGAAAAGCGACCAGCTCTGAGCTCGCAGCGCGTTTATACATGGGCGATGGTTTCTTTGTATTTACACCCAGTACGGAGTGTCTGCCTTTGAGGGCAATCTTCCTCCTCGGGCCGGTCCCAATTATCTATTAGATGAAAATTCCTGGGGACAGTCCACATCACCACTCGTATCTGAGGTATCTAGCTGATGTTCGCAGTCCCGGTATCCACGAGACCACCCAACAGAACAGTCTCATAATGATTGGTAGCCGGAAATTTTCTGGATTATCTGAGGGCAGGACTTCACCCGTTAGATGCAGTCTTTGATTCCATCCCTCAAGTTCCCCTGGGTCGTTTATCGCCCACGAGAATCGTGATCCTGTGTTGGCGACGATGGGCTCGAACTTCTGGACCAGCAGCGGGAACCAGTTGAAGCAGTCAAACACCAGCTGATTCCCCGCTCCGACGAAACAATGCGTCAAATTCTCGATAAGTGCACGGCCCTGTGCGGGCTGCAGGTACATAGTCAGGCCCTCAAACACCACGAGCGTCCTGCGGTCGCGGGGAAGCCGGAGCTCCGCGAGCCACAGCTCATCCGTCACATCGGCCGCGACCACCTCGTACTGCATCCTGCCGCCGTCCGGTTCCGGCAGCCGGAGTCTGCCTCTCACATCGATGACATCCGGGAGATCGACGTCGACCCAGCGGAAGTCTGCTCTGTCCTGGTTGCAGTGTTCCTGTAGCCTCAGCGCGCGGGTGTCCAGGCCCGCGGCTAGGTGAAGGACTGTGACGGGCTCGCCGTCGTGCTGGGCCTGTTGGAGGAACTCGGCGGTCCACTGGTCTAGGAACCTGGCACGCAGAGCAATTGCAGCTGCCTTGAGCCAGATGACGTGAAGCTTCGAGAAGTCGTAGTCGAGCTGATCGACAAGTCGTGCAGCGTACCGATCGCCCAGGATCGGAACGGTGGTCTTGGCATCCAGTGCACGCGAGTACAGGATGGCGAGGAGTGTTTCCTGTGCACCAGTGAGGTTGGGCTTCAGCCTCTGTACTTGATTCTTGGTATTCGAACTCATTGCTGCTGTTGTTGCTGTTGTTTTTGCTACTACTGCTGCTCCGTAGTCTGAATGTCAAGAGATGTCGGTGGCAAATGCCCAGGTGGGCTGAGATCTCGGGCCGCACGGGGACTGCAAGCATGATCGCGGGAGCTTGGGCCCGACTCCTGGGGAAACAGCACTCGGGAACACATCCTTAGCATCAAATGTACGGTTGCCATGCCATTACAAGACTCCAGGAGGGGGAATTCGCGCACCTATAATTAAGAGATGCACACCTATTTCACACCAAAAAGATACATTACATCAGAACCCAGTAAATGCAAAAAGCATTTTCATACTCAAACCAAGAAAGGTAAAGCCCCCAACTCCTACCAAGGTATAAGGATAAATGTTATTATCCCAGATGCCATATTTCTCACGGCTTTAGATCCTAGGCCTTGCCATAACAGGTCTGCAAGCATGTCGATGACACCGATGATCTGCTGGTCGAGTGTGTACAGGTGAACACTGTGGTGGGTGGGTACCGGCGTGGTGTCGTTCAATGAGTCTGGTGACGAGGTGATTCCCGAGGTTGGAGAACTCGAATCGAGGTCAGGATGGTGCCCAAAGAAAACGACGTGCGAGAGGCACCACGGTGAGGATGCCACTTGTGGCGGTGCCAAACGTGGTGGGTGATCTTCAACATTGAACTCGTGGACGAATCTTGGAATTGTGAGCAGGGGTCGTTTGGGAATGTGTACGTAGTACACCACTTACTGTCGGAATTATGCATCAGGCCCGAGATCGGCACAAAGAGCACGCGAGTGGTGGGGCGTGGGAATGGTTTTGGTGCACCCCAGAATCCCGAGCTGGTGGTCCCAGGGGCCTGTCGGGTGCCCTTGGCATGGCGTGGAGCCACCACGGAGGAAGGCCAACATGCCAAGATGTCGTGGGATGCGGCTCTTCAAGCCAAGGCGACGGCATCGCTTGGTGTGCTCGGTGCGGTCCGAAAGCGTAGCTGCTGACCGGCAGCGGGACTGCGGGAGTGTGCTGCCACTGATTGTGGTGTGGTGTGACAGTCTGCCCTGTCTGTTTTGACTGCTGACTGCACGCTAGAAGGACGCCACATTCCTTGGATACCTAGGTACCCTGCAAAAACGCTGCAGGTTATCTGCCACTGCAGACGTGGAGAAAGAGGCGAAATAAACTTGGCGAGGGCGCTCAAGATCCGATCTTTACAATGGCCCAGAAACCATCAAGCTTCGGTCAAGGCCGCCTGGCCCCACAGAGCTCGCCACGGGCTGACGGGGTGTTTCGAGGCCGCTGCAGTGCTCGGTGCGCGGTAAAATACTTAAGTACTTACGCATGAAAAATGGGGAGACGGGTTCGTTGTGACCTGCCTGTTGGGGCAGCTGCCATCAGCGATGCTGCATGGACCACCCGACCAGGACGGCAGGAACAGCCTGAGGTAATAGACTACACAGGCACTCCGTACCTACGCAACGTTGTAGGGTTCATGGCTCTTCCCCGTTGATGAGTTTTTGCCCTTCCTTTTGACTCCCTCCCACTCGGCAAGGTTCCGGCCCCAGACTGCAAGTGCCTCTCCACTGCCTCGGCTCATTTTTCGTCGCTAATAAGAATTACGGGCGAGAGGAAAGGAGCGGTCCCCTTGAGTCCCTTGATCAGTCGAGGGCGACGATCACTTTTCGAGTTGGCCTGCCCAGCTGCCTGATTGGTAATCGACGAGCTGCGGGCAATGTCTCGCGCAGTCGCACAGTCGCACTGCTCGCTACGTTGCAGACTGTCTCCGTATCTCATGACCGTGCTCTGCTACGTGGGTCCTGCCTCTCCAGGGACTTGCCTGCTTCCGCCTTCGACCACCCAGGCCCCCCAGGCCCCCAGGCCACCAGGCCACCAGGCCACCCAGAACTGCCAGCCTGCCAGCTTCGACTAATGGCATGACCATCGGCTGCCCGTGACATTCAACCCCCCCGTGGTACGGCCGGCCATCTACCGTGTGTGAGGTAAATTTTATGCGCCGGTATTATTACATCGACGCCGATAAAAGGGGCCCCACCTATCCATGTTTCGTAGTCCTAGATTCTAGAGTTTCCCCATTTGCTAACCATCGTTAGGACATACCTTGGTACACTATTTATGTCAAGAGCTGCCGCCGGAGACTCACACCTCGCCCGGTCGCTGAACTCGTCCCAGTTCCCCTTCGTCATCTCGAGTCTCCCTGGGACTCTTTCAGTTTGGGGCCCCCACACATCGCCCGTCACAGCGCTCCCACCATGGATCACGAATCGAGCGCGGCGGAGCTTCATGCTACCGCGGTCGAGCCTCTCAAGAAGGACCACAAGGACATGGCCGGCGGCATCGAGCCAGTCACCCACGACAATGGCCTCTCGTCCGGCGACGCTGCAAGCTTTGTGACGGCTGACGGCGACGAGCCATCCGACGAGGAGAAGAAGACCCTGCGCAGGGTCGCCGACAAGCTGCCCTGGGCTGCCTTCCTGGTCTGCGTCATCGAGCTCTGCGAGCGCTTCACATACTACGGTCTCTCCGGCCCCTTCCAGAACTACATCTCAAACAGCGCCCACGACGGCCTCCCCGGCGCCATCGGCCTGGGCCAGTCCGGAGCTACGGGTGAGCAGTCCTCGGAATTGCCGAGTTGCACACATGAAAGCACCTTGGGACCTGTTTGCGCTAACAAACCATCTCAGGGTTGACCAATTTCTTCCAGTTTTGGTGCTACGTGACTCCAGTGCTGGGAGCCGTGATCAGTGACCAGTGGCTTGGGAAATACTGGACCATCTTCTACTCGTCACTTATATACATCGTCGGAAACCTCATCCTCTTTTTGACGTCCCTGCCCGTTGCCATCGAGAATGGCGCCGCGCTGGGAGGTCTCGTCGCAGCCATGATCGTCATTGGGCTGGGCACCGGAGGTATCAAGTCCAACGTCTCGCCATTGATCGCCGAGCAGTACGACAACACGGTACCTTTCGTCAAGACCCTCAAGTCCGGTGAGAGGGTCATCGTGGACCCCGCAGCCACCATCAAGCGAATCTACATGATCTTCTACATGATGATCAACATTGGCTCTCTCTCCTCTATCGCTACTACTGAGCTCGAGGCCAACGTTGGGTTCTGGGCCGCCTACCTGCTTCCCTTCCTGATGTTCCTCGTCGGCGTCGCCGTTCTCGTGGCCGGCAAGTCAAAGTACAAGCTGCGCCCTCCTCAGGGCAGTATCATCCCCAAGGCTTTCAAGATCATGTGGATCGCCATGACCCACAAGGGCAACTACGACGCCGCCAAGCCCGAATACCACGAGGAGCTCTGCACCGGCCGCAAATACGAAATCACCTGGGACGGCCTGTTTGTCGAGGAGGTCAAGAGGGCCCTGGTCGCCTGCAAGGTCTTCATCTTCTTCCCCGTCTACTGGGTCGTCTACAGCCAGATGCTCAACAACTTCATCTCGCAGGCCGGCCAGATGAACCTGCACGGCATTCCCAACGACCTCATGCAGAACTGGGACCCCATCACCATCATCATCTTCATTCCCATCTGCGACTACTTCCTCTACCCGATGCTCAACAAGATGGGCTTCAAGATGCTGCCCATCACCCGTATCTTCTGCGGCTTCATGCTCGCCAGCGGCGCCATGGCTTACGCCGCTGGCGTCCAGAAGATGATCTACAACACCGGGCCCTGTTACGAGCAGGTCGCCGCCTGCCCCGCCGCCCTGCGAGATGACGGCACCTACGCGCCCAATGACATCCACGTTGCTATCCAGACCCCCGCCTATCTGCTCATTGGACTCAGCGAGATCTTTGCCAGCATCACTGGCTTGGAGTACGCATTTACCAAAGCCCCCGCGAGCATGAAGTCCTTCATCATGTCTCTCTTCCTGCTGACGAACGCGTTCGGCTCCGCCCTCTCCATCGCCCTCTCGCCTACCGCCGTCGACCCCAAGCTTCTCTGGATGTACACCGGCCTGGCCGTCGCGTGCTTCTGTGCCGGTTGGATCTTCTGGTTCTTGTACAGCAGGTACAACAAGACGGAAGAGTCCATGAACGAGCTCGAGAAATTCACCGAGAAGCCCAAGCGTGTGGGTGAGGAGACGGCGGATCGTGATCTCGAGAAGGTCGCGACCGTGTCTACCACCGCTAGGGCAGGAGGTGAATAAAGGCCGAGGTATCGATGATGATGATGAACAAACAACACACTTATTGCACATACGGGGGATGATGTATGATAGTCACGTTGGTCCTTAATTAATGGCGAAACGATAATGCATATTTGGTCTAAAAACTTTCAAAGTCCTCTCTCTATGCGCCCTCCCTGGAAAGATACCACATCCTCCCCGCTTATTCCCCCTTGCCTAGGCTTTTCGCAACCTCAACATACGAGCCCTTAAGAATATCCTCCACGATCCCCGGCTGCGTCGCCCGCCACCCCAGCTCCGTCACAGCCTTCTGGCTCGAGGCCCTATTCTCAGTAACCAAGAAGTTAACCAAGAACGGCGGCATCTTCCCCATCGCATCCTCCCGCGGCAGATCCACCGCCGGCACGCCCAGCACCGCCGCGACGGCCCCCTGCAGCTCCCGCATCGTGACGCCCGTCTCGGCGGAGGCGTTGTACACCTCCCCGGCGCGGCCCCGCTCGGCGGCGAGCAGATACAGCCGCGCCGCGTCGTCGACGTGCACGGACGTCGTCCGCGTGGCCCCGCCGTCGATATATGTCGCTGCGCCGGCGGCCGCGGCACCGTCCATGAACATCCTGACGCCGCTGCCGCCGCGGCCGTACACGAAGGGGGGGAGGCGCACGCAGAGGGCCCGCACGCCCTGCCCCGCGGCGGCCGCACGGGCGTGGTCCCACGCCTTGTACCGCGCTATCGGGGACTTGAGGTCCAGGGGGCTGTCCTCGGCGGTCTCGCCGCCGTGCGGGTCGGCGGCTGCCGTCATCGTGCCCGAGGTGGTGACGAGTGTCTTCGTCTTGCTGCTGTCTGCCCCGTCGCCCGCGGATGATGATGATGATGATGATGATGCTAGCCCCGCGACCATGGCGTCGACGGCTGCGGCGTCGATGGCTAGGATCTTGTCGTAGGGGGTGTCCATGCCTCCCGCGCCCAGCAGGGGGTCCGCGAGGTGCAGGACCACGTCCGCGCGGGCGGCCTCGGCGCGCAGCACGTCCGGGGTCTCGAGGTCGCCGCGGACGGGGGTCGCGCCCAGCCGGGTGAGGGTTGCGTCCTTGGCCTCGCTGCGGGAGAGGCCGCGGACCGTGTGGCCCTGGCTGATGGCGAGCTCGGTTAGGACCTGGCCTAGGTAGCCGGTTGCGCCGGTCATGAAGATTTGTTTTTGGGACATTTTTTTTTTGTGGTTTTTATTGGCCGTGTGTCTTTGAAGATTCACTTGTTGCTGCCTCTTCTCTCGGGCTGATTAGGTGTGAAAGTTTCGGAGACGAGGTTGGTTAATTGCAGGTGATGGACTGAACTGCGACTGAGCAGGGAAATGTGTTGATTTGAGTGAAGGAAGTTATCGACTGAATGACAATAACATGCTCCCAGGAGCATACTTATAATCCTTCATCTTCAAGTCATTCGACTAAGTGCATCATACAATCCTCCGTATGTTGTCCTACGTCCGTCGTGTAAGCCTTCCACCTTACCACATCCGGCTATCGCTTACCTCCGTGTCCGCTCTAAACCCCGTGGAGGATGATACGGGAGATTTACTAAGAAGCCACTTACTAAGAAATACGGAGTAAGCGGGAATAAGGAGCCGGCTTCCATCAGGTAAATCCATATTGCGTACCTGCATTTATGGGAGTTATTTTGGTAAAGGTGCAGGTGCATCAGTGATGAGAGCGATTGAAATGTGGATGCATTGGTCAGCGGCCATGCCAATTCCCAGTGTCCTTGAATTATGTGCTTGTGACGTCTATTTGGCTTGGACTCCACATCATGAATTATTAATCTATTGTATTTCTTTGCAGCATCTGCAGGCTCCAATCGGTGCTTATTAGTGAGAAGCTGGATTGATGTTTTAGAAACTGCCCAGGTGCCTTTCCATCAAAGCCCGAAGCGAGAACCCCCACCCCTCCCCCCCCACTCAGGTCACTCGGGGTCTAGGGTTACCAGGGCTCACCCACTCAGCTCCGGGGGAATTCCACGGTTCACGGCTTGCAACACAAAGGTCAACAGACCGAGTCCTCTCTCTCTCATATCGGTTCTAATTCACATGGTCTCACTTATTCATAGCTGGATAGGTGAGATATCCCATCCCACTGCAGCACAGCTTTACCCTTTGCCATGAAACCGCGACTTGAGCCTGCCCTTGCGTCACAGCTGTTCAAACTTGTGCACGGCTTTATTAGCCACCTTCCTTTCTTCAACCTCTGAAGCCGCACATCCAATTCAACCAGATCACCTCTTCCTTTTCTTCACTGCCCCATCTTGGATTCATCATGTCTACATTTGACGGCATCATCAAAGAGTTCCAGGGGGTGAGGGGTGAGTACCTAACGGCCCTTGTGTGCAAGTGCTGTTGTTAACCCTCTTCCAGTTGATTACTTCCGAAACGTTGTCGATGACCCTCCACTTGCATGCTTCCTAAGCCACATCCACAGTGACCACATCGCTGGCCTTGACACGTTCAGAGGCCGTCTCGTGTACTGCTCGGCGGCGACGAGGGCGATGCTGTTGAGACTGCAGCGGAAGGCGTCCCGCATCAATTTTGCTCAAGGAGTGCTGGAAACCGAGGAGATCACCTACAAACATCAGAAGAATCGTCTGGTATGTCTCCCCTTCTCTCCATCTCTCGCGATATGTGGCCTGACGCCCCTCAGAAAGCTCTGCCCCTGAATACGCCGACGGATGTTGAACTTACCCCAAACACTACGGTGCGGGTAACACTTTTCGATGCAAACCACTGCCCTGGTGCTGTCATGTTCCGTGAGTGGCAATTTCCCCCGGGCTTGGTGACTCTAGCTGACCGGACAGTCTTCGAGGGAGACGGAAAGGCCGTCCTTTACACTGGAGATATCAGGTGCGAGCCTTGGCATGTTGAGGCCTTGATCCGAAATCCTTGCATTGCAGAGTACGCAGTCAGACGAGATTCAGCACAGCTCAAAACCTTGGACAAGATATATCTGGACACGAGTTTCACCGAAGATGTCCAATTTCAGACGAAGGCCGACGGCCTCCGCGAGCTCCTTGAGAAAGTAGCCCAGTATCCCGATGATACTCTCTTCTATTTCTCTTCTTGGACCTATGGTTACGAGGATGTTTGGATCGCATTGGCCAAGGCCCTTGGTACTCAGGTACATTCCTCACCTGACTTCCTCCCTTTCGGTCGGTGTTGATATTGTCATGCAGATACATGTCGACGACTACAAGATGAAGGTCTACGAGTCACTTCGAGTCAAACACGATAATGATTTTATCCACTTGAGTCCTGAAGCTCCAGCTTTGACTGGCTTCTCCTGCGGAAATCGCTTCCACCCTGGCTGCTTAACTCGAGATCCAAATGTCCGACTACACAGCTGCGAAAAGGGCTCTGGCTGCCCGACCATGCAAAATACGGCGACCAGAAACGTAGTCTGGATCACACCTATCGTTGCTCACCTTCGCAATAATGATGACATGGTCGAGGTGGGCATCGGTGGTGGAGCCGGAGATCTGGAAGATGCCGACCAACTGGTTTTGACCTCTGAAGACCTCGGTCATTGGTTGGAGAGGTAGGAAGTCCCGCTGCTGAATATTCATCCAGAATGCTGACAGAACCATGCAGGATAGCGGCGGACCAAGACAGTCCTGAAGACACCAAACTTCTGCTGCATACTTTCCTGACGAGTGCAATAACAGCCAGACATCCTCTTGTACTTAACATTCCAGAAAGCACTGGATCAACTGAAACCAATGACCTGCTTACCGTATATCGGTCCCTCGTTGCCGCAGCGGAGGAGAACCGAGGGCACAGGTCTTCTACCACATTGAGCAATCGGATAAGATTTCCCTATTCTCGCCACTCCTCATACGGCGAGTTGTGTCACTTAGTCTCAGCTTTCAAACCGAAGGATATCTGGCCGTGCACGGTTGATACCATTCGCTGGATTAAACGAGGTAGGAACATTGACTGTTGTGATCTTCAACTTCTTTGAGCTGACGCTTGATCCAGGGATCACCATCGAGGGACTGTTTGGCGACCACTGCGCGGACAACATCTTCGACCATGACAAGCATATGGCTCAGTTGGCCTCAGAGTTGGGAATTGAGGACAATGAGGAACATGAGACCCAGATTTCTGCGGAATCACGCATTCGGTCATCCCCAGCCGCCGAGATGTCATCTCCCGCAGCTAAAATACTTTCCGCCGCCCAAGACAGAGCCCATGAGCAACTATCTCACCACGATGAGAGTGCAGAACCCAGCCAAGCAAGTACGGCTTCTGAACACCATGAAGATAATGGGAGTAGGAATGAGTCTAGTGGCGATCACTGCACCACTCATGAACATCAGGTCATAGATCTCACCCTCGAAGAATCGGAGGGCAGTCAAGATCCGGCGGCGCAGGAAACACGGAGCCAGTTGCTAAAAAGGAGCTTCGAGAGCTTCGCAGAGGCTGCTGGACCTGTTGAGAGAACAAGGACGCGGGATGAGACTCTAGACGAAGATGACAGCCACCTCCTTGACTCGCAGGAGACTTCCATCTCGGCCTGCGCGCTGGAGACGCGTCGCATTGCCTTCAACTCGGTGCTTCACGAGTCCAACTCTGGTCAGTGGGCGGGTCTCCTGTGCACGACGAATAACCACGTGCGCGAAGAAAGCGAGTTGGGCGAAGAATGATGCTCGTGCCGACATGGATAGCCGGGCCATTGCCTTGGTCGCCTCGGCATCTCCCGAGCGCGTGCGATGCGACCCCCCCGCAGCGCCGAAAAGGCTTGGCATCTGTCATTGCCAGCCTCAATGCAGCTTTGATGGCGGGGACCACGGAGCCGCTGTCCTGGCTGTGGAGAAGGCCTGTCACTAAAAGTCCGGGGCCTGGCGGGCCTCCATTGGATCGCTACAAGCCGTGCGGATTGACCTTTACCGGCTTGGATCATTCCACCGAGCTCTGCTGATCACGAGGCACTTCTCGGTGCAAGCCTGCCGTTTTGGCGCCGGAGACGTGTCCAACGCTCGCGCAGATTGGGTGTGTTATTGCTCTGCAGGAACCATGCTCGTTTATCCGACACGATTTCCGCCACGAGTCACAGCCGTCTGCCATTCACCGCAGCCATTATAGCTTGAATCATGAGGATCGCCTAAATGTAACCTTAATATTACTGCGGCCCGCCTCTAGTGGTCACGATATCTGGTGGAGTTTACAAGAAGGTCAAAGGCGTGCTGCTTGTCCCGCTCGTGATTTTAAACCCCCGAGGTTGCCTGCTTGCATTCCTGCGTTCCGCCCATCAGTCCCTGTAGATCGATGTGTGTTTCCCCCAGACGACACGCGACAATGCCCTCAATACTGAAGACCGTCGGCGCAGCACTGCTGCTTGCCTCTACCTCCCTGGCACTGGTTGCGCGCAGCCCACAACACCTGGATCTCAGGGCTCTCGGGCTACCAGAACGACGGGCTGACCCCAACCTGACGGGTTACCTGGGTGCCTTTTTCCTCGGGGACGAGCCCGATGTGTATTTCTACCTGAGCAATGGGAACGACGCGATCTCATTTAGCGCGCTCAACGGGGGCAAGGCGGTGATCGTGCCTACCAAGGGGACTGGCGGCGTCCGCGACCCGGCAATAGTGCCTGGCGGCGGAGCTGAGGCCGGCAAGAAGTGGTATATCGTCGGGACGGATCTGGACATCGGAAAGGTGTGTTTTACTGTGCCCCACGCGCTGCGGCTTGACACGAGCACTGAAATGATACTGACTGGGTTGCAGACGACTTGGGATGCGGCCCAGAGGACCGGCTCGCGCGGCATCTTCGTGTGGGAGAGCACTGATCTGATCAACTGGAAGAACGAGCGGCTCGTCCAGGTCGAGGATCAGACTGCCGGCATGGTCTGGGCCCCCGAGGCGATCTGGGATGCCAACAAGGGCCAGTACCTGGTCCACTGGGCCTCCAAGTTCTATGCGGCGTCTGACACGGCCCACACCGGCACCCCGTCGAATATCAAGATCCGCTTTGCATGTAAGCAATATTCCCCTCTGTACCACATGTCGAGCAACAAGGCTCGGTGTATTTGCACCGCTCAATGCGTAACGCTCGCCGTGCTCGCACAGCGAGACAGGTCCAGCCGTGCGTCCGAGTAATATGCATACTGATTCAAACCAACAGACACGAGCGACTTCAAGACCTTCAGCGCACCAGGAACCTACATCGACAAGGCCCCAACCAACATCATCGACCTCAACATCCTGCCCTACGGCAGCAGCGAGCCCAACGCCTACCTCCGCTTCCTCAAGGACGAGACGCTCAAGAACGTCTTCGTCGAGTACTCGACGACGGGGCTGAACGGCACCTGGACCCGCCCCGGCGGCGACGGCGCCTACATCCGCACGCAGACCGAGGGCCCGGCCTCGTACTGGGACAACAAGGCCGCGGGCAGGGTGAACCTACTCGTCGACTACTACGGCGGCAACGGCTACGCGCCGGTCTACACCACGAACCCGAGGAGCAACAGCGGCTGGGCTAATGCTAGCACTGCGAACTTCCCCGGCGGCCTGAGGCACGGCGCTGTGCTGCCTATCACCGCGGCGCAGTACAGTGCTCTCAGCGCAGCGAAGTGGTCGTAGTTGGAACTGCCAGGGGGTCTGGCGAGCAGTGCGTGGGCTTATCGGGCTTCTCACGCATGTACTGGTAATCGGGGACACTGTGTCTGGGTGTATGGAGTATTATTTAGTTGTAAATATTTGAACGCTCTCGTACACATGTCCCTCCTTTGAATAATACATAGTGATTAATCCGTTGACAGTCGTGCTATCATTCATCCTCCCGCAGGCTTAGTTACCGCCGGGGATCTTCTCGTTGACCTTCTTGTTGATGGAGTTGCTGATAGTGCTGTTGGCTGACGAGGGGATGCCGGCCTTGCTGGTCGAGCTGCTGACCTCTGTTGTTGGACAAGTTAGCGTGCAGGAAGTGACAAAACGATCGGCGCGGCTGTTGGCGACGGATTGATGGGGGGGGGGGGAGTGGTTTCATACGCTGGTTGACGGCATTGTCGGCTGAGCGCTCGAAGCTGTTGCCGGGCTGGGCGTCCTTGCCGAGCTTGTTTTGAGCGGCGTTCTTGAGGGAGTCCATGATGTTGGATTTGTGTTTGGCGACTGTTGACGGAATGTGCAAATGAGTTTGTAGCTGGAGTTGTGGATTGGAGTAGGCTTGTGAGTCTGATTATGCTGAGTATCAATTACTTGCTCGAGAGGCTAGCATTTTGGATTCTTATATAGATCTACGAATGGTTGCCATTTTTCTCGTCACATTGAGAGCAAGTTGAATGGATACCTCAGTATGCTGTCATCCGGCTTCCGTCATTGTGCGCAAAACCCCAATCCACTTTTTTCTGGTCAAGACGGCCGCTGCGTTGCTGCACCTTTGGTTTTTCGGTATCACTCTGTGGCAACATGACCATTTCTTGTAAGTATCAAGGCAGTGCATGCAAGACTTGGGGTGAGGGGATACGTCACAGTCATATGCGAGAAGTAATTTCAACCCTGAGATGACATCAAACGACCCGCGCGAGCCCTGGTATGCTGTCGCGGCTCTGCAAGCCATATGAAATCATTGTGGGTCTCACGGCTAGAAGTGCCGACTTCACCCAAAAGGTATCTCCATTATGACGAACAAGTTTACGCATCAAGAATTTGCCTGCTTGATATAAACTAGATCCTCAAAAGGTGTATCGAGGTTATAGGTTTACGTTAAATCTTGAGGTAGCGATCAAGGGGTCTGGCAGAAACATTGTGCATTGTGCCGTGGTTCCGAGAATGTGGTTACTACTGGCCTGCCAGAGTTTTCGATACCTAGGTAGCCACGGTTGCTCAAAATGTAGAATGCACCATCTATCTCTTTCAGCTTCAACTGTACCTAGGTACCTAGGTAGGTAATATTGTGATAAGAGGTGTGAACTAGCATATTACAAGTAACGTCCCCAGCCCACATTCTAACTATCCCCTAATTCCAACTACCTCCTCCTTTAACTACCCCTTTACTTTAACTCTATCTATATTATTACTACTATTTTATCCTCCTTAATAATTAAAGTTTTTAATTAATTATTTTTATTATTTTCTTTAAATATTTATTTAACCTTAATTTAAGTCTATTAAATTACTTTAATATTTATAAATAATTTATTAAAATTAAATTAAACCTTTTTTTAAATTAATCTATTAACTTTTAATTAATATTTTAATTTTTAAATTTTTTATAAATATTATTAAATTAATATCTTTTAATCTTAATTCTTTAAAATTTTATAAAAGAAATTATTATATAAAATTTAAATATTTATTATAAATATATTTAATTACTATATTATATAACTTTTATAATTATTTAAAGGTTATAAAATAATTCTTTAAAGTTAATAAAAATACTATTTAATATAAAAATATATATTATTTTATTTAATAATAATTTTTTATTTTTTATTTTAATAATTTATTAATTTGTAATAAAATATATATTAAAGACTTTATATTTAAAAATAATTATAAATTAATTATTTATTATTTAAATTAAATATTTAATTTTATAAAAGTTTTAATATATACTTTATAATAATAATAAAAACCTTTTTTATAATTATTAATAAAAATTATAATTACTTTAATATTATAAATACTTTTAAAAATAGTTTTAAATAAATTAAAAATTAATATATTAAAAATTAAAATATATATAAATTAATAATTAATAAAAATAATATAAATATTATTTAAAAATATTTTTATATAAAGTTAATTATAATATATATATATAGTATTTATTAATTATAAAAGGTATTATTTAAATAAATCTTTTAATATAGTTTAAAAGAAAAACTTTTTTAATTACTTAATTATAATAGAGTTTTTATTTAATTTTTTTATTATTATAAACTATTAGTTTATATAATTTTTAAAAATTATAAAAACTACTATTATTATATATTTAATCCTTTAAAATAAAAAAGTTTAAAAACTTATTTATAATAGATATATATTTTATAAAAAAGTTTATATATATAAATTAAAATTCTTTTAAAATAATTTATTATTTTTAAATAATTAATTATAAATATTATTTTAAATTTTTTATTAATTTTTTATTAATATTTTAATAATTATTTAGTTTAATAGTTTTTATAATAAATAGTTATATTAAATTAAACTATATAAATATATTCTTTTTATTATTATTTTTAATTATTTTATTTTAATTTATTAATATTTATAATTTTTAAAAATAAAATAATAAATTAAAAAATCTTTAATTATTTTTTAATAAAAATATTAAAAAAGAAATTATTTAGCTTATTAAAGTTTATATTTCTTAATAAATTAAAATATACTTTAAACTATTTTAATTAATTAAAATAATATTAATTAATTTTTAAATATTAAAAAATTAATAAAATTTATAAATAATAAATTTATTTTATATATTAAAAATAATTATAAAATATAATATATAAAATATATTAAATTTTAAAAACTTTTTATATAAATATTTTATTCCTAATTATTATAAATATATTATAGATTTTTTTTTATATTTCTTTATAGTAATTAGAATAATATTTAAAGAAAGTTTAATAATTAAAAAAAAATTCCTTATAAAGTTATAGGGGGGTATAGATAAAGTAGGGATAAATGTGTATATATATAAATATAGGTATAGGGTAGTTGGATTTAGGGAACTATTAGAATGTGGGCTGGGGACGTTAGGTATTCTCTATGAAATAGCGGCATTAAGTGGTGTGAAATGATAGCATCCCTTCATACGGGAAATTTGGTATCGACCAGCAGATCTTGATTGACAGATGGATTATCAAACTGTTCGAACACTACGAATATAAATACTCGATTAAGCACTTCGCACAGGACGACCTATGCCAGAAGGATTAGGAAAGACAAGATGAAGGCCAACTGATCGGTTGCTCAAAGAATCCATTGTAGTAGTGGGGGTTGCGTAACATACAGGCACCTTCCTTCAGATTGACAGGGTACATAGGTACCTCTCCTAACTGTCAATCGACTCGCTGCGATGGGAATGCGGGGACTGGTACAGCCTAGATCTGGAATTTGTCCCGTCATTTTAGAACTCGGGAATTGTTCCCGAGCTCAAAGCGATACTGTCATTCTTTGGTTCTCATTCCGTGACGGAGTGATACTCAGTCACAGACACATGCTGCGTTCTCTACCGAGGTGGTGATGCTGGCCCCGTGCTGGCAGATACACAATCGTGTCCAGCCCGACCTTGCCAGACACGAAGAATTGCCCCTGGCACAAATAATATTTGCTAATAGAATTATTCGGTTCGTACCGCAGTGTTCGAGGCCCTCTTAACCGCCGAGCAACATGCATGCTTGGTGTGTCAGACTAACAGCTTCCCGCTTATCAAAGCTGGGTGATAACCTTGGAACTAAGGGTACCAGTCTATATAGGAATGCAAGTGCCTTGTTTGCCACTGGTTGGATATCTTCCGAGTGTAGTGCTTGCACGTGGAGTATACCTGTCGACATATAGTGTGATTGTGCCCGTATTAGCGCCTGAGGCAATATTTTGTCGAAAAGCTTAGATATTGTTCATCTGCAGGTTATTGCTTTTCTTCGGCTCAGCCACAATCCGTATAAACTCAATAGACTTGTAAAAGTGGCCTCATTTGCCCTCCTCGCAAGACGAAACAACGGTGCAGCTTGGAGCTCATGGCTGAGTTTGAAGAATCGACTTCTCGATGCCTGATGTGCTGGCAGTCGTATTCTCAACAAAAGCATAAAATTTCCTCATGTAATACGAGCGAGAGCGAACACGGAAAAAGTTGCACACGAGCATAACCAGCCTTACAATGTGTGGCCCTTACCCTTGAGGCTCCTCTAGGAAAAAGACCCCTGCCCGTGAGGCATCACATCGTAGATCACTAAGATTACAAGAGCCATCCCGGATGCAAATGTGCTCACGGAGCTGATACCGTACCAGAATCGCATTCTCTCGCTTGAAAGCCGTGGCGTCCTCGAACACCTGAAGGGAAAGGATAGTCCCGGTGGAAGGCGCCGGGCCGTCATCGACTCGGGACGAGTCCTCAACACATCACACCCAGTGACCAAGAGAGTCCATCGTGGGCAAGGTCGGACCAGGAAAGGCGGCGCCAGCGCACGAATCACCGCATGACACGGCACGGAAACGACCAGGGCCGCCCGGTGTCTGGGGCGGCTTGGCAAGGTTCCCGGTCCATGCGAATCCAGGCCGGAGCGCGATACTTTACAACTAAAGAACGCGGAAAGGTGCGGCGTGGTCGTGGGGGAGGCGAGAAAATTGAATTGGACCCAAGAAGGAGAATAAAAGGGCCCAGACAGATGCAGCTCTGTTGCCGGTCCGCGACCTTGTCGCCCGTGACGGCGCGGAACATTGCGACGCGGCGAGGTCGGGGTTAGATTGGGTCACCGTCCGAAGTTTTATTAGGCGAGCCAAGCCTGATCCACGGCGGCCTTGTTCGCTCGCCTGTTCGCTTGCGGCGGTGGCTGTCTGCATTGACCGTGTTTGAGCAAATCGGGAGGAACTCTAGGCCACATTTCGCACCTTTTGTCCTGGGTTGTGCCTGGGTTCGCTGGGCCCCGTGCATGGCGAGACTGGCAGGACTGGACGATTTCGACATTCCGTGCTGCAGATCAGCTGGCGGATGACGTCTTCCTGCACGAGGTGCAGCATGAGAACGTGCACAGTCGCCTTGGACCCTGATAGAGTTATCATGCTCTCCAGAACAAAAGGTCTGGTGCTTACGATACGGCCGTCTCACGATGCTCAAGTGCTGGGTACGAGGCATCACCGCCGGCTCCCTCCCGAGGTCTGTCCCTGGGGGCTGGGCCGCGCCGACGAGGAACGCAACAACGTGTGCACATGTAGCCGACTCGCTAGCCCCGTTAACCCTCTATGGTCAATCATGCATACTAGCCCAATCGTCCAGCCCCATGTGCAAGCGTCAGTGGCAGTGTTGACTTGTTAGAGTCGGCGCGTGCTGCATATATGCCAAGGATATATGCCGGGCTGGGATCCCCCGTAGTAAGGCTGCCATCACAAGAGACCGGCGCCCAGCCACGGCCAGTTCTCTGAGGGAAATGCCTGGTTCTTTTAGCAGAAGGCAACACGCCTGTGTCACCTCAGGCCTTGTTATAATGTCCTGGCTGGTGCCGCTCCGTTGCGGTGTGCTCGAGCGGTATCCCGTCTTCGGCCTCCTCATCCGTTTCTTTCTCCACCCATGGGTCCACAGCCTCTGAGCGATTCCAGATCACCGAGCAGGTGATAAAGCCAGTAAACATGGCGAGGGGAGCAAAGAACGTCCTGCAGACCTGGTGGTCGAATGTCTCCAAGCCGAACTTTCGGGAGACATCCGAGGACGCGCCCGGCCTGCCGCTGAGCAACTATACCACATCTGAACGCCAGACGCCTCCCGGAGTCCGCCTCCCGGACAAGAGGGTGCCGAGCTCACACCTGACTCTGCACCAGTTCTTGTATATCGCCGGCTCGCATGGCATCGGCGCCCTGATCATCTCGGGCGGGATCAACTTTGCCCTCGCCTATGGTGAGTCTATTCTACCGAGCCTCTGCACCATCCCCGTAATGCCTGACTGCTCGTGAAGGAAGCTGACGGTACCAACAGCCATGTACACCACAACGGATGACCCAATAAGGCTATGGCAGTTCCCCAACACGCTGGCTGGTGACACGGCCGTGACCATCATCGTGCAGTGCCTGATGACATGGATGATCGAGATGTTCATCGTGAACCGGGACCTGCGCAAGGGCAACATCCAGCCGATAGGCTTCATCTCGGAGCCCAGCTCGACGGAGCGCCTGAGCCGCTGCATCCGCTGGTTCATGCTGCTCGACCAGTCGAAGCAGCTGCGCAAGCGGCGGGGGAGCATAAAGCGCAAGGCGCTGTACGTGCTCGCGCAGGCCGTCCGGGCCCTCATGGTGGCCTTCGTCAGCTTCTGCATCCTGTTCGGCCCGTCCGTCGGGATCCTGACCGCCGTCGGGTCCAAGGTCGGCGCTGGCGGCGATTGGGTCTACGCCTCGCGTTGGGCACCAGAGATCTTCAAGCTGGTCCTCGGCGGGGTGCTGGCGGTCATGACGACGCCGTTTTTTGCCATGTTCTGGATGGTCAAGTGCGGTTGGAACGGGGGCATCCACGAGGCTGTTATGATTAACGGGAACGAGTACAAGTAATGAGAGACGTCATGGGACATGACGGGAACAGGACGAAATTACGACGGAATGAGACGTGAACATGACACGACCTCACAATACGACAGAACGACATGATAGAATCGATTACCTTTCCTCCTCCACACAGCACGAAACCATGATGGAAAACTTTTCCGAGCACGGGGGGTCGAGCGGAAATGAACGGCGTCGTAACGGCAACCGTGGGGGATGGAACCACAGCATTGAACATGCCCGCGAGCCCGGGTTGCGGGCGACGCGGGCCGGCGCGGTTACGGCGTCGACGTTTTGACGTTTTATGACCCTTACTCTTTTGTTCCAAGACAGGGCCCGGGGAATTCGCCCGGCTCACGTTGGACATCTGCCGGTGGTTGGTCTCGCAGGCTCGAGTCGGACCAGGCCCGGTCACGGCTGCCTTGGCGTGTCGTGATGGCGAACTCTGACACCCACCGTTGGCGAAGCCTATGATCATATTCAGCGAGTCGCATCTGAGCTTGCAGGTAGAGCGAGAGGAAGGGGCTTTGAAGAGACAGGGAGAGAACAGGAACAAACCGGGGAGAGCATCCACAATTCATGTCACGGGTCATGCTCGCTGAGCGGGGGGAGATACTAGACTTTAGCTTATCACGACCGAAGAGAATGAGGGCATCCAGCTTGCCGATCCTCACAGTCCTCATCCCCGCCTTTGTTAGCCCACATGCCCCTGACATGAGATGGTCGGGTTCCTTGATAGAGCCAGGTCCTGTGACGCTTGGCTGGCGCGGAAGATAGCCCAGTTTGAGGATTCGAGCTGTCGAGTTGGCAACGACCCAGTTGCCAGCCCTCTGCAGGTTCTTGGTTCTTCAAGTGGCTGGTGGCTGGACGAGCAGGGGAGTTCTTAGTCGTGCTCGGACGGGGTTCATGTTGGTGCTTGCAGCAACGAGGTTGCATTAGCAGCAACGGTTTGCGACTCGATGAGGGCAACATGGCCGCGGGAAGAGCGTCCCTTGCACTAGGCCGCAGCCCCGCCGCTCCGCAATTGGCTACAGGCCCGCAGTTGGAGGGCTGGAGGGTTGCCCACAGCCCCGTAGCGCGCTCTCCCCCTGCAGTTCTCGTCTGTTTCGTTTCAAGACCCGTCCTCTCCCCTCACCTGCTGCACAAGATACGCACAAGCTTCAGCAGTGAGACAGATTCCCGCATACCTCCCGCATACTTTCATGTATGGACAGGCTGACGGGCAGAATCTGGCCCGGGCAGAGACGGACATTGGACGAAAGATGGGCAAGATCCGTTGGGCGCACAGACGGGTGATAAGATGCGGGATGTGGTATTGTGACAGAAGTCGAGGGGGGTCGCTTCTGGGGCCTGCATATGCGGTCAGTGCTCTGCATATTATTGGCGCAGGCTGCGGCAGAAGCTCAACGAACTGTCCGAACGAGAAGGCCATCTTGGTTTTTTAACCCAGTTCTCGCAAGCCTCGCTCGGATGGTCTCCACAATGTTGACGCCACATGGGACGGGCCCTGGAATGATTCAATAGTTAGTTGTGTTGTGATATAAGTCGGCATGGTGGACGACCTGCCAGTCAGCCACCTGCGCCGTCTGCTTTTGATCCAACTATCCCGGCTCTTGGACTGCTGTACTGATCTTCACCATTGTGCCACCGTCTTCACCCTCCTTCGGCCTGACATCAACCCTTGACGTCTCATACCGCTTCTTGTCTCAGAAACGCCGCCTGTGTTTCTTCACCGTTGACGATATCACCCGTAGTCAAGCCTCTCGGCCTAATCAATACCCACCCTTCATCGCCGGCGCTCTAGCCTACCATGGTTCGTGTGTGGCTGCGCCACCTCTTCGGAGAAACGAGGAAAAAGTCGCTACCAAAGTAATAATACCACCCCCATATGTCTATTGATCGCGGGCCGTCTTGCCATCGGGCATCCGGTAGCCGGGTCTGTCCATCGGAGCACATTAGCTAACGCCACATAGATCGAGCGATCCAACCTTCTCACCTGTATTTGAACAGCCTGTCGTCAACTCAACGCCCATGGTAGGAGACCCCCTCAGAATTGATCCATGCACCCAAACACATCATAATACTGACTGTGAAACAACAGTGGCGCTCAAGCCTTCGCCTGGCAAATCTACCAACCCGCGTCGACTACGACGATGAGCAGGACGAGGACGAGGAGTATGACGAGGTAGCCGACTTTCAACCAATGTGGTATTACAAGACATCACCCCACCCGCCAGGCTGTGATTGCTGCATCGAGGGCACAGGCTTCCCGCGGCCGCCCTCGTCGGTCCTCAGCGGCTCAGATTATGCCGGCCACCGCCGCAAGACATCCCGGGCCTCAACACACATATCGACCGCCTCGGCCGACAGTGAGCGCTCCAGCTCCAGCCCGGGCATAGTCAAAGACCATATCGCCGTCCCTGCACCTGCACCTGACACAAACGTCCGGCTGCGCCGTTCCGTGAGCTCGTTCGGCCTCAGGATGAAGAAGAGCATGGGCTCCCTGAACAGGAGGCCGAGCGGGATGCTGCGGTGAATGTGATCCGAGTCTTGCATGGACTGGCTGCTGATGTGAAAATGAGTCAATGTATGAGATGTATGACCACGCCCATGGACACGATTGCATTAGAGGGGACGGCAAAAGAAAGGTAAAAAGATTTGGGCCGGTTGTGATGATAACGAATTGTATGAGACACGTAAACGCTCAAGACCCAGCGTTTAAAAAAACATACGATGTCGATAACGATGGTTAAATTACGATAGGTGATGGTGCCCCTTAGCCTTGTCTGCGCGTCGCAAGGCTAAGCCTGAGGCTACACGCACTTATCGTATTTTAACCATTGTTGTAGACACCGTATGTTTTTTAAACGCGGGGTCTTGAGGGTTTACCACCATGGGTATGAAGGCGCTATGTATGTCCTCGGACGTGTGCGGAATAGAAGCGGCAAGAGTTTCTGGGGCTGAAATTGTAAATATTGGAGATTAGGATGAGGTATATTACACATTTCCCCAGAGTTGGGTAGGAGAATGAGAGACACATACGCATCGGTGTTCCCTACCACGAAGTAACTGACCACGAGATAACTGTCAACTTGGTTGTGGTCGCATAGTTCCTATCTGCACTGTGAGTCTAATGTGTTAGATGTAAATCGATAATTGGAAATGGAAAGATCAAAGCGAGGACAAAGGATATCTCATAGGCGTTGTGCCAACTCTGATCTAGTGAGACTTGTAGTCGTACAGGCATATTCACACGATACTGTCTTTAGTATCGACAGGACGACGATTCCGATGTTGCGAGTTGTTTGTTGCCATCTAGGAAAAAACAAAGGGATTCTGGATCTGAACTTATTAGTTGCTTTGTGAAGCCAACCCAACGCCAGTCGGTTCCGCGCCCTGGCCAGTGAAGTTTGAATAAATCCGCGAAGTGAGCATCGCGAAAGAAGGAAACTGAGGACTGAAAAACTCTCGGAGAAAGTTGGTAGCAGTTTTTCGGCTGCTGCCGTGAAGCCCAAGTGACGTCTCATCGCTCAGAAATTAGTCGCTGACGGCAATGGCGGCTGGGAGCCGCCGCACACATCAAGACAAAATTACAGACTGCTCTGCTATCGCAGCGCTATCGCAGACCGTTTTTCTTCTCCATGATGCTGACATCATAATGTGGGTGGGGCAGGATCATTGATATGATCCGCCCATGAAGGACCAACCCTTCCAAGGTTCCGAGGTTTTGAGCCGCGCCAGTCCTGTAATCTTGTCCCGCTCCTGGACCCCTGTATCCTCAAACAAAACGCCCCTCTCTCATGCTCGCTGCCATCCAGGAGCTCAACGATAACTGCATTGTTCCTAGCTGTGTTGACCCTCTCTAGTAGCAACCCGGTCTAGGTGTTTCAAGGCCGGGCAACGCCCGAAATGACGGCCAGAGCTTACTTACCTTAGGGCCGGGTCGCGTGGGACCCAGAAAACAGTTTTTCCGCGTGTGCAAGGCAAAACGAGGCCCACTGCATTAATTAAATGTTCACTCACCGGTCCAGTCCCGGCCGATAGCCCCTTTAGCCCCTGGGCGAATCGCCCGAGATCGTCATCTCCATCAATGTTCCGTTGCCAAGCTTCGTACCAAGCCTGTCGCCAAGAGATATCCCCAGATTTCGTAGATCTTGATGTCTTGGCGGTGCTTGATGCCCTCAATACGATTTTCAATGTCCGTTTGAGAAGGGGTCACTTTCAAAATCCTGAACGAGGGGTGAGTATTGGTAATCCGGCAGGTTCTAGTCAGTACCTCGACAGGAACATGACCGAGGAACCCCTATTCATGTGCCCTTCTCGCCCCGGTTAGACTCGTAAGCATTCATTACGCTGAAACAGGCACGCAGGAAACAATTGCCCGAGTGGGCGCCCGAATTCGCGCCGGCCAAGATGACTGCGCTACTGAGTACGTGTATTGGTGGTGTCTTGAGTCGAATCCGACCCATCCACCTGCATGTCGTCGACTCCATCGCCAGATTCGGTGCCGAATTCCCGTCCCAACATTGAAGCCAGTACTTTTGGGGGGATGAGCCAACACTGCCGTTAGAACCCGCCAGTCCTTTGGCGCGAGGGGGTTGGTGCATGGCCTTTGTGTCTGTATGTGTAACTACATACGAACATACATATAAATCAGTCTCTCACCTCTGTGGTTGTCTGCTTTGCCAAACCACTTCAAAAATCATCATTCCAACATCTTTACCATTCCTTCATTCTTTTGTCGAGGACTTCCTCGTTGACACTCATTCACTTCATTGACTGAAGATACAATTCTTGCCAATCCTTCATCCATTTCCAAAGCTGGTCTGAACTGAACGATATCCTGCAACAACCGTTTGAACACACGAGACAAGATACAACAAAATGTCTTCCGTTGCTGTCAAGGTCCTTGCTGCCATCGTGGCTGGAGCCACTTCAGTTGCCGCCCACGGTCATGTCACCGGTATCAATGTGGCCGGCACCTGGTACGAAGGCTATGACCCGACTTCCTTCCCTTACATGACGGACCCTCCGACCGTCGTAGGCTGGACCGCCTCCGACACAGACAACGGCTTCGTGGCCCCGGACGCCTACGCCTCAGGGGATATCATCTGCCACAAGTCTGCCACCAATGCCAAGGGCTACGCGACAGCCAAGGCCGGCGATACCATCGAGGTCTACTGGAACACCTGGCCCACCTCCCACAAGGGCCCCGTCATCGACTACCTGGCCAAGTGCGCCGGCGACGACTGCACGACGGCGGACAAGACGGCGCTCGAGTTCTTCAAGATCGACGCTGTGGGGCTGGTCTCGGCCTCTGCCGGCACATGGGGTGCGGACGAGCTGATCAGCAACAACAACTCGTGGGTCCTGCAGATCCCGCCGACCCTCGCGTCGGGCAACTACGTCCTGCGCCACGAGATCATCGCGCTGCACTCCGCCAACAACGCAGACGGAGCCCAGAACTACCCGCAGTGCTTCAACCTCGCCATCACTGGCACGGGTGACCTCCAGCCCTCGGGGACGCTGGGCGAGGCCCTTTACAAGGAGAGCGATGCCGGGATCTCGGTGAACATCTACAACTCCCTCACGAGCTATGACATCCCCGGTCCAGCCCAGATTGCCGCGGGGACGAACCTGCCCCAGTCCGCCATCCCGATCACTGCCAGTGCCAGCGCCGTCACTAGTAAGGCCCCAGTCTCCAATCACTGATGCCTGTTTGTTTACTGACTCTCAAAAGGCCTCTCCGGAGCTACAGGCGCTGCTGCGGCGACTTCGTCGGCTGCTCAGGCCACCTCAACCGGCGATGCCCCAGCCTCTGGTGCCCCGGCCCAGACGCCGTCTGCTGCGGCCCCAACTGGCGCGCCTGCGGCCTCCCAGACAAGCTCAGCTTCTGCGTAAGTACCCCGAGAGCACTCATTGTAGCAGTACGCGATTTCGCTAACAACTTCTGTGTAAAGTGCCGCTACGTCTGCTGCCAAGTCCTGCAAGAAGCGTCGCCACGCCCGCGACGTCTCGAGGCTCTAGGTGGCTCTCGAATGCGCCCATTGGAAATGATCGGTGATGGATATTCAATTCGGTGATTACTGAGCAACCTTGGTGGCTCTGTAGTCGCAAATGTATGAATAGACGCTTTAAACTATACCCTACATAGATTTGAGATATACTCTTCGGTGTTGATCAGATTCGTAGTACTCTTCAAGTTCTCAATCAATGCCCACGCAGGGCATGGGATCTTTCCACTCATGACAGCATCTTGTTGTAGCAAGCGCTTGTGGGCAGAGGAGGTGAGAAGACTGGGTAGTCTTGTAGCATTGAGTTGCAGAACTTAGATGTAAGCAGTCCGCTCCGTCCTTGCTTCTCACCCGTGCAGCTCAGCAATAGATGCCATATTTCCGGTACCTCCAGTCGCATAACCCCTTGCGTAGCCATCGCCATGGCTGGACTGCATTGACGGCGCTACCGACGGCGCCCTCGAGAGATCCGACACCATGCTGAGGTGTCCCGGCGACCCGGGCATGGACAGCAAAGACGGCGTGGCATTCCTATCGAGACCACGTCCGTTAGAGAAGTTCAGGCTGCTGGCCCCGGCTGGGAGCTCGGATATACGCGTAGGCCTGCTGTTGTCGATCGGCACTGCGGGGAGCTCGGACTTGAAGCCGGTATAGCCCGGATACCCCGAGGCCGAAAAGTCGCGCGCCGGCGACGACGGGTCGTAGTATGGATTGCCCATGGTGCTTCCGTACTGCGGCGGTGGCGACTGGGTCATGTCCGGTCCTGGTGCCGCAGGCTGGTATGCTGCCTTCCCCGCTGGCTGCTTCCTGGAGCGCGCCCGCCGGAACGTCACGAACAGGAACGCGAGGAGCGCGATGACTATTGAGCAAGCCGCTGCCACGCCGACGCCGATCCCTGCCTTGGTACCCTTTGACAAGCCTGGGTCGGCGGCGGCCGTTGTGCTCGATGGGGCCGATGGTGGTTCGGTAAATGTTTCTGTCGCCGCCGTGACATGCCCGTCACTCGCCGTGGACGTCGCAGTGGCGCTTCCTCTCGTCGTGGGCGTGTGGCCCGGCTGGAAGCTGATCGTACGCCCAACAGCTGTCGGTAGAGACGCGATCTGGGAGAACCTCTTGGGGCCCGTCAATATCCCGTTGTCCGCGTCTTTGCAGGTACACGCCGCCGGTGGGCCAATCTCGGTCCGTGTTGCTGGCATGGAACAAGTACTCCAGACGACCGAGTTGTCAGTCTCGGAATCTGCGCATTGTACGAGGTTGAGAAGCTGTTGTTGCGATGCACTTTTTCCTGGACAGTTTGGCGATGTGAATTCTTCATCGGTGCAGCCGGCTAGACTGTGATTGTCTGGAATTAGCAAAACAGCAAGAGGTTGAGAACCCGAAATTCAAGGAAGTAAAATGCCAGTTCTCTGGTGCAAAAACATCTTGGACAACACCAATCTACGTGATTGGTTTAAGCGACTGTAAACAAGCTTACTAGGTGGTTGTATCTGCGCATTCTGCCCATTAGTACTGGTAGGATGTATGAAAAAGAATTCTCACTTACATTTTGCGTTAAAGCAAACATTGTATTCTAAGCAGAAGTCGCCTTCCTGGCAACATTGTTGAGTGCCGAATGCAGAATTGCCGCACGGTATAATGTTTGAAGAAGTCTTTCTCCCTATTGCGAAGTAGCAGGTGCCGTTCGAGATCAGCGGGTTGATTTTGCTCATGTTGTCGATCGTTTGTGGAAACGAGTGTGGTCGTCGTCACTAGGAATTTTCTTCATCAGAAAAATCCTGAAGAAAGAAGGCGACAATTTTGGAGCTCGACGGAAAATCGGCAGTCATACATGGCCAAGAGCAGAGTGTTCTCTCTATGGTTGCACTTTGAACGACCGGTCTGTCTCAGTTTGGATGCACAGCAGCGGCGCAGTCGCCAACGGGCCATGCACGTCCACTTGAACCGCTGTTCTGCAACCCCAGGATCCTCTTTGTGGAGAACGTTTGCCAGGACGGCCCCATCAGAGTTCCCACTTCAACGCAGTTGGCGAGAATCCCGGCCAGAAAACCAAGCCGACTGACAACCATTGGCAGGCGCATGCTCAGAGGATCAAGGAAGCTACGATTGTTCCACTATTTTCCTAAATATACACATCCGGTTCCTAGCATGGCTGGCGAGCGCGGCAGTCTTCCCCTCCCTTCACGAAAATACAGTCGTTTGAGGAGCAGGGCTCGCACACCTGCACTTCTGAGAAATGGTCGGCCGGCTGATTCTTATGATTGGTCACCTTGCAACAAGACAATGGCATTGGTGCAGGCCGCCTACTACGGCTCAGCTTGTTTCCAGATCAGAACTCAATGTTCGTCTGTTCTAGGAAATGATTCTCTGGAAGACCTTCTAACCAAACTGGTTTCGTTTGTATTCCACATATGTCCGAAGACACCAAAGTTCTTCCTAAATACATTTTCCTCTGGGTCATCGATCATGAGATCATGTTGTCAAAACACCGGGGAGTTGTGTCAGGCGAACTCGTACGAGAATCGTACGATAGATGCACACTTGTCTGCAGGAAGAAAAAGAATACCCTCACTTGTCACATTCATAGGATACCATAGTAGATTCCTCGGTCAACAGACTGCCCAGGTGACTGGGGACCTTCAGCGTCATGCGAGCCCCAGCACAGGTCTTTCACAACCTTGGGAAGCTTCAAGGCAAACTTTGGGCGTTGAGATATTATTATTATTTCAGGGTATGCTGAGGTCTCTAGTATGCAGATTACTCATCACTTCCAATCTTTTTTCACGCTCAAGGTGTAGAAATACACAAGGACTGGATTCAGATTCGGCATCCTAATGGCATCCTAATGGCATCCAACAGAATACTCCTCCGACGGTCATACCAGGGGCCTAGCCACTTCTTTAGAAGATGGCAATAGCACCAAGGACGAAAGCAGCCAAGCCGCTGACGGAGCCGTACTGGGCCGCACCAGCGGTGACAACGCTGGAGGTGGCGGTCGCCGAGGCACCAGTGGCGCTCGCGCTGCCAGTGGCGCTGGTCGCCATGCTCGTGTGAGAGGCCGACTCCGAGGAGTGGGACTCGGTCGCAGAAGCAGAAGAGGCGGACCCCGAGGCAGAGGCAGAGGCAGAGGCCGAGCTCGCAGCCGACGCCTCAGACGAGGTGGAGGCGGCGGTCGCGCTGGCTGGGGCGGACGCGGCGGAAGAGCCGGAGGAAGAGCCAACGTTGGTGCAGAAGGTCTGGACGGCGGGCAGGACCTGGTCTGAAAAGGAAGCAGTCATGTTAGTTACCGGCGCGGAATAAACACACACAGAGAGGCATTGAAGGACGGGGTTCGGCATACTGAGAGCAACGTCCTGTCCGCAGGCGCTGAGGACGCAGCCGGTGGCAAGGGTGGTCAGCTGGTCGATACGGCCGCAGACGCAAGCCGCGTCGGTGGCCTGGCACTGGCCGTCCTGGCTGATGGCATCCGTCAGGCAGGACCGGGCACACTCGGGGATGCTGGACAGGTCCTGGGCGAAGACGGTGGCGACGAGGCCGGCGGCGAGGAGGGTGACCTTCATATTGGCGGTAGTGACTGGTTGTCTTTCGGAACTCGGTGTCGGGCGGAGATGTGAAAGAAGCGAGTGACCAGTGTAAGCTTGAATCGGCGGGCCTTGATATTGTGGTAAAGAGAACAAAGGGACAGGCACGGGTGGCCGGATCAGGAATACTTCGGGCGTCTTATATAGCTCCATGAGTCGAGCCAACAAGCTTCCCCGGGTTGCCAGGCTCGGCCCAGCCATCGGATTCAGATCTACTTTCGGTGCGCCACGCCCACAATACTGTCCAGCCTAGGAGCTCCGCGGCGTCCTATTCGACTCTCCCCGTCAACAAGCTGTGCCTGGAAGGGCCTGGTTAACCGGGGTTGCTGGACGCCTGCACGGACTTGGCGAACTGCAATGTTGCCTTGCAGCTTCTCCAAGGATCGAGCTCTGGCTAAAGCTGCACGCCAAGGAAGACCCCAGGGGAGCCAGCGCCGACATCTGGGGTAAAGGGGCCAGAAGGGTGTACGGATTTCCTGGAACGTAACATCCCTCCTTCCGCCACACTGGGGTAATGCTAGCAAGTACCGTCACATGTGACGAAACTGTTACCAATAGTTTCGATCTTTTGCAGGGCCGTCTGTTGTGGCCAGGGACGGAGGTCGTGTCGACTGAAGCAGCCTGGCAGCCCGTCGACGACAGAGAGCGAGCTGAATGGGCTCCCGGAAGAGCGGGAGAGCCAACCTGTGAACGGCATAGTGGCACCTGGGGGTTGACAGCGGATAACGAGAGAGGGACCCCGAGTCAGTTGACATGGCGTGAAAAGCTAATTGGTAAAAGCGGTTGTGGGCGGGAAATTGCCCGCCTGCACGTGTTGCGGAGCATATCACGATAACAAGATGCTCGTGTCTCTTAATTTCCTCGACTACGCCGTCATGATCTCCACGGTGATTGTCTTCAATGCCCGCTCCAGCTCGGCCCTCGCTTCATCAACCTATTACACACTTCCGCTCCAAAAGGCGTTGTGGCGTCAGGAAAACAATCCCCAATCGGCATGACAGCCGTCACTTGTGTCTGATCCCGCCCCGGCGCTTGCGCTACTACGATGATCGACTCTTGGCATGGCCGAAAACATCTCATTGGGTTTGGGGGGAAATGAGATGTCCGTCGTCCCATGGTCATTTCCGTCCCCACCGCTGACCAAAAACTGGGACCGACTCCCGGCCCCTCGTCATCCTGTGACTGCAACAAAAAGGCCTCGCATTGCATCGCACAAGGACAGACCCCATCGTCAAGGGAGCCGCCCAGCCAGCCCAGCCCGTTGTGTTCCCACACAATAAGGTTAAGTTCGCGGGTGCCTACAGTAGACTGCCCAGCTGCCCCGTTTCCTCGGCCTTATCTAATTCGCCGCGTTGGTTCCCTCTCCTTCCAGGCTTTCCGATGGCTGGCTGGCCTTGCACCGGGAATTATGAGGTCCCTTTTGATCAAGCATTCTATCAACAATGCCAATTTCATCTTTATTTTACATACGAGCACTGTGCGTCACTGAAGAGCGCCGTCCTTGAGAACCTCAATGCAGTGATCAGACCGTCTACCCATGAATACGCGGTGCTTGAACGCGCTCGCCACGTCAACTGCAGCGGGTATAAGCCAACCGGGTCATACCTAGGTACTGATGGATGAATTGAAGCCTCGACCGGCCTTACCGAAGCAGTGGAATCGCCGGACAGAGACTTGACAGCCCATGTATTTTCCGTCTTTTACCAATGTTCTTCTGCGGAACGTCCTGTCAAAGATCGTCTGGCATGCATCGACTATCAAATCCGAGCCAGCCCTGGGGTGCGGCACGATGCCGCGGCACGGAATTTGTGTCATCCCTGGAGCCGCAGAATTAAACATTCCGATCCTTCGACGCAGGCGGCAGTCGGCCACGCCTGTTGTTCTCGGCAGCTGCAAGCATCGAGATTTGCTAAATGCTAGTGTTGAAACCATCCATTCATCAGCTTAATCATAGTGGGGAAGAATGTTCTCGCATGTTTTCGCGCACGCCCATTCCTTGCAAGTGCTTCAAGTCGAGAGATAGGCTCGCATGTTATATTGAGCCAGGATATAATTAAACAGGAAGAACTTAGATACTACCAAGATGAAGTCGAAGCAATCTGACTTTTGCGGATGGAACACTTCCAGATGACTACTGTATAGACACAGTGTGATGATAAAGTTTTGGTCAATCTAGCCCAGGGAATAGTATCATTTTCAAGTGGGTATATGCGGTATACCGTCTCCCAATAACGGCCAAATGTCAGTGGGTCCCGGAGTCCACGAGCTTACAAAAACTCATAGGCGGGCTACAGGGTCACCTGGGCACCCGTGGAAGGTTCAACATCCATGCTGCCCAGGTGTGCAGACTCACAATATCGCGTACAGGCATCACGGAAGGCATCAAACGCGGCCCGCACTCATGTACTTCAGCTGCATGGCATATACTTCTGAACAAGCTCACGTGTAAATAAATATAGCTCTTGTTGAACCCACTTCGGCCAGCTGACAAGCAAGGGGTCAAAGTTTGACTGGACAATTATGACACGGCAGAATCTGTGATGCCTGTGCTCGAAGTGGGGATAGAGACCCGTAGTCTGAGTATATATCTGGTTTTGCTTCTATTCCGTATACGTCCGAGGATATATATGGCGCCTTTATATGGTGGTTATTATTGAAGACCTAGCGCTTGGAAAGAATATGGTGTTGATAATGATAGTTCTAATATGATAGGTGCTTATAGTTTTAGCCTTGTGATGTATAGATAAGGCTAAGGGGTATCGTCTTGATGATGGTGTTGATTAGAACGTCGTGATGGAGTTATACGGCGTATATATGTAAGTATGGAAAAGGTATATGGCGGCCTCTGAGAAGGTGTCGGATTGGGGAAGAGTGAAAAGTCACTGTCAAGAGCCCTCCAGGGCTCTAGAGTAAAATTCACTACGCGTCTAAAATATGTACTATCTCATATCCTTGTGGGTCACTTATTGTCTTTCTGACTTACTGGAGGAACTTGAAGTAGATAAAGAGTATATAGACTATCCTAGGGTAGGCATAGTAACTTTGGCTATGTATTTTCGACAGTTATATGGAAGCTGTTCGACTGACCCCTTAATACTGGCCCGGCTTAAGTTCACATTTCGAGCATATTGAGACTAAGCTTTGAGGAAGGAGGGACCATATACACTTTGTATGAGACATCGTATTATACTCAGCTTCCTGACTGGATATGCAAACCATCATCATGGTCTTTTTCTTCATATGATGCACGAGACTTCACAAATCTAACACACCGGTCTTTAATCCTGCCACGTGTTGCTTTCCGTCCTATACACACTGAATTGGGCTAGCATAACAATACGCATGCAAGCGGTCACCTGGTCCTTGCTACCAATGCCGACTGATTCACGACCAGGACACGCCAAAAAGTGACTGTTTAACGGATTCTTTCACGGAGGCGAAGGATAGTGCAAGCGAGCAGGCCAGCCACCGTCAAGTTTGACTGGTCGCTCTGGTTCACATGTCGGTCCTGGCTAACATTCATCGAGAGTTGCAAAATGACCTCAGTAACAGGGTTCAGAGTCTTGATAGTATGGCACAAGATTTTACCAAAATACCGCTTCAACCCAAGGGAGCACAACCGTGCCCCGCAGACTCCCGCCGCATCAATGCCAGACGCCCTAGTCCCTCTCGGCCCTCAGCACCTGGGCGCCGCCCTGCAGGCGCAGCTCGGAGCTCCTCGTGTCGAGCTTCTTGACGACGGCGCCCAGGACGACCTTGAGCAGCTCGTCGCCGGACAGGTCGCCGCCGCCGGCGCCCTTGTAGGTGACGGTGTCGACGATGTCGCGGACCTTGGCCTCCTTGTAGAGCTCGTCGTCAAGGTAGTCAAAGGTCTTCTGGCGCTCCATGTTGGGGCCGCCCAGGCGGAACAGCTGGATGCCGACCTGGTGCGGGGGCGCGTTGGCGGCGTCCAGCTCGCGCGCGATGTTGACGATGGGCGTCTTGATGTCGTCGTCGAAGGCGCCCGCCGTCAGCACGATCAGGTTCAGCGCCGCGCTCTCCTCGCCCGCCTTGAACTTCTCAATGTACCACTCCAGCAGCTTGCCGCTGCGTCGCGTCGGGTTAGCGGCTGTCAGGCCTCGCTCTCGCCGGCCGGCCCGGACATGTGACAGAGGGCGGGGCGCTACCTCCGTCCTCCTCTCATACGGGGGGCCCGGCACCCAGGGGCCTGGGGGAAACTGCTTACAGACGCGCGCCGATGTTGCACTTGCCAGCGGGCTTGACCTTCTCGGTGAAGATGGAGCTGACCTCCTTGCCCTTCTCCGTGAGCAGCATGCCTCCGACGAAGCCACCGATGCGGGTGTAACCCGTCTTCCGGATGGACTTGAACTGGCCGAGAAGTCCGCCGGGCTTGTCTATGTATGTCTCTTGTCAGCTCAGGCTCTCAAGATTCTGCAGGGCGCGGGATACATGCGGTTAACGAAGTAGAGGTCGATCCCGTCGGGATCGTGCTGAGCACAGATGGGAGCAACCTTCTCGATGAGGTGTTGCACGTCCTTCCAGTACGGTGCCATGGCGGCCGAGTCGTCGATGATGAACATGGTGTCGAAGCATCGCAGCCAGTCGAGGCTCTGCTCGTCAATGCCGTCGAGGTTCGCCATGGTGGATGGATCTGGTGATGTGCCGGTGACGGGTGAGGTTGGATGAATGAGTGACCTGAGTGGGAGTGGGTGTGAGTGTAGATGTGAGGTGAGGTGAGTATATGCGTCAGGTGTCGGCCGGTGGTGGTGTTTGTATGACCGGCTGGAGTCGGGCGGTCAAACGTACAACGGGTCAGGTCAGGGGTAAATTTGAAGGTGATGCTGGCCTGTTGTCGGGCGGGCTTGTCGTCCCCACTCCAAGGCGGTGCTTGCCAATTTTGCTGGGCGCACAGTCCAGGGATCCGCTGATCTCTTTCAAGCGAGATCCGGTCAACTGGTAGACCAGGGGTTGATCGTCCTCAGCTGGGCCTTTGACGTGTATGTCGACTGGGTGCACACATGTGACGGAGTAGAGGTGAGGGTGATATGCTCGGCTCGGCCGCAGAGCAACGAGCCAGTGCCAGTGGTGACAGGGAGGACAGCACTTGAGGTGAAGCTTAATGCAGACCGACAGACCGGGTCAATGCTTCCTGTTCATCCCTGATTCTCAAACACACCAGTTGACAAGACCCTTACCCTCGCCCAAGTGGGCTGGCAACTGGCACTGCAGCACAACGTGGTCCAATTGTCTGATGGACATGATTTCGAGTGATTGGTATGCGGCATCGGCAGATGGTTCGGCTGCGTGCATATTATGAAACTCGCAGTGAACGCATGTACTGCGGACACGGATATACTGCCTTTCGGAACCCATGTACACGTATACCTAGTACTACGAAGCTGCTTTGATATCGTCATCACAGTATGATCGTCAACAAGGTTCCGTATCTCAAGATCAAGATGCCAACGATAAGAATCCCACAACGTATTCTTCCGATCACATGCACTTTTGATAGCAACAACTTGAATGGTGCATTCTCATCAATGATGTCTGTCTGGTTTGCAGATATGCGGGATCGAATAATTAGCTTGCCATGTCACAATCACGGCTAAACTATGCGCACTTGAATTTAGCAGAGCACAGGCATATTACGAGACTGCATGCAAAATCCTATGCAGCATGAACGTTGATCAGCCTGATCCACCTGTTTCGATGAGGCTGATCTGATTTTAACGCTTCATCAAGACCTCTAGCTTCAGCGGCTGAGCAAAAGAGTGGGGAAGGGTGTAGTATTTATAGTTCTATTAGAGATTCAATTTGAAGCATCGCCTCTGCGGTGTCACTTCGACTTGCGGCTGTTGCGGGAGTCCGACGATCACTGCCGGGGAATGACGATCGTGAAAGATCAAGATATAATTGCTCATTGGCGAAGAGCGCCTGTGCTGCTACAAGGGAAGGAGAGGTGACGCTGTTGTGGAAGACTGGGATCCCAGATGCCCCAGGAGTAATGCGCAGAAGAGGCTAGAGCAGCTGATAATGTTAGCAAATGATTCCCGAGGCCTTGTGGGAAAAGCCCAGCCGCGGAATTCAATGCGACACTGGCTTCTTGGACAAGCAGAACATGGCAGACTCCGATCTCTAGCATAGTCAGTCCGAATCTCCACCTAGGGAACTCTTGTCTGCCCTTCAAAAGACATAACAGAGGAAGACGTGGCTGTAGGGCTCCTCTTGCACTCGACATGATTGAAAGAAGGCAGTGGAGAGATCCACCAGGGCATGTGTTTACCGCCAGTCGGGCCATAGTCCTTCGAGGCGCGAATCCCGGCTTCCAAGCTTCCCTACAGCAGGTAATCAGCACGTCATGCCACAAGATAGAGGGCGTGATGGAATTGACCCTCCCAGCCTGACCATTCATCACACGAACAAGCCACACAGCCTCGTGTAGTCACCCAGCTCAGCCCCAGAGCTCCTAGCGGCCTCACGGGCCGCGCCCTTGGCCTCCCGGAGCAGGTTGCTGTCCTCCCTGGCCAGGCCGCGGGGCGGGACCAGCCAGAAGGCCACCTCGGTGCCGTTGGCGCGGAGGTCCTCGACGCGGGCCTGCAGCTCCTCCCACAGGTCGCGGTTCGCGAGCTTCCTCCCGGGCCTGGGCCGCCCCCTCCCGTCCCTGCGCGGCGCGGCCCGCCACCCCTGGCGCACCCAGGCCGGCAGCCACCGCGTGGCCCCCAGGGCGACGTACTCGAGGTCCGTCACGACCACGACCGTGTGCCAGCCCTCGCTGTGCCACGGGCGGAAGTCCAGCGCGGCGATGACGGCGCGCAGCTTGGCGCGGTTGGAGGTGTGGGTGTGGGTGTCGCCGCGCGGGCCCTTTTGCTCGAGCGGCATTGCGATCGTGCCTGTGATGTCGGGGAGGCTCAGGTCTACCGGTGGGTTGCCACGCATGTTCTCCATGCCCGTCGTCTGGTATAGCATGGTGGTCTTGTCACCGCCGTTGCCCCCGTCGTTGTATATGAAGCTCAAACCACCTTTTGGCGCACTCCCTGCCCCGACTGGTTGGTTGCTGCGTGCACCAGCACCATTGTTCACGCAACTGCCGTCGACGACAAGCATCATCTCCTTCGAGTTGAAGCGGTTGACATATCGAGGCCACTGCGTTCGTACGCTGATGGTCTGTAGCGGGAAGTGCTGCTCAGGAGCTAGGAAGTGGTCTTGAGGTCGGAAGATGCCGGCGGGCTGGATCTGTGTGTTTCGTGTGAGGCGTCGGGCAGCTTGTTCGGCTGAGGTTCGCGGGAGCAACCTCAGCCCGCGGTCAGCAGCGTGCGGGCTGTGCTGGTCGAGCTCGGAGTCGGAGTCGAAGTCGGCGACGTCTTGCTTGGTGGCCTGGCCTTGTCTCCGAGGCTTCCTATTCTTCACAACGCGGTATTGAGGCATTACGGGGTGGCTGTGGAGGCTAGTTTGTCCTTGAAGCTGTCGTCGTTTGGTAGTTTCCAACAACTGAACGGTGAGGGGTCGGAGACGTTGAGTGCTGCGGGTGCCCGAGCTCGTATCCGCTGGCCGAGGCTCCAAATGTTAAGCTCAAACCGGGGCAGAGCAGTCCGACATGGCCAGACCCATGTATGTTCCTGGGGTACCTGCCGCGGCCTCTCTTCCAACATTGTGGCTCTTCGCCATCTCAAACGAGATTTGGATCATGCTGGCTGCAGGTGGTTTGTACACCAAGAGGAGCTACAACTGTACCAAAGGAATCGATAATGCAGAGCAAGAGAGAGTGTGTGGGGCTGGCTTCGGGCTGCCCAGCCCCTCCGGGAGTAGCCGAGCTCGGCCCCACAACTGCCCAGGTGCCGTCATAACGGTGACTCTCCAGGGCTCTTGAGGGGGTTATTGTGGACGATGGTTTTCGAACACGCCTCACGTGGTGGCTCTCACTACGGATGACCATGGGCTCCTCTACGTGGGTACCTGACGTCGACCCTCACAGCGACTTCTCTCTGGCCAACATCCCCTTCGGCATCGCAGCCACGGCCGACGGCGAAGCTCCCCACGCCGTGACCGCCATCGGGAACCATGTCCTGGACCTGAAGAGGCTTGTCGACCAAGAAGATGCTGCCAGCATCTTCCCTTGTCTCAAGGACTCGGGCAATGTCTTCGACTCGCCCACACTCAACAGATTCGCAGAGCTAGGGAGAGACGTCCACCGGCAGGTGCGCAGCGCCATCCAAGACCTGCTCTCTGAAGACACCAAGCACCCCGAGTTCCTCAGGGACAATGCAGCACTGCGTCAAGAGGTCCTCGTCCCCATGAGGAAGGCCAAGATGCACCTGCCAATGCAGATCGGTGATTACACCGACTTCTACGCAGGGTACCACCACGCCTTCGGCGTAGGCTCCATGTGGCGCGGCCCGGCAAACGCCCTGCAGCCAAACTACACACACCTGCCCGTCGGTTACCACGGGCGAGCCTCCAGCATCGTCGTCTCGGGGCACCCTGTCAAGCGGCCAGTCGGCCAGATCGTCGTCGACCCGGCCGCCGAGCCCAAGCAGCCCGCCGTCAGGCCGAGCCAGAAGCTCGACATCGAGCTCGAGCTGGGCTGCTTCATCGCCACGGGCAACGAGATGGGCACGCCCATCGACGTCAACAGGGCCGACGAGCACATCTTCGGCTACGTCCTGCTCAACGACTGGAGCGCGAGGGACATCCAGAACTGGGAGTATGTGCCGCTGGGGCCGTTCAACGGCAAGAACTTTGCCTCGACCATCAGCCCCTGGGTCATCACGCCGGATGCGCTGGAGCCCTTCAGGAGCAAGGGCATTGAGCTTGAGGGCAGGCCGCAGTTACAGGACTATCTCAAGGAGGCGAGACCGGACAATGTCTTTGACGTGCAGTGCGAGGTCGATCTGACAAGTCAGTTTCCCTGCCCTGCTGTGGTTCTCTACTAAACTCACCACTGACCGGTTTCCGCAGCCCCTGAGGGTGACACCTCCACCATCTCTCGAGTCTCCACCAAGAACCTCTTGTGGTCCTTCCCCCAGATGCTTGCCCACCACACCCTCGGGGGCTGTCCCATGAGGAGTGGAGACCTGCTCGGCTCAGGGACCATCAGCGGGACGAAGCCATCAGAGCTCGGCAGTCTGTTGGAGATGAGCGAGGGCGGCAAGAAGGAGGTACTCCTCGCAGGCATGGATGCGCGCAAGTTCCTAAAGGACGGCGACACCATCACCCTCAGGGCCTCGTGTGGCCAGGACGGTCAGAGAGTCGGCTTCGGAGAGTGCACTGGGAGGATCTTCAGTGCCGTGGGTCGGTAATTAAGGCCAGAGGATGATGCGCCTGCATAATCCCATGATTTTCACACCAACCTGGCTGCTCAAACCCTCCTCAACATCGATGGCCAACTCCGGCCGCGAGCTCGTCGAGCACTTATGTTTGCGGAAATTGACATCTAGTTACCGATGGATTTCAACAGGATTCATGTCCTCCAGATTCATCCCGGTATATCGCAGCCCGGTATATCTTGTCGGCACGATGGCAGGGACATGCAACATGAAGGCAGCACGCGAATTAGCCAAAGCCTTTTCTGACTCCATGTCAGACTTTCAGCAACCTAGATTTATAAATGCACAAGTTGTCATCCGTACAGACTGCTCTTTACATGTGTGAATTTCCTCATCAAGATCCCAGCACCTTCTCGTGGACTTGTTTACATGATTTCAATCAGGTGTGATCACCAGTCATTCATATACCTAGGTCATACAGTACCTAGGTATTTGTTTCTCCCAGTGAGTGTCTCGGACCCCGCTCATCTAGTGCTCATACCAACACTGCTTCTTTTTGGTTTCACTGATGAAGATCTGTTAGCCGTGGCCACGAAACACGAGAGATGTTTATCTTACTTCTAGAGGCGATCTCGGCGGTTGGTGTATGGCTTGAAATAGTCGCTCGCGGCGACCTTCTTGTCGGCCAATGCTCGGATGTTGTGGAGCTCCTCTGAGCCCTCATCATCGACGTAGTCCCCCATGCGCTCGAGGCCGCTTCTGAGCTCGATTCGGGCGTCATCACGCTGGCGGAGGATCTCGTCGACGATTGCCATCTGAGCAGATACCGGCAGCCTGGGCATTGTGGCATGGCGGCTCGCCGCGTCCTGGATCGAGTCTGATGCCACGAACAACGCGAGCATGACGCCCCGAAGCGCGTCCCAGGCGGGCTGGTGCGCGAGCTTCTCCCACCACAGCCTGAAGAGCTCCTCGTTCAGCAGCTCGAAGTCATCTGCCCTGCTTTCCAACTCCTCCATGATGGCGTTGGTGATTGTACGGCTCTGGAGGTAGTCCGCCAGGAGCCAGAAGTTGGCGAGCTCGCCGAAATGCTCCAGTTCTTGGATGGGATCGTCGGGGAGATCGACATCTGTGTCAGCATGGATGTCGACGTACTGGCGCCACTCGAGGTGCTGCTGTAGGAGAGCGACATTGGCGGGGATGGCATAATCGCTCTCCTCGAGCAAGATGACTGCTGTGTTGGCATTCATGAAGCCCCCAGTCAATTTGGCTTCGATGAAGAGGGAGTGATTGATCGCTGTGTCTCGATCAAACTCGAAGGACTCTGCGTGGCCCTCGATTCTGATGGTGATTTTGGTAAGGTCAGGAGCAACATCTTGCCTACATGATGGTTAGAACACAGCTGATCACTTGCTCGGATCTCATGAGGGCATTGAAAATGTGGTGCTTACTCGTCCAGTCGCTGGCGTTTCGCATCAGGTGTGCCACTGCTCAGTTGTTAGATTGTCCCTGATGGAAAGATGCACCTGGGAACACATACTCATCTCTTGCACCACCGCCCATTTGTCCTTGGGGATCAGACATGATTGCTGGCGTACATGTATGCTGACATGTCTCGATTGCAGTCGGATCTTGCAGGACGTTTCTGTGCAGAAGAAGAGAGTGGTTTCGTTTTTAATCCCTGTACATATAAAATGTATATGGCGCCTTCATACAGTGGTAAACGCTCAAAATCTAGCAGAAGAAGAGAGGAAGGGAAGAAGGAAACAAAAATGGAAGAGACTGCAGCAGTGGAATTTTAGGCTGCCAAGGCTTAGCGAAAAAAACAAACGGAATTACAGCTCAAGGACCCCCGCTTCGAGCTTAGGGACGAGTGAATGAGAGGTACTTTCGGCCGGCAGGAATTGGGTGCAGGAATCTCACATTCAAATAGCATGAGAAATACTCATCCAGCACCGCTGAATGGATCTTCTAGAAGCCTGACAATCTCTTCTGCCCCCCCCCCCCTCAAACGCTGGGTCTTGAGCGTTTACCACTGTATGAAGGCGCCACGTACATTTTACATGTATGGGGATTAAAAACGAAACCACACTCTTCTGCCCCTCTCTGGATCTATGGCCTTATGAAGCCGATAAACCGTCTACTATAGTCATCTGAGCAACGAAAGCAAGGTAGTTTCATTTCTAAGCCGTGCCATACGCATGAAATGTATGTGGCGGCTTCATGCATTGGTAAACGCTCAAGGCCCGGCCTTTTTCAAGGTACCAAATCACAACGCCAATCGCAAAAGCAGGTCATCTTAGATGTCGCCTGAACTCTGTGTATTTATAGTGATCCAAGGGAGAGTATGAATTCGAAATCAGCATAGTAGTTTTGAACAGAAGCCTGTCTTAAATACTTGCAGGACAGACATCTGGAGTCATCGACAAGCCCTCCCTCTCTAGTCAGAAAACTTTGAAGTAGTCTTATAGAACTAGAGAGTGAAGCTTGTATGTATCTCCAAGTAATGGCTTCGGCCACATTGTATTTTTTGTTTAACTATATATTTATTTATTTATTATCTTCTTAACTTTTAGACTAACTATTAGCTTATACCTCAAGTATAAAGTTAATAATTACTTAATATATACCCTTAAACTTATTTATATATAATAAAGTTACTAGCTTCCCCTATAGGGCTCTCTCTTCTATTATATTCCTTATATATTATATAAAAATAAATAAATCTTTAATAATAAAGTAATATACTTAAAAAAGGAAAATTTAATTTTAAATACTTAAACTTTTACTTTCCTTATATAATATTTATTTAATATATAATAAATAAACTTTATTTAACTTTTTAAAAGTTTTAATCTTTTATAAAATTTATATAAAAAGCTTTTAAATAAATTTACTATTATAATATTACTATTCTATTAACTATATACTTAAAATAAAGATAATATTAACTTATTTAATAAAAATAAATTTAAATAACTATATAATAAGTATATTAATAGAAAAAGTTAATTTATTAAGTCTTATATTATAAAATTCTTCTTTTTATAGAGGCTATTTTAAACCTATTTTAATCTTACTATATAACTACTTTACTAACTTTCTAATATAGTGTTATTAAGAGTAATACCTTCTAGCTTTATCTATATAATATAAGGCTTAGTTATATACCTATATATTATATTCTCTTTCCACTATTATTAGCACTATATTTCTTTAAATATTAAATCTTAAGCGTTTACTACTATATAAAGATACTATATATATTTTATATATATAGGGATTAAAAACAAAACCACATCTCTAAGTGATTTAGTGAGACAACAGTATGTGAATCACGCTTGAAGCTTTCGATTTTGATGGTGCCCGGTGTAGCTACCTCGTGTTGGGACCAAATTTGATTGAAGTACAGCTGTCTGTGGCCGGCATAAAGCGACTGCTGTTTTTGCAGCAAGTGATTATCCATCACACGTGCTAAAAAGCTTGCCTGAATACCTACCTAGGTAGTGCTCCCCTCTGCCCTATCTCCCCAGGTGGTTTTACAGGTATCCTGACATAGAATGAATCCCTGCTATAACTAGCAGAAACGGAAATGTACAGGTATGCTAGAATTATCTTAGACAATACTTCTGTCTCCGTATAAGAAGAGACACCGGGTCAAGGTAAGAAGAAGAATTCCCGGCAGAACATTGAAGTCTGCCTTAAATACTACTGCTCGTGACACCGCAGAGTCATCGACAAGCCTTCCTTTGAGCAGAAAACTTTCAACTACTAGCAGCAAAACTATGCACCTAGACAATGAAGATTGTGCGTTCACGTGATTGCAACAAAAACAAACGGGATTGTGAATCACATTTGAATTCCTGCGAAAACGCGATGCACGAGGTCTAGGTATTGCGTCAGCTGGACAAAAGCTGGGCCCAAATTTGGTAAGACAAGATCCCTGTCCCACCACCCCCCAAGCCGATGAGGTGACAAGCGATGCTGGATTCGGATAAGGTGTGACCACGTGCTGGGCCTAGCAAGTGTCCAGTTGACAACCTCCAAAACAAACGCCTTGTGACAGTGATCGCTGTGACCCAGCTCCGTATAGTTACCATCTGCCCCTGCCCCAGCTATGTGAAACAAAGATTTGAACCACCGTCTGTTGTTATTTCCAACCACAGTCATCCCAGTATCAAATATCATGAACGGATTCAAGAACAGCCCCGTCATCAAACGCGAAGCGCCTGATGCCGTGGTCTTTGACCTCTCCGAACCTCACCAAGTCACCGTCACCTTACCTGCCGGTTCAACATGGAGCAGTGGCCTGCACTGGCACGAGCACCATGTTGAATACCTGCGCGTTGTCAAGGGCAGGGTACAAGTCACACTGGATAGTCAGGTCCGCACGATATCAGCATCAGACGCCGAGACGGAAGTGAGGGTCGACCGGAACGTTTGGCACGATTGGAGGCGGGCTGATGTCGAAGATGACGAAGATGTGGTGGTTGTGGAGCGGACCGAGCCCGAGGATGGCGAGAAGGCAATTTTCTTTTGGAACCTGAACGGGGTCATTCTCAAGGCACAGGACATGAAGTGCCCGCCCTATATGCCGAAGCTGCTACATCGTCTCTTACTGGATGCATGGGTCACTCTCAGCCTTTTCGCCATCTTCCGCGTGCTTGACAACACCCCTGTGTTCGTCAACATCCTCCATGCCTTTTCGAAACGCGGGTTCGTCTTTGCGGAGAAAACGTTGGGACATACTGCCTTACGCGCCGTCGACGTTGTCATTTCTCGTGTTCTCCTGCTTCTCGCGTCTGCCATCTCACTCATATTTGGTATCAGAGCTGTGCGGGATGAGTTCACTCCAAATGAGGTGCGACAGAACTGGATCGCTTCCAAGACTGACCGGACGAGAACCAAAGAGGCTTGAATTTTCTTTTGCTTCAGGGCTCCGGTCCTCTATTATATTAACTAGCTCTTTAACATATTCTACCTAGTTTTAAAATTTAATAAGATTTGTATCCCTTCACAAATGATGTCCACCTGCCTTTTGTGTCTTGGGTGGTTGTAGTCCACCAATATTATTTCTTTGAACAGCACGCCCAAGCCACATCGACATGGAGACAACTTCAGCAGAGAGAATATGAGTATCTCAGCTGGAGGCTCTCATGCCATTCTGTAGTTCCAAAGTACACTGTGTATTCAAGAACTCTAAATATCAAGCACTGGGGCGTGTGGTAATACGCCACAGGTGCACGGATGGGAGAGCAACGGGCCACACAATTACCTTGGGCAAAGATAGGCAGGCCATGCACTGATCTAATCTCTTTTGCTGCTCATGACATATCTGCTGACAGCCTGGGAGATTCTGAGCTCATATATGCTTGTGGATTTCCTCACGACTGAACGTTATATACATGAATGGGATATATGCAAGAAACCTGCCCATCAAACTCATATCATCGTCTGGATGGCCTCGCATCCCCTCGGCCTAGATCCCCCCCCCCCCAGACGAAAGCGATTCTCCCTCTTAAGGCTACAGACACTGCGAGTAGTACTCATTCTGTACCTGACAAGTAGACCCGCTGGCACAGACTGTGCACCCTGTATATCCATTGCCACCGCACTGAGCATATTTAGCGGCGGAACACGTGGCCACGGGAGGGCTGGAAGTCGTCGTGGAGGCGACGGACACCTTAGTTGAGCTGCTTGTTGTTTTAGCACTAGTGGTACTTGTTGAGGATGTTGTTGGCCCGACACTGGTGGTAGAGGAGACCGTTGAGGACCTGGATGTCGCAGTGCTGCTGGTGGCTGCTGTGGATGAACTGGAAGAGCCACTGCCGCCGCCACTTACCGTCCCTGAGGCGAAGAACGCACCGCGTCCGTTGGTGCCCACGTAGACCTGCCCGGCCTTGTTTGCGCTGCCTGCGACCTTGCAGCTGATGATGTTTCCGAAACCCTGGGACCCCTGGATGTCGACCCACGTCTTGCCGTCGTCGGCCGATGCGTACAACTTGTTCCCTGCCGGGCCGTTACCGAAGGCGTAGAGGTTCCAGGTCGTCCCTGAGCCAAGGCCGAGGGCGATCTGTTGAGTTGCAGTGAGAGCAGTCGATATCTGAGTAAAGGTAGCACCGTAGTTGGTGGACTTAAAGATGCCAACGTCAGTAGAGACGTACACCGTTCCTGCGACGGTCGGATGAGCGGCGATGTCCGCAACCGAGGTCGCGCTTCCCAAAGCTCCAGCCTTGCTGAATGCTGCCCCGGTGTTGGTAGACACGTAGAATGCACCCGATGCACCGCCGTAAAAGACGGTGTTGTTGCGCTTGTCGCTCGCAATGACTGCTCCTGACGCAAGGCCTGTCACGGCTGAGAAAGAGGCCTGATTCAGGGACCGCAGCACACCCGAGGTCGCGGTCGACCAGACAATAGTATCAGCATCGGCGCTGTACGCCACAAGCCCGCCGTAATCTGTTGTGCTGCTACCGTAGTTGAGATTCCAAGTTGCACCGCCGTCGCTGCTGATAGCAACCTGCTGTGACCCCCCCGTGTTTCCGATGCGGACCACGTTAGCGACTTTGTTACCAGCATAGTCTAACGCAGGAAGTCAGTTGAGGTATAACAGCGATTGGAGTTTGTGGAAATACCTACCAACGTCAGGCGAGGTCGGCCAAAAAGGATCCCAGGCGGTCGCGGGGCTTGTCTTCAGGTCCGAAGCACTCTTGAAAGTAAACCCATTGACGTCGCCCACAGCCACAAGCAGTTCACTTCCGCCGGGAGCAGACACGACATTCTGCACGGAAGTTTGTTCAATCCCGTCCGCCAGAGACTGGATGGTGATGTTGTGTGTTGTGTCCCACTTCGTCAAATCATGGCCACCATAAATGGTCAGGCCAGTTCCATACAGCCAGTGGTTGCTGTCAAAAGGATCGATCTCCAGTGCCTCGATCATCCACCCGAGCTGCTCAGCATCGGGCTTGGAAATGAAGCTCTTATAGATCCATGGTGCCAGTGGCGCGGAAATGCTGTAGTAGCGGTTCATGGCCGGGTAGTTTGTCCACTCCCACAGACGTGACCAGGTCGCACCAGAGTCAGTGGAGCGGAATATCTGGGCCTCGGGCCACCACGAGTTCAAGGCCGCGACGACCAGAGTTCCCGGCTTAAGCACGTCCAATCCTAGGCCACCGAACCCGAAATACAAATCCGACCCAGATACAGGGGTGATGTTTGTCCATGTGTTGCTAGTCAAGCTGTAGCGATATACGCCACCGTTGGTTCCATCGTAGGGGCCCGTTCCATCGGAATAGGTAAGGTAGAGCACCTTTTCTGACGGCGAAATTCTAGCCTTGTGAGGGAAGAAGGCTGCGGGCTGGCCAGCGACTGCGCTCCACGTTGCGCCAGCATCAGTAGACTGCCACACGGCTTGCTGAGTGCCATTGCTTGCGGTGCCGACGAAGATCCTCGATGTTGCGCCATTAGTAACTGCAGATGTAGTGTCGAACGTGACAAAGGCAAGACCTTGGATGTCGCTGTTGTATCCGGTGGAATCACTGGGGTCAGCACGGTAAGTGCCTGTGGCTGTGAATGATGAGACCTTGGCGAAGGTAACACCTCCGTCAGTGGACTTCCAGAGGCCGTTACCGCTGCGCGCGCCGAAGTAGATGATCTTGGAGTTGGCCGGGTCAACTGCAAGGCGTTCACCCATGCCTCTTCCGGCCATGTTTCCACCGACTTTGAATGGTAAGGTCGTCTGGCTCCATGTGGCCCCCTTGTCCGAGCTGCGCGCGATGACACCATTGTTCGGGTCCCAGCTAAGAGAGTGTCAACCAAAGTAACTGAATTATTCTGGCAGGTGTACAAACATACCTGTTGGTGTACATTCCCAATGCAAGATAGACTTTGGTGTCATCCTGAGGATCCAGGGCCAGTGCATCAACACCCCATCGGTTCCTATGACACGGAGATGATTAGTGAGGTCCCAAGCCACGTATCGCATCCAGCCCAGGTCTTACCAAGTTGAGTCTGTGGTTATGCTGTCTGTAAGGGCTGTCCATGAATCATCAGCATTGAGCCTGTAAAGGCCGCCGATGTCTGTTCTCGCATATGCCAGGCCTTTCGTCTTGGGGTGGAAAGAGATTCCGGGCACGAAACCTCCTCCGCCTCCAAGTTTAACAGAGCTCCAGGAGAAGGCTGCTTGGACAGGCGCCGCCAATGCACCAAGCAGCTGCAGGGCTTGAAGATACCTCATCCTCAAGATGTTTATGCCACGTAAATTCGTGGCAAGACAATAAGAAGGTTGCGTAGTCTTCGTCGTACAGAGCCAACCACTTGGGACGGGAAGGACGGGTATGTTTATAGGGCCAATATCAGTTCAATGTCTGTCCACGGGAGCCAAGCTTCACGGAACCAAGAAGCGGATGCTTCCCGACATGCCGAAATGGCAGGTCCAGAGAATCATGTTACCACATATGGCCATCCTAAAGGAGACTATGGAGGCATTGCCTGGGCAGAGACAAGGCGCACTCTGGAAGCGGAATGTTCCTTGCTGACGTCGAGAGGATTTCCCACAAATGATCGTTGCCCCTTTTTCCCATTTTGGGAACATAGGCTTGTGAAAAGGTTCGAGAGTCGTGGTGCTTCCCGTCGTCCCGCCATACGTGGAAGGTGTGGTTCCGTAAAGGGCTTTTGGGAAAGTGGGGGGTAGGAGTAGAGGATGCTTCATCTCCCACCAGCTCTTGGGGTTCAGGGATCTCCCGTGCTTGGCAGCTGACTACGCGTGGATGTCAGATGATCTTCAGGTCTCTGAACCTGCTCAGTGGATGACAATGTATTTCAATTTCACCCTTTGCTTGGAAACTGGAGCAGACGAAAAGTTCGCGACTATGCCACTTACTTTATTCGAAGCCCCTGCCCAGGTGTCCAAGCGTACGCAAGGGAGCACGTCCAAGCTATCGCGTTAATAAATTGATCTGCGAACGTGGGGCTCGGGCCGCGCAGGATCAGCCGCTCGCCTGATCCGGAGCAAGATGGGTATAGGCCAACGGAATCGCAGAATTACAAGGACTTGGATTGTCGATAATTAACATACAATGTCAGTAGTACCTCTCACCGTCGATTCGAGGCTTGTGCCGAATCCAGTTGGATCTAACGGGACGAGGGCCGTCACAAGCCTTGTGGCATCACGGCTCCAGGGGAGCTGGGATGCAGAGTGGAAAGAAGCATGTTGCCACATCGCCCAAAAGACGTGCTGGAGGATTGACTATTAGGATTTCAGGGCCTAGAAAGGGCTAGCCTCCTCCAAGGTTCCACTTCCAGTCCGTCGCCGCCATCGGAACTGCTGCCGAAAACCCTCAGGACTCAACACCGACCACCCTACCGTCTTCGTCCAGGCCAACCTTGACCTTCCTGGTGCTTGCTTTCCTCGGATTTGGAGCCTCGAATATCTCACCCAACTCCTCCAGTGTCTTACCAGCCGTCTCGACGAAGAAGAAGTAAATGATAACCATCTCGATGGCGATCCAAACGCAGTATATGATGTAAAGCTTCCATGCTATCGCCTCAATTCCGACAGCTATTCCGTAAGTGTTTACGACCCTGTTCATTATTCGAAGGTTAGCCCTCCGAAGCCACAAGAAAGCGATTAAAAAACGATACGGGAGAGTTCCGCCACCAGCACACAAGGCTTTTGTCAGACGATGCGTCTGTACATGTGCAGTGAAGCAGTCCACAAACCGAACACGGATTCCAGTGAAGGACATCACGAAAATCTGGAGATACTCACATAGCGATATTGAGGAACAGGAAGTTCAGCCCAGAGCCCTTAGCCCTGGTCCGGTTCTCCAAACACTCAACGCTGTAGAGGGTCTGCAGAGGAGTAAAGCCCCAGGCGAAGAATATACCGAAGCAGTCTATTACCATTGTTAGTCAATTTCGACCATACCCAGTGTTGTTGAGGCCGCTCCGTTCGGGCGAAAAACTCTGAAAGGGCATGACTTACAAATAGACACGATCACACCGTATCCGAGGTTCGGCTGAGCATTTGCATGTGCAGAAAACGCAGTCAGGAGAATGTAGAAGAACAGACTGCCCGCAAGACCCCACAGCATCATCTTCCGCCGGCCGAGCTTGTCCAAGAGACTCGCGCCGTAAATAGCTCCCAGCATGGAGAAGATGGGGTTGATGGCGTTTAGCAGCAGCTGCGTGTTGGTATCGGTAATTCCCGCCGACTTGAACATTTCCGGCATGAAATAACTAACGACATTGTTCCCGGACCCTGGAGAATCGATCCATCAATATTCGTAACTTCTCACGACCGCATGTGAAGAGAGACTTACATTGTCCGATGAAAGACATTGCAATAACCATACCCAGCCGATATCGTGCAGCCCGCGTGTGAACCAACTCGCGGAAGTCCCACCACGGATTCTCATCGCGCGTGAGCTTATTGTCTTCGACGATTTCGTGGTACTGCAGCTGAGGGATCGCCGAGTTCGGGTCGCCGTCGCCGTGGTACTTGGCCAGGATTTCGAGCGCCTCCTCGGGACGGTCGTGGGCGATGAGCCAGCGAGGAGACTCCGGGAAGAACATAATGGCACACATGACCACGGCTGGCATTCCTGCCTGTACAATTGTCGGGATCCGCCAAGCCCAAGATGATGTGAGGTGGTAGTTCGTCCCGTAGGTCGTCCATCCGGCGAGGATGTTGCCCAGCCACCAGAAATTGTTGTACATACCGGCCATCACACCGCGGTACGCAGGGTGAGCCAGCTTCAGGATCAGTCAGCAAATTGAATCTCCAAGTAGCCTAATTTTGAGGGCTGAATTCTCACGAGCCAATTGCGCCGGCTACCCTCGAAGAGATGCAATGTAGAGAAAAGGTACTTACCTCGACAGTATATGCAGGGCCGGCAGCCGAGGCAATACTCGCACCAAAGCCCAAGACGAAGCGGCCTCCGATGAATTGTTGAAGGCCATGGGCCGAGCCCTGAATGGCGGTGCCGACAAGAACGAGAACGCAGCCAACAAATATGCAGACTCGACGTCCCCAGCCGTCAGCCAGCAGGCCGCAGAAAGGGAATGCCGCGATCTGCCCCAGGTTGTAGACGATGAAGACGATACCCGAGCTGGACCCGGCTCCGCTCAGCCCCATATCACGCTGGTACGGTTTCATCGCGTTGATAGCTCCCATCAGCGATGAATCTACCATTGATGTCAGTGAGTGCTCTGTGTTATTCTGGCGTTTCGATCGTACCAAAGCCGTTCATGGTCGACACGAGATACCCAATGGACATGATGAGATAGAGTTTGATCATGTTAGGGCTCAACAAATTCGGTTTCTGAGCCGCAACAGCAGCCGCAAGTGCAACTGATTGGGTGTTGACGCTCTTGACATTTCCGGTTGGTTTCTCTCCATCGTAGCCCATTGCCTCGTGAACTTCCTTCTCTCCATCGTGAAATGTCGCCATGTTGTCGGTAGGACTCTTCCGGGAGTGCCAACCGTTTCACTTGTACGATCTGATATGGCTGATGGCAAAGCCGATGATGGGAGGAACATTAAACAGGCCCAATGAAGGGATGTACTCGACGTTTAAAGCGTCCCACTGTATGGATACCCGTCACTCGAAAAAAATATTGTTGGAAGCGAGTCCGACTTTGTCGTCAGGTGCATGACCCCTTTTGGATGAAGCTTCCCACTCCTGGCCGGGGTCACCGCAGCATGACTTGGCAAAAACGCGGGCAGACGCTTGTCTCGCGGCTCTTTTCCCTCTTCCGGCTAACTAGCGCCGCGCGCTCGATCGGAATCTTCCATCCCCAGAGAATCGGCACCAGGAAGACGGCACTTTCTCATCGTCCAAAAGCCATGCCCAGGGCTCTGATCCATCACCTAACGAAACTCTATTCATGTGTGGGAAGTTACTGCGTTCAGGTAGCTGATGCCTTTTCCTGGACGCAGGTTGCGAAAGGAATGGTCAGGTACAGTTGAAGACTCGCGAACAGAAACATCGGGGGAAGCAGGGGTGCCTGAGTACCTCGGTCAAATATCCTTGACACTCGGGCGTCCGCAATTTCTCCATTTTTCTCCCATGGGGAAAAACTGGGACCAAGGTTCTAGATCAAAGCCAACCTTGGAACATCACTTCAAGAGCTCGCCACGCCCTGATCTGCAAAGCTGATTTACTCCAGCTTCGACAAAGAATATGATGATGGATCGGTCCTCGTAACAGCTGATCCTCGTCCGTAGAGGTTGCAGTGTCTGGCCATTGCCCACTACTCTTGATGGATACGTCCAGAACACGCCAGACCAACATTGGCCGCCAAAAGGTGGACCCCGGGTGACGGACTGTCGAAGTGTGGGGATGCACAACAGCCCACACGACAGGGATTTCGCGATCCCACGAAACGGCTGACTCTGTGACTTCCTCTACTGTCGTTGTTGCCACTCAAACGAGTTCATAAGATGCATGCTTCGATACGTGGACGAATATATAGGACATGAAAGGTGCCGATCGCCGAATTAGACCTCAACCTCGGCAGATACACCGAGTCGGCGTATAAACCTAACTGTCGGAGCCGGCCTAGTACGACGGTACCATTACCCAGTGAGGCGGCGCCACTTCATCGGCCCCAAAAATTTACCGACGGCTCTTCTATCACTGGGCGAAACAGAGCCCACACTCGGCGCTTTTTCGGCTGCGGTCGACGAGCTTATCATATCATCTCTCAGGAACCGTGTGGAGAGCTATTAGTTACCTGGTTTCGTTTTTCCCCCGTATACGTTCGAAGTTATACATGGCGCCTTCATGCAGTAGTCAACGCTCAAGACCCAGCGTCTAAAAAACATACAGTGTCGACAACAGTGGTAAAAATACGATAGGCGTAGCAACTAGTTGATTCGATAAAGATGAGCCTCGAGCTCTAGACCGTTGACCAGGAGCAATGTTCTTTTCACCCCCAGCTGAGGGTGTCGGTTATATTAGAAAGGAACTGACCAACGTCTTTGCGGAGCAAATATAGGAAAACGTTGACATTCCTGGGTACTGCCGGCGCCGCATCGGTTGTCACAGATGATGTAGTTGGCTTCAAGAACGTCGCAATGAAATACAACGGGGTGAGAGAGATTATTTGCAACTGCCTGTGAAGTAGGCATGGGTAACAAGATCGACGACGGACGACTCGAACCAATGCAGCGCAGTCATGTGATTATCCAGGTTGGTTCCCTGTCATGATTTCGCGACCCAGAGGTTCTGTTACATCAGGAATAAAAGTTTGATCCGAGACGAAGCTGAGGAATCATATTTGAACGGCTTCCCACTGTACCTGTTACGAAATAACAGGCTTTCTAGCCCTACACATATTCATCACAGAAACAGTTTAGTACTAAAGATGCAGACCAAATATCACCGTTGTTTCAAATACTCTGCCAAATTCACGATCCTTACAAAGGGTGCGGTTAGTGTCTCACTCCGATCTTAGAATAACATTACTATACTCAACTAGGAATATGGTCTGATATTGGTCAATTCACACAACGCTCGTTTCGTGCCGTCGAATTCTACAAGGAGTTAAAAGAGAGCCAACATGATGTGCGTTTCCGAAGTGCATACTCCGAGTTTTGCTACCAGTTTAGAGGGCACATGTAGTGATCACGCCGGCAAGACAAAGGTATCGTCAAGATCCCGAAGAAGTCCTTCCACCTGTGAAATGTTTGGTGACGACGACTGGACCGGGATTCCCTCATCCCTCCATTCTGGAACAGTGCAATGACCAGCTGTTGATTCCATATGGAAGAGCTCCCGCCAGTCGCCGGCCTCGTTCCAACCCTCCCTGTCACAGGAGTCGATAGATTCTCCGAAATCATCCTCGTGTGGGGTGAATCTGGAGCTATCCGAGGGTAAACTCGAACTGTCCGAGGTACTGTAAATCTCCTTCATAGACTTGATCACCTCGAGACATCGTTGATAGTTCTTTTGGGAATCAAACACATTTGCTCGAAAAATGCCGCGCATCTCCATGAAGTGCACAGATATGGCTAAGTTTGTAGTGGTGATAGCGGCAAGCGGCAGAAAACGATCAAGACCCAGTTCCTGGATGTTCCTTGTGATCTCAGAGATGCGTTTGGCTGAGTGTTGTACGAACGTCTTCGATAGTTCTTTGTCGCCTGGCGAGGTACCAGTGTCATTGATTCGTAAACGGTGTAGGCGGAGCACACCGGCATGGTAGATCATGTGCAGAACCGCACGATTCAACTCGAGGTTTGCACTTCCGTCAGGATGAATGTCATCTGACATGATTGGTTGATACAAATCCCCGTGGCAGAGGGTGTCGTACCATTCCAAAAGGTCTCGGTGGCAGTCAGCGATCAAATCGTCGGAGGCATTGCATTTGGGAGGAAAGCTGTTGTTTGGCACTCCAATCTCTCGGGTCAAGACAGACGAGGCCGTATATCTCAGGGATCGGCAAAGCCTTGCCTGGGCGATGCACAGCCTTCCGAGGGTTGTACGCCGATATTTATCGCCGAAGTAGGAACAGATGGCAGATATCTTCGCCGATGCACTGACATGCACATGCTCGGATTGGAAGTCGGCAGACTCAAGCATCGAGACATTGTAATCCTCGTCTTTGATCCGCGGTGGCGTCCTCATGGCGAAAGAAATCAGTCTGTCTCTGATAAAGCAGGACCACCATATCCTACGCCGCAGCCTTCTAACAGTCAGAGACATAGCGGATCCGCTCAACCTCGGATCAATGTTCAGGGATTGGGCGAACGCGTGAGATATCGCTAGATCCATCCACTGCCGTATGTTCGTTCGTTCCTCTGTCTCATCATGCCACATTGTCATGAGAAGAAGTGACTGGATATTCACCAGCCCGTCGTTCTCGCAGTCGAACTGGTACAAAAGCTGCCTCCAAAATCAGCCAAAGGTAACTTGGGTCTTCTTTCGAACACATAGACATACTCGGACTCGTTGATATAGGGTTTCCCGCGCTTCCTTCCGTGATTTGAATCCGGCCTCTGCAAGCAGACTCCAGTCGACATAGGCGGATCCTGCAAACAATACCGCCTGTAGGAACAAAAGACTGATTTTGAGATTGAAGTCGTTCTCTTCAATCAAAGACTCAACGAAGTCTTCGATATTGATCACTGGAAGAAGCGGATGTACGTGCTCCAAGTAAGCCTGGATCAAGGCCTCCCGTAGTGTCGTGTCCGGAATGGTCAATGCCCCCTTTTGTTGGAGAAATTCCACATCTTCTAGGGGCATAGTAGCCGGAAGGGGCCTGACAAAACGAGGTATGAGTCGCAGACTCCAAGACCGTGAGCCCAGGAGAACATGCGGACGCGGAGCGTAGGATCCAACTCCAGGGAATGCGCCATTGAAATCCGGGATTCGTGGAGTATCGAGTCTTGCATTTTCGTCTTCTGAGAACCGAGAAATCTGATCTGGCTCGACCAAGGACTCTGTCAAAAGTTGAGATGGTTGGCGTGGACTTTGGAGATCCTGCATGCCCCGAGAGCCTGTCCAGCTCTGACCCTCTTTTTTCTGATTCCCATTGTCCTGTTGGCCCAGCTCTTGATTTACTTCCGGTGCTAAATCGTGTCCGAAGCCTCGCGGTAGCTCAAAAGATGGGGCCGACTTGTCGCTGCGGTTTGAACTCGATGGTGTCCCAGCACCAGTTGGTGTGCGAGGACGCTTGGCCTCGGTCTGCAGCTGCCTTGGAAAGGGAGTCAGCACGTGCATAAATCTTGTTGGAAGAGAGCGTTCGCTACAAACACTTTGGCGTGACGCCGACTGTGTATAATGCAGTCATGGTCATTCCAGCGGCAGTTTCCACCTTGATTCGTGTCAGTCAGATGACAGAAAGGGAGGGGGGAGGGCGAAGGAGTTCTTGCGCTTACAGGGGTAATTCTGTGTGACGTCGCACCTCACCTTGCGCGACCTGCAAGCGAGGCAAGCTCGAGTTGCTCGTCGTGGGCGCGCTCTAAGCGATTTCACCAGAGGGCGAACAAATGTGGTCGGGCGGGACGGAAGCCCGTCGGTTGTGGTGCTGGTGCTGTGAATACTCGCTGCCGGACTTTCCGGACCAGATTGCTCCTTGTTGGTAGATTGTTTTGCTGATGCCATTGTGTACGTAGGTATTAATTGATGTTGGGATAGCAACCTGGAATATGTATTTTTTGACCGGCTTTGAGCGCTTCGGTGCAATACCGTTTCCAGTAAACCAAAGCGCTACTCGGGCCGCCCGAACTTCTGGACCTTCATACAGGATATGAGGCTCTTTCTGTCTTTCCCCGCATAAGTCGCGTGGATGAACTATATATGCCTTTATAGAGTGGTCCTCTAAGCTCCACTGCTGACGTGACCAATCGCCAAGAGAAGGTCTGAATGTTCGGGGTGTGCCCCGAAAAGCCTGTCTTTCGGGGCCTTCAGTTCCTCGCAATTCCGCAGCAGCCAGGGGATACCCCGTACACTCACTATGGGGAAAACCCCACCTGGCAGCTGGCAGCTGGCAGGCGAGTGGATACTGCTTAGCCGTAGAGACGTGTAGAGGAGGTCAACAATTATTGGAGACTATATCTGAATAGGTTTAGCTCCAGTGCTCTCACTACCTCGGCTTACTCGACCGGGAATGGTCAACCTAATCATCAATGCCTGCAATATGGAGCTGGGATCAGTCAGCCCGCGCGGCTACGAAAGACCACCAGATGCAAGGCTACCAACCAGGAGGTTTCGAATCGTGAGAACCCTATATAAAGTGGCGAGAGCATGACCTCTGGTGTGTGTTTGTGTCAGACTCTGCAAATTTGGACACAAAATTCGTGGAGTTTCACTACGTTATCCGCTTCGCAGCTATCTGTGTCGACTTCAGGAATCGGTCTACTGGGGCAGCCGTGTGCGTTGGGACAGCACTTTTTTCCATTGAGTATTTGTATCTTGCCAGGCATATTTACTGTTTGTTTTCCTTACCTCACAAGATTGAGCAAGCTGGAAGAGGGTCTCTAGGGCTAGGTGACAATGGTAGGTGTTTTCTTCCACGACAGTGGCTGCAAAATCACGCAAGGCTTCCTTATCATCACTGCCGAATTGAACATGCCGGCCAAGACTAGTATGATAACACATGAACTACAGTGATGTATCTAGTTTCCTGAGTATATGAGGCAAGGAAAATGTATCACGCACGAAACTCCGTAACATTGTTGATTTGAGAACGTAATGATGTTGTAATATATATATGTGTGAACAGGTAAGTGTGTTAAAAGCCCTGACTTGCTGAGAGCCTGTAGATCTGGAGATCAGCTTGGGAAAGCCATCCCATATCTCCTGAATTTGAGTCCCACTCACCGCTTAAGTAAGCAAGCCCTTCTGGGTCCGATATTAAATCTTTTTTTTGCCTCATAAAATTCTCGAGCCGCGCCTCAGCCTCCTCTCAGCTACGTGCTGGTTATTACCGTCCCGTTCTTTCAAATTTAGTTTCCGCAGAATCATTCGAGTCCTAGTATCCATCATAGTATATCTCTGAAAAGAGGACCTCACTTTTCAAACCTGTTGCAATGTCAACAGCTCCATTTCGATCGCTACTTCCTCGACGGATACAGTCGACTACAGACGCAATATATGCCCCACGATGCATGATCCAGAGGGGTATCGCCTCAGCTGTCTCAGCAAATGCCAACACACGCCTCACGCCGAGCCGGCCCGTGATCACCCCAGCGGACTTCAAATCAATGGTTGACAACCACTCAGCGACATTGGAATTCCGAAAACGACAATCTGTTATTCGCACGCGCTCAGCTTTTGCACCAGAACAAGGCCAATATAACTTCACGCGTACAACACTTGCCGGAGAAGACATGATTCACCCCACACCATACGTCTTCGTTGATGTTGAGGCCGGCTCGCTCCTCGCGTTTTACCACCTTGGCTTCAAGCTGGCTGGACACGATGGCATCGTCCACGGCGGTGTCTCTGCAACCTTGTTGGATGAATGCATGTATAGAGCGTGTCTCTCACGGCCTGGCGTGCAGGGAAAGGTCGCAGTTACGGCAAATTTGAACGTGAATTACAAGGGCCCGATTTCAGTGGGGACAACTGTTCTGCTGCGAGCTGAAACAACCAGAGTCGAGGGACGAAAAGCGTGGATTACGGCAACAATCGAGGATGTGGGGAGCCAGCAGATCTTTGTGATGGCGGATGCTCTCTTTGTCCAGCCTAAATGGGCTTCATCGGCAGAATAGCCCACTGCAGTGACGAAATGGAAAGATGGAGAAGTCGATAATATTGACTTGGGCTTGCTTAAAATACCTCTGCATATACATAGATAATCATAATCACATAGATACGGCAATCGAGGCTGCTTATATCAAAATTACGAATGCACACTTCAATTCTGACTTGCCGCTGAGGCCGTCTAGCCAGCACTTTCGACAGTCCACAATTTTTAACCATCCAAATCCTGCTGCTCTTCATCGAAACTTTCGAGCTTCGATTCCCTACTCTCTTGAATTTTGCAGTCTGGGAAGCGGCAGTCTTCCATTCTGTAGCCTGGTCAGCTTCTCTCTGTGGTTGCGATCTGGGATGCTCTGTCTTTGACCTTACTAGTTCCTAAAGCGTTGCGAGCCTGATTCCTCGCCTGCTTCAGCCTCCTCTTATCTTACTTGCATCTCAAGAACTTCAAGTTCCAAGCTCCGGCACGTAACTAGGTAGGGACTTTTAGTTCGCCTTCATTTCTAAAACTCCTAAAGAGATCTACATTTCTAAATACCGGCGCAATGGTTTCGACGGTGCAATTGAATTAGAAGAACACCTTGTTTGGCTTGCCCGTCTATCAAAACTCCTAACTTCTCTCAGAGAGAGTGAATGTCCCAGAGTGTATCACTGACTAATAACGGCAAGGAAGCTCACCGATGCTTTCCTGGACTTCGAATCTGATGTCTCGCAAAAGGTCTGTATCTTGTCTGGAGTCTAAATATGTCGCCTTCTGTGCCGGGTTTGACTGACACAACAGGTACAAACCTGGCGACAGCAACTACATGGGGCCGGCCCATCATAGACGCTAGCCACAAGGTTGATGGTCGCAATATCGGGCCAATTGGCCCTGCGCGTGTGTGGATCAAGAATACTGTTATCGGTGCCGTCTGCAGTTACCGGAAGGCTTGAGCTTTCGCTCCTGAGAGATATTCGCGTCGCCGAGGAAGATGCCGTCTTTGAGACATTCTGCCTTCGGTTCGACGTGCCCCTCGTCTTAATTGCCCCCTCCCTCCGACAGCTCCCCGGAGCTTGCGTCTTCTTTTCCTAGTGCCCTGTTGCATAGCACGCTTTTCTGCGCAATTTTCGTGGCAAATTCGTTGATGGGTTCGCCACCCATGATCTCGAGCAGAGCCAAATTTGCCTTCATGGAGGAGTTGATCCAGTTGCGCACTTCGATGGCTACTAACGAGTCGACGCCGTATTCGTGCAACGCTTTGAATGGGTCGACCTCAGATGTGGGGATTTGAAGGATCCCGGCCGCCTTGTGGACGAGGGCTTCCGTAATGATGTCTGCTGCCTGCTTTCTAGTAGTCGCCTGGCTTAGCCGATGCGCCAGCGATGAGGTGTCGCCATTGCGCATCTGCTGTGTGCCAGCCGAGGCCGTGGATGCGGCTTGTGTGGTGTTCACGGCCCTGAATCGAGAGTCGTTGAGGTACAGGGGAGGGTCGACGGCGTGCGCTGCCCATGCGTCGGCCGAGCCGACGCCCAAACAGACCTGTGCTGGGACTGTATCATCGCCTGGCGCTTCCTCAAGCTGGCTATTGATCAGGCTCTTCATGAAAGCCAGAAATACGGGTGCTGGAATACCGATGACTTTCTTCCACAACTCGAACTGCGTGCCGAAATTCCGCTCAGCCGCCATACCAACGTCTTGGATGATACCTAGATCGACGGCAGTGGCCTTGAGTCCCCCTGAACGACGGTAATGGGCTAGGGCATCTTGGTATGTGTTGCCGGCCGCGTATGCGGACTGGCTAGCATGACCCCAGATACCCGAGACCGATGCGCATAAAATAAAGAAGTCGAGTGGTCGTGAATGATCGAAATACTCATGCAAATTCCACGATCCCTGAACTTTGGGGCGTAGTGGGCTGGTCCACTCCTCATGGGAAAGCTTCTCAAATATGCCATCACAGAGCACTGCAGCTAAATGCACGACACCTCGGATGCGTGGAAGCTCCTGTGAGCATTGCTCTAGAGCTGCAAGAAGTGAATCCCGATCAGCTATGTCACCACGGAAGACTCTGATGTTGACGCCTTGGCCCGCCAATTTAGCGATGAGTTCCTTGGCCTGAGGAGAAGTGTCGGCAGAACGCGAGATAAAGGCGATATTCCGAGCACCAGATGTGACGAAAAGCTGCGCCAGGCTACGGCCCAACCCTCCTAGGCCACCTATCAAAAGATAGGTCGCCTCAGGGTTGAGTTTTAGTGATTGCTCAACTGTGAGGCGAAGCGGAACTTGAACGTCGCCTGATAACGATAGTATGAGCTTGCCGTAGTGCTTCCCCTGCTGCATAGTACGGTAAGCCTCTTTGACCTGGCCGAAAGAGTATGTCGTCAGGGGATTCACAGTGGAGATATGGCCTTGGCGAATCAGCCCAACAACGCGGTCGAGAATCGTAGCCAGGGTATTCTTGGGGATGTCTTTGATGTCGAAAAAGGTGAAGCAGCAGTTTTTCCGGAACTGTGACATGCTCAGGCGTGTGTTATCGGTAATATCACGGAGGCCAAGCTCAATGAATGTGCCGAAGGGCGCCACGCAGTTCCAGGAGGCAAAAAGAAGCTCGCCCGAAAGCGAGTTCAAGACGCAGTCAACACCTTTTCCCTCCGTGACTCGCGCGATCCCCTTGCTGAAGCTTGTATCACGTGAGCTGAATATGTGTGACGAAGGAATGTTGTACCGCTCTGCCAAGAACTTGCGCTTTTCTTCTGAACCTGCAGTAACGTAGATGTCCAGGCCCAAGTAGAGGGCTAATTGTATAGCTGCCTGGCCGACACCGCCCGCGGCAGCATGGATCAAAATAGACTGACCCTTCTCGAGCTTAGCAACGTTCATGAGTGCGTGGTATGCAGTGATGAACACCACAAGTATCGAAGCCGCCTCCTCGAAGCTGAAAGTGTCTGGAACTTTAATTGCCATACGTTCGTCAACTCGTAGAACCGTTTTGTGTGCTCCCTCTGGACACAAGACGGCTACACGGTCACCTTTCACGAAACGATTCACTTTATCGCCAGTCCTGAGGACGATTCCGCTGGCTTCTGAACCCAAAACCAACAATGGGATCATTCCCATGGCAGCCATGACGTCTTTGAAGCTAATCAGTCATGTCAGTATGTTGCCTTGGAAGATAATCGCTACCCCAGAACTTACTTGAGACCTGCAGCTTTGACTTGAACCTCGACTTCGTTTTCTGCTAGCGGACCGGTCATATCTTCGTCAGTGATGAAGCATAGCGTGTCCAGAAGACCAGGCCTCCCAATGCTGAGCTTGAGCGGGACATGCTGCTCATGAAGAGAGACCATGCGTTCGGAAGCTTGTAGTAGTCCCGCTACACGCTTGTGACCTTCGAGGTCCGGAAATACCCGGGCAGCCTGGAGCACGCCCTGAACTTCACGAAACTCTTTGTCCTCTGTGTCCCTTGTGGCGATGTATGCAGCCAGAGCCGGCCCATTTTCCTTGCCAGTGGCCTCACTAAGATGCAGAATACGAAAATTGGTGCCGGTAATTTCGTTGCGAATACATCGCGCCAGCCCGTCTACCAAGTGGAAGGACGGCTGGTTGCTGCAAGTGACCCATAGAAGCCGCTCGGTTTGTAGTACCAAATCCTTGACCCTTGCGAAGTCTGAAGGAGACTGGCTTTGTAAGAAGGGTTCCTCAAGCTCCAGCAGTGATAGAACAGATTTTCCAGCAATGCTGTTTCCGGTGACAGCGTCTGTCCAGCTCTGACGCGTGACAGATTGGCCGTGTTCAGCCAATATGTTACACAACGTTTTGGAGAAAACTTCAGAGCTCTTCGTCGGCGTAGGCGGCTCGATAATAATGACTTCTGGCCCAAGTGTTTCGTGGGACTGCTTAACAGGGCCCCGGCGATACTGCTCGACGGATCCTTTACGTCCTGGGAAGACAAGACACCTTCTAAACCCCTTGTCTTCGAGAACGGATGCTGCGTCGGGCAGATTAGCTGCAAGTAAAATTGTCGCTTCGGTGCCGGCCAGGTCGATTGAACGTGCCAAGACATTCCCTGCATCCGCAAGGTCGCTGGCTGATGGCGGAATGACCAACAAGGAGGCAGGCGGAACATTCTCTGGCAGGGCACAACCCGGCAGGCCAAGTGCTACTGGTTGGCCGTGGTAGCTCTTTTCGTCGCCTTCTTGAAAGCCTTTCTGATCGCGGATGTCTGCTATGGCGTAAAAGACTCGGACGGGCAAAGCCTCACCGTTTGGTAATCCAGGATTTGACCGCACCGTATGGATGATTGCCTGAGGAAGCGAGGCGTAGTCCGGAACCACCTCAAGGACTGTAGCAGCGGGGTTCTCATGGAGTGTCATGCGAACAAGCTCGAGCAGACAGTCCTGTGATGTAACAGCCGCATCAGACAAAATCCTCGCCGCTTGGCCCGGTTGTAGGACATCGAGGGCGTAGTCCCAGCGCACATGAAAGGGGGTCGCGCTTGGAGAGCTCTGATCGTCCACTGCGGATACAGAAGCGTCAAGTTCGGATATCCGGAAGTCATTGACCGAGAGATGAAGCTTGGATAGCGAAGGGTCAAACAGGAACGTGCTGGCCGACAATTCGTTGGGACCACGATATTCCGAGAGGCAGAAACCCGGCATGAGCTGACCCTCTGGAGCTGGGAAGTCAGCCGTGACCTCCATTTCACCCACAAATATTGGCGCATACGGCTTCTCGGAGCGAATTTGGCCGTTGTAGAAAGTGCTGCTAGTCCAACTCTGGAAGAAGGCGTCGAGTGTGGCCCCATGAACCAAGAAAGGCCTCATATCGGTCTGGCCCTTGCTGAACGTTTCGCCAATGTCCAAAATGCGAACACCGAAGGCTGACCTTCCGGGGCCTGGGCATATATTTTCGACGGTGCGGAAATTCTCGCCATATCGAAAACCGAGTCTGTCCAGGTGTGCATAAAAGTCCTCTTTACCGTAGGTGTGTGCCTGGCACTCGCGGAGCACATGGGAATAATCCGCAATCTTTTGGTTTGAAATGCTCGCATCCTCGTGGTTGATTTGCTCAGTCCGGTTCTCCTTATAGTCCATTGCCAATAGCCCACGGCAATGATCCCTCACTCGGTCCGCGCCAGAGCTCGAGGATAGCGAGAACTCCCACCAAGGTGAGGCAGCCTGTCTCGTAGTAGTGCTGACGAGATGTGGCCGCATAGTCATGATGACCTCAGTAGGCGCATTTTCCAGAAGTGAGAGGGCGGCGAAGAAGGAAACTTCACGCAGTCGGTAGGAATGAAGTGTCTTGGCTGTATCTGCAAGCTGCCGGCCTGCCTCAATTGCCATGCTGAGCATGCCAGCGGCGGGCAACAAAACCGTTTCGCCGACCTTGTGATCGCGCAACCAGGGCTCATCTTTGAGGCTGATAAACCCACGCCATGTATGCTGATTCTCACCCATCATCGGCATCTTCGCCCCAATCAGACTTCTGGTTGGGAACTGGCGACGGAGGTACTCTTTCTGTAAACGCGATGTAGCATCGTACTTCCTGTCATGCTTCCAGGGATATGGAGGCAGGTCCGTCAACAGCCTACAGTCCAAGTCACCATTGACTTGTTCCATGATAAGCTGTGTACCCTGATGGAAGAGTTCTTGGCCAAGCTGTAGACTAGTTTCTGAGGAGTTGCGGCCACGTAGAAGGACCGACTTGTACGGCACGTTTCCTAGATGATAATGATCCAGAATCTGTTCAACTGGCCCGGCCAAGGTACTGTGGGGGCCAACTTCGATAAACATGTCTACCGTGTTCTCGGCCTTGGCAGAGTCCGACGGTCTGGTCAACTCCCTGACGGCATCGGAAAATAGCACTGGCGAGAGCAAGTTGCCAAGCCAGTAATAAGGACCCAACATCCCGGCGGCAACCTCGGAACCTGTCAGACTGGAAATCATACTGATCGACTCGTCGACCACATTTCTGGGTACTATGCTCGATATTGAAGTGGAATACTCCTCCGAAATAGCGTTCATGAGAGGCGAATGGTACGGGACGTCGACTTTGAGTCGCCGAGCAAGTATCTTGCGCTCTCGCAGTATCTCGGAGAAATTGGCAAGCGCTGCCGCGCAACCCGAGAGAGTAACACTATTTGGCGAATTGACGCAGGCGACGGTGACTTGGCCACCACCAGTATCATGCTCGGATATCAGCTGCTGCGCCTGCTCTCTTGAACAAGCAACGGCCATCATAGCACCATCCTGACCTGGCATCAACGTTTGCAGCCTAGCCGAGGCTTTGCCCCGGAAGTATGCAGCCATGATCGCGTCACGATGAGTTAAAGCCCCGAGGCAGTATGCGGCCGCGATTTCACCACTAGAGTGACCGACAACTTTTTCAGGCTTCACGCCCCATGACCTTAGCTCTTCGACCAGGGCGATCTGGAGTACGGTGCATATGGGCTGGCTAATCTCCGCCTGGCGCAGCCGACTTTCGTCTTCCGCTCTCCGCAGCTCCGTAACGGGATCCCAGTCACAACCAAGCTCCCGCAAGATGGAGGCGGACTTGGCTATGGCTGCCATAAACACGGGTCGTCCTAGCATCTCCACGCCCATGCCAGCCCACTGGGCACCCTGCCCAGTGAAGACAAAGGCAATGCGTGGGTGTTTTCTGGGATCTCGTGTGACATGTTCATCTAGGCCAGTGGATAATTGTTCAACTAGCTCGGCCGCGCTCTCTGCCAAGCAGCTGCCTTTCCATGCGAGGCCTGATCTTGCAAGTGCAAGGGTGTGGGCAAGATCCGCGAGATACTCGGGAGTCGATGCGCAAGGGCCCAGGCTGTCAAGATGCTCGACGAGTGATTGTCCGATCCTCACAAAGCCAGCTCGGTCCTGAGCGCTGAAGACGAAAAGTCTCTTCCTGCTGGTGACACTTTGGCCGACAGTATCGCTGGCCAAAATCTGATGGGCCGGCCTGATATGGCCGTTCGTCTGGCCAGGTTGGTCTGGTTGACGTGCTTCAACAACGAGATGCGCATTTGTGCCACCCAAGCCGAAGCTACTGATGCTCATACGCCTGGTCTTGCAAACAGGCCATGGTGTCAAGCTGGTTGGCACCGCCATGTTCCACTCGTCTAGTGGAATCTTTTGGTTGAGCTCGGATAGATGAATATTTGGAGGGATAAGACCATGTTCTAGGGCCAGTACGCCTTTGATCAACCCGGCTATGCCCGCGGCTGGTTCGAGATGACCAATCTAGTGTCAGAGAAAGGCCCAGTCAGCTTCTTACTGGACATATCGGAACATCAATGCCGTCTCCTTATATCTAGTTGGGGGACACTCACATTGGGTTTAACGCTGCCCATTATCAGCTTATGCGTCTTGGTTGCGCCTTGGCCAATAGTACTATAGATCGCCTTGGCTTCCGTGGGATCTCCAGCCTTAGTACCGGTTCCCTAGATACAAATATTATTAGCCTATGCGCCTCAAAACTATCTAGCACTGGAGCATGTAGTCTGTCTCACATGGGCTTCGATGTATTGGGTTGAGCCGTACTCCAACCCCTCGGATTGGTACACGTCTTTGATAAGTTGAGCTTGGGACGCGCCAGATGGCATCGCCATTCCCTTTGTCCAGCCATCCGAATTCACTCCGGTGGCACGTATCACGGAGCGTATCGGATCACCATCACGTAGTGCCGCAGACAACAGCTTTAGGACAACCACGCCGCAACCTTCTCCACGGCCGTAGCCACCGCCTTTTTCGTCGAAGGACCTTGATCGGCCCTCCGGGCTGAGAACGGACAAATTGTGTAGTTGCATTGACGTGTCAGGTGAAAGGGTGAGACTGACGCCTCCAGCAAGCGCCATCTAAAACACGCGGAGATTAGTTAGAGACTGTACCGTGCGGGACTGAGCTTCATATGCAAAATTCAAATGGTAACCCAGTTGAGACTTTACGCATATAATACGTAGATGATTTGGAGGGGAAAATGGGGGCGGGGTGTTGTACATACGGTGGTCTCTCCTGACCGCAAGCTCTGACACGCGAGGTGTACAGCCACTAGGCTAGACGAGCATGCCGTCTCAACGGTTACGCTGGGACCGTGGAGATCAAAAAAGTGAGAGAGACGATTGCTCATTAACTCCTCCGAGATGCCCATGATTAGGTGCTGGGGCTGGTTCCCAAAGTCGCGGGCGATGCCGTCCTTGTAGTCTCCCATGTTTGCTGCTGAGCCCATGAAACAGGCCGTTTTTGTACCAGCCACCTTCTGCAGGTTTAGGCCGGAGTTCTCGAATGCCTCATACGCCACCTCAAGTGCGAGACGCTGCCTGGGGTCCGAAGCTGCAGCTTCTGCGGGTGTTATGTTAAAAAAGGCAGCGTCAAAGGCGAACGGGTCCTCTTTGAGAAAATGCCCGCCCTGGTGCGGTATTACGTTTTGACGGCCGCCACTATTGGCATGGTAGAAACCCGGTATGTTATATCGGTCTGTATCAGCGGAGAAAGCATCTTGTGTTATTCATAACGAGTTAGTGTTTAGAATTCTATTTTGTCTTGCATCATGTTTGGACCCCCCCCCCCCCCCATTTCATCTGCACACTGTTGATTTTCTTACCTTGTCCATTCTTGAGGAGATCCCAGAATTTGGATGGGCAGGTTGCTTCCCCAGGAAAACGACATGCCATGCCGATGATGGCCACCGCGTCGCGGGCCTCCTGGACATCCGCCAAAGGCATGCTGGCTGCTGTCTGCGAGGAAGATGTTGCAGGAAAGCCCAATTACACAGGCGAAAGTCCCAGATTTTTTTTCGATCGTGAATGCGGACTTCTGGCCTATCTAGATTTCTAAAGAAGATGGAAATCGTGGTTTCTATATGTAATGGAGAAACGGGAACGGTCGTCATTTTGCGAAGTAAAATCTTCTTTAGGTAGGTTTTCTGCTGGTACTCGTGTCAACAGTTCCATTCCATTAGGAAGAGCCTTTTTTCCTGCAAGATCCATCCCCAATTATCACAGTATCACTCAATCGTATGTTTTTATGCGATCCTGCATCCAGCAAATGATCAATATGCAATAGGATAAACTAATTCTCTGAGAAAGGAAGTAGAATGTAGCCTTTCACTTACTCGTGTTGTATATGTATCAATGGATGGGGATTAGAAACAAAACCACTGACTTACTCGTACAAGCCCAAACCTGACACGCATTTTCATGTTTTCTGTCGGCAGTCGGACCAGCGTCGATTATTCGGAGCTCACCCCACTGTTTTCGGTAGCTTACCCAGCATTTACTTTTCTCAGAAACTCTGTATGATTCAAGATGACTTCAAAGCTAAATTATTTCCCAGGCTACAACTGATACTCCAGATATAGGCTATAAACTCTAAGCATCGTGGTTTTTCAAAAAAAGATTGGGCCTGGAGATACTCAAAAACGTTAGCCATACGTAGCTAATATGTTGTACTAGGGGAGGCCACCGAAAACAGCTGGCTGAGTCGACGGAACAGCTAGGTAGGCCGATTGAACAGCTGCGTGAGCAGACGCTGGCTGCATGTGCCGGGAGTCTTACTTACGGTAAGTACACGTGGAAGTGAGTTTGTGTGGACTTGTTAATGATCCTTACTAAGTATTCAAAATGTACGGAACCCCCTCCCAAAGAAACAACAGCAACCTTCCAATTCCCTGTATTTCTCACTTTTTTCATCCCCTGATATAACAGAGACTAAATCGCCGAACAACAGAAGCAACAATGAGTCCGATTCTGCAGTATGTCAGCTGGCCGCAGCCAATATGGATAGTCATCGTTGGCGCAACTTTAGCATGCGTAGTTTTAGTTCTCCGCCCCCCTTCACCTCTGTCGAAATATCCGCTTTTCGATCCGCGGAAATGGTATGACATCCTTGGTTTCCAAGCGAGGATGCAGTTCATTTTGAATGGCCCAGATCTAGTGGCAGCTGCGAAAAAGTTATTCAACGGACAACCATTTCGGATGAGGGATCCTTGGGGGGAGATACTCGTTCTACCAGCGGAGCATGCTCATTACCTCAGAAGTCACGCAGGTTTTGCATTCGAACTTTTCTTTAATAGCGTATGTTGCCTTGTCAACAATGGGGTGCATCATCAACCACCCTCATGAAGTATCAACTTGTCGCTGATAACACATGATTAAGAGAACGCATGCAGCCCTCAACGAGGGTTTCGCTGGATTCCTAGAGCTTGCCAGGCTACCAAATATTGTCAGTCAGGGGGTGCAATATCACCTAACGCATGTTTCAGGTGAATTCCTCTCTTGCCACTTTCTCATCCCATTCCTAAGCAGGTGGCTGAATTTGTCGACCATGTTAGATGAGATCAAGAATGCTGTGTCCGAGGAAACAGCACTCGCTCTCGATGATATGCTGGCTAACACCCACGGCAAGTTTTCACGCTCCGGTTCGCAAGTTTTTTAGACGTGCTAACGATCGCAGAAACGTGGAAAGAATTTTGCCTGTCGGATACCATCTGCCGAATCGTACACCGTGTTTCCAGTAGAACCTTCCTGGGTCACAACGGGCCTCGCAACACTGAATGGTTGGATCTGGCTCAGAATTATACCCCAGATTGCTCATTTGGGGGTTTTATTCTAGACCTGTGTCCTCCGTTCCTGCGGCCGCTGGTGCAATGGTTCATTCCCGCCGTGTACCGATGTCGTGAGCAGCTTAAGAGGGCTCGTCGGTTAATCGCTGGCATCGTGGAAGAACGGAAACGACAGGCTAAGGCAAAGGATGTGAGCGTCGAAGAACAATTGCCGAGCAATGATGCGCTCGGATGGTTTGAGCAAACAGCTGGTGGGAACTCTAAGCTCTACGATCCTGCTGCAGCACAACTAGCTCTCACATTTGTGGCTGACCACACTTCTGCGAACTTCGTAATGACGACCCTGTTGGATCTATCACGACATGTGGATGTCATTGAGTCGCTGCGTCATGAGATTGGGAAGCAGGTCAGTGAGGCCGGCTGGACGGGCTGGAACAGGACAAATATTCAAAATCTGAGGCTACTGGATAGCGTCATCAAGGAGAGCATGCGTCTGAGGCCTATATTTTTCAGTAAACCCAGCCCCCCCCCTCCGAAATCCATATTAACAGGCGAGAAATGTCTTTTGCTAACCCGGAAACTACTAGCTGCAATGCTCGGGGGTGTGCTACAAGAGATGACTCTCAGCGATGGCACAATCCTTCCAGTCGGGACCAGACTTGCCATTCTAGGGGACGGAAATCGTGATCCGGTCGTATACGACAAGCCTGATGAGTGGGATGGCTTCCGTTATTACAAGATGAGACAGGCTGGTGATAAGGAGGACATGGCCCAACTGGCTTGTGCCACGGTCGAACATGCCGGCTTTGGGGTCGGCAAGCATTCTTGCCCAGGCAGATTCTATGCATCCGACCTCATCAAGATCATTTTGTGCCACATTCTGATGAAGTATGATTGGAAAGTGGTTGACAATGGCTCCCCCGAGACGGTAGTGGTAGCCTGGACGCAGATGGTTCATCCAGACGTGAAGATTCTCTTCAAACGTAGATAGTATGCGACTACAGGCATCATTGACAACGAACATCCTTTCAGGGAGGTTTTGAAGAAGCTGTGATCTTACAGAAGGATCTTTTGGGTGGTGAGACACGACTTCGCCGCTGCTTGGTCTTTGGGGTTCGTAGTTACTATGTACATACCTAGGTATGTAGCTGGCCCAGCGAGCAGCTGTTGGGCAACCTGCTAGTTGTTTTTTTAAAATATATATTCACACCTTTAGAAGCAAATGAAATGTTGGTCTAAATTAAGATTAATATTGTGACAGCACGTATTTGAGACTGCTAGATGTCAAGCTTGAGCATCTTGGAATTATAGCCCCTTGGCTAAAGCGGTCCTGTGCAGCACCTGGGCAGTCAAGTCCTCCATCTGAATTTTGCAACGGTCAGTCAGGGACTGCTAATCGCCCGATCAAAAGACCATAATAGTAACCAAATTTGGTTATTTCAGAAGTATATAAGACCAGTGTACACTAAAATTGTATAGTAGAAATAGAGGAGGCGGCTACTTCTAGAGACAATGCACAACTTTAAGCACGACTTCCGACAACATTCTGCAGCGACGAAATAGTAGGGCGGTGGAGCGCAGGTCGCTTCCCCGAACACGTAACCAATCTCAGTGACTTGATCTATAAGGTTGACTTCCAAGGTGATTTGATTGATCCAACACACAGGACTACATTGGTCAAGTACCTCACAATACATTCATATCAATCTCTTCCTTCCGTCTGCGGATCAATATCTGCACGCTGCGGTCATGATCCAAGTGAAAGCCAATGGATTTATATGGTTCAGGTCGGCAGTCCGGGGCCAGCTCGATGTCGTACTTGAGCAACAGGTGGCACAGCGCCATCTTGACGACGTCTGTGGCAAAGAATCGCCCCGGACACACGTGTAATCCATGGCCAAACCCAAGGGAATTGATGCCCGTGCTGACCATCGGCGCTTGGTACTTCAGATCGGCGTTGGCTCGCATCCGCAAGAAGCGGTATGCGTCGAATTCCTGGGGATTTTCGTATACCATGGGGTCCAGTCGCGTTGTATTAGCTAGCACCGAGCATGTGTACTTGGGTATCAGACTCCCGTCCGATAGCTTCACGTCAGACGTGGCCATCCGGTGCATGGTGACTGTCACCTGAGATTAGTACGTTTTCGTCTCAGATGAACGGCGAATACTGGTTGAGGTCGCAGTCCTGATTTTACAAATGACGGGAGAGTAGACTGGTAAGGGGTTCTGATCGACTCACTGAGCTCAAGTGGCTTCAATCGCTGCGTCTCTTTCATGATACTGTCCATGAGATGGAGTTTGTGAAGGGAAGGCTTGGACCAGCCCTGGTCGCTGATAGCGTTTACAATTTCCTCCCGCAGGGGCGCGATCAGCTCCGGGCGGAGAAGGATATTGATCAGTGTCTGAGTAAGGAGGTCGGTTGTGCTATGAAGACCAACGACAGATGTCTGAAGCTGGAAGAGAGCCGGCTGGTACCCCGACCCACGAAGGTCGCCTTTACTGTTCTGGTATTCCAATGCTCCCCAATCGATGGCGTCGTCGTAGCAGGGGGCAGGTGATCCCTTGGAAGCCGCCTCAAGGTGCTCATGCTTGCGTTTCTTGAGGACGGACTGCACCAGGGCGCGGGCTGTTACGAGCTGTGCGCGCATCTCCCGACACTGGGGCAGGAACAAGTGGGCGATGTGACGCACCGGAGCCGGAAGGAGTTGCAGAATCTTGGCCGCCTTGGCCGCATTGATTGTGTATTCCATGGTATTCCGGAGCCAGGTTTCGTTGCGGCAAAGATCCTCACCGGCGGTGACTCGTGCCGTCATGCGAGAAGCCAGCTGAAGTGTCGTGTTCTCGAGGCTGACCTGTTGCCATTCTTCAATTGTGAATTAGGAGCAGTTCAAATATCAAGGAAGGGCATGGCTGTGTAGATTACCCGGTGATTCGCCCAATTTTGTCTCTAAGGTGCGGGCAGCCTCTTCAGAAAGAGGCCTTGTTGTTTTCCCTGGCAATGAGATCGATATTACTTAGCACAAGACCAGCAACGACAGTTCTGATAAGGTACATGACAAACCTATGAGTTTGGTCAAGTACTTCTTTGCGACGTTCGCAAGAAGGTCGGTTATATCGCCTCGAAACGGCTCAAAGGCGGGTAAGTGAGCGTGGTAGTCCTAGATATTTGCTCGTTAGGCACAAGAAGCCCTGGGATGTCACGCGCCCCCCCCCCGGCTCACCTGTTCTGCAGACTTATTGAAGCTTAGTCGGTCATCATTTCGAATCTCGTCTGCAAACTTAGCAGGTAACACCATTACAGGCCCTCCCATAGTCATCATGCGGTACGGTCCCCCTCCGAATTCCACCTCCGCTTTGTCCATTAGCTCCTTGCTTGTAGAAACCGATTGAATCTTGCTCAACGAATGCGTGAAATCGTATATCCTTGGTGGGTTTATAAAAGGCGGTATTTTCCTGATACTGACGAGGTGCCAAGTCACAAAAAAGATCAGCACAGCCAACAATACCATGATTGTGCATTGCACAGATGGCACGATAAAGCCAAGCGTGTAGTCCATCATCTCCAAGTGGTTGGTTGTTGTCATCATCGCTCGGAGAGAATTTGTGTCTGTGGTAACTGAAGAAATTGAAGAGTTCCGGTGATGTTGGGTCCTTGGGTTCCCCAGGGTCCGAAGATGGGCACGTCCATCTGAACTTGCTGAGCATCATTCACGCATTACTTCCAGAACGTGGGCGGCCTAGATTTCAGCAATCTTTCCCCTCAAGAGCTTCATAATTAATTAAATATAATTGAATAGTTTTAAATAAAACTAAACCCTACTTCATCTTTTTATTAATTATAAGTAATATTATTTATTAAAACCTTAGTATTATAATATATAATACTAGTAGTAATTTAAGTATTAATAATTAATAATATTTTATAAGTTTTATATATAGATTATTTATATTTTTTTAATTTTACTATTAAATTAAAAGTAAATAATTAGAGTTTTAAAGGGATAAAATATAATATATCTTTTAAAAATTAACTTAATTAAATTTATTATATAAAACTTTTTATAATAACTTTATAATTATTTACTATACTATTTATTATTAAAAAATACCTTTTTATATTAATATATTAAACTATATTTAATTAGTTTAAGCCGGCACTATTAGCTTATTAAAGGTTAAAGCTATTATAAACCGTAAGCTACCTAGTTTTAACACTATTAAACACTATATATAAGATCGCTATATAACTTAAATATAAATATAAGTTAGTTAAAATAGATAAAAATAAAGCTACTATTCCTTTAAAGGTTCTAACTTTACTTTATAAGTAAATATCTATCTATTAACTCTATAAATAAAGCTATTTAAAAGCAGTCACTTAACCTATTATATAATCTATTAAACTAAGAAATAATTTCTAAATAAGGTAACTATACTCTATTATTTAAGTTTATAATTCTAATAGTTTTATAAAAGAAAAAATAACTATTAATAATTAAGTTTATAATTATATAAAGGTAAACCTTTATTTTAAAAAAAAGTTATTAATATTTAAAATAATTAATATATTTTTAAAAAAGTTAAAAGATTATAAATTTAATTTAAAGAAAATTAAAATCTATAAGAATCTTAAACTTAAGCTTAAAGGCTCCCTTTTAAATTTAACTCCCTTAAAGAGAAAAATATTTAAAAAGTTTAAAAAAAGCTTAAATAAAGCTAGAAACTAAATTAAATTTTAGTATAATAAAATAATTAAATAAAAATTAATTAGAATTTTATAATTATAGATCTTTTAATTTTATATTTAAGAGAGATAAGTTTTATATATATATATTTCTTATATAAAACTTAAATTAATTATTTAAGTTATAATTCTTTTAAATGTTACTTTTACATACTTTATACTATTATCTTAAATAGCTAGCGTTGCTTAATTTAATTTAAATTTATTAGAGAGTGGTTGAAAAGTATAAGTCGGTGTGAGAAGGGCGGTCGAAATCAGGCCGAATTCTAGACCGCCCACATGTGCAAGTTCCGGCATCACGACACATGTGCTTCAGATTTGCTTTTGTACAAGTGTTATCAACAATGACTCTCAACATTAGACTTCTGAGTCAGGATTTCCAAGATCTTGACTACGCAACCTCCAGAAAAGCTTAACTCAAAGTTTACCTTCACCGCGGATCACTGTGTCGTTCGGTAATCATCTACTGAAGTACTCGGACCACTGTTGTCCGGTATTCATTTTGTGAAGCATGCTTATTCAGTAGTGTTATCCTTCTATAGCAGCATGAGATGGACGCCTTGGCTGCACTTGGAGCTTACCATGCGGTAAATGCATTCTAGTTCAGAAAATAATACTTTTCCTCGGACCGCGGCAGGAGAGTGGGCACCAAGTTGACGTTACCTTATTGCCACCACTCCGGGCTGTTGGGGAAGTTCAGGAATACATACTGATGACGATATTTTTGATCGATCAGATGGCGCCGGGTGTCAAACATCGGGGGAATCGAGGGAGACTGAGGAAGAGATGAATACGTAGCGCAGAATTGCCAAGTACTCCTTGAAATTAATATCGATATCCTAATGATTGGCTGGTTCTCGCCCTTTTCACTTACGGCCCTTGAAACTTTCGCCCGGCCCAAGGGAAGTGCTGAGTAGCTGATGCGCTGAAAAGTTCCTTCTACTAAAATGTTTACACGCGTATGGGATGCCCAGGCAACCTTGGAGTTTAAAGTGTCTCGGTGTGGTGGTTAAGATATTGTGAAGGCTCAAGGGCTCTAGACGAATGTCATGAGAAGCTCTAGTATGCCTCAAAATGATTATTTTGCATTCCCAGGTTCATTTATTTGGTCAGGGTACAGCAATCAGCTGACTGTATTCGCTCAAAGTCTACTGCGTAATTGATGTCTATAACTGGTTTCTCTTCTATTCCATATACGTCCGAGGACATACATGTCTATAAACACAATGAAATTTCCAATCCATACCCGCTCAAAGGCTCATTTCAGCTTGCGCGCCGTGAGAGACCAAGTCTGGGCTGTATTCCACCCCACCTCCTCTGAAAGAAATCCTCAATTCTGCAAATCTTGTCGGAAAAAGTCCAGGGCCTTTCTCAAAGCCCCCACTGTCTCGCGTGCTTGTCCTGGCTGCACGATCTCCATGTGATCGGCGTCTAGCGATTGACACAAAACGCCACGCTTACTTCCCGCATTGACGAACCTTTCCCAGCCATTGGGGCCAAGGTCCTCTTCCGTCTTGTCCAGAATGCTCCAGAGCAAATGCCCAAGCTTTGGGTCCTCCATGAAGCCGGGGTACGCGTTCAGGGGCAGCTCGCACTCGACAATCCTCTTTGCGAGCTGTTCATCGCGCCGAAGGCGGCTGAGCATGCCTTTCTTGCACCAGATAACAGCGGTGGGGAAGTTGAGTTCCGACCGCAACGGTGGGGGGTGGTAGTTGGACACGGCGACGAGAAATCTATCCAGGTGGCGCATGGTGTCGGAGTTGGGGTTCCAGCCCTGCGCGCGGAGGGCGAAGGCGTGATGGGTGAGCTCGTAAACAATCTCGGTGGGCAGGTTGCGACCGGACGATACTTCGACTACTGGGTCTGGCGGGGGAAGTGGGCAACGCATGTCGATGATGACGAGGCCCTTGATTTCCCGCCCGGCGTCGGCCAGCTGGCGACACATCTCGTAGGCCAGTGTGCCGCCGCCCGAGAAGCCACCAAGGAGGAGCGGGCCTTCAGGCTGGAATTGCACTATAGCATCGACCATGATCCTGGCGATGTCTACGACGCTGACTTCGGGCGTTAATCTGGATGGGCAGCGGAGGTAGGGTGAGTCTATGCCGTAGACCTCGGCCGGGAGACTGTGTATGACCAGATGGATGTAGCATGATACAGAGCCGAAGCCGTCCGCTATGAGGTAAAGTCGACGCTTTTCAGCCTTGGGATTCTTTTGTAGCAGAGTGATTCTAGTCTTCGGTTCAGGCTCTTCCACCTCGTTCAGCAAGGTGATTCCACTGTCATTTGTGGGTGTAGCCTGAGCCGATTGAGGGGAGTTAGGTGAGGAAATCGGCGCAGACGGATCGGGTGGCGTCGCCAAAGGAACATCCATCTCGTCCGAACTGTCAGAACACCCCGAGTCTGAACTGCTGATAGAGAAGACGTCGTCACTTCTGCTGAGGGGGTTGTTGCATTCAGGTTGTGCGTCCTTGCTGTTCAGCATGCTGTGCAAATGGCCAATGGTAGGACACTGCAGCACCGAGGCCGGAGGAAGGCTGGAACCATATGTCTCTTCCAATCGCGCAGCAATCTCGATGGCCATGATGGAGTCCACGCCGAGTTCTGCTAGACTGTCGCGGCCTGTGAGTGCGGAAATGTCAGAGCCCGTCGCCTCCGCGATGATCTCAAGAAGAATCCGCAGTGCTCCACCTTCGCCCGTCTCCTCGATTTTCTTATCAGACTTGTTCATTTTCTCTCGGACAGGTCCTTCCCTCGATGCCGTCCCATTCTTCTCCTTCCGCATGGCAGGCTCATCTGCGCATGGTGAACACGTTGATGACGGAAGCCGCTGCTCGAGAACGCTGCTTTTATCGGCAATGACATTGCGGCGGTTGGATGCTGGCATGAACAAGGAGTTATGCAGCTCGCGGAAGTGCAGATCGAGGCATTGCATCACAATCCTGCCAGTGTCATCAAACACGGTCACTTCGCAGGTCGCTGTGTCCCCTTGTCTCTGACAAACGCGGGCATATGACAAATATGGCTTTCCTGGTTCGAGAACGGCTGTCCGCTCAATGCTCCCAATGCTAGTCATCACGAAAGTCTTCGTCCCCGATGTGGGTCGGCTAGGATGGCAATTGACCAGGAAGCCGGCCAGCTGCACGAGACCCTCGCCCCAGTAAGGGGATGTGATGAATCGGGCACGCGCAGGCCCTTCCGAGAGAATCACCTCCGCAGCGGCATCCTGGAAATCCGGGGATATGTATGCCTCCCTGATGGACTTGTATCCCTCAGCCCGATATTCAAACGCGTGCGAGAACAAGGCGTAGAAGATCCCGTGCTGCAACCGGTGGCCACGTCCGTCCTTCGCATTCTCGATTACAAGATCCATCCTGGATCTGATGTAATATGAAGTTCGATCCCAGCCGGCTTGGACAAATGCGGTATCTTGAACCGTCACCTCACATGTAGCCACGTCGTACGCAGCCGTGGACCCTGGAGAGGAAGGGCTAGCCTTGAATGAAACTGAAATCAAGTCACCAGCCTCTATGGTAGCCTCTGTGTGAATGACTCCATCCAGGCCAACGAGACTGTCATTCAGCGGGCGTATGAGGACGACATTGCGCAGAACTAGGCACT